AACTCGAGAACATACCCCAGGTCCCCGCCGCAACCCGAGAAAAACCATGAGACTTCCCCTAGAGGCGAGATGAGGCCCCATTCCCCTGCAGTGCATGCAGAGCAATCCTGTGATCCCCTTCAAACAAGTCAGGAGTTTCGACTTGCTTAATGGATCTCCAGAGAGTCCCCAAAAAGACTGTCACAAGTCTAGACGGACCCTGAGGTCACCCCAGCAATGCAAAGCAGCTCCATGTGCCCCAAATCAATTCGAGATGAGGCCTGATTCCCCTGCATTGACTCCAGAGCAAATCCCCATTCCCCATTAAACACGACGAGTGGCTCGACTTTCTTCAGGCAACTCCAGAGATGACCCAAGAACACTGTCCCAAATCTAGTGGAACACCAAATTCAGCAGAGCAAATTGAGGAATGCTCCGTGTACCCCAAATCGTCTCGAGTTGAGAGCTGATTCCCTGGCTTAGGCTCAAGACGTATGCCAAGTTTCCAGAAGCACCTCAAGAGGAGGCTTCTCTCAGCAATACGTATGAAGGAGGGACCCCGAGTGTGCTGCCTCAAGTGGAATACACAATGAGAAGCCCTAACTTGAAAGGAGGCCTGATTTCCTTGCAGTGACTTGAATACAGGCTCGTCTTTCATCTCACAACATGAAGGGATGTCCAAAACCCTGGGGAGAACTTAGAGGAAGCCATAGATCCCTACCTCATTTGACGGAATGCCTCACATCCCCTTGACACCTCGAGAGGCACACGGAGTTCATTGCTTCAAAAGGTGACGATGCCTGACAAATCTTGAATATTGATAGGAATCCCAAAATAACTCTGGCTACTGGAAAGGGTACTTGTGTGCCCTGCCTCACCTCGAGAAGCATCCCTTGGGCCCTGCCAAGCCTCGAAGAGATTCCTGAGGTGTCCCTCGTTACTAGACAGCAGTCCTGACGTCACTGAATAAACACGTGTTTTGAAGGGCCATCCCCGCCATAACTCGCGAACATACCCCAGTTCCCCGCCGCAACTCGAGAAAAATCATGAGACTTCCCCCTAGATGCGAGTCGTGGCCGGATTCCCCTGCAGTCCATGCAGAGCAATTCCGTGATGCCCATCAAACAAGTCAGGAGCTTCGACTTGCTTGATGGATGTCGAGACAGTCCCCAAGAACACTGTCTCATGTCTAGATGGACCCTGAAGTCAACGCACCAACGCACAGCAGATCCATGTGCCCCAAATCAACTCGAGATGAGGCCGATTCCCCTGCATTGACTCCAGAGCCATCCCCCGTTCCCCATTAAACACCACCAGTGGCTGGACTTTCTTCAGGCAACTCCAGAGATGCCCCGAGGACACCGTCCCAAGTCTAGAGGAACAGCAACATCAGCATAGCAACTCGAGGAATGCTCCGTGTACCCCAAATCGTCTGGAGATGAGAGCTGATTACCTGGCTTAGGCTCAAGACGTATGCCAAGTTTCCAGAAGCACCTCAAGAGGAGGCTTCTCTCAGCAATAGGTAGGTGGGAGGGATCCCGAGTTTGCTGCCTCATGTGGAATATACAGCGAGAAGCCCTAACTTGAAAGGAGGCCGGATTTCCTTGCAGTGGCTTGAATACAGGCTCGTCTTTCCTGTCACAACATGAAGGGATGTCCAAATCCCCTGTGGATACCTTAGAGAAACACATAGGGCCCTGCCTCATTTTGACGCAATGCCTCACATCCCCATGAGACTTCGAGAGGCACGCGGAGTTCACTGCTTCAAAAGGTGACGATGGCTGACTCCACTTGAACATTGATAGGAATCCCAAAAATCCCTGTGGCTACTGGACAGGCTACTTGGGTGGCCTGCCTCACCTCGAGAAGCGTCCCTTGTGCCCTGCCAAGCCTCGAAGAGATTCCTGAGGTGTCCCTCGTTACTAGACAGGAGTCCTGACGTCACTGAATAAACACGTGTTTTGAACGGCCATCCCAGCCGTAACTCGAGAACATACCCCAGTTCCCGCCACAACTCGAGAAAAACCATGAGACTTCCCCCTAGATGCGAGATGAGGCCTGATTCCCTGCAGTGCATGCAGCGCATTCCCGTGATCCCCATCAAGCAAGTCAGGAGCTTCGACTTGCTTAATGGATCTCGAGACAGTCCCCAAGAACACTGTCACAAGACTAAACAGACCCTGATGTCACCCCAGCAATGAAAAGCAGCTGCAAGTGCCCCACATCAACTCGAGATGAGGCCTGATTCCCCTGCATTGACACAAGAGCCATCCCCCGTTCCCCATTAAACACGACCAGTGGCTTGACTTCCTTCAGGCAACTCCAGAGATGCCACGAGAACACTGTCCCAAGACTAGAGGAACACCAACTTCAGCACAGCAACTTGAGGAATGCTCCGTGTACCCCAAATCGTCTGGAGATGACAGCTGATTCCCTGGCTTAGGCTCAAGACGTATGCCAAGTTTCCAGAAGCACCTCAAGAGGAGGCTTCTCTCAGCAGTAGGCATGTGGGAGGGACCACGAGTTTGCTGCCTCAAGTGGAATATACAGCGAGAAGCCCTAACTTGAAAGGAGGCCGGATTTCCTTGCAGTGGCTTGAATACAGGCTCGTCTTTCATCTCACAACATGAAGGGATGTCCAAATCCCTTGTGGACACCTTAGAGAAAGCCATAGATCCCTGCCTCATTTTGACGGAATGCCTCACATCCCGTTGACACCTCGAGAGACTCGCGCAGTTCACTGCTTCAAAAGGAGACGATGCCGGACTCCTCTTGAATCATCGATAGGAACACCAAAATCACTGTGGCTTCTGGAAAGGGTACCTGGGTGCCCTGCCTAAACTCGAGAAGCGTTTCCTGTGCCCTGCCAAGCGTCGAAGAGATTCCTGAGGTGTCCCTCGTTACTAGACAGGAGTCCTGACGTCACTGAATAAACACGTGTTTTGAAGGGCCATCCCTGCCGTAACTCGAGAACATAGCCCAGATCGCCGCCGCAACTCGAGAAAAACCATGAGACTTCCCCCTATATGCGAGACGAGGCCCGATTCCCCTTCAGTGCATGCAGAGAAATCTCGTGATCCCCTTCAAAGAAGTCAGGAGTTTCGACTTGCTTAATGGATCTCGAGAGAGTCCCCAAGAAGACTGTCACAAGTCTAGACGGACCCTGAGGTCACCTCAGCAACGCAAAGCAGCTCCATGTGCCCCAAATCAACTCGAGATGAGGCCTGATTCCCCTGCATTGACTCCAGAGCAAATCCACATTCCCCATTAAACACGACGAGTGGCTCGACTTTCTTCAGGCAACTCGAGAGATGCCCCGAGAACACTGTCCCAAATCTAGAGGAACACCAAATTCAGCAGAGCAAATTGAGGAATGCTCCGTGTACCCCAAATCGTTTCGAGGTGAGAGCTGATTCCCTAGCTTAGGCTCAAGACATATGCCAAGTTTCCAGAAGCACCTCAAGAGGAGGCTTCTCTCAGCAATAGGTATGATTGAGGGACCCCGAGTTTGCTGCCTCAAGTGGAATACACAATGAGAAGCCCTAACTTGAAAGGAGGCCTGATTTCCTTGCAGTGGCTTGAATACAGGCTCGTCTTTCATCTCACAACATGAAGGGATGTCCAAATCCCCTGGGGAGACCTTAGAGAAAGCCATAGATCCCTGCCTCATTTTGACCGAAAGCCTCACATCCCCTTGACACCTCGAAAGGCACGCGGAGTTCACTGCTTCAAAAGGTGACGATGCCTGACTCCACTTGAACATTGATAGGAATCCCAAAATCCCTGTGGCTACTGGAAAGGCTACTTGGGTGCCCTGCCTCACCTCGAGAAGCGTCCCTTGTGCCCTGCCAAGCCTCGACGAGATTCCTGAAGTGTCCCTCATTACTAGACAGGAGTCCTGACATCACTGAATAAACATGTGTTTTGAAGGGCCATCCCCGCCGTAACTCGAGAACATAACCCAGGTCCCCGCCACAACTCGAGAAAAACCATGAGACTTCCCCATAGATGCGAGATGAAGCCCGATTCCCCTGCACTGCATGCAGAGCTATTCCGTGATCCCCATCAAACAAGTCACGAGCTTCGACTTGCTTGATGGATCCCGGACAGTCCCCAAGAACACTGTCACATGACTAGACGGACCATGAAGTCAATGCACCAACGCACAGCAGATCCATGTGCCCCAAATCAACTCGAGATGAGGCCTGATACCTCTGCATTGACTCCAGAGCAATTCCCTATTCCCCATTAAACACGACAAATGGCTCGACTTCCTTCAGCCAACTCCAGAGATGCCCCGAGAACACTATCCCAAGTCTAGAGGAACACCAACTTCAGCACAGCAACTCGAGGAATGCTCTGTGTACCCCAAATCTTCTCGAGATGAGAGCTGATTCCCTGGCTTAGGCTCAAGACGTATGCCAACTTTCCAGAAGCACCTAAAAAGGAGGATTCTCTCAGCAATAGGTATGTGGGAGGGACCCCGAGTTTGCTGCCTTAAGTGGAATATACAGCGAGAAGTCCTAACTTGAAAGGAGGCCGGCTCTCCTTGCAGTTTCTTGAATACAGGCTCGTCTTTCTTCTCACAACATGAAGGGATGTCCGAATCCCCTGTGTAAACCTTAGAGAAAGCCATAGGTCCCTGACTCATTTTGACGGAATGCCTCACATCCAGTTGACACCTCGAGAGTCACGCGGAGTTCACTGCTTCAAAATGTGACGATGCCTGACTCCTCTTGAACATTGATAGGAATCAAAAAATCACTGTGGCTCCTGGAAACCGTCCTTGGTTGCCCTGCCTCACCTCGAGAAGCATCCCTTTTGCCCTGCCAAGCCTCAAAGAGATTCCTGAGGTGTCCCTCGTTACTGGACAGGAGTTCTAACGTCACTGAATAAAGACGTGTTTTGAAGGGCCATCCCCGCCGTAACTTGAGAACATACCCCAGGTCCCCAGCGCAACTCGAGAAAAATCATGAGACTTCCCCCTAGATGCGAGATGAGGCGCGATTCCCCTGCAGTGCATGAAGAGCAATCCCGTGATCCCCTTCAAACAAGTCAGGAGCTTCGACTTGCTTAATGGATCTCGAGAGAGTCCCCAAGAATACTGTCACAAGTCTAGACGGACCCTGAGGTAAGCATAGCACCGCAAGCAGCTCCATGTGCCCCAAATCAACTCGAGATGAGGCCCGATTCCCCTGCATTCACTCCAGAGCCATCTCCCGTTCCCCATTAAATACCACCAGTGGCTTGACTTCCTTCAGGCAACCCCAGAGATGCGCCGAGAACACTGGCCCAAGTCTAGAGGAACACCAAAATCAGCACAGCAACTCGAGGAATGCTCCGTGAACACCAAATCGTCTGGAGATGAGAGCTGATTCCCTGGCTTAGGATCAAGACGTATGCCAACTTTCCAGAAGCACCTCAAGGGGAGGCTTCTCTCAGCAATAGGTATGTGGGAGGGACCCCGAGGTTGCTGCCTCAAGTGGAATACACAATGAGAAGCCCTAACTTGAAAGGAGGCCTGATTTCCTTGCAGTGGCTCGAATACAGGCTCGTCTTTCATCTCACAACATGAACTGATGACCAAATCCCCTGGGGAGACCTTAGAGAAAGCCATAGATCCCTGCCTCATTTTGACGGAATGCCTCACATCCCCTTGACACCTCGAGAGGCACGCGGAGTTCACTGCTTCAAAAGGTGACGATGCCTGACACCTCTTGAATATTGATAGGAATCCCAAAATACCTGTGGCTACTGAAAAGGGTACTTGTGTGCCCTGCCTCACATCGAGAAGCATCCCTTGTGCCCTGCCAAGCCTCGAAGAGATTCCTGAGGTGTCCCTCGTTACTAGACAGGAGTCCTGACGTCACTGAATAAACATGTGTTTTGAAGGGCTATCCCCGCCGTAACTCGTTAACATACCCCAGCTCCCCGCTGCAACTCGAGAAAAACCATGAGACTTCCCCCTAGATGCGAGTCGTGGCCCGATTCCCCTGCGGTCCATGCAGAGCAATTCCGTGATCCCCATCAAACAAGTCAGGAGCTTCAACTTGCTTGATGGATCTCGAGACAGTCCCCAAGAACACTGTCACATGTCTAGACGGACACTGAATTCAACACACCAACGCACAGCAGATCCATGTGCCACATATCAACTCGAGATGAGGCCCGATTCCCCTGCATTGACTCCAGAGCCATCCCCCGTTCCCCATTAAACACCACCAGTGGCTTGACTTCCTTCAGGCAACTCCATAGATGCCCTCAGAACACTGGCCCAAGTCTAGAGGAACACCAACTTCAGCACAGCAACTCGAGGAATACTCCGTGTACCCCAAATCGTCTCGAGATGAGAGCTGATTTTCTGGCTTAGGCTCAAGATGTATGCCAACTTTCCAGAAGCACCTCAAGAGGAGGATTCTCTCAGCAATAGGTATGTTCGTGGGATTCCGAGTTTGCTGCCTAAAGTGGAGTATACAGTGAGAAGCCCTAACTTCTGAGAAGGCCGGATTTCCTTGCAGTGTCTTGAATACAGGCTCGTCTTTCATCTCACAACAGGAAGGGATGTCTCTAACCCCTGTGAAAACCTTACAGAAAGCCCTAGTTCCCTGCCTCATTTTGACGGAATGCCTCACATCCCGTTGACACCTCAAGAGGCACACGGAGTTCACTGCTTCAAAAGGTGACGATGCCTAACACCTCCTGAACATTGATAGGAATCCCAAAATCTCTGTGGCTATTGAAAAGGGTCCTTGGGTGCCCTGCCTCACCTCGAGAAGCATCCCTTGTGCCCTGCCAAGCCTCGAAGAGATTCCTGAGATGTCCCTCGTTACTAGACCAGAGTCCTTACGTCACTGAATAAACACGTGTTTTGAAGGGCCATCCCCGCTGTAATTCGAGAAGATACCCCAGGTTCCAGCCACAACTCGAGAAAAACCATGAGACTTCCCCCTATATGCGAGATGAAGTCCGATTCCCCTTCAGTGCATGCAGAGCAATTCCATGATCCCCATCAAACAAGTCAGGAGCTTCGACTTGCTTGATGGATCTCGAGACAGTCCCCAAGAACACTGTCACATGTCTAGACGGACCCTGAGTTCACCCCAGGAATGCAAAGCAGCTCCATGTGCCCCAAATCAACTCGAGATGAGGCCCGAATAACCTGCATTGACTCCAGAGCCATCCCCCGTTCCCCATTAATCACGACCAGTGGCTTGACTTTCTTCAGGCAACTCCAGAGATGCCCCGAGAACACTGTCCCAAGCCTAGAGGAACAGCAACATCAGCATAGCAACTCGAGGAATGATACATGTACCCAAAACTCTCTGGAGATGAGAGCTGATTACCTGGCTTAGGCTCAAGACGTATGCCAACTTTCCAGAAGCACCTCAAGAGGAGGCTTCTCTCAGCAATAGGAGTTGGGAGGGATCCCGAGTTTGCTGCCTCAAGTGGAATATACAGCGAGAAGCCCTAACTTGAAAGAGGCCGGATTTCCTTTCAGTGGCTTCAATACAGGTTCGTCGCTCATGTCAAACATGAAGGGATGTCCAAATTCCCTGTGGATACCTTTGAGAAACACATAGGTCCCCGCCTCATTTTGAGGGAATGCCTCACCTCCCCTTGACACCTCGAGAGGCACGCGGAATTCACTGCTTCAAAAGGTGACGATGCCTGACTCCATTTGAACATTGATAGGAAATCCAAAAATCCCTGTGGCTACTGGAAAGGCTACTTGGGTGCCCTGCCTCACCTTGAGAAGCGTCCCTTGTGCACTGCCAAGCCTCGAAGAGATTCCTGAAGTGTCCCTCGTTACTAGACAGGAGTCCTGACGTCACTGAATAAACACGAGTTTTGAAGGGCCATCCCCGCCGTAACTCAAGAACCTACCCCAGGTCCCCGACACAACTCGAGAAAAACCATGAGACTTCCCCCTAGAGGCGAGATGAGGCCACATTCCCCTACAGTGCAAGCAGAGCTATTCCGTGATCCCATTCAAAAAAGTCAGGAGCTTCGACTTGCTAAATGGATTTCGAGACAGCCCCAAGAACACTGTCACCAGTCTAGACGGACCCTGAGGTCACCCCAGCAACGCAAAGCAGCTCCATGTGCCCCAAATCAACTCGAGATGAGGCCCGATTCCCCTGCATTGATTCCAGAGCCATTCCCCGTTCCCCATTCAACACGACCGGTGGCTCGACTTCCTTCAGGCCACTCCAGAGATGCCCCGAGAACACTGTCCCAAGTCTAGAGCAACACCAACTTCAGCACAGCAACTCGAAGAACGCTCCGTGTACGCCAAATCGTCTCGAGATGAGAGCTGATTCCCTGGCTTAGGCTCAAGACGTATGCCAACTTTCCAGAAGCACCTAAAGAGGAGGATTCTCTCAGCAATATGTATGTGGGAGGGACCCCGAGTTTGCTGCCTCAAGTGGAATATACAGCGAGAAGCCCTAACTTGAAAGGAGGCCGGATTTCCTTGCAGTGGCTTGAATACAGGCTCGTCTTTCATCTCACAACATGAAGGGATGTCTGAATCCCCTGTGCAGACCTTAGAGAAAGCCCTAGGTCCCTGCCTCATTTTGACGGAATGCCTCACATCATGTTGACACCTCGAGAGGCACGCGGAGTTCACTGCTTCAAAAGGTGACGATGCCTGACACCTCTTGAATATTGATAGGAATCCCAAAATACCTGTGGCTACTGGAAAGTGTTCTTGGGTGCCCTGCCTCACCTCGAGAAGCGTCCCTTGTGCCCTGCCAAGTCTTGAAGAGATTCCTGAGGTGGCCCTCGTTACTAGACAGGAGTCCTGACGTCACTGAATAAACACGTGTTTTGAAGGGCCATCCCCGCCTTAACTCGCGAACATACCCCAGGTCCCCGCCGCAACTCGAGAAAAACCATGAGACTTCCCCCTTGATGCGAGACGTGGCCCGATTCCCCTGCAGTCCATGCAGAGCAATTCCGTGATCCCCATCAAATAAGTCAGCAGCTTCGACTTGCTTGATGGATCTCGAGACAGTCCCCAAGAACACTGTCACATGTCTAGACGTACCCTGAGGTCAACGCAGCAATGCACAGCAGCTCCATGTACCACAAATCAACTCGAGATGAGGCCCGATTCCCCTGCATTGACTCAAGAGCCATCCCCCGTTCCCCATTAAACACCACGAGTGGCTTGACTTTCTTCAGGCAACTCCACAGATGCCCCGTGAACACTGTCCCAAGTCTAGAGGAACACCAACTTCAGCACAGCAACTCAAAGAACGCTCCGTGTACGCCAAATCGTCTCGAGATGAGAGCTGATTCCCTGGCTTAGGTTCAAGACGTATGCCAACTTTCCAAAAGCACCTCAAGAGGGGGCTTCTCTCAGCAATAGGTATGTGGGAGGGACCCCGAGTTTACTGCCTCAAGTGGAATATACAGCGAGAAGCCCTAACTTGAAAGGAGGCCGGCTTTCCTTGCAGTGGCTTGAATACAGGCTCGTCTTTCTTCTCACAACATGAAGGGATGTACGAATCCCCTGTGGAAACCTTAGAGAAAGCCATAGGTCCCTGACTCATTTTGACGGAATGCCTCACATCCAGTTGACACCTCGAGAGGCACGCGGAGTTCCCTCCTTGAAAAGGTGACGATGCCTGACTCCACTTGAACATTGATAGGAATCCCAAAATCCCTGTGGCTATTGGAAAGGGTCCTTGGGTGCCCTGCCTCACCACGAGAAGCGTCCCTTGTGCCCTGCCATGCCTCGAAGAGTTTCCTGAGGTGTCCCTCGTTACTAGACAGGAGTCCTGACGTCACTGAATAAACACGTGTTTTGAAGGGCCATCCCCGCCTTAACTCGAGAACATACCCCAGGTCCCCGCCGCAACCCGAGAAAAACCATGAGACTTCCCCTAGAGGCGAGATGAGGCCCCATTCCCCTGCAGTGCATGCAGAGCAATCCTGTGATCCCCTTCAAACAAGTCAGGAGTTTCGACTTGCTTAATGGATCTCCAGAGAGTCCCCAAAAAGACTGTCACAAGTCTAGACGGACCCTGAGGTCACCCCAGCAACGCAAAGCAGCTCCATGTGCCCCAAATCAATTCGAGATGAGGCCTGATTCCCCTGCATTGACTCCAGAGCAAATCCCCATTCCCCATTAAACACGACGAGTGGCTTGACTTTCTTCAGGCAACTCCAGAGATGCCCCAAGAACACTGTCCCAAATCTAGTGGAACACCAAATTCAGCAGAGCAAATTGAGGAATGCTCCGTGTACCCCAAATCGTCTCGAGTTGAGAGCTGATTCCCTGGTTTAGGCTCAAGACGTATGCCAAGTTTCCAGAAGCACCTCAAGAGGAGGCTTCTCTCAGCAATACGTATGAAGGAGGGACCCCGAGTGTGCTGCCTCAAGTGGAATACACAATGAGAAGCCCTAACTTGAAAGGAGGCCTGATTTCCTTGCAGTGACTTGAATACAGGCTCGTCTTTCATCTCACAACATGAAGGGATGTCCAAATCCCCTGGGGAGAACTTAGAGGAAGCCATAGATCCCTACCTCATTTGACGGAATGCCTCACATCCCCTTGACACCTCGAGAGGCACACGGAGTTCATTGCTTCAAAAGGTGACGATGCCTGACAAATCTTGAATATTGATAGGAATCCCAAAATAACTCTGGCTACTGGAAAGGGTACTTGTGTGCCCTGCCTCACCTCGAGAAGCATCCCTTGGGCCCTGCCAAGCCTCGAAGAGATTCCTGAGGTGTCCCTCGTTACGAGACAGGAGTCCTGACGTCACTGAATAAACACGGGTTTTGAAGGGCCATCCCCGCCATAACTCGCGAACATACCCCAGTTCCCCGCCGCAACTCGAGAAAAATCATGAGACTTCCCCCTAGATGCGAGTCGTGGCCCGATTCCCCTGCAGTCCATGCAGAGCAATTCCGTGATGCCCATCAAACAAGTCAGGAGCTTCGACTTGCTTGATGGATGTCGAGACAGTCCCCAAGAACACTGTCTCATGTCTAGACGGACCCTGAAGTCAACGCACCAACGCACAGCAGATCCATGTGCCCCAAATCAACTCGAGATGAGGCCCGATTCCCCTGCATTGACTCCAGAGCCATCCCCCGTTCCCCATTAAACACCACCAGTGGCTGGACTTTCTTCAGGCAACTCCAGAGATGCCCCGAGAACACCGTCCCAAGTCTAGAGGAACAGCAACATCAGCATAGCAACTCGAGGAATGCTCCGTGTACCCCAAATCGTCCGGAGATGAGAGCTGATTACCTGGCTTAGGCTCAAGACGTATGCCAAGTTTCCAGAAGCACCTCAAGAGGAGGCTTCTCTCAGCAATAGGTAGGTGGGAGGGATCCCGAGTTTGCTGCCTCATGTGGAATATACAGCGAGAAGCCCTAACTTGAAAGGAGGCCGGATTTCCTTGCAGTGGCTTGAATACAGGCTCGTCTTTCCTGTCACAACATGAAGGGATGTCCAAATCCCCTGTGGATACCTTAGAGAAACACATAGGGCCCTGCCTCATTTTGATGGAATGCCTCACATCCCCTTGAGACTTCGAGAGGCACGCGGAGTTCACTGCTTCAAAAGGTGACGATGGCTGACTCCACTTGAACATTGATAGGAATCCCAAAAATCCCAGTGGCTACTGGAAAGGCTACTTGGGTGGCCTGCCTCACCTCGAGAAGCGTCCCTTGTGCCCTGCCAAGCCTCGAAGAGATTCCTGAGGAGTCCCTCGTTACTAGACAGGAGTCCTGACGTCACTGAATAAACACGTGTTTTGAACGGCCATCCCAGCCGTAAATCGAGAACATACACCAGTTCCCGCCACAACTCGAGAAAAACCATGAGACTTCCCCCTAGATGCGAGATGAGGCCTGATTCCCTGCAGTGCATGCAGCGCATTCCCGTGATCCCCATCAAGCAAGTCAGGAGCTTCGACTTGCTTAATGGATCTCGAGACAGTCCCCAAGAACACTGTCACAAGACTAAACAGACCCTGATGTCACCCCAGCAATGAAAAGCAGCTGCAAGTGCCCCACATCAACTCGAGATGAGGCCTGATTCCCCTGCATTGACACAAGAGCCATCCCCCGTTCCCCATTAAACACGACCAGTGGCTTGACTTCCTTCAGGCAACTCCAGAGATGCCACGAGAACACTGTCCCAAGACTAGAGGAACACCAACTTCAGCACAGCAACTTGAGGAATGCTCCGTGTACCCCAAATCGTCTGGAGATGACAGCTGATTCCCTGGCTTAGGCTCAAGACGTATGCCAAGTTTCCAGAAGCACCTCAAGAGGAGGCTTCTCTCAGCAGTAGGCATGTGGGAGGGACCACGAGTTTGCTGCCTCAAGTGGAATATACAGCGAGAAGCCCTACCTTGAAAGGAGGCCGGATTTCCTTGCAGTGGCTTGAATACAGGCTCGTCTTTCATCTCACAACATGAAGGGATGTCCAAATCCCTTGTGGACACCTTAGAGAAAGCCATAGATCCCTGCCTCATTTTGACGGAATGCCTCACATCCCGTTGACACCTCGAGAGACACGCGCAGTTCACTGCTTCAAAAGGTGACGATGCCGGACTCCTCTTGAATCATCGATAGGAACACCAAAATCACTGTGGCTTCTGGAAAGGGTACCTGGGTGCCCTGCCTAAACTCGAGAAGCGTTTCTTGTGCCCTGCCAAGCGTCGAAGAGATTCCTGAGGTGTCCCTCGTTACTAGACAGGAGTCCTGACGTCACTGAATAAACACGTGTTTTGAAGGGCCATCCCTGCCGTAACTCGAGAACATAGCCCAGATCGCCGCCGCAACTCGAGAAAAACCATGAGACTTCCCCCTAGATGCGAGACGAGGCCCGATTCCCCTTCAGTGCATGCAGAGCATTCTCGTGATCCCCTTCAAAGAAGTCAGGAGTTTCGACTTGCTTAATGGATCTCGAGAGAGTCCCCAAGAAGACTGTCACAAGTCTAGACGGACCCTGAGGACACCTCAGCAACGCAAAGCAGCTCCATGTGCCCCAAATCAACTCGAGATGAGGCCTGATTCCCCTGCATTGACTCCAGAGCAAATCCCCATTCCCCATTAAACACGACGAGTGGCTCGACTTTCTTCAGGCAACTCGAGAGATGCCCCGAGAACACTGTCCCAAATCTAGAGGAACACCAAATTCAGCAGAGCAAATTGAGGAATGCTCCGTGTACCCCAAATCGTTTCGAGGTGAGAGCTGATTCCCTAGCTTAGGCTCAAGACATATGCCAAGTTTCCAGAAGCACCTCAAGAGGAGGCTTCTCTCAGCAATAGGTATGATTGAGGGACCCCGAGTTTGCTGCCTCAAGTGGAATACACAATGAGAAGCCCTAACTTGAAAGGAGGCCTGATTTCCTTGCAGTGGCTTGAATACAGGCTCGTCTTTCATCTCACAACATGAAGGGATGTCCAAATCCCCTGGGGAGACCTTAGAGAAAGCCATAGATCCCTGCCTCATTTTGACTGAAAGCCTCACATCCCCTTGACACTTCGAAAGGCACGCGGAGTTCACTGCTTCAAAAGGTGACGATGCCTGACTCCACTTGAACATTGATAGGAATCCCAAAATCCCTGTGGCTACTGGAAAGGCTACTTGGGTGCCCTGCCTCACCTCGAGAAGCGTCCCTTGTGCCCTGCCAAGCCTCGACGAGATTCCTGAAGTGTCCCTCATTACTAGACAGGAGTCCTGACGTCACTGAATAAACATGTGTTTTGAAGGGCCATCCCCGCCGTAACTCGAGAACATAACCCAGGTCCCCGCCACAACTCGAGGAAAACCATGAGACTTCCCCATAGATGCGAGATGAAGCCCGATTCCCATGCAGTGCATGCACAGCTATTCCGTGATCCCCATCAAACAAGTCACGAGCTTCGATTTGCTTGATGGATCCCGGACAGTCCCCAAGAACACTGTCACATGACTAGACGGACCATGAAGTCAATGCACCAACGCACAGCAGATCCATGTGCCCCAAATCAACTCGAGATGAGGCCTGATACCTCTGCATTGACTCCAGAGCAATTCCTATTCCCCATTAAACACGAGAAATGGCTCGACTTCCTTCAGCCAACTCCAGAGATGCCCCGAGAACACTATCGCAAGTCTAGAGGAACACCAACTTCAGCACAGCAACTCGAGGAATGCTCTGTGTACCCCAAAACTTCTCGAGATGAGAGCTGATTCCCTGGCTTAGGCTCAAGACGTATGCCAACTTTCCAGAAGCACCTAAAAAGGAGGATTCTCTCAGCAATAGGTATGTGGGAGGGACCCCGAGTTTGCTGCCTTAAGTGGAATATACAGCGAGAAGTCCTAACTTGAAAGGAGGCCGGCTCTCCTTGCAGTGGCTTGAATACAGGCTCGTCTTTCTTCTCACAACATGAAGGGATGTCCGAATCCCCTGTGGAAACCTTAGAGAAAGCCATAGGTCCCTGCCTCATTTTGACGGAATGCCTCACATCCCGTTGACACCTCGAGAGGCACGGGGAGTTCACTGCTTCAAAAGGTTACGATGCCTGACTCCTCTTGAAAATTGATAGGAATCAAAAAATCACTGTGGCTCCTGGAAAGCGTCCTTGGTTGCCCTGCCTCACCTCGAGAAGCATCCCTTTTGCCCTGCCAAGCCTCAAAGAGATTCCTGAGGTGTCCCTCGTTACTAGACAGGAGTTCTGACTTCACTGAATAAAGACGTGTTTTGAAGGGCCATCCCCGCCGTAACTCGAGAACATACCCCAGGTCCCCGCTACAACTCCAGAAAAACCATGAGACTTCCCCCTATATGCGAGATGAAGTCCGATTCCCCTGCAGTGCATGCAGAGCAATTCCATGATCCCCATCAAACAAGTCAGGAGCTTCGACTTGCTTGATGGATCTCGAGACAGTCCCCAAGAACACTGTTACATGGCTAGACGGACCCTGAGGTCACCCCAGCAACGCAAAGCAGCTCCATGTGCGCCAAGTAAACTCGAGATGAGGCCCGATTAACCTGCATTGACACCAGAGCCATCCCCCGTTCCCCATTAATCACGACCAGTGGCTTGACTTCCTTCAGGCAACTCCAGAGATGCGCCGAGAACACTATCCAAAGTCTAGAGGAACACCAACTTCATCACAGCAACTCGAGGAATGCTCCGTGTACCCCAAATCGTCTGGAGATGACAGCTGATTCCCTGTCTTAGTCAAGACGAATGCCAACTTTCCAGAAGCACCTCAAGAGGATGCTTCTCTGAGCAGTAGGCATGTGGGAGGGACCCCGATTTTGCTGCCTCAAGTGGAATATACAGTGAAAAGCCCTAACTTGAAAGGAGGCCTGATTTCCTTTCATTGACTTGAATACAGGCTCGTCTTTCATCTCACAACATGAAAGGATGTCCAAATCCCCTGGGGAGAACTTAGAGGAAGCCCTAGATCCCTACCTCATTTGACGGAATGCCTCACATCCCCTTGACACCTCGAGAGGCACACGGAGTTCATTGCTTCAAAAGGTGACGATGCCTGACACCTCTTGAATATTGATAGGAATCCCAAAATTACTCTATCTACTGGAAAGGGTACTCGTGTGCCCTGCCTCACCTCGAGAAGCATCCCTTGTGCCCTGCCAAGCCTCGAAGAGATTCCTGAGGTGTCCCTCGTTACTAGACAGGAGTCCTGACGTCACTGAATAAACACGTGTTTTGAAGGGCCATCCCCGCCATAACTCGCGAACATACCCCAGGTCCCTGCCACAACTCGAGAAAAATCATGAGACTTCCCCCTAGATGCGAGTCATGGCCCGATTCCCCTGCAGTCCATGCAGAGCAATTCCGTGATGCCCATCAAACAAGTCAGGAGCTTCGACTTGCTTGATGGATGTCGAGACAGTCCCCAAGAACACTGTCTCATGTCTAGACGGACCCTGAAGTCAACGCACCAAAGCACAGCAGATCCATGTGCCACAAATCAACTCGAGATGAGGCCCAATTCCCCTGCATTGACTCCAGAGTCATCCCCCGTTCTCCATTAAACACCAACAGTGGCTGGACTTTCTTCAGGCAACTCCCTAGATACCCCGAGAACACCGTCCCAAGTCTAGAGGAACAGCAACATCAGCATAGCAACTCGAGGAATGCTCCGTGTACCCCAAATCATCTCGAGATGAGAGTTGATTCCCTGGCTTAGGCTCAAGACGTATGCCAACTTTCCAGAAGTACCTCAGGAGGAGGCTTCTCTCAGCAATAAGTATGTGGGAGGGACCCCGAGTATGCTGCCTCAAGGGGAATATACAGCGAGAAGCCCTAACTTGAAAGGAGGCCGGATTTCCTTGCAGTGGCTTGAATACAGGCTCGTCTTTCATCTCACAACATGAAGGGATGTCTGAATCCCCTGTGGAGACCTTAGAGAAAGCGCTAGGTCCCTGCCTCATTTTGACGGAATGCCTCTCATTCCGCTAACACGTCGAAAGGCACGCGGAGTTCATTGCTTTAAAAGGTGAGGATGCCTGACTTCTCTTGAATACTGATAGGAATCGCAGAATCCCTGTGGCTACTGGAAAGGGTCCTTGGGTGCCCTGCCTCACCTCGAGAAGCGTCCCTTTTGCCCTGCTAAGCCTCGAAGAGATTCCTGAGATGTCCCTCGTTACTAGACAGGAGTCCTGACGTCACTGAAGAAACTCGTGTTTTGAATGGCCATCCCCGCCTTAAGTCGAGAACATACCCCAGGTCCCCGTCGCAACTCGAGAAAAACCATGAGACTTCCCCCTAGAGGCGAGATGAGGCCCCATTCCCCGGCAGTGCATGCAGAGCTATTCCGTGATCTCATTCAAACAAGTCAGGAGATTCGACTTGCTTAATGGATCTCGAGACAGTCCCCAAGAACACTGTCACCAGTCTAGACGGACCCTGAGGTCACCCCAGCAATGCAAAGCAGCTCCATGTGCCCCTAATCAACTCGAGATGAGGCCCGATTCCCCTGCATTGACTCCAGAGCCATTCCCCGTTCCCCATTCAACACGACCGGTGGCTCGACTTCCTTCAGGCAACTCCAGAGATTTCCCGAGAACACTGTCCCAAGTCTAGAGGAATACCAACTTCAGGACAGCAACTCGAGGAATGCTCCGTGTACCCCAAATCGTCTCGAGATGAGAGCTTATTCCCTGGCTTAGTCTCTAGACGTATGCCAGCTTTCCAGAAGCACCTCAGGATGAGGCTTCTCTCAGCAATAGGTATGTGGTAGGGACCCCGAGTTTGCTGCCTCAAGGGGAATATACAGCGAGAAGCCCTAACTTGAAAGGAGGCCGGATATCCTGGCAGTGGCTTGAATACAGGCTCGTCTTTCATCTTACAACATGAAGGGATGTCTGAATCCCCTGTGGAGACCTTAGAGAAAGCCCTAGGTCCCTGCCTCATTTTGACGGAATGCCTCACATCCCGCTGACACCTCGAGAGGCACGCGGAGTTCATTGCTTCAAATGGGGACGATGCCTGACTCCTCTTGAATACTGATAGGAATCCCAAAATCCCTGTGGCTACTGTAAAGGGTCCTTGGGTGCCCTGCCTCACCTCGAGAAGCGTCCCTTTTACCCTGCCAAGCCTCAAAGAGATTCCTGAGGTGTCCCTCGTTACTAGACAGGAATCCTGACGTCACTGAAGAAACTCGTGTTTTGAAGGGCCATCCCCGCCGTAAGTCAAGAAATACCCCAGGTCCCCGCCGCAACTCGAGAAAAACCATGAGACTTCCCCCTAGAGGCGAGATGAGGCCCCATTCCCCTGCAGTGCATGCCGACCTCTTCCGTGATCCCATTCAAACAAGTCAGGAGATTCGACTTGCTTAATGGATCTCGTGACAGTCCCCAAGAACACTGTCACCAGTCTAGACGGACCCTGAGGTCACCCCAGCAACGCAAAGCAGCTCCATGTGCCCCAAATCAACTCGAGATGAGGCCCAATTGCCCTGCATTGACTCCAGAGCCATTCCCCGTTCCCCATTCAACACGACCGGCGGCTCGACTTCCTTCAGGCAACTCCAGAGATGCCCCGAGAACACTGTCCCAAGTCTAGAGGAACACCAACTTCAGCACAGCAACTCGAGGAATGTTCCGTGTACCCCAAATCGTCTCGAGATGAGAGCTGATTCCCTGGCTTAGGCTCAAGACGTATGCCAACTTTCCAGAAGCACCTCAGGAGGAGGCTTCTCTCAGCAATAGGTATGTGGGAGAGACCCCGAGTTTGCTGCCTCAAAGGGAATATACAGCGAGAAGCCCTAACTTGAAAGGAGGCCGGATTTTCTTCCAGTGGCTTGAATACAGGCACGTCTTTCATCGCACAACATGAAGGGATGTCTGAATCCCCTGTGGAGACTTAGAGAAAGCCCTAGGTCCCTGCCTCATTTTGACGGAATGCCTCACATCATGCTGACATCTCGAGAGGCACGCGGAGTTCATTGCTTCAAAAGGTGACGATGCCTGACTCCTCTTGAATACTGATAGGAATCCCAAAATCCCTGTGGCTACGGGAAAGGGTCCTTGGGTGCCCTGCCTCACCTCGAGAAGCGTCCCTTTTGCCCTGCCAAGCCTCGAAGAGATTCCTGAGGTGTCCCTCGTTACTAGACAGGAGTCCTGAGGTCACTGAAGAAACTCGTGTTTTGAAGGGCCATCCCCGCCTTAAGTCGAGAACATACCCCAGGTCCCCGCCGCAACTCGAGAAAAACCATGAGACTTCCCCCTAGAGGCGAGATGAGGCCCCATTCCCCTGCAGTGCATGCAGAGCTATTCCGTGATCCCATTCAAACAAGTCAGGAGCTTCGACTTGATTAATGGATCTCGAGACAGTCCCCAAGAACACTGTCACCAGTCTAGACGGACCCTGAGGTCACCCCAGCAACGCAAAGCAGCTCCATGTGCCCCAAATCAACTCGAGATGAGGCCCGATTCCCCTGCATTGACTCCAGAGCCATTCCCCGTTCCCGATTCAACACGACCGGTGGCTCGACTTCCTTCAGGCAACACCAGAGATGCACCGAGAACACTGTCCCAAGTCTAGAGGAACACCAACTTCAACACAGCAACTCGAGGAAAGCTCCGTGTACCCCAAATCATCTCGAGATGAGAGCTGATTCCCTGGCTTAGGCTCAAGACGTATGCCAACTTTCCAGAAGCACCTCAGGAGGAGGCTTCTCTCAGCAATAGTTATGTGGGAGGGACCCCGAGTTTGCTGCCTCAAGGGGAATATACAGCGAGAAGCCCTAACTTGAAAGGAGGCCGGATTTCCTTGCAGTGGCTTAAATACAGGCTCGTCTTTCATCTCACAACATGAAGGGATGTCTGAATCCCCTGTGGAGATTTTAGAGAAAGCCGTAGGTCCCTGCCTCATTTTGACGGAATGCCTCACATCCTGCTAACAACTCGAGAGGCACGCAAAGTTCATTGCTTCAAAAGGTGACGATGCCTGACTCCTCTTGAATACTGATAGGAATCCCAGAGTCCCTGTGGCTACTGGAAAGGGTCCTTGGGTGCCCTGCCTCACCTCGAGAAGCGTCCCTTTTGCCCAGCCAAGCCTCGAAGAGATTCCTGAGGTGTCCCTCGTTACTAGACAGGAGTCCTGAGGTCACTGAAGAAACTCGTGTTTTGAAGGGCCATCCCCGCCGTAAGTCGAGAACATACCCCAGGTCTCCGCCCCAACTCGAGAAAAATCATGAGACTTCCCCCTAGAGGCGAGATGAGGCCCCATTCCCCTGCAGTGCATGCAGAGCTATTCCGTGATCCCATTCAAACAACTCATTAGCTTCGACTTGATTAATGGATCTCGAGACAGTCCCCAAGAACACTGTCACCAGTCCAGACGGACCCTGAGGTCACCCCAGCAAAGCAAAGCAGCTCCATGTGCCCCAAATCAACTCGAGATGAGGCCCGATTCCCGTGCATTGACTCGAGAGACATTCCCCGTTCCCCATTCAACACGACCTGTGGCTCGACTTCCTTCAGGCAACTCCAGAGATGCACCGAGAACCCTGTCCCAAGTCTAGAGGAAAACCAACTTCAGCAGAGCAACTCGAGGAATGCTCCGTGTACCCCAAATCGTTTCCAGATGAGAGCTGATTCCCTGGCTTAGGCTCAAAACGTATGCCAACTTTCCAGAAGCACCTCAGGAGGAGGCTTCTCAGCAATAGGTATGTGGGAGGGACCCCGAGTTTGCTGCCTCAAGGGGAATATACAGCGAGAAGCCCTAACTTGAAAGGAGGCCGGATTTCCTTGCAGTGGCTTGAATACGGGCTCGTCTTTCATCTCACAACATGAAGGGATGCCTGAATCCCCTGTGAAGACCTTAGAGAAAGCCCTAGGTCCCTGCCTCATTTTGACGGAATGCCTCACATCCCGCTGACACCTCGAGAGGCACGCGGAGTTCATTGCCTCAAAAGGTGACGATGCCTGACTCCTCTTGAATACTGATAGGATTCCCAGAATCACTGTGGCTACTGGAAAGGGTCCTTGGGTGCCCTGCCTCACCTCGAGAAGTGTCCCTTTTGCCTTGCCAAACTCGAAGAGATTCCTGAGGTGTCCCTCGTTACTAGACAGGAGTCCTGAGGTCACTGAAGAAACTCGTGTTTTGAAGGGCCATCCCCGCCGTAAGTCGAGAACATACCCCAGGTCTCCGCCCCAACTCGAGAAAAATCATGACACTTCCCCCTAGAGGCGAGATGAGGCCCCATTCCCCTGCAGTGCATGCAGAGCTATTCCGTGATCCCATTCAAAGAACTCATTAGCTTCGACTTGATTAATGGATCTCAAGACAGTCCCCAAGAACACTGTCACCAGTCTAGACGGACCCTGAGGTCACCCCAGCAAAGCAAAGCAGCTCCATGTGCCCCAAATCAACTCGAGATGAGGCCCGATTCCCGTGCATTGACTCGAGAGACATTCCCCGTTCCCCATTCAACACGACCTGTGGCTCGACTTCCTTCAGGCAACTCCAGAGATGCCCCGAGAACCCTGTCCCAAGTCTAGAGGAAAACCAACTTCAGCACAGCAACTCGCGGAATGCTCCGTGTACCCCAAATCGTCTCGAGATGAGAGCTGATTCCCTGGCTTAGGCTCAAGACGTATGCCAACTTTCCAGAAGCACCTCAGGAGGAGGTTTCTCTCAGCAATAGTTATGTGGGAGGTACCCCGAGTTTGCTGCCTAAAGGGGAATATACAGCGAGAAGCCCTGACTTGAAAGCACGCCGGATTTCCTTGCAGTGGCTTGAATACAGGCTCGTCTTTCATCTCACAACATGAAGGGGTGTCTGAATCCCCTGTGGAGACCTTAGAGAAAGCCCTAGGTCACTGCCTCATTTTGACGGAATGCCTCACATCCCGCTGACACCTCGAGAGGCACGCGGAGTTCTTTGCCTCAAAAGGTGACGATGCCTGACTCCTCTTGAATACTGATAGGATTCCCAGAATCACTGTGGCTACTGGAAAGGGTCCTTGGGTGCCCTGCCTCACCTCGAGAAGCGTCCCTTTTGCCCTGCCAAACTCGAAGAGATTCCTGAGGTGTCCCTCGTTACTAGACAGGAGTCCTGATGTCACTGTAGAAACTCGTGTTTTGAAGGGCCATCCCCGCCGTAAGTCGAGAACATACCCCAGGTCCCCGCCGCAACTCGAGAAAAACAATGAGACTTCCCCCTAGAGGCGAGATGAGGCCCCATTCCCCTGCAGTGCATGCAGAGCTATTCCGTGATCCCATTCAAACAAGTCAGGAGCTTCGACTTGCTTAATGGATCTCGAAAGAGTCCCCAAGAACACTGTCACAAGTCTAGACGGACCCTGAGGTCACCCCAGCAAAGCAAGGCAGCAGCATGTGCCCCAAATCAACTCGAGATGAGGCCCGATTTCCCTGCGTTGACTCCAGAGCCATTCCCGGTTCCCCATTCAACACGACCAGTGGCTCGACTTCTTTCAGGCAACTCCAGAGATGCCCCGAGAACACTGTCCCAAGTCTAGAGGAACACCAACTTCAGCACAGCAACTCGAGGAATGCTCCGTGTACCCCAAAACGTCTCGATTTGAGAGCTGATTCCCTGGCTTAGGCTCAAGACGTATGCCAACTTTCCAGAAGCACCTCAGGAGGAGGTTTCTCTCAGCAATAGTTATGTGGGAGGTACCCCGAGTTTGCTGCCTAAAGGGGAATATACAGCGAGAAGCCCTGACTTGAAAGCAGGCCGGATTTCCTTGCAGTGGCTTGAATACAGGCTCGTCGTTCATCTCACAACATGAAGGGGTGTCTGAATCCCCTGTGGAGACCTTAGAGAAAGCCCTAGGTCCCTGCCTCATTTTTACGGAATGCCTCACATCCCGCTGACACCTCGAGAGGCACGCGGAGTTCATTGCTTCAAAAGGTGACGATGCCTGACTCCTCTTGAATACTGATAGGAATCCCAGAATCACTGTTGCTACTGGAAAGGGTCCTTGGGTGCCCTGCCTCCCATCGAGAAGCGTCCCTTTTGCCCTGCCAAGCCTCGAAGAGATTCCTAAGGTGTTCCTCGTTACTAGACAAGAGTCCTGAGGTCACTGAAGAAACTCGTGTTTTGAAGGGCCATCCCCGCCGTAAGTCGAGAACATACCCCAGGTCCCCGCCGCAACTCGAGAAAAACCATGAGACTTCCCATTAGAGGAGAGATGAGGCCCCATTCCCCTGCAGTGCATGCAGAGCTATTCCGTGATCCCATTCAAACAAGTCAGGAGCTTCGACTTGCTTAATGGATCTCGAGACAGTCCCCAAGAACACTGTCACAAGTCTAGACGGACCCTGAGGTCACCCCAGCAACGCAAAGCAGCTCCATATGCCCCAAATCAACACGAGATGAGGCCCGATTCCCCTGCATTGACTCCAGAGCCATTCCCCGTTCCCCATTCAACACGACCGGTGGCTCGACTTCCTTCAGGCAACTCCAGAGATGCCCCGAGAACACTGTCCCAAGTCTAGAGGAACACCAACTTCAGCACAGCAACTCGAGGAATGCTCCGTGTACCCCAAATCATCTCGAGATGAGAGCTGATTCCATGGCTTAGGCTCAAAACGTATGCCAACTTTCCAGAAGCACCTCAGGAGGAGTCTTCTCAGCAATAGGTATGTGGGAGGGACCCCGAATTTGCTGCCTCAAGGGGAATATACAGCGAGAAGCCCTAACTTGAAAGGAGGCCGGATTTCCTTGCAGTGGCTTGAATACGGGCTCGTCTTTCATCTCACAACATGAAGGGATGTCTGAATCCCCTGTGGAGACCTTAGAGAAAGCCCTAGGTCCCTGCCTCATTTTGACGGAATGCCTCACATCCCGCTGACACCTCGAGAGGCACGCGGAGTTCATTGCCTCAAAAGGTGACGATGCCTGACTCCTCTTGAATACTGATAGGATTCCCAGAATCACTGTGGCTACTGGAAAGGGTCCTTGGGTGCCCTGCCTCACCTCGAGAAGCGTCCCTTTTGCCTTGCCAAACTCGAAGAGATTCCTGAGGTGTCCCTCGTTACTAGACAGGAGTCCTGATGTCATTGTAGAAACTCGTGTTTTGAAGGGCCATCCCCGCCGTAAGTCGAGAACATACCCCAGGTCCCCGCCGCAACTCGAAAAAAACTATGAGACTTCCCCCTAGAGGCGAGATGAGGCCCCATTCCCCTGCAGTGCATGCAGAGCTATTCCGTGATCCCATTCAAACAAGTCAGGAGCTTCGACTTGCTTAATGGATCTCGAAAGAGTCCCCAAGAACACTGTCACAAGTGTAGACGGACACTGAGGTCACCCCAGCAACGCAAGGCAGCAGCATGAACACCAAATCAACTCGAGATGAGGCCCGATTCCCCTGCATTGACTCCAGAGCCATTCCCCGTTCCCCATTCAACACGACCGGTGGCTCGACTTCCTTCAGGCAACTCCAGAGATGCCCCGAGAACACTGTCCCAAGTCTAGAGGAACACCTACTTCAGCACAGCAACTCGAGGAATGCTCCGTGTACACCAAATCGTCTCGAGATGAGAGCTGATTCCCTGGCTTAGGCTCAAGACGTATGCCAACTTTCCAGAAGCACCTCAGGAGGAGGCTTCAATCAGCAATAGGTATGTGGGAGAGACCCCGAGTTTGCTGCCTCAAGGGGAATATACAGCGAGAAGCCCTAACTTGAAAGGAGGCCGGATTTTCTTCCAGTGGCTTGAATACAGGCTCGTCTTTCATCTCACAACATGAAGGGATGTCTGAATCCCCTGTGGAGACTTAGAGAAAGCCCTAGGTCCCTGCCTCATTTTGACGGAATGCCTCACATCCTGCTGACATCTCGAGAGGCACGCGGAGTTCATTGCTTCAAAAGGTGACGATGCCTGACTCCTCTTGAATACTGATAGAAATCCCAAAATCCCTGTGGCTACTGGAAAGGGTCCTTGGGTGCCCTGCCTCACCTCGAAAAGCGTCCCTTTTGCCCTGCCAAGCCTCGAAGAGATTCCTGAGGTGTCCCTCGTTACTAGACAGGAGTCCTGAGGTCACTGAAGAAACTCGTGTTTTGAAGGGCCATCCCCGCCGTAAGTCGAGAACATACCCCAGATCCCCGTCGCAACTCGAGAAAAACCATGAGACTTCCCCCTAGAGGCGAGATGAGGCCCCATTCCCCTGCAGTGCATGCAGAGCTATTCCGTGATTCCATTCAAACAAGTCAGGAGCTTCAACTTGATTAATGGATCTCGAGACAGTCCCCAAGAACACTGTCACCAGTCTAGACGGACCCTGAGGTCACCCCAGCAACGCAAAGCAGCTCCATGTGCCCCAAATCAACTCGAGATGAGGCCCGATTCCCCTGCATTGACTCCAGAGCCATTCCCCGTTCCCCATTCAACACGACCGGCGGCTCGACTTCCTTCAGGCAACTCCAGAGATGCACCGAGAACACTGTCCCAAGTCTAGAGGAACACCAACTTCAACACAGCAACTCGAGGAAAGCTCCGTGTACCCCAAATCATCTCGAGATGAGAGCTGATTCCCTGGCTTAGGCTCAAGACGTATGCCAACTTTCCAGAAGCACCTCAGGAGGAGGCTTCTCTCAGCAATAGTTATGTGGGAGGGACCCCGAGTTTGCTGCCTCAAGGGGAATATACAGCGAGAAGCCCTAACTTGAAAGGAGGCCGGATTTCCTTGCAGTGGCTTAAATACAGGCTCGTCTTTCATCTCACAACATGAAGGGATGTCTGAATCCCCTGTGGAGATTTTAGAGAAAGCCGTAGGTCCCTGGCTCATTTTGACGGAATGCCTCACATCCCGCTAAAAACTCGAGAGGCACGCAGAGTTCATTGCTTCAAAAGGTGACGATGCCTGACTCCTCTTGAATACTGATAGGAATCCCAGAGTCCCTGTGGCTACTGGAAAGGGTCCTTGGGTGCCCTGCCTCCCATCGAGAAGCGTCCCTTTTGCCCTGCCAAGCCTCGAAGAGATTCCTGAGGTGTCCCTCGTTACTAGACAGGAGTCCTGAGGTCACTGAAGAAACTCGTGTTTTGAAGGGCCATCCCCGCCGTAAGTCGAGAACATACCCCAGGTCCCCGCCGCAACTCGAGAAAAACCATGAGACTTCCCACTAGAGGAGAGATGAGGCCCCATTCCCCTGCAGTGCATGCAGAGCTATTCCGTGATCCCATTCAAACAAGTCAGGAGCTTCGACTTGCTTAATGGATCTCGAGACAGTCCCCAAGAACACTGTCACAAGTCTAGACGGACCCTGAGGTCACCCCAGCAACGCAAAGCAGTTCCATATGCCCCAAATCAACACGAGATGAGGCCCGATTCCCCTGCATTGACTCCAGAGCCATTCCCCGTTCCCCATTCAACACGACCGGTGGCTCGACTTCCTTCAGGCAACTCCAGAGATGCCCCGAGAACCCTGTCCCAAGTCTAGGGGAACACCAACTTCAGCACAGCAACTCGAGGAATGCTCAGTGTACCCCAAATCGTCTCGAGATGAGAGCTAATTCCCTGGCTTAGGCTCAAGACGTATGCCAACTTTCCAGAAGCACCTCAGGGGGAGGCTTCTCTCAGCCATAGGTATGTGGAGGGAACCCGAGTTTGCTGCATCAAGGGGAATATACAGCGAGAAGCCCTAACTTGAAAGGAGGCCGGATTTCCTTGCAGTGGCTTGAATACAGGCTCGTCTTTCATCTCACAACATGAAGGGATGTCTGAATCCACTGTGGAGACCTTAGAGAAAGCCCTAGGTCCCTGCCTCATTTTGACGGAATGCCTCACATCCCGCTGACACCTCGAGAGGCACGCGGAGTTCATTGCTTCAAAATATGATGATGCCTGACTGCTCTAGAATACTGATAGGAATCCCAGAATCCCTGTGGCTACTGGAAAGGGTCCTTGGGTGCCCTGCCTCACCTCGAGAAGCGTCCCTTTTGCCCTGCCAAGCCTCGAAGAGATTCCTGAGGTGTCCCTCATTACTAGACAGGAGTCCTGACGTCACTGAAGAAACTCGTGTTTTGAAGGGCCATCCCCGCCGTAAGTCGAGAACATACCCCAGGTCCGCACCGCAACTGGAGAAAAACCATGAGACTTCCCCCTAGAGGCGAGATGAGGCCCCATTCCCCTGCAGTGCGTGCAGAGCTATTCCGTGATCCCATTCAAACAAGTCAGGAGCTTCGACTTGCTTAATGGATCTCGAGACAGTCCCCAAGAACACTGTCACCAGTCTAGACGGACCCTGAGGTCACCCCAGCAACACAAAGCAGCTCCATGTGCCCCAAATCAACTCGAGATGAGGCCCGATTCCCCTGCATTGACTCCAGAGCCATTCTCCATTCCCCATTAAACACGACCGGTTGCTCGACTTCCTTCAGGCAACTCCAGAGATGCCCCGAGAACCCTGTCCCAAGTCTAGAAGAACACCAACTTCAGCACAGCAACTCGAGGAATGCTCCGTGTACCACAAATCGTCTCGAGATGAGAGCTGATTCCCTGGCTTAGGCTCAAGACCTATGCCAACTTTCCAGAAGCACCTCACGGGGAGGCTTCTCTCAGCCATAGGTATGTGGGAGTGACCCCGAGTTTGCTGCATCAAGGGGAATATACAGCGAGAAGACCTAACTTGAAAGGAGGCCGGATTTCCTTGCAGTGGCTTGAATACAAGCTCGTCTTTCATCTCACAACATGAAGGGATGTCTGAATCCCCTGTGGAGACCTTAGAGAAAGCCCTAGGTCCCTGCCTCATTTTGACGGAATGCCTCACATCCCGCTGACACCTCGAGAGGCACGCGGAGTACATTGCTTCAAAATATGATGATGCCTGACTGCTCTAGAATACTGATAGGAATCCCAGAATCCCTGTGGCTACTGGAAAGGGTCCTTGGGTGCCCTGCCTCACCTCGAGAAGCGTCCCTTTTGCCCTGCCAAGCCTCGAAGAGATTCCTGAGGTGTCCCTCATTACTAGACAGGAGTCCTGACGTCACTGAAGAAACTCGTGTTTTGAAGGGCCATCCCCGCCGTAAGTCGAGAACATACCCCAGGTCCGCACCGCAACTGGAGAAAAACCATGAGACTTCCCCCTAGAGGCGAGATGAGGCCCCATTCCCCTGCAGTGCGTGCAGAGCTATTCCGTGATCCCATTCAAACAAGTCAGGAGCTTCGACTTGCTTAATGGATCTCGAGACAGTCCCCAAGAACACTGTCACCAGTCTAGACGGACCCTGAGGTCACCCCAGCAACACAAAGCTGCTCCATGTGCCCCAAATCAACTCGAGATGAGGCCCGATTCCCCTGCATTGACTCCAGAGCCATTTTCCATTCCCCATTAAACACGACCGGTTGCTCGACTTCCTACAGGCAACTCCAGAGATGCCCCGAGAACCCTGTCCCAAGTCTAGAAGAACAACAACTTCAGCACAGCAACTCGAGGAATGCTCCGTGTACCCCAAATCGTCTCGAGATGAGAGCTGATTCCCTGGCTTAGGCTCAAGACCTATGCCAACTTTCCAGAAGCACCTCACGGGGAGGCTTCTCTCAGCCATAGGTATGTGGGAGTGACCCCGAGTTTGCTGCATCAAGGGGAATATACAGCGAGAAGACCTAACTTGAAAGGAGGCCGGATTTCCTTGCAGTGGCTTGAATACAGGCTCGTCTTTCATCTCACAACATGAAGGGATGTCTGAATCCCCTGTGGAGACCTTAGAGAAAGCCCTAGGTCCCTGCCTCATTTTGACGGAATGCCTCACATCCCGCTGACACTTCGAGAGTCACCGGAGTTCATTGCTTCAAAAGGTGACGATGCCTGACTCCTCTTGAATACTGATAGGAATCCCAGAATCCCTGTGGCTACTGGAAAGGGTCCTTGGGTGCCCTGCCTCACCTCGAGAAGCGTCCCTTTTGCCCTGCCAAGCCTCGAAGAGATTCCTGAGGTGTCCCTCGTTACTAGACAGGAGTCCTGACGTCACTGAAGAAACTCGTGTTTTGAAGGGCCATCCCCGCCGTAAGTCGAGAACATACCCCAGGTCCCCGCCGCAACTCGAAAAAAACCATGAGACTTCCCCCTAGAGGCGAGATGAGGCCCCATTCCCCTGCAGTGCATGCAGAGCTATTCCGTGATCCCATTCAAACAAGTCAGGAGCTTTGACTTGCTTAATGGATCTCGAGACAGTCCCCAAGAACACTGTCACAAGTCTAGACGGACCCTGAGTTCACCCCAGCAACGCAAAGCAGCTCCATGTGCCCCAAATCACCTCGAGATGAGGCCCGATTCCCCTGCATTGACTCAACAGTCATTCCCCGTTCCCCATTAAACACGACCGGTGGCTCGACTTCCTTCAGGCAACTCCAGAGGTGCCCCGAGAACCCTTTCCCAAGTCTAGAGGAACACCAACTTCAGCACCGCAACTCGAGGAATGCTCTGTGTACCCCAAATCGTCTCGAGATGAGAGCTGATTCCCTGGCTTTGGCTCAAGACGTATGCCAACTTTCCAGAAGCACCTCAGGGTGAGGCTTCTCTCAGCCATATGTATGTGGGAGGGACCCCGAGTTTGTTGCCTCAAGGGGAATATACAGCGAGAAGACCTAACTTCAAAGGAGGCCGGATTTCCTTGCAGTGGCTTGAATACAGGCTCGTCTTTCATCTCACAACATGAAGGGATGTCTGAATCCCGTGTGGAGACCTTAGAGAAAGCCCTAGGTCCCTGCCTCATTTTGACGGAATGCCTCACATCCCGCTGACACGTCGAGAGTCACCGGAGTTCATTGCTTCAAAAGGTGACGATGCCTGACTCCTCTTGAATACTGATAGGAATCCCAGAATCCTGTGGCTACTGGAAAGGGTCCTTGGGTGCCCTGCCTCACCTCGAGAAGCGTCCCTTTTGCCCTGCCAAGCCTCGAAGAGATTCCTGAGGTGTCCCTCGTTACTAGACAGGAGTCCTGACGTCATTGAAGAAACTCGTGTTTTGAAGGGCCATCCCCGCCGTAAATCGAGAACATACCCCAGGTCCCCGCCGCAACTCGAAAAAAACCATGAGACTTCCCCCTAGAGGCGAGATGAGGCCCCATTCCCCTGCAGTGCATGCAGAACTATTCCGTGATTCCATTCAAAGAAGTCAGGAGCTTCGACTTGCTTAATGGATCTCGAGACAGTCCCCAAGAACACTGTCACAAGTCTAGACGGACCCTGAGGTCACCCCAGCAACACAAAGCAGCTCCATGTGCCCCAAATCACCTCGAGATGAGGCCCGATTCCCCTGCATTGACTCCAGAGCCATTCCCCGTTCCCCATTCAACACGACCGGTGGCTCGACTTCCTTCAGGCAACTCCAGAGATGCCCCGAGAACACTGTCCCAAGTCTAGAAGAACACCAACCTCAGCACAGCAACTCGAGGAATGCTCCGTGTACCCCAAATCGTCTCGAGATGAGAGCAGATTCCCTGGCTTAGTCTCAAGACGTATGCCAACTTTCCAGAAGCACCTCACGGGGAGGCTTCTCTCAGCCATAGATATGTGGGAGGGACCCCGAGTTTGCTGCATCAAGGGGAATATACAGCGAGAAGCCCTAACTTGAAAGGAGGCTGGATTTCCTTGCAGTGGCTTGAATACAGGCTCGTCTTTCATCTCACAACATGAAGGGATGTCTGAATCACCTGTGGAGACCTTAGAGAAAGCCCTAGGTCCCTGCCTCATTTTGACGGAATGCCTCACATCCCGCTGACACTTCGAGAGGCACCGGAGTTCATTGCTTCAAAAGGTGACCATGCCTGACTCCTCTTGAATACTGATAGGAATCCCAGAATCCCTTTGGCTACTGGAAAGGGTCCTTGGGTGGCCTGCCTCACCTCGAGAAGCGTCCGTTTTGCCCTGCCAAGCCTCGAAGAGATTCCTGAGGTGTCCCTCGTTACTAGACAGGAGTCCTGACGTCACTGAAGAAACTCGTGTTTTGAAGAGCCATCCCCGCCGTAAGTCGAGAACATACCCCAGGTCCCCGCCGCAACTCGAGAAAAACCATGAGACTTCCCCCTAGAGGCGAGATGAGGCCCCATTCCCCTGCAGTGCGTGCAGAGCTATTCCGTGATACCATTCAAACAAGTCAGTAGCTTCGACTTGCTTAATGGATCTCGAGACAGTCCCCAATAACACTTTCACCAGTCTAGAAGGACCCTGAGGTCACCCCAGCAACGCAAAGCAGCTCCATATGCCCCAAATCAACTCGAGATGAGGCCCGATTCCCCTCCATTGACTCCAGAGCCATTCCCCGTTCCCCATTCAACATGATCGGTGGCTCGACTTCCTTCAAGCAACTCCAGAGATGCCCCGAGAACCCTGTCCCAAGTCTATAGTAACACCAACTTCAGCACAGCAACTCGAGGAATGCTCCGTGTACCCCCAAATTGTCTCGAGATGAGAGCTGATTCCCTGGCTTAGGCTCAAGACGTATGCCAACTTTCCAGAAGCAACTCAGGAGGAGGTTTCTCTCAGCAATAGGAATGTGGGAGGGACCCCGAGTTTGCTGCATCAAGGGGAATATACAGCGAGAAGCCCTAACTTGAAAGGAGGCCGGATTTCCTTGCAGTGGCTTTAATACAGGCTCGTCTTTCATCTCACAACATGAGGGGATGTCTGAATCCCCTGTGGAGACCTTAGAGAAAGCCCTAGGTCCCTGCCTCATTTTGACGGAATACCTCACATCCCGGTGACACGTCGAGAGGCACGCGGAGTTCATTGCTTCAAAATCTGACGATGCCTGACTCCTCTTGAATACTGATAGGAATCCCAAAATCCCTGTGGCTATTGGAAAGGGTCCTTGGGTGCCCTGCCTCACCTCGAGAAGCGTCCCTTTTGCCCTGCCAAGCCTGGAAGAGATTCCTGAGGTGTCCCTCGTTACTAGACAGGAGTCCTGACGTCACTGAAGAAACTCGTGTTTTGAAGGGCCATCCCCGCCGTAAGTCGAGAACATACCCCAGGTCCCCGTCGCAACTCGAGAAAAACCATGAGACTTCCCCCTAGAGGCGAGATGAGGCCCCATTCCCCTGCAGTGCATGCAGAGCTATTCCGTGATCCCATTCAAACAAGTCAGGAGCTTCGAATTGCTTAATGGATCTCGAGACAGTCCCCAAGAACACTGTCACCAGTCTAGACGGACCCTGAGGTCACCCCAGTAACGCAAGGCAGCAGCATGTGCACCAAATCAACTCGAGATGAGGCCCGATTCCCCTGCATTGACTCCAGAGCCATTCCCGGTTCCCCATTCAACACGACCAGTGGCTCGACTTCCTTCAGGCAACTCCAGAGATGCCCCGAGAACCCTGTCCCAAGTCTAGAGGAACACCAACTTCAGCACAGCAACTCGAGAAATGCTCCGTGTACCCCAAATCATCTCGAGATGAGAGCTGATTCCCTGGCTTAGGCTCAAGACGTATGCCAACTTTCCAGAAGCACCTCACGGGGAGGCTTCTCTCAGCCATAGGTATGTGGGAGGGACCCCGAGTTTGTTGCATGAAGGGGAATATACAGCGAGAATCCCTAACTTGAAAGGAGGCCGGATTTCCTTGCAGTGGCTTGAATACAGGCTCATCTTTCATCACACAACATGAAGGGATGTCTGAATCCCCTGTGGAGACATTAGAGAAAGCGCTAGGTCCCTGCTTCATTTTGACGGAATGCCTCACATCCCGCTGACACTTCGAGAGGCACCGGAGTTCATTGCTTCAAAAGGTGACGATGCCTGACTCCTCTTGAATACTGATAGGAATCCCAGAATCCCTGTGGCTACTAGAAAGGGTAGTTGGGTGCCCTGCCTAACCTCGAGAAGCATACCTTTTGCCCTGCCAAGCCTCGAAGAGATTCCTGAGGTGTCCCTCTTTACTAGACAGGAGTCCTGACGTCATTGAAGAAACTCGTGTTTTGAAGGGCCATCCCCGCCGTAAGTCGAGAACATACCCCAGGTCCCCGCCGCAACTCGAAAAAAACCATGAGACTTCCCCCTAGAGGAGAGATGAGGCCCCAATCCCCTGCAGTGCATGCAGAGCTATTCCGTGATCCCATTCAAAGAAGTCAGGAGCTTCGACTTACTTAATGGATCTCGAGACAGTCCCCAAGAACACTGTCACAAGTCTAGACGGACCCTGAGGTCACCCCAGCAACGCAAAGCAGATCCATGTGCCCCAAATCACCTGGAGATGAGGCCCGATTCCCCTGCATTGACTCCAGAGCCATTCCCCGTTCCCCATTCAACACGACCGGTGGCTCGACTTCCTTCAGGCAACTCCAGAGATGCCCCGAGAACCCTGTCCCAAGTCTAGAAGAACACCAACTTCAGCACAGCAACTTGAGGAATGCTCCGTGTACCCCAAATCGTCTCGAGATGAGAGCTGATTCCCTGGCTTAGGCTCAAGACGTATGCCAACTTTCCAGAAGCACCTCACGGGGAGGCTTCTCTCAGCCATAGGTATGTGGGAGGGACCCCGAGTTTGCTGCCTCAAGGGGAATATACAGCGAGAAGCCCTAACTTGAAAGGAGGCCGGATTTCCTTGCAGTGGCTTGAATACAGGCTCGTCTTTCATCTCACAACATGAAGGGATGTCTGAATCCCCTGTGGAGACCTTAGAGAAAGCCCTAGGTCCCTGCCTCATTTTGACGGAATGCCTCACATTCCGCTGACACTTCGAGAGGCACCGGAGTTCATTGCTTCAAAAGGTGACGATGCCTGACTCCTCTTGAATACTGATAGGAATCCCAGAATCCCTGTGGCTACTGGAAAGGGTCCTTGGGTGCCCTGCCTCACCTCGAGAAGCGTCCGTTTTGCCCTGCCAAGCCTGGAAGAGATTCCTGAGGTGTCCCTCGTTACTAGAGAGGAGTCCTGACGTCATTGAAAAAACTCGTGTTTTGAAGGGCCATCCCGCCGTAAGTCGAGAACATACCCCAGGTCCCCGCCGCAACTCGAAAAAAACGATGAGACTTCCCCCTAGAGGCGAGATGAGGCCCCATTCCCCTGCAGTGCATGCAGAGCTATTCCGTGATCCCATTCAAAGAAGTCAGGAGCTTCGACTTGCTTAATGGATCTCGAGACAGTCCCCAAGAACACTGTCACAAGTCTAGACGGACCCTGAGGTCACCCAGCAACGCAAAGCAGCTCCATGTGCCCCAAATCACCTCGAGATGAGGCCCGATTCCCCTGCATTGACTCCAGAGCAATTCCCCTTTCCCCATTCAACACGACCGGTGGCTCGACTTCCTTCAGGCAACTCCAGAGATTTCCCGAGAACACTGTCCCAAGTCTAGAGGAACACCAACTTCAGCACAGCAACTCGAGGAATGCTCCGTGTACCCCAAATCGTCTCGAGATGAGAGCTGATTCCCTGGCTTAGGCTCTAGACGTATGCCAGCTTTCCAGAAGCACCTCAGGAGGAGGCATCTCTCAGCAATAGGTATGTGGGAGGGACCCCGAGTTCGCTGCCTCAAGGGGAATATACAGCGAGAAGCCCTAACTTGAAAGGAGGCTGGATTTCCTGCAGTGGCTTGAATACAGGCTCGTCTTTCATCTCACAATATGAAGGGATGTCTGAATCCCCTGTGGAGACCTTAGAGAAAGCCCTAGGTCCCTGCCTCATTTTGACGGAATGCCTCACATCCCGCTGACACCTCGAGAGGCACGCGGAGTTCATTGCTTCAAAAGGTGACGATGCCTGACTCCTCTAGAATACTGATAGGAATCCCAGAATCCCTGTGGCTACTGGAAAGGGTCCTTGGGTGCCCTGCCTCACCTCGAGAAGCGTCCCTTTTGCCCTGCCAAGCCTCGAAGAGATTCCTGAGGTGTCCCTCGTTACTAGACAGGAGTCCTGACGTCACTGAACAAACTCGTGTTTTGAAGGGCCATCCCCGCCGTAAGTCGAGAACATAACCCCGGTCCCTGCCGCAACTCGAGAAAAACCATGAGACTTCCCCCTAGAGGCGAGATGAGGCCCCATTCCCCTGCAGTGCATGCAGAGCTATTCCGTGATTCCATTCAAACAAGTCAGGAGCTTCGACTTGCTTAATCGATCTCGAGACAGTCCCCAAGAACACTGTCACCAGTCTAGACGGACCCAGAGGTCACCCCAGCAACACAAAGCAGCTCCATGTGCCCCAAATCAACTCGAGATGAGGCCCGATTCCCCTGCATTGACTCCAGAGCCATTCCCCGTTCCCCATTCAACACGACCGGTGGCTCGACTTCCTTCACGCAACTCCAGAGATGCCCCGAGAACCCTGTCCCAAGTCTAGAGGAATATCAACTTCAGCACAGCAACTCGAGAAATGCTCCGTGTACCCCAAATCGTCTCGAGATGAGAGCTGATTCCCTGGCTTAGGCTCAAGACGTATGCCAACTTTCCAGAAGCACCTCAGGGGGAGGCTTCTCTCAGCCATAGGTATGTGGGAGGGACCCTGAGTTTGCTGCCTCAAGGGGAATATACAGCGAGAAGCCCTAACAAGAAAGGAGGCCGGATTTCCTTGCAGTGGCTTGAATACAGGCTCGTCTTTCATCTCACAACATGAAGGGATGTCTGAATCCCCTGTGTAGACCTTAGAGAAAGCCCTAGGTCCCTGCCTCATTTTGACGGAATGCCTCACATCGCGCTGACACCTCGAGAGGCACGCGGAGTTCATTGCTTCAAAAGTGACGATGCCTGACTCCTCTTGAATACTGATAGGAATCCCAGAATCCCTGTGGCTACTGGAAAGGGTCCTTGGGTGCCCTGCCTCACCTCGAGAAGCGTCCCTTTTGCCCTGCCAAGCCTCGAAGAGATTCCTGAGGTGTCCCTCGTTACTAGACAGGAGTCCTGACGTCCCTGAAGAAACTCGTGTTTTGAAGGACCATCCCCGCCGTAAGTCGAGAACATACCCCAGGACCCGCCGCAACTCGAGAAAAACCATGAGACTTCCCACTAGAGGCGAGATGAGTCCTCATTCCCCTGCAGTGCGTGCAGAGCTATTCCGTGATCCCATTCAAAGAAGTCAGGAGCTTCGACTTGCTTAATCGATCTCGAGACAGTCCCCAAGAACACTTTCACCAGTCTAGACGGACCCTGACGTCACCCCGGCAACGCAAAGCAGCTCCATGTACCCCAAATCAACTCGAGATGAGGCCCGATTCCCCTGCATTGACTCCAGAGCCATTCCCCGTTCCCCATTCAACACGACCGGTGGCTCGACTTCCTTCAGGCAACTCCAGAGATGCCCCGAGAACACTGTGGCAAGTCTAGAGGAACACCAACTTCAGCACAGCAACTCGAGGAATGCTCCGTGTACCCCAAATCATTTCGAGATGAGAGCTGATTCCCTGGCTTAGGCTCAAGACGTATGCCAACTTTCCAGAAGGACCTCAGGAGGAGGCTTCTCTCAGCAATAGGTATGTGGGAGGGACCCCGAGTTTGCTGCCTGAAGGGGAATATACAGCGAGAAGCCCTAACTTGAAAGGAGGCCGGATTTCCTTGCAGTGGCTTGAATACAGGCTTGTCTTTCATCTCATAACATGAAGGAATGTCTGAATCCCCTATGGAGACCGTAGAGAAAGCCCTAGATCCCTGCCTCATTTTGACGGAATGCCTCACATCCCGCTGACACCTCGTCAGGCACGCGGAGTTCATTGCTTCAAAAGCTGACGATGCCTGACTCCTCTTGAATACTGATAGGAATCCCAGAATCCCTGTGGCTACTGGAAAGGGTCCTTGGGTACCCTGCCTCACCTCGAGAAGCGTCCCTTTTGCCCTGCCAATCTCGAAGAGATTCCTGAGGTGTCCCTCGTTACTAGACAGGAGTCCTGATGTCACTGAAGAAACTCCTGTTTTGAAGGGCCATCCCCGCCGTAAGTCGAGAACATACCCCAGGTCCCCGCCGCAACTCGAGAAAAAACATGAGACTTCCCCCTAGAGGCGAGATGAAGCCCCATTCCCCTGCAGTGCATGCCGTGCTATTCCGTGATCCCATTCAAACAAGTCAGGAGCTTCGACTTGCTTAATGGATCTCGAGAGAGTCCCCAAGAACACTGTCACCAGTCTAGACGGTCGCTGATGTCACCCCAGCAAAGCAAGGCAGCTGCATGGGCCCTAAATCAACTCGAGATGAGGCCCGATTCCCCTGCATTGACTGCAGAGCCTTTCCCCGTTCCGCATTCAACACGACCGGTGGCTCGACTTCCATCAGGCAACTCCAGAGATGCCCCGAGAACCCTGTCCCAAGTCTAGAGGAACACCAACTTCAGCACAGCAACCCGAGGAATGCTCTGTGTACCCCCAAATCGTCTCGAGATGAGAGCTGATTCCCTGGCTTAGGCCCAAGACGTATGCCAGCTTTCCAGAAGCACCTCAGGAGGAGGCTTCTCTCAGCAATAGGTATGTGGGAGGGACCCCAAGTTTGCTGCCTCAAGGGGGATATACAGCAAGAAGCCCTAACTTGAAAGGAGGCCGGATTTCTGTGCAGTGGCTTGAATACAGGCTCGTCTTTCATCTCACAACATGAAGGGATGTCTGAATCCCCTGTGGAGACCTTAGAGAAAGCCCTAGGTCCCTGCCTCATTTTGACGGAATGCCTCACATCCCGCTGACACCTGGAGAAGCACGCGGAGTTCATTGCTTCAAAAGGTGACGATGCCTGACTCCTCTTGAATACTGATAGGAATCCCAAAATCCCTGTGGCTACTGGAAAGGGTCCTTGGGTGCCCTGCCTCACCTCGAGAAGCGTCCCTTTTGCCCTGCCAAGCCTCGAAGAGATTCCTGAGGTGTCCCTCGTTACTAGACAGGAGTCCTGACGTCACTGAAGAAACTCGTGTTTTGAAGGGCCATCCCCGCCTTAAGTCGAGAACGTACCCCAGGTCCCCGCCGCAACTCGAAAAAAACCATGAGACTTCCCCCTAGAGGCGAGATGAGGCCCCATTCCCCTGCAGTCCATGCAGAGCTATTCCGTAATCCCATTCAAAGAAGTCAGGAGCTTCGACTTGCTTAATGGAATTCGAGACAGTTCCCAAGAACACTGTCACCAGTCTAGACGGACCCTGAGGCCACCGCAGCAACGCAAAGCAGCTCCATGTGCCCCAAATCACCTCGAGATGAGGCCCGATTCCCCTGCATTGACTCCAGAGCCATTCCCCGTTCCCCATTCAACACGACCGGTGGCTCGACTTCCTTCAGGCAACTCCAGAGATGCCCCGAGAACACTGTCCCAAGTCCAAAGGAACACCAACTTCAGCACAGCAACTCGAGGAATGCTCTGTGTACCACAAATCGTCTCGAGATGAGAGCTGATTCCCTGGCTTAAGCTCAAGACGTACGCCAACTTTCCAGAAGCACCTCAGGGGGAGGCTTCTCTCAGCCATAAGTATGTGGGAGGGACCCCGAGTTTGCTGCCTGAAGGGGAATATACAGCCAGAAGCCCTAACTTGAAAGGAGCCCGGATTTCCTTGCAGTGGCTTGAATACAGGCTCGTCTTTCATCTCACAACATGAAGGGATGTCTGAATCCACTGTGGAGACCTTAGAGAAAGCCCTAGGTCCCTACCTCATTTTGACGGAATGCCTCACATCGCGCTGACACGTCGAGAGGCACGCGGAGTTCATTGCTTCAAAAGTGACGATGCCTGACTCCTCTTGAATACTGATAGGAATCCCAGAATCCCTGTGGCTACTGGAAAGGGTCCTTGGGTGCCCTGCCTCACCTCGAGAAGCGTCCCTTTTGCCCTGCCAAGCCTCGAAGAGATTCCTGAGGTGTCCCTCGTTACTAGACAGGAGTCCTGACGTCCCTGAAGAAACTCGTGTTTTGAAGAGCCATCCCCGCCGTAAGTCGAGAACATACCCCAGGTCCCCGCCGCAACTCGAGAAAAACCATGAGACTTCCCCCTAGAGGCGAGATGAGGCCCCATTCCCCTGCAGTGCGTGCAGAGCTATTCCGTGATCCCATTCAAACAGGTCAGGAGCTTCCACTTGCTTAATCGATCTCGAGACAGTCCCCAAGAACACTGTCACCAGTCTAGACGGACCCTGAGGTCACCCCGGCAACGCAAAGCAGCTCCATGTGCCCCAAATCAACTCGAGATGAGGCCCGATTCCCCTGCATTGACTCCAGAGCCATTCCCCATTCCCCATTCAACACGACCGGTGGCTCGACTTCCTTCAGGCAACTCCAGAGATGCCCCGAGAACACTGTCGCAAGTCTAGAGGAACACCAACTTCAGCACAGCAACTCGAGGAATGCTCCGTTTACCCCCAAATCGTCTCGAGATGAGAGCTGATTCCCTGGCTTAGGCTCAAGACGTATGCCAACTTTACAGAAGCACCTCAGGAGAAGGTTTCTCTCAGCAATAGGAATGTGGGAGGGACCCCGAGTTTGCTGCCTCAAGGGGAATATACAGCGAGAAGCCCTAACTTGAAAGGAGGCCGGATTTCCTTGCAGTGGCTTGAATACAGGCTCGTCTTTCATCTCACAAAGAAAGGGATGTCTGAATCCACTGTGGAGACCTTAGAGAAAGCCCTAGGTCCCTGCCTCATTTTGACGGAATGCCTCACATCCCGCTGACACCTCGAGAGGCACGCGGAGTTCATTGCTTCAAAAGGTGACGATGCCTGACTCCTCTTGAATACTGATAGGAATCCCAGAATTCCTGTGGCTACTGGAAAGGGTCTTGGGTGCCCTGCCTCACCTCGAGAAGCGTCCCTTTTCCCCTGCCAAGCCTCGAAGAGATTCCTGAGGTGTCCCACATTACTAGACAGGAGTCCTGACGTCACTGAAGAAACTCGTGTTTTGAAGGGCCATCCCCGCCGTAAGTCGAGAACATACCCCAGGTCCCCGCCGCAACTCGAGAAAAACCATGAGACTTCCCCCTAGAGGCGAGATGAGGCCCCATTCCCCTGCAGTGCGTGCAGAGCTATTCCGTGATCCCATTCAAACTAGTCAGGAGCTTCGACTTGCTTAATGGATCTCGAGACAGTCCCCAAGAACACTGTCACCAGTCTATACGGACCCTGAGGTCACCCCAGCAACGCAAAGCAGCTCCATGTGCCCCAAATCAACTCGAGATGAGGCCCGATTCCCCTGCATTGACTCCAGAGCCATTCCCCGTTCCCCATTCAACACGACCGGTGGCTCGACTTCCTTCACGCAACTCCAGAGATGCCCCGAGAACCCTGTCCCAAGTATAGAGGAACACCAACTTCAGCACAGCACCTCGAGGAATGCTCCGTGTACCCCAAATCGTCTCGAGATGAGAGCTGATTCCCTGGCTTAGGCTCAATACGTATGCCAACTTTCCAGAAGGACCTCAGGAGGAGGCTTCTCTCAGCAATAGGTATGTGGGAGGGACCCCGAGTTTGCTGCCTCAAGGGGAATATAGAGCGAGAAGCCCTAACTTGAAAGGAGGACGGATTTCCTTGCAGTGGCTTGGATACAGGCTCGTCTTTCATCTCACAACATGAAGGGATGTCTGAATCCCCTGTGGAGACCTTAAAGAAAGCCCTAGGCCCCTGCCTCATTTTGACGGAATGCCTCACATCGCGCTGACACCTCGAGAGGCACGCGGAGTTCATTGCTTCAAAAGGTGACGATGCCTGACTCCTCTTGAATACTGATAGGAATCCCAGAATCCCTGTGGCTACTGGAAAGGGTCCTTGGGTGCCCTGCCTCACCTCGAGAAGCGTCCCTTTTACCCTGCCAAGCCTCGAAGAGATTCCTGAGGTGTCCCTCGTTACTAGACAGGAGTCCTGACGTCACTGAAGAAACTCGTGTTTTGAAGGGCCATCCCCGCCGTAAGTCGAGAACATACCCCAAGGCCCCGTCGCAACTCGAGAAAAACCATGAGACTTCCCCCTAGAGGCGAGATGAGGCCCCATTCCCCTGCAGTGCATGCAGAGCTATTCCGTGATTCCATTCAAAGAAGTCAGGAGCTTCGACTTGCTTAATGGATCTCGAGACAGTCCCCAAGAACACTGTCACAAGTCTAGACGGACCCTGAGGTCACCCCAGCAACGCAGAGCAGCTCCATGTGCCCCAAATCACCTCGAGATGAGGCCCGATTCCCCTGCATTGACTCCAGAGCCATTCCCCGTTCCCCATTCAACACGACCGGTGGCTCGACTTCCTTCAGGCAACTCCAGAGATGCCCCGAGAACCCTGTCCCAAGTCTAGAGGAACACCAACTTCAGCACAGCAACTCGAGGAATGCTCCGTGTACCCCAAATCGTCTCGAGATGAGAGCTGATTCCCTGGCTTAGGCTCAAGACGTATGCCAACTTTCCAGAAGCACCTCACGGGGAGGCTTCTCTCAGCCATAGGTATGTGGGAGGGACCCCGAGTTTGCTGCCTCAAGGGGAATATACAGCGAGAAGACCTAACTTCAAAGGAGGCCGGATTTCCTTGCAGTGGCTTGAATACAGCCGCGTCTTTCATCTCAGAACATGAAGGGATGTCTGAATCCCCTGTGGAGACCTTAGAGAAAGCCCTAGGTCCCTGCCTCATTTTGACGGAATGCCTCACATCCCGCTGACACTTCGAGAGTCACCGGAGTTCATTGCTTCAAAAGGTGACGATGCCTGGCTCCTCTTGAATACTGATAGGAATCCCAGAATCCCTGTGGCTACTGGAAAGGGTCCTTGGGTGCCCTGCCTCACCTCGAGAAGCGTCCCTTTTGCCCTGCCAAGCCTCGAAGAGATTCCTGAGGTGTCCCTCGTTACTAGACAGGAGTCCTGACATCATTGAAGAAACTCGTGTTTTGAAGGGCCATCCCCGCCGTAAGTCGAGAACATACCCCAGGTCCCCGCCGCAACTCGAAAAAAACCATGAGACTTCCCCCTAGAGGCGAGATGAGGCCCCATTCCCCTGCAGTGCATGCAGAACTATTCCGTGATTCGATTCAAAGAAGTCAGGAGCTTCGACTTGCTTAATGGATCTCGAGACAGTCCCCAAGAACACTGTCACAAGTCTAGACGGACCCTGAGGTCACCCCAGCAACGCAAAGCAGCTCCATGTGCCCCAAATCACCTCGAGATGAGGCCCGATTCCCCTGCATTGACTCCAGAGCCATTCCCCGTTCCCCATTCAACACGACCGGTGGCTCGACTTCCTTCAGGCAACTCCAGAGATGCCCCGAGAACCCTGTCCCAAGTCTAGAAGAACACCAACTTCAGCACAGCAACTCGAGGAATGCTCCGTGTACCCCAAATCGTCTCGAGATGAGAGCTGATTCCCTGGTTAGGCTCAAGACGTATGCCAACTTTCCAGAAGCACCTCACGGGGAGGCTTCTCTCAGCCATAGGTATGTGGGAGGGACCCCGAGTTTGCTGCATGAAGGGGAATATACAGCGAGAAGCGCTAACTTGAAAGGAGGCCGGATTTCCTTGCAGTGGCTTGAATACAGGCTCGTCTTTCATCTCACAACATGAAGGAATGTCTGAATCCACTGTGGAGACCTTAGAGAAAGCCCTAGGTCCCTGCCTCATTTTGACGGAATGCCTCACATCCCGCTGACACCTCGAGAGGCACGCGGAGTTCATTGCTTCAAAAGGTGACGATGCCTGACTCCTCTTGAATACTGATAGGAATCCCAGAATCCCAGTGGCTACTGGAAAGGGTCCTTGGGTGCCCTGCCTCACCTCGAGAAGCGTCCCTTTTGCCCTGCCAAGCCTCGAAGAGATTCCTGAGGTGTCCCACATTACTAGACAGGAGTCCTGACGTCACTGAAGAAACTCGTGTTTTGAAGGGCCATCCCCGCCGTAAGTCGAGAACATACCCCAGGTCCCCGCCGCAACTCGAGAAAAACCATGAGACTTCCCCCTAGAGGCGAGATGAGGCCCCATTCCCCTGCAGTGCGTGCAGAGTTATTCCGTGATCCCATTCAAACTAGTCAGGAACTTCGACTTGCTTAATGGATCTCGAGACAGTCCCCAAGAACACTGTCACCAGTCTAGACGGACCCTGAGGTCACCCCAGCAACGCAAAGCAGCTCCATGTGCCCCAAATCAACTCGAGATGAGGCCCGATTCCCCTGCATTGACTCCAGAGCCATTCCCCGTTCCCCATTCAACACGACCGGTGGCTCGACTTCCTTCAGGTAACTCCGCCCCAAGAACACTGTCCCAAGTCTAGAGGAACACCAACTTCAGCACAGCAACTCGAGGAATGCTCCGTGTACCCCAAATCGTCTCGAGATTAGAGCTGATTCCCTGGCTTAGGCTCAAGACATATGCCAACTTTCCAGAAGCACCTCAGGAGGAGGCTTCTCTCAGCAATAGGTATTTGGGAGGGACCCCGAGTTTGCTGCATGAAGGGGAATATACAGCGAGAAGCCCTAACTTGAAAGGAGGCCGGATTTCCTTGCACGGGCTTGAATACAGGCTCGTCTTTCATCTCACAACATGAAGGGATGTCGGAATCCACTGTGGAGACCTTAGAGAAAGCCCAAGGTCCCTGCCTCATTTTGACGGAATGCCTCACATCCCGTTGACACCTCGAGAGGCACGCAGAGTTCATTGCTTCAAAAGGTGACGATGGCTGACTATTCTTGAATACTGATAGGAATCCCAAAATCCCCGTGGCTACTGGAAAGGGTCCTTGGGTGCCCTGCCTCACCTCGAGAAGCGTCCCTTTTGCCCTGCCAAGCCTCGAAGAGATTCCTGAGGTGTCCCTCGTTACTAGACAGGAGTCCTGACGTCACTGAAGAAACTCGTGTTTTGAAGGGCCTTCCCCGCCTTAAGTCGAGAACATAGCCCAGGTCCCCGCCGCAACTCGAGAAAAACCATGAGACTTCCCCCTAGAGGCGAGATGAGGCCCCATTCCCCTGCAGTGCATGCAGAGCTATTCCGTGATCCCATTCAAACAAGTCAGGAGCTTCGAATTGCTTAATGGATCTCGAGACAGTCCCCAAGAAGACTGTCACCAGTCTATACGGACCCTGAGGTCACCCCAGCAACGCAAAGCAGCACCATGTGCCCCAAATCAACTCGAGATGAGGCCCGATTCCCCTGCATTGACTCCAGAGCCATTCCCCGTTCCCCATTCAACACGACCGGTGGCTCGACTTCCTTCACGCAACTCCAGAGATGCCCCGAGAACCCTTTCCCAAGTCTAGAGGAATATCAACTTCAGCACAGCAACTCGAGAAATGCTCCGTGTACCCCAAATCGTCTCGAGATGAGAGCTGATTCCCTGGCTTAGGCTCAAGACGTATGCCAACTTTCCAGAAGCACCTCAGGGGGAGGCTTCTCTCAGCCATAAGTATGTGGGAGGGACCCCGAGTTTGCTGCCTCAAGGGGAATATACAGCGAGAAGCCCTAACAAGAAAGGAGGCCGGATTTCCTTGCAGTGGCTTGAATACAGGCTCGTCTTTCATCTCACAACATGAAGGGATGTCTGAATCCCCTGTGGAGACCTTAGAGAAAGCCCTAGGTCCCTGCCTCATTTTGACGGAATGCCTCACATCGCGCTGACACCTCGAGAGGCACGCGGAGTTCATTGCTTCAAAAGTGACGATGCCTGACTCCTCTTGAATACTGATAGGAATCCCAGAATCCCTGTGGCTACTGGAAAGGGTCCTTGGGTGCCCTGCCTCACCTCGAGAAGCGTCCCTTTTGCCCTGCCAAGCCTCGAAGAGATTCCTGAGGTGTCCCTCGTTACTAGACAGGAGTCCTGACGTCCCTGAAGAAACTCGTGTTTTGAAGGACCATCCCCGCCGTAAGTCGAGAACATACCCCAGGACCCGCCGCAACTCGAGAAAAACCATGAGACTTCCCACTAGAGGCGAGATGAGTCCTCATTCCCCTGCAGTGCGTGCAGAGCTATTCCGTGATCCCATTCAAAGAAGTCAGGAGCTTCGACTTGCTTAATCGATCTCGAGACAGTCCCCAAGAACACTCTCACCAGTCTAGACGGACACTGACGTCACCCCGGCAACGCAAAGCAGCTCCATGTACCCCAAATCAACTCGAGATGAGGCCCGATTCCCCTGCATTGACTCCAGAGCCATTCCCCGTTCCCCATTCAACACGACCGGTGGCTCGACTTCCTTCAGGCAACTCCAGAGATGCCCCGAGAACACTGTCGCAAGTCTAGAGGAACACCAACTTCAGCACAGCAACTCGAGGAATGCTCCGTGTACCCCAAATCATTTCGAGATGAGAGCTGATTCCCTGGCTTAGGCTCAAGACGTATGCCAACTTTCCAGAAGGACCTCAGGAGGAGGCTTCTCTCAGCAATAGGTATGTGGGAGGGACCCCGAGTTTGCTGCCTGAAGGGGAATATACAGCGAGAAGCCCTAACTTGAAAGGAGGCCGGATTTCCTTGCAGTGGCTTGAATACAGGCTTGTCTTTCATCTCATAACATGAAGGAATGTCTGAATCCCCTATGGAGACCTTAGAGAAAGCCCTAGATCCCTGCCTCATTTTGACGGAATGCCTCACATCCCGCTGACACCTCGTCAGGCACGCGGAGTTCATTGCTTCAAAAGCTGACGATGCCTGACTCCTCTTGAATACTGATAGGAATCCCAGAATCCCTGTGGCTACTGGAAAGGGTCCTTGGGTACCCTGCCTCACCTCGAGAAGCGTCCCTTTTGCCCTGCCAATCTCGAAGAGATTCCTGAGGTGTCCCTCGTTACTAGACAGGAGTCCTGATGTCACTGAAGAAACTCGTGTTTTGAAGGGCCATCCCCGCCGTAAGTCGAGAACATACCCCAGGTCCCCGCCGCAACTCGAGAAAAACCATGAGACTTCCCCCTAGAGGCGAGATGAAGCCCCATTCCCCTGCAGTGCATGCCGAGCTATTCCGTGATCCCATTCAAACAAGTCAGGAGCTTCGACTTGCTTAATGGATCTCGAGACAGTCCCCAAGAACACTGTCACCAGTCTAGACGGTCGCTGATGTCACCCCAGCAAAGCAAGGCAGCTGCATGAGCCCTAAATCAACTCGAGATGAGGCCCGATTCCCCTGCATTGACTGCAGAGCCTTTCCCCGTTCCGCATTCAACACGACCGGTGGCTCGACTTCCATCAGGCAACTCCAGAGATGCCCCGAGAACCCTGTCCCAAGTCTAGAGGAACACCAACTTCAGCACAGCAACCCGAGGAATGCTCTGTGTACCCCCAAATCGTCTCGAGATGAGAGCTGATTCCCTGGCTTAGGCCCAAGACGTATGCCAGCTTTCCAGAAGCACCTCAGGAGGAGGCTTCTCTCAGCAATAGGTATGTGGGAGGGACCCCAAGTTTGCTGCCTCAAGGGGGATATACAGCAAGAAGCCCTAACTTGAAAGGAGGCCGGATTTCTGTGCAGTGGCTTGAATACAGGCTCGTCTTTCATCTCACAACATGAAGGGATGTCTGAATCCCCTGTGGAGACCTTAGAGAAAGCCCTAGGTCCCTGCCTCATTTTGACGGAATGCCTCAAATCCCACTGACACCTGGAGAGGCACGCGGAGTTCATTGCTTCAAAAGGTGACGATGCCTGACTCCTCTTGAATACTGATAGGAATCCCAGAATCCCTGTGGCTACTGGAAAGGGTCCTTGGGTGCCCTGCCTCACCTCGAGAAGCGTCCCTTTTGCCCTGCCAAGCCTCGAAGAGATTCCTGAGGTGTCCCTCGTTACTAGACAGGAGTCCTGACGTCACTGAAGAAACTCGTGTTTTGAAGGGCCATCCCCGCCTTAAGTCGAGAACGTACCCCAGGTCCCCGCCGCAACTCGAAAAAAACCATGAGACTTCCCCCTAGAGGCGAGATGAGGCCCCATTCCCCTGCAGTGCATGCAGAGCTATTCCGTAATCCCATTCAAAGAAGTCAGGAGCTTCGACTTGCTTAATGGATCTCGAGACAGTCCCCAAGAACACTGTCACCAGTCTAGACGGACCCTGAGGCCACCCCAGCAACGCAAAGCAGCTCCATGTGCCCCAAATCACCTCGAGATGAGGCCCGATTCCCCTGCATTGACTCCAGAGCCATTCCCCGTTCCCCATTCAACACGACCGGTGGCTCGACTTCCTTCAGGCAACTCCAGAGATGCCCCGAGAACACTGTCCCAAGTCCAAAGGAACACCAACTTCAGCACAGCAACTCGAGGAATGCTCCGTGTACCCCAAATCGTCTCGAGATGAGAGCTGATTCCCTGGCTTAGGCTCAAGACGTATGCCAACTTTCCAGAAGCACCTCACGGGGAGGCTTCTCTCAGCCATAGGTATGTGGGAGGGACCCCGAGTTTGCTGCCTCAAGGGGAATATACAGCGAGAAGCCCTAACTTGAAAGGAGGCCGGATTTCCTTGCAGTGGCTTGAATACAGGCTCGTCTTTCATCTCACAACATGAAGGGATGTCTGAATCCCCTGTGGAGACCTTAGAGAAAGCCCTAGGTCCCTGCCTCATTTTGACGGAATGCCTCACATCCCGCTGACACTTCGAGAGGCACCGGAGTTCATTGCTTCAAAAGGTGACGATGCCTGACTCCTCTTGAATACTGATAGGAATCCCAGAATCCCTGTGGCTACTGGAAAGGGTCCTTGGGTGCCCTGCCTCACCTCGAGAAGCGTCCGTTTTGCCCTTCCAAGCCTCGAAGAGATTCCTGAGGTGTCCCTCGTTACTAGAGAGGAGTCCTTACGTCATTGAAAAAACTCGTGTTTTGAAGGGCCATCCCGCCGTAAGTCGAGAACATACCCCAGGTCCCCGCCGCAACTCGAAAAAAACGATGAGACTTCCCCCTAGAGGCGAGATGAGGCCCCATTCCCCTGCAGTGCATGCAGAGCTATTCCGTGATCCCATTCAAAGAAGTCAGGAGCTTCGACTTGCTTAATGGATCTCGAGACAGTCCCCAAGAACACTGTCACAAGTCTAGACGGACCCTGAGGTCACCCAGCAACGCAAAGCAGCTCCATGTGCCCCAAATCACCTCGAGATGAGGCCCGATTCCCCTGCATTGACTCCAGAGCAATTCCCCTTTCCCCATTCAACACGACCGGTGGCTCGACTTCCTTCAGGCAACTCCAGAGATTTCCCGAGAACACTGTCCCAAGTCTAGAGGAACACCAACTTCAGCACAGCAACTCGAGGAATGCTCCGTGTACCCCAAATCGTCTCGAGATGAGAGCTGATTCCCTGGCTTAGGCTCTAGACGTATGCCAGCTTTCCAGAAGCACCTCAGGAGGAGGCATCTCTCAGCAATAGGTATGTGGGAGGGACCCCGAGTTTGCTGCCTCAAGGGGAATATACAGCGAGAAGCCCTAACTTGAAAGGAGGCCGGATTTCCTGCAGTGGCTTGAATACAGGCTCGTCTTTCATCTCACAATATGAAGGGATGTCTGAATCCCCTGTGGAGACCTTAGAGAAAGCCCTAGGTCCCTGCCTCATTTTGACGGAATGCCTCACATCCCGCTGACACCTCGAGAGGCACGCGGAGTTCATTGCTTCAAAAGGTGACGATGCCTGACTCCTCTAGAATACTGATAGGAATCCCAGAATCCGTGTGGCTACTGGAAAGGGTCCTTGGGTGCCCTGCCTCACCTCGAGAAGCGTCCCTTTTGCCCTGCCAAGCCTCGAAGAGATTCCTGAGGTGTCCCTCGTTACTAGACAGGAGTCCTGACGTCTCTGAACAAACTCGTGTTTTGAAGGGCCATCCCCGCCGTAAGTCGAGAACATAACCCCGGTCCCTGCCGCAACTCGAGAAAAACCATGAGACTTCCCCCTAGAGGCGAGATGAGGCCCCATTCCCCTGCAGTGCATGCAGAGCTATTCCGTGATTCCATTCAAACAAGTCAGGAGCTTCGACTTGCTTAATCGATCTCGAGACAGTCCCCAAGAACACTGTCACCAGTCTAGACGGACCAGAGGTCACCCCAGCAACACAAAGCAGCTCCATGTGCCCCAAATCAACTCGAGATGAGGCCCGATTCCCCTGCATTGACTCCAGAGCCATTCCCCGTTCCCCATTCAACACGACCGGTGGCTCGACTTCCTTCACGCAACTCCAGAGATGCCCCGAGAACCCTGTCCCAAGTCTAGAGGAATATCAACTTCAGCACAGCAACTCGAGAAATGCTCCGTGTACCCCAAATCGTCTCGAGATGAGAGCTGATTCCCTGGCTTAAGCTCAAGACGTACGCCAACTTTCCAGAAGCACCACAGGGGGAGGCTTCTCTCAGCCATAAGTATGTGGGAGGGACCCCGAGTTTGCTGCCTGAAGGGGAATATACAGCCAGAAGCCCTAACTTGAAAGGAGCCCGGATTTATTTGCAGTGGCTTGAATACAGGCTCGTCTTTCATCTCACAACATGAAGGGATGTCTGAATCCACTGTGGAGACCTTAGAGAAAGCCCTAGGTCCCTGCCTCATTTTGACGGAATGCCTCACATCGCGCTGACCCCTCGAGAGGCACGCGGAGTTCATTGCTTCAAAAGTGACGATGCCTGACTCCTCTTGAATACTGATAGGAATCCCAGAATCCCTGTGGCTACTGGAAAGGGTCCTTGGGTGCCCTGCCTCACCTCGAGAAGCGTCCCTTTTGCCCTGCCAAGCCTCGAAGAGATTCCTGAGGTGTCCCTCGTTACTAGACAGGAGTCCTGACGTCCCTGAAGAAACTCGTGTTTTGAAGGGCCATCCCCGCCGTAAGTCGAGAACATACCCCAGGTCCCCGCCGCAACTCGAGAAAAACCATGAGACTTCCCCCTAGAGGCGAGATGAGGCCCCATTCCCCTGCATTGCGTGCAGAGCTATTCCGTGATCCCATTCAAACAAGTCAGGAGCTTCCACTTGCTTAATCGATCTCGAGACAGTCCCCAAGAACACTGTCACCAGTCTAGACGGACCCTGAGGTCACCCCGGCAACGCAAAGCAGCTCCATGTGCCCCAAATCAACTCGAGATGAGGCCCGATTCCCCTGCATTGACTCCAGAGCCATTCCCCGTTCCCCATTCAACACGACCGGTGGCTCGACTTCCTTCAGGCAACTCCAGAGATGCCCCGAGAACCCTGTCCCAAGTCTAGAGGAACACCAACTTCAGCACAGCACCTCGAGGAATGCTCCGTGTACCCCAAATCGTCTCGAGATGAGAGCTGATTCCCTGGCTTAGGCTCAATACGTATGCCAACTTTCCAGAAGGACCTCAGGAGGAGGCTTCTCTCAGCAATAGGTATGTGGGAGGGACCCCGAGTTTGCTGCCTCAAGGGGAATATAGAGCGAGAAGCCCTAACTTGAAAGGAGGACGGATTTCCTTGCAGTGGCTTGAATACAGGCTCGTCTTTCATCTCACAACATGAAGGGATGTCTGAATCCCCTGTGGAGACCTTAAAGAAAGCCCTAGGCCCCTGCCTCATTTTGACGGAATGCCTCACATCGCGCTGACACCTCGAGAGGCACGCGGAGTTCATTGCTTCAAAAGGTGACGATGCCTGACTCCTCTTGAATACTGATAGGAATCCCAGAATCCCTGTGGCTACTGGAAAGGGTCCTTGGGTGCCCTGCCTCACCTCGAGAAGCGTCCCTTTTACCCTGCCAAGCCTCGAAGAGATTCCTGAGGTGTCCCTCGTTACTAGACAGGAGTCCTGACGTCACTGAAGAAACTCGTGTTTTGAAGGGCCATCCCCGCCGTAAGTCGAGAACATACCCCAAGTCCCCGTCGCAACTCGAGAAAAACCATGAGACTTCCCCCTAGAGGCGAGATGAGGCCCCATTCCCCTGCAGTGCATGCAGAGCTATTCCGTGATTCCATTCAAAGAAGTCAGGAGCTGCGACTTGCTTAATGGATCTCGAGACAGTCCCCAAGAACACTGTCACAAGTCTAGACGGACCCTGAGGTCACCCCAGCAACGCAAAGCAGCTCCATGTGCCCCAAATCACCTCGAGATGAGGCCCGATTCCCCTGCATTGACTCCAGAGCCATTCCCCGATCCCCATTCAACACGACCGGTGGCTCGACTTCCTTCAGGCAACTCCAGAGATGCCCCGAGAACCCTGTCCCAAGTCTAGAGGAACACCAACTTCAGCACAGCAACTCGAGGAATGCTCCGTGTACCCCAAATCGTCTCGAGATGAGAGCTGATTCCCTGGCTTAGGCTCAAGACGTATGCCAACTTTCCAGAAGCACCTCAGAGGGAAGCTTCTCTCAGCCATAGGTATGTGGGAGGGACCCCGAGTTTGCTGCCTCAAGGGGAATATACAGCGAGAAGCCCTAACTTGAAAGGAGGCCGGATTTCCTTGCAGTGGCTTGAATACAGGCTCGTCTTTCATCTCACAACATGAAGGGATGTCTGAATCCACTGTGGAGACCTTAGAGAAAGCCCTAGGTCCCTGCCTCATTTTGACGGAATGCCTCACATCCCGCTGACACCTCGAGAGGCACGCGGAGTTCATTGCTTCAAAATATGATGATGCCTGACTCCTCTAGAATACTGATAGGAATCCCAGAATCCCTGTGGCTACTGGAAAGGGTCCTTGGGTGCCCTGCCTCACCTCGAAAAGCGTCCCTTTTGCCCTGAAAGCCTCGAAGAGATTCCTGAGGTGTCCCTCATTACTAGACAGGAGTCCTGACGTCACTGAAGAAACTCGTGTTTTGAAGGGCCATCCCCGCCGTAAGTCGAGAACATACCCCAGATCCGCACCGCAACTGGAGAAAAACCATGAGACTTCCCCCTAGAGGCGAGATGAGGCCCCATTCCCCTGCAGTGCGTGCAGAGCTATTCCGTGATCCCATTCAAACAAGTCAGGAGATTCGACTTGCTTAATGGATCTCGAGACAGTCCCCAAGAACACTGTCACCAGTCTAGACGGACCCTGAGGTCACCCCAGCAACGCCATGCAGCTCCATGTGCCCCAAATCAACTCGAGATGAGGCCCGATTCCCCTGCATTGACTCCAGAGCCATTCTCCATTCCCCATTAAACACGACCGGTGGCTCGACTTCCTTCAGGCAACTCCAGAGATGCCCCGAGAACCCTGTCCCAAGTCTAGAAGAACACCAACTTCAGCACAGCAACTCGAGGAATGCTCCGTGTACCCCAAATCGTCTCGAGATGAGAGATGATTCCCTGGCTTAGGCTCAAGACGTATGCCAACTTTCCAGAAGCACCTCACGGGGAGGCTTCTCTCAACCATAGGTATGTGGGAGGGACCCCGAGTTTGCTGCATCAAGGGGAATATACAGCGAGAAGACCTAACTTCAAAGGAGGCCGGATTTCCTTGCAGTGGCTTGAATACAGCCGCGTCTTTCATCTCAGAACATGAAGGGATGTCTGAATCCCCTGTGGAGACCTTAGAGAAAGCCCTAGGTCCCTGCCTCATTTTGACGGAATGCCTCACATCCCGCTGACACTTCGAGAGTCACCGGAGTTCATTGCTTCAAAAGGTGACGATGCCTGGCTCCTCTTGAATACTGATAGGAATCCCAGAATCCCTGTGGCTACTGGAAAGGGTCCTTGGGTGCCCTGCCTCACCTCGAGAAGCGTCCGTTTTGCCCTGCCAAGCCTCGAAGAGATTCCTGAGGTGTCCCTCGTTACTAGACAGGAGTCCTGACGTCCCTGAAGAAACTCGTGTTTTGAAGGACCATCCCCGCCGTAAGTCGAGAACATACCCCAGGACCCGCCGCAACTCGAGAAAAACCATGAGACTTCCCACTAGAGGCGAGATGAGTCCTCATTCCCCTGCAGTGCGTGCAGAGCTATTCCGTGATCCCATTCAAAGAAGTCAGGAGCTTCGACTTGCTTAATCGATCTCGAGACAGTCCCCAAGAACACTTTCACCAGTCTAGACGGACCCTGACGTCACCCCGGCAACGCAAAGCAGCTCCATGTACCCCAAATCAACTCGAGATGAGGCCCGATTCCCCTGCATTGACTCCAGAGCCATTCCCCGTTCCCCATTCAACACGACCGGTGGCTCGACTTCCTTCAGGCAACTCCAGAGATGCCCCGAGAACACTGTCGCAAGTCTAGAGGAACACCAACTTCAGCACAGCAACTCGAGGAATGCTCCGTGTACCCCAAATCATTTCGAGATGAGAGCTGATTCCCTGGCTTAGGCTCAAGACGTATGCCAACTTTCCAGAAGGACCTCAGGAGGAGGCTTCTCTCAGCAATAGGTATGTGGGAGGGACCCCGAGTTTGCTGCCTGAAGGGGAATATACAGCGAGAAGCCCTAACTTGAAAGGAGGCCGGATTTCCTTGCAGTGGCTTGAATACAGGCTTGTCTTTCATCTCATAACATGAAGGAATGTCTGAATCCCCTATGGAGACCGTAGAGAAAGCCCTAGATCCCTGCCTCATTTTGACGGAATGCCTCACATCCCGCTGACACCTCGTCAGGCACGCGGAGTTCATTGCTTCAAAAGCTGACGATGCCTGACTCCTCTTGAATACTGATAGGAATCCCAGAATCCCTGTGGCTACTGGAAAGGGTCCTTGGGTACCCTGCCTCACCTCGAGAAGCGTCCCTTTTGCCCTGCCAATCTCGAAGAGATTCCTGAGGTGTCCCTCGTTACTAGACAGGAGTCCTGATGTCACTGAAGAAACTCCTGTTTTGAAGGGCCATCCCCGCCGTAAGTCGAGAACATACCCCAGGTCCCCGCCGCAACTCGAGAAAAAACATGAGACTTCCCCCTAGAGGCGAGATGAAGCCCCATTCCCCTGCAGTGCATGCCGTGCTATTCCGTGATCCCATTCAAACAAGTCAGGAGCTTCGACTTGCTTAATGGATCTCGAGAGAGTCCCCAAGAACACTGTCACCAGTCTAGACGGTCGCTGATGTCACCCCAGCAAAGCAAGGCAGCTGCATGGGCCCTAAATCAACTCGAGATGAGGCCCGATTCCCCTGCATTGACTGCAGAGCCTTTCCCCGTTCCGCATTCAACACGACCGGTGGCTCGACTTCCATCAGGCAACTCCAGAGATGCCCCGAGAACCCTGTCCCAAGTCTAGAGGAACACCAACTTCAGCACAGCAACCCGAGGAATGCTCTGTGTACCCCCAAATCGTCTCGAGATGAGAGCTGATTCCCTGGCTTAGGCCCAAGACGTATGCCAGCTTTCCAGAAGCACCTCAGGAGGAGGCTTCTCTCAGCAATAGGTATGTGGGAGGGACCCCAAGTTTGCTGCCTCAAGGGGGATATACAGCAAGAAGCCCTAACTTGAAAGGAGGCCGGATTTCTGTGCAGTGGCTTGAATACAGGCTCGTCTTTCATCTCACAACATGAAGGGATGTCTGAATCCCCTGTGGAGACCTTAGAGAAAGCCCTAGGTCCCTGCCTCATTTTGACGGAATGCCTCACATCCCGCTGACACCTGGAGAAGCACGCGGAGTTCATTGCTTCAAAAGGTGACGATGCCTGACTCCTCTTGAATACTGATAGGAATCCCAAAATCCCTGTGGCTACTGGAAAGGGTCCTTGGGTGCCCTGCCTCACCTCGAGAAGCGTCCCTTTTGCCCTGCCAAGCCTCGAAGAGATTCCTGAGGTGTCCCTCGTTACTAGACAGGAGTCCTGACGTCACTGAAGAAACTCGTGTTTTGAAGGGCCATCCCCGCCTTAAGTCGAGAACGTACCCCAGGTCCCCGCCGCAACTCGAAAAAAACCATGAGACTTGCCCCTAGAGGCGAGATGAGGCCCCATTCCCCTGCAGTCCATGCAGAGCTATTCCGTAATCCCATTCAAAGAAGTCAGGAGCTTCGACTTGCTTAATGGAATTCGAGACAGTTCCCAAGAACACTGTCACCAGTCTAGACGGACCCTGAGGCCACCGCAGCAACGCAAAGCAGCTCCATGTGCCCCAAATCACCTCGAGATGAGGCCCGATTCCCCTGCATTGACTCCAGAGCCATTCCCCGTTCCCCATTCAACACGACCGGTGGCTCGACTTCCTTCAGGCAACTCCAGAGATGCCCCGAGAACACTGTCCCAAGTCCAAAGGAACACCAACTTCAGCACAGCAACTCGAGGAATGCTCTGTGTACCACAAATCGTCTCGAGATGAGAGCTGATTCCCTGGCTTAAGCTCAAGACGTACGCCAACTTTCCAGAAGCACCTCAGGGGGAGGCTTCTCTCAGCCATAAGTATGTGGGAGGGACCCCGAGTTTGCTGCCTGAAGGGGAATATACAGCCAGAAGCCCTAACTTGAAAGGAGCCCGGATTTCCTTGCAGTGGCTTGAATACAGGCTCGTCTTTCATCTCACAACATGAAGGGATGTCTGAATCCACTGTGGAGACCTTAGAGAAAGCCCTAGGTCCCTACCTCATTTTGACGGAATGCCTCACATCGCGCTGACACGTCGAGAGGCACGCGGAGTTCATTGCTTCAAAAGTGACGATGCCTGACTCCTCTTGAATACTGATAGGAATCCCAGAATCCCTGTGGCTACTGGAAAGGGTCCTTGGGTGCCCTGCCTCACCTCGAGAAGCGTCCCTTTTGCCCTGCCAAGCCTCGAAGAGATTCCTGAGGTGTCCCTCGTTACTAGACAGGAGTCCTGACGTCCCTGAAGAAACTCGTGTTTTGAAGAGCCATCCCCGCCGTAAGTCGAGAACATACCCCAGGTACCCGCCGCAACTCGAGAAAAACCATGAGACTTCCCCCTAGAGGCGAGATGAGGCCCCATTCCCCTGCAGTGCGTGCAGAGCTATTCCGTGATCCCATTCAAACAGGTCAGGAGCTTCCACTTGCTTAATCGATCTCGAGACAGTCCCCAAGAACACTGTCACCAGTCTAGACGGACCCTGAGGTCACCCCGGCAACGCAAAGCAGCTCCATGTGCCCCAAATCAACTCGAGATGAGGCCCGATTCCCCTGCATTGACTCCAGAGCCATTCCCCATTCCCCATTCAACACGACCGGTGGCTCGACTTCCTTCAGGCAACTCCAGAGATGCCCCGAGAACACTGTCGCAAGTCTAGAGGAACACCAACTTCAGCACAGCAACTCGAGGAATGCTCCGTTTACCCCCAAATCGTCTCGAGATGAGAGCTGATTCCCTGGCTTAGGCTCAAGACGTATGCCAACTTTACAGAAGCACCTCAGGAGAAGGTTTCTCTCAGCAATAGGAATGTGGGAGGGACCCCGAGTTTGCTGCCTCAAGGGGAATATACAGCGAGAAGCCCTAACTTGAAAGGAGGCCGGATTTCCTTGCAGTGGCTTGAATACAGGCTCGTCTTTCATCTCACAAAGAAAGGGATGTCTGAATCCACTGTGGAGACCTTAGAGAAAGCCCTAGGTCCCTGCCTCATTTTGACGGAATGCCTCACATCCCGCTGACACCTCGAGAGGCACGCGGAGTTCATTGCTTCAAAAGGTGACGATGCCTGACTCCTCTTGAATACTGATAGGAATCCCAGAATTCCTGTGGCTACTGGAAAGGGTCTTGGGTGCCCTGCCTCACCTCGAGAAGCGTCCCTTTTCCCCTGCCAAGCCTCGAAGAGATTCCTGAGGTGTCCCACATTACTAGACAGGAGTCCTGACGTCACTGAAGAAACTCGTGTTTTGAAGGGCCATCCCCGCCGTAAGTCGAGAACATACCCCAGGTCCCCGCCGCAACTCGAGAAAAACCATGAGACTTCCCCCTAGAGGCGAGATGAGGCCCCATTCCCCTGCAGTGCGTGCAGAGCTATTCCGTGATCCCATTCAAACTAGTCAGGAGCTTCGACTTGCTTAATGGATCTCGAGACAGTCCCCAAGAACACTGTCACCAGTCTATACGGACCCTGAGGTCACCCCAGCAACGCAAAGCAGCTCCATGTGCCCCAAATCAACTCGAGATGAGGCCCGATTCCCCTGCATTGACTCCAGAGCCATTCCCCGTTCCCCATTCAACACGACCGGTGGCTCGACTTCCTTCACGCAACTCCAGAGATGCCCCGAGAACCCTGTCCCAAGTATAGAGGAACACCAACTTCAGCACAGCACCTCGAGGAATGCTCCGTGTACCCCAAATCGTCTCGAGATGAGAGCTGATTCCCTGGCTTAGGCTCAATACGTATGCCAACTTTCCAGAAGGACCTCAGGAGGAGGCTTCTCTCAGCAATAGGTATGTGGGAGGGACCCCGAGTTTGCTGCCTCAAGGGGAATATAGAGCGAGAAGCCCTAACTTGAAAGGAGGACGGATTTCCTTGCAGTGGCTTGGATACAGGCTCGTCTTTCATCTCACAACATGAAGGGATGTCTGAATCCCCTGTGGAGACCTTAAAGAAAGCCCTAGGCCCCTGCCTCATTTTGACGGAATGCCTCACATCGCGCTGACACCTCGAGAGGCACGCGGAGTTCATTGCTTCAAAAGGTGACGATGCCTGACTCCTCTTGAATACTGATAGGAATCCCAGAATCCCTGTGGCTACTGGAAAGGGTCCTTGGGTGCCCTGCCTCACCTCGAGAAGCGTCCCTTTTACCCTGCCAAGCCTCGAAGAGATTCCTGAGGTGTCCCTCGTTACTAGACAGGAGTCCTGACGTCACTGAAGAAACTCGTGTTTTGAAGGGCCATCCCCGCCGTAAGTCGAGAACATACCCCAAGGCCCCGTCGCAACTCGAGAAAAACCATGAGACTTCCCCCTAGAGGCGAGATGAGGCCCCATTCCCCTGCAGTGCATGCAGAGCTATTCCGTGATTCCATTCAAAGAAGTCAGGAGCTTCGACTTGCTTAATGGATCTCGAGACAGTCCCCAAGAACACTGTCACAAGTCTAGACGGACCCTGAGGTCACCCCAGCAACGCAGAGCAGCTCCATGTGCCCCAAATCACCTCGAGATGAGGCCCGATTCCCCTGCATTGACTCCAGAGCCATTCCCCGTTCCCCATTCAACACGACCGGTGGCTCGACTTCCTTCAGGCAACTCCAGAGATGCCCCGAGAACCCTGTCCCAAGTCTAGAGGAACACCAACTTCAGCACAGCAACTCGAGGAATGCTCCGTGTACCCCAAATCGTCTCGAGATGAGAGCTGATTCCCTGGCTTAGGCTCAAGACGTATGCCAACTTTCCAGAAGCACCTCACGGGGAGGCTTCTCTCAGCCATAGGTATGTGGGAGGGACCCCGAGTTTGCTGCCTCAAGGGGAATATACAGCGAGAAGACCTAACTTCAAAGGAGGCCGGATTTCCTTGCAGTGGCTTGAATACAGCCGCGTCTTTCATCTCAGAACATGAAGGGATGTCTGAATCCCCTGTGGAGACCTTAGAGAAAGCCCTAGGTCCCTGCCTCATTTTGACGGAATGCCTCACATCCCGCTGACACTTCGAGAGTCACCGGAGTTCATTGCTTCAAAAGGTGACGATGCCTGGCTCCTCTTGAATACTGATAGGAATCCCAGAATCCCTGTGGCTACTGGAAAGGGTCCTTGGGTGCCCTGCCTCACCTCGAGAAGCGTCCCTTTTGCCCTGCCAAGCCTCGAAGAGATTCCTGAGGTGTCCCTCGTTACTAGACAGGAGTCCTGACATCATTGAAGAAACTCGTGTTTTGAAGGGCCATCCCCGCCGTAAGTCGAGAACATACCCCAGGTCCCCGCCGCAACTCGAAAAAAACCATGAGACTTCCCCCTAGAGGCGAGATGAGGCCCCATTCCCCTGCAGTGCATGCAGAACTATTCCGTGATTCGATTCAAAGAAGTCAGGAGCTTCGACTTGCTTAATGGATCTCGAGACAATCCCCAAGAACACTGTCACAAGTCTAGACGGACCCTGAGGTCACCCCAGCAACGCAAAGCAGCTCCATGTGCCCCAAATCACCTCGAGATGAGGCCCGATTCCCCTGCATTGACTCCAGAGCCATTCCCCGTTCCCCATTCAACACGACCGGTGGCTCGACTTCCTTCAGGCAACTCCAGAGATGCCCCGAGAACCCTGTCCCAAGTCTAGAAGAACACCAACTTCAGCACAGCAACTCGAGGAATGCTCCGTGTACCCCAAATCGTCTCGAGATGAGAGCTGATTCCCTGGTTAGGCTCAAGACGTATGCCAACTTTCCAGAAGCACCTCACGGGGAGGCTTCTTCAGCCATAGGTATGTGGGAGGGACCCCGAGTTTGCTGCATGAAGGGGAATATACAGCGAGAAGCGCTAACTTGAAAGGAGGCCGGATTTCCTTGCAGTGGCTTGAATACAGGCTCGTCTTTCATCTCACAACATGAAGGAATGTCTGAATCCACTGTGGAGACCTTAGAGAAAGCCCTAGGTCCCTGCCTCATTTTGACGGAATGCCTCACATCCCGCTGACACCTCGAGAGGCACGCGGAGTTCATTGCTTCAAAAGGTGACGATGCCTGACTCCTCTTGAATACTGATAGGAATCCCAGAATCCCAGTGGCTACTGGAAAGGGTCCTTGGGTGCCCTGCCTCACCTCGAGAAGCGTCCCTTTTGCCCTGCCAAGCCTCGAAGAGATTCCTGAGGTGTCCCACATTACTAGACAGGAGTCCTGACGTCACTGAAGAAACTCGTGTTTTGAAGGGCCATCCCCGCCGTAAGTCGAGAACATACCCCAGGTCCCCGCCGCAACTCGAGAAAAACCATGAGACTTCCCCCTAGAGGCGAGATGAGGCCCCATTCCCCTGCAGTGCGTGCAGAGTTATTCCGTGATCCCATTCAAACTAGTCAGGAACTTCGACTTGCTTAATGGATCTCGAGACAGTCCCCAAGAACACTGTCACCAGTCTAGACGGACCCTGAGGTCACCCCAGCAACGCAAAGCAGCTCCATGTGCCCCAAATCAACTCGAGATGAGGCCCGATTCCCCTGCATTGACTCCAGAGCCATTCCCCGTTCCCCATTCAACACGACCGGTGGCTCGACTTCCTTCAGGTAACTCCGCCCCAAGAACACTGTCCCAAGTCTAGAGGAACACCAACTTCAGCACAGCAACTCGAGGAATGCTCCGTGTACCCCAAATCGTCTCGAGATTAGAGCTGATTCCCTGGCTTAGGCTCAAGACATATGCCAACTTTCCAGAAGCACCTCAGGAGGAGGCTTCTCTCAGCAATAGGTATTTGGGAGGGACCCCGAGTTTGCTGCATGAAGGGGAATATACAGCGAGAAGCCCTAACTTGAAAGGAGGCCGGATTTCCTTGCACGGGCTTGAATACAGGCTCGTCTTTCATCTCACAACATGAAGGGATGTCGGAATCCACTGTGGAGACCTTAGAGAAAGCCCAAGGTCCCTGCCTCATTTTGACGGAATGCCTCACATCCCGTTGACACCTCGAGAGGCACGCAGAGTTCATTGCTTCAAAAGGTGACGATGGCTGACTATTCTTGAATACTGATAGGAATCCCAAAATCCCCGTGGCTACTGGAAAGGGTCCTTGGGTGCCCTGCCTCACCTCGAGAAGCGTCCCTTTTGCCCTGCCAAGCCTCGAAGAGATTCCTGAGGTGTCCCTCGTTACTAGACAGGAGTCCTGACGTCACTGAAGAAACTCGTGTTTTGAAGGGCCTTCCCCGCCTTAAGTCGAGAACATAGCCCAGGTCCCCGCCGCAACTCGAGAAAAACCATGAGACTTCCCCCTAGAGGCGAGATGAGGCCCCATTCCCCTGCAGTGCATGCAGAGCTATTCCGTGATCCCATTCAAACAAGTCAGGAGCTTCGAATTGCTTAATGGATCTCGAGACAGTCCCCAAGAAGACTGTCACCAGTCTATACGGACCCTGAGGTCACCCCAGCAACGCAAAGCAGCACCATGTGCCCCAAATCAACTCGAGATGAGGCCCGATTCCCCTGCATTGACTCCAGAGCCATTCCCCGTTCCCCATTCAACACGACCGGTGGCTCGACTTCCTTCACGCAACTCCAGAGATGCCCCGAGAACCCTTTCCCAAGTCTAGAGGAATATCAACTTCAGCACAGCAACTCGAGAAATGCTCCGTGTACCCCAAATCGTCTCGAGATGAGAGCTGATTCCCTGGCTTAGGCTCAAGACGTATGCCAACTTTCCAGAAGCACCTCAGGGGGAGGCTTCTCTCAGCCATAAGTATGTGGGAGGGACCCCAAGTTTGCTGCCTCAAGGGGAATATACAGCGAGAAGCCCTAACAAGAAAGGAGGCCGGATTTCCTTGCAGTGGCTTGAATACAGGCTCGTCTTTCATCTCACAACATGAAGGGATGTCTGAATCCCCTGTGGAGACCTTAGAGAAAGCCCTAGGTCCCTGCCTCATTTTGACGGAATGCCTCACATCGCGCTGACACCTCGAGAGGCACGCGGAGTTCATTGCTTCAAAAGTGACGATGCCTGACTCCTCTTGAATACTGATAGGAATCCCAGAATCCCTGTGGCTACTGGAAAGGGTCCTTGGGTGCCCTGCCTCACCTCGAGAAGCGTCCCTTTTGCCCTGCCAAGCCTCGAAGAGATTCCTGAGGTGTCTCTCGTTACTAGACAGGAGTCCTGACGTCCCTGAAGAAACTCGTGTTTTGAAGGACCATCCCCGCCGTAAGTCGAGAACATACCCCAGGACCCGCCGCAACTCGAGAAAAACCATGAGACTTCCCACTAGAGGCGAGATGAGTCCTCATTCCCCTGCAGTGCGTGCAGAGCTATTCCGTGATCCCATTCAAAGAAGTCAGGAGCTTCGACTTGCTTAATCGATCTCGAGACAGTCCCCAAGAACACTCTCACCAGTCTAGACGGACACTGACGTCACCCCGGCAACGCAAAGCAGCTCCATGTACCCCAAATCAACTCGAGATGAGGCCCGATTCCCCTGCATTGACTCCAGAGCCATTCCCCGTTCCCCATTCAACACGACCGGTGGCTCGACTTCCTTCAGGCAACTCCAGAGATGCCCCGAGAACACTGTCGCAAGTCTAGAGGAACACCAACTTCAGCACAGCAACTCGAGGAATGCTCCGTGTACCCCAAATCATTTCGAGATGAGAGCTGATTCCCTGGCTTAGGCTCAAGACGTATGCCAACTTTCCAGAAGGACCTCAGGAGGAGGCTTCTCTCAGCAATAGGTATGTGGGAGGGACCCCGAGTTTGCTGCCTGAAGGGGAATATACAGCGAGAAGCCCTAACTTGAAAGGAGGCCGGATTTCCTTGCAGTGGCTTGAATACAGGCTTGTCTTTCATCTCATAACATGAAGGAATGTCTGAATCCCCTATGGAGACCTTAGAGAAAGCCCTAGATCCCTGCCTCATTTTGACGGAATGCCTCACATCCCGCTGACACCTCGTCAGGCACGCGGAGTTCATTGCTTCAAAAGCTGACGATGCCTGACTCCTCTTGAATACTGATAGGAATCCCAGAATCCCTGTGGCTACTGGAAAGGGTCCTTGGGTACCCTGCCTCACCTCGAGAAGCGTCCCTTTTGCCCTGCCAATCTCGAAGAGATTCCTGAGGTGTCCCTCGTTACTAGACAGGAGTCCTGATGTCACTGAAGAAACTCGTGTTTTGAAGGGCCATCCCCGCCGTAAGTCGAGAACATACCCCAGGTCCCCGCCGCAACTCGAGAAAAACCATGAGACTTCCCCCTAGAGGCGAGATGAAGCCCCATTCCCCTGCAGTGCATGCCGAGCTATTCCGTGATCCCATTCAAACAAGTCAGGAGCTTCGACTTGCTTAATGGATCTCGAGACAGTCCCCAAGAACACTGTCACCAGTCTAGACGGTCGCTGATGTCACCCCAGCAAAGCAAGGCAGCTGCATGAGCCCTAAATCAACTCGAGATGAGGCCCGATTCCCCTGCATTGACTGCAGAGCCTTTCCCCGTTCCGCATTCAACACGACCGGTGGCTCGACTTCCATCAGGCAACTCCAGAGATGCCCCGAGAACCCTGTCCCAAGTCTAGAGGAACACCAACTTCAGCACAGCAACCCGAGGAATGCTCTGTGTACCCCCAAATCGTCTCGAGATGAGAGCTGATTCCCTGGCTTAGGCCCAAGACGTATGCCAGCTTTCCAGAAGCACCTCAGGAGGAGGCTTCTCTCAGCAATAGGTATGTGGGAGGGACCCCAAGTTTGCTGCCTCAAGGGGGATATACAGCAAGAAGCCCTAACTTGAAAGGAGGCCGGATTTCTGTGCAGTGGCTTGAATACAGGCTCGTCTTTCATCTCACAACATGAAGGGATGTCTGAATCCCCTGTGGAGACCTTAGAGAAAGCCCTAGGTCCCTGCCTCATTTTGACGGAATGCCTCAAATCCCACTGACACCTGGAGAGGCACGCGGAGTTCATTGCTTCAAAAGGTGACGATGCCTGACTCCTCTTGAATACTGATAGGAATCCCAGAATCCCTGTGGCTACTGGAAAGGGTCCTTGGGTGCCCTGCCTCACCTCGAGAAGCGTCCCTTTTGCCCTGCCAAGCCTCGAAGAGATTCCTGAGGTGTCCCTCGTTACTAGACAGGAGTCCTGACGTCACTGAAGAAACTCGTGTTTTGAAGGGCCATCCCCGCCTTAAGTCGAGAACGTACCCCAGGTCCCCGCCGCAACTCGAAAAAAACCATGAGACTTCCCCCTAGAGGCGAGATGAGGCCCCATTCCCCTGCAGTGCATGCAGAGCTATTCCGTAATCCCATTCAAAGAAGTCAGGAGCTTCGACTTGCTTAATGGATCTCGAGACAGTCCCCAAGAACACTGTCACCAGTCTAGACGGACCCTGAGGCCACCCCAGCAACGCAAAGCAGCTCCATGTGCCCCAAATCACCTCGAGATGAGGCCCGATTCCCCTGCATTGACTCCAGAGCCATTCCCCGTTCCCCATTCAACACGACCGGTGGCTCGACTTCCTTCAGGCAACTCCAGAGATGCCCCGAGAACACTGTCCCAAGTCCAAAGGAACACCAACTTCAGCACAGCAACTCGAGGAATGCTCCGTGTACCCCAAATCGTCTCGAGATGAGAGCTGATTCCCTGGCTTAGGCTCAAGACGTATGCCAACTTTCCAGAAGCACCTCACGGGGAGGCTTCTCTCAGCCATAGGTATGTGGGAGGGACCCCGAGTTTGCTGCCTCAAGGGGAATATACAGCGAGAAGCCCTAACTTGAAAGGAGGCCGGATTTCCTTGCAGTGGCTTGAATACAGGCTCGTCTTTCATCTCACAACATGAAGGGATGTCTGAATCCCCTGTGGAGACCTTAGAGAAAGCCCTAGTTCCCTGCCTCATTTTGACGGAATGCCTCACATCCCGCTGACACTTCGAGAGGCACCGGAGTTCATTGCTTCAAAAGGTGACGATGCCTGACTCCTCTTGAATACTGATAGGAATCCCAAAATCCCTGTGGCTACTGGAAAGGGTCCTTGGGTGCCCTGCCTCACCTCGAGAAGCGTCCGTTTTGCCCTTCCAAGCCTCGAAGAGATTCCTGAGGTGTCCCTCGTTACTAGAGAGGAGTCCTTACGTCATTGAAAAAACTCGTGTTTTGAAGGGCCATCCCGCCGTAAGTCGAGAACATACCCCAGGTCCCCGCCGCAACTCGAAAAAAACGATGAGACTTCCCCCTAGAGGCGAGATGAGGCCCCATTCCCCTGCAGTGCATGCAGAGCTATTCCGTGATCCCATTCAAAGAAGTCAGGAGCTTCGACTTGCTTAATGGATCTCGAGACAGTCCCCAAGAACACTGTCACAAGTCTAGACGGACCCTGAGGTCACCCAGCAACGCAAAGCAGCTCCATGTGCCCCAAATCACCTCGAGATGAGGCCCGATTCCCCTGCATTGACTCCAGAGCAATTCCCCTTTCCCCATTCAACACGACCGGTGGCTCGACTTCCTTCAGGCAACTCCAGAGATTTCCCGAGAACACTGTCCCAAGTCTAGAGGAACACCAACTTCAGCACAGCAACTCGAGGAATGCTCCGTGTACCCCAAATCGTCTCGAGATGAGAGCTGATTCCCTGGCTTAGGCTCTAGACGTATGCCAGCTTTCCAGAAGCACCTCAGGAGGAGGCATCTCTCAGCAATAGGTATGTGGGAGGGACCCCGAGTTTGCTGCCTCAAGGGGAATATACAGCGAGAAGCCCTAACTTGAAAGGAGGCCGGATTTCCTGCAGTGGCTTGAATACAGGCTCGTCTTTCATCTCACAATATGAAGGGATGTCTGAATCCCCTGTGGAGACCTTAGAGAAAGCCCTAGGTCCCTGCCTCATTTTGACGGAATGCCTCACATCCCGCTGACACCTCGAGAGGCACGCGGAGTTCATTGCTTCAAAAGGTGACGATGCCTGACTCCTCTAGAATACTGATAGGAATCCCAGAATCCGTGTGGCTACTGGAAAGGGTCCTTGGGTGCCCTGCCTCACCTCGAGAAGCGTCCCTTTTGCCCTGCCAAGCCTCGAAGAGATTCCTGAGGTGTCCCTCGTTACTAGACAGGAGTCCTGACGTCTCTGAACAAACTCGTGTTTTGAAGGGCCATCCCCGCCGTAAGTCGAGAACATAACCCCGGTCCCTGCCGCAACTCGAGAAAAACCATGAGACTTCCCCCTAGAGGCGAGATGAGGCCCCATTCCCCTGCAGTGCATGCAGAGCTATTCCGTGATTCCATTCAAACAAGTCAGGAGCTTCGACTTGCTTAATCGATCTCGAGACAGTCCCCAAGAACACTGTCACCAGTCTAGACGGACCAGAGGTCACCCCAGCAACACAAAGCAGCTCCATGTGCCCCAAATCAACTCGAGATGAGGCCCGATTCCCCTGCATTGACTCCAGAGCCATTCCCCGTTCCCCATTCAACACGACCGGTGGCTCGACTTCCTTCACGCAACTCCAGAGATGCCCCGAGAACCCTGTCCCAAGTCTAGAGGAATATCAACTTCAGCACAGCAACTCGAGAAATGCTCCGTGTACCCCAAATCGTCTCGAGATGAGAGCTGATTCCCTGGCTTAAGCTCAAGACGTACGCCAACTTTCCAGAAGCACCACAGGGGGAGGCTTCTCTCAGCCATAAGTATGTGGGAGGGACCCCGAGTTTGCTGCCTGAAGGGGAATATACAGCCAGAAGCCCTAACTTGAAAGGAGCCCGGATTTCCTTGCAGTGGCTTGAATACAGGCTCGTCTTTCATCTCACAACATGAAGGGATGTCTGAATCCACTGTGGAGACCTTAGAGAAAGCCCTAGGTCCCTGCCTCATTTTGACGGAATGCCTCACATCGCGCTGACCCCTCGAGAGGCACGCGGAGTTCATTGCTTCAAAAGTGACGATGCCTGACTCCTCTTGAATACTGATAGGAATCCCAGAATCCCTGTGGCTACTGGAAAGGGTCCTTGGGTGCCCTGCCTCACCTCGAGAAGCGTCCCTTTTGCCCTGCCAAGCCTCGAAGAGATTCCTGAGGTGTCCCTCGTTACTAGACAGGAGTCCTGACGTCCCTGAAGAAACTCGTGTTTTGAAGGGCCATCCCCGCCGTAAGTCGAGAACATACCCCAGGTCCCCGCCGCAACTCGAGAAAAACCATGAGACTTCCCCCTAGAGGCGAGATGAGGCCCCATTCCCCTGCATTGCGTGCAGAGCTATTCCGTGATCCCATTCAAACAAGTCAGGAGTTTCCACTTGCTTAATCGATCTCGAGACAGTCCCCAAGAACACTGTCACCAGTCTAGACGGACCCTGAGGTCACCCCGGCAACGCAAAGCAGCTCCATGTGCCCCAAATCAACTCGAGATGAGGCCCGATTCCCCTGCATTGACTCCAGAGCCATTCCCCGTTCCCCATTCAACACGACCGGTGGCTCTACTTCCTTCACGCAACTCCAGAGATGCCCCGAGAACCCTGTCCCAAGTCTAGAGGAACACCAACTTCAGCACAGCACCTCGAGGAATGCTCCGTGTACCCCAAATCGTCTCGAGATGAGAGCTGATTCCCTGGCTTAGGCTCAATACGTATGCCAACTTTCCAGAAGGACCTCAGGAGGAGGCTTCTCTCAGCAATAGGTATGTGGGAGGGACCCCGAGTTTGCTGCCTCAAGGGGAATATAGAGCGAGAAGCCCTAACTTGAAAGGAGGACGGATTTCCTTGCAGTGGCTTGAATACAGGCTCGTCTTTCATCTCACAACATGAAGGGATGTCTGAATCCCCTGTGGAGACCTTAAAGAAAGCCCTAGGCCCCTGCCTCATTTTGACGGAATGCCTCACATCGCGCTGACACCTCGAGAGGCACGCGGAGTTCATTGCTTCAAAAGGTGACGATGCCTGACTCCTCTTGAATACTGATAGGAATCCCAGAATCCCTGTGGCTACTGGAAAGGGTCCTTGGGTGCCCTGCCTCACCTCGAGAAGCGTCCCTTTTACCCTGCCAAGCCTCGAAGAGATTCCTGAGGTGTCCCTCGTTACTAGACAGGAGTCCTGACGTCACTGAAGAAACTCGTGTTTTGAAGGGCCATCCCCGCCGTAAGTCGAGAACATACCCCAAGTCCCCGTCGCAACTCGAGAAAAACCATGAGACTTCCCCCTAGAGGCGAGATGAGGCCCCATTCCCCTGCAGTGCATGCAGAGCTATTCCGTGATTCCATTCAAAGAAGTCAGGAGCTGCGACTTGCTTAATGGATCTCGAGACAGTCCCCAAGAACACTGTCACAAGTCTAGACGGACCCTGAGGTCACCCCAGCAACGCAAAGCAGCTCCATGTGCCCCAAATCACCTCGAGATGAGGCCCGATTCCCCTGCATTGACTCCAGAGCCATTCCCCGATCCCCATTCAACACGACCGGTGGCTCGACTTCCTTCAGGCAACTCCAGAGATGCCCCGAGAACCCTGTCCCAAGTCTAGAGGAACACCAACTTCAGCACAGCAACTCGAGGAATGCTCCGTGTACCCCAAATCGTCTCGAGATGAGAGCTGATTCCCTGGCTTAGGCTCAAGACGTATGCCAACTTTCCAGAAGCACCTCAGAGGGAAGCTTCTCTCAGCCATAGGTATGTGGGAGGGACCCCGAGTTTGCTGCCTCAAGGGGAATATACAGCGAGAAGCCCTAACTTGAAAGGAGGCCGGATTTCCTTGCAGTGGCTTGAATACAGGCTCGTCTTTCATCTCACAACATGAAGGGATGTCTGAATCCACTGTGGAGACCTTAGAGAAAGCCCTAGGTCCCTGCCTCATTTTGACGGAATGCCTCACATCCCGCTGACACCTCGAGAGGCACGCGGAGTTCATTGCTTCAAAATATGATGATGCCTGACTCCTCTAGAATACTGATAGGAATCCCAGAATCCCTGTGGCTACTGGAAAGGGTCCTTGGGTGCCCTGCCTCACCTCGAAAAGCGTCCCTTTTGCCCTGAAAGCCTCGAAGAGATTCCTGAGGTGTCCCTCATTACTAGACAGGAGTCCTGACGTCACTGAAGAAACTCGTGTTTTGAAGGGCCATCCCCGCCGTAAGTCGAGAACATACCCCAGATCCGCACCGCAACTGGAGAAAAACCATGAGACTTCCCCCTAGAGGCGAGATGAGGCCCCATTCCCCTGCAGTGCGTGCAGAGCTATTCCGTGATCCCATTCAAACAAGTCAGGAGATTCGACTTGCTTAATGGATCTCGAGACAGTCCCCAAGAACACTGTCACCAGTCTAGACGGACCCTGAGGTCACCCCAGCAACGCCATGCAGCTCCATGTGCCCCAAATCAACTCGAGATGAGGCCCGATTCCCCTGCATTGACTCCAGAGCCATTCTCCATTCCCCATTAAACACGACCGGTGGCTCGACTTCCTTCAGGCAACTCCAGAGATGCCCCGAGAACCCTGTCCCAAGTCTAGAAGAACACCAACTTCAGCACAGCAACTCGAGGAATGCTCCGTGTACCCCAAATCGTCTCGAGATGAGAGATGATTCCCTGGCTTAGGCTCAAGACGTATGCCAACTTTCCAGAAGCACCTCACGGGGAGGCTTCTCTCAACCATAGGTATGTGGGAGGGACCCCGAGTTTGCTGCATCAAGGGGAATATACAGCGAGAAGACCTAACTTCAAAGGAGGCCGGATTTCCTTGCAGTGGCTTGAATACAGCCGCGTCTTTCATCTCAGAACATGAAGGGATGTCTGAATCCCCTGTGGAGACCTTAGAGAAAGCCCTAGGTCCCTGCCTCATTTTGACGGAATGCCTCACATCCCGCTGACACTTCGAGAGTCACCGGAGTTCATTGCTTCAAAAGGTGACGATGCCTGGCTCCTCTTGAATACTGATAGGAATCCCAGAATCCCTGTGGCTACTGGAAAGGGTCCTTGGGTGCCCTGCCTCACCTCGAGAAGCGTCCCTTTTGCCCTGCCAAGCCTCGAAGAGATTCCTGAGGTGTCCCTCGTTACTAGACAGGAGTCCTGACATCATTGAAGAAACTCGTGTTTTGAAGGGCCATCCCCGCCGTAAGTCGAGAACATACCCCAGGTCCCCGCCGCAACTCGAAAAAAACCATGAGATTTCCCCCTAGAGGCGAGATGAGGCCCCATTCCCCTGCAGTGCATGCAGAACTATTCCGTGATTCGATTCAAAGAAGTCAGGAGCTTCGACTTGCTTAATGGATCTCGAGACAGTCCCCAAGAACACTGTCACAAGTCTAGACGGACCCTGAGGTCACCCCAGCAACGCAAAGCAGCTCCATGTGCCCCAAATCACCTCGAGATGAGGCCCGATTCCCCTGCATTGACTCCAGAGCCATTCCCCGTTCCCCATTCAACACGACCGGTGGCTCGACTTCCTTCAGGCAACTCCAGAGATGCCCCGAGAACCCTGTCCCAAGTCTAGAAGAACACCAACTTAAGCACAGCAACTCGAGGAATGCTCCGTGTACCCCAAATCGTCTCGAGATGAGAGCTGATTCCCTGGTTAGGCTCAAGACGTATGCCAACTTTCCAGAAGCACCTCTGGGGAGGCTTCTCTCAGCCATAGGTATGTGGGAGGGACCCCGAGTTTGCTGCATGAAGGGGAATATACAGCGAGAAGCCCTAACTTGAAAGGAGGCCGGATTTCCTTGCAGTGGCTTGAATACAGGCTCGTCTTTCATCTCACAACATGAAGGGATGTCTGAATCCACTGTGGAGACCTTAGAGAAAGCCCTAGGTCCCTGCCTCATTTTGACGGAATGCCTCACATCCCGCTGACACCTCGAGAGGCACGCGGAGTTCATTGCTTCAAAATATGATGATGCCTGACTCCTCTAGAATACTGATAGGAATCCCAGAATCCCTGTGGCTACTGGAAAGGGTCCTTGGGTGCCCTGCCTCACCTCGAAAAGCGTCCCTTTTGCCCTGAAAGCCTCGAAGAGATTCCTGAGGTGTCCCTCATTACTAGACAGGAGTCCTGACGTCACTGAAGAAACTCGTGTTTTGAAGGGCCATCCCCGCCGTAAGTCGAGAACATACCCCAGATCCGCACCGCAACTGGAGAAAAACCATGAGACTTCCCCCTAGAGGCGAGATGAGGCCCCATTCCCCTGCAGTGCGTGCAGAGCTATTCCGTGATCCCATTCAAACAAGTCAGGAGATTCGACTTGCTTAATGGATCTCGAGACAGTCCCCAAGAACACTGTCACCAGTCTAGACGGACCCTGAGGTCACCCCAGCAACGCCATGCAGCTCCATGTGCCCCAAATCAACTCGAGATGAGGCCCGATTCCCCTGCATTGACTCCAGAGCCATTCTCCATTCCCCATTAAACACGACCGGTGGCTCGACTTCCTTCAGGCAACTCCAGAGATGCCCCGAGAACCCTGTCCCAAGTCTAGAAGAACACCAACTTCAGCACAGCAACTCGAGGAATGCTCCGTGTACCCCAAATCGTCTCGAGATGAGAGATGATTCCCTGGCTTAGGCTCAAGACGTATGCCAACTTTCCAGAAGCACCTCACGGGGAGGCTTCTCTCAACCATAGGTATGTGGGAGGGACCCCGAGTTTGCTGCATCAAGGGGAATATACAGCGAGAAGACCTAACTTCAAAGGAGGCCGGATTTCCTTGCAGTGGCTTGAATACAGCCGCGTCTTTCATCTCAGAACATGAAGGGATGTCTGAATCCCCTGTGGAGACCTTAGAGAAAGCCCTAGGTCCCTGCCTCATTTTGACGGAATGCCTCACATCCCGCTGACACTTCGAGAGTCACCGGAGTTCATTGCTTCAAAAGGTGACGATGCCTGGCTCCTCTTGAATACTGATAGGAATCCCAGAATCCCTGTGGCTACTGGAAAGGGTCCTTGGGTGCCCTGCCTCACCTCGAGAAGCGTCCCTTTTGCCCTGCCAAGCCTCGAAGAGATTCCTGAGGTGTCCCTCGTTACTAGACAGGAGTCCTGACATCATTGAAGAAACTCGTGTTTTGAAGGGCCATCCCCGCCGTAAGTCGAGAACATACCCCAGGTCCCCGCCGCAACTCGAAAAAAACCATGAGATTTCCCCCTAGAGGCGAGATGAGGCCCCATTCCCCTGCAGTGCATGCAGAACTATTCCGTGATTCGATTCAAAGAAGTCAGGAGCTTCGACTTGCTTAATGGATCTCGAGACAGTCCCCAAGAACACTGTCACAAGTCTAGACGGACCCTGAGGTCACCCCAGCAACGCAAAGCAGCTCCATGTGCCCCAAATCACCTCGAGATGAGGCCCGATTCCCCTGCATTGACTCCAGAGCCATTCCCCGTTCCCCATTCAACACGACCGGTGGCTCGACTTCCTTCAGGCAACTCCAGAGATGCCCCGAGAACCCTGTCCCAAGTCTAGAAGAACACCAACTTAAGCACAGCAACTCGAGGAATGCTCCGTGTACCCCAAATCGTCTCGAGATGAGAGCTGATTCCCTGGTTAGGCTCAAGACGTATGCCAACTTTCCAGAAGCACCTCTGGGGAGGCTTCTCTCAGCCATAGGTATGTGGGAGGGACCCCGAGTTTGCTGCATGAAGGGGAATATACAGCGAGAAGCCCTAACTTGAAAGGAGGCCGGATTTCCTTGCAGTGGCTTGAATACAGGCTCGTCTTTCATCTCACAACATGAAGGGATGTCTGAATCCACTGTGGAGACCTTAGAGAAAGCCCTAGTTCCCTGCCTCATTTTGACGGAATCCCTCACATCCCGCTGACACCTCGAGAGGCACGCGGAGTTCATTGCTTCAAAAGGTGACGATGCCTGACTCCTCTTGAATACTGATAGGAATCCCAGAATCCCTGTGGCTACTGGAAAGGGTCCTTGGGTGCCCTGCCTCACCTCGAGAAGCGTCCCTTTTGCCCTGCCAAGCCTCGAAGAGATTCCTGAGGTGTCCCACATTACTAGACAGGAGTCCTGACGTCACTGAAGAAACTCGTGTTTTGAAGGGCCTTCCCCGCCTTAAGTCGAGAACATACCCCAGGTCCCCGCCGCAACTCGAGAAAAACCATGAGACTTCCCCCTAGAGGCGAGATGAGGCCCCATTCCCCTGCAGTGCGTGCAGAGCTATTCCGTGATCCCATTCAAACTAGTCAGGAGCTTCGACTTGCTTAATGGATCTCGAGACAGTCCCCAAGAACACTGTCACCAGTCTAGACGGACCCTGAGGTCACCCCAGCAACGCAAAGCAGCTCCATGTGCCCCAAATCAACACGAGATGAGGCCCGATTCCCCTGCATTGACTCCAGAGCCATTCCCCGTTCCCCATTCAACACGACCGGTGACTCGACTTCCTTCACGCAACTCCAGAGATGCCCCGAGAACCCTGTCCCAAGTCTAGAGGAACACCAACTTCAGCACAGCAACTCGAGGAATGCTCCGTGTACCCCAAATCGTCTCGAGATGAGAGCTGATTCCCTGGCTCAGGCTCAATACGTATGCCAACTTTCCAGAAGGACCTCAGGAGGAGGCTTCTCTCAGCAATAGGTATGTGGGAGGGACCCCGAGTTTGCTGCCTCAAGGGGAATATAGAGCGAGAAGCCCTAACTTGAAAGGAGGCCGGATTTCCTTGCAGTGGCTTGAATACAGGCTCGTCTTTCATCTCACAACATGAAGGGATGTCTGAATCCCCTGTGGAGACCTTAAAGAAAGCCCTAGGCCCCTGCCTCATTTTGACGGAATGCCTCACATCGCGCTGACACCTCGAGAGGCACGCGGAGTTCATTGCTTCAAAAGGTGACGATGCCTGACTCCTCTTGAATACTGATAGGAATCCCAGAATCCCTGTGGCTACTGGAAAGGGTCCTTGGGTGCCCTGCCTTACCTCGAGAAGCGTCAATTTTACCCTGCCAAGCCTCGAAGAGATTCCTGAGGTGTCCCTCGTTACTAGACAGGAGTCCTGATGTCACTGAAGAAACTCGTGTTTTGAAGGGCCATCCCCGCCGTAAGTCGAGAACATACCCCAAGTCCCCGTCGCAACTCGAGAAAAACCATGAGACTTCCCCCTAGAGGCGAGATGAGGCCCCATTCCCCTGCACTGCATGCAGAGCTATTCCGTGATCCCATTCAAACAAGTCAGGAGCTTCGACTTGCTTAATCGATCTCGAGACAGTCCCCAAGAGCACTGTCACCAGTCTAGACGGACCCTGAGGTCACCCCAGCAACACAAAGCAGCTACATGTGCCCCAAATCAACTCGAGATGAGGCCCGATTCCCCTGCATTGACTCCAGAGCCATTCCCCGTTCCCCATTCAACAGGACCGGTGGCTCGACTTCCTTCAGGTAACTCCGCCCCAAGAACACTGTCCCAAGTCTAGAGGAACACCAACTTCAGCACAGCAACTCGAGGAATGCTCCGTGTACCCCAAATCGTCTCGAGATTAGAGCTGATTCCCTGGCTTAGGCTCAAGACATATGCCAACTTTCCAGAAGCACCTCAGGAGGAGGCTTCTCTCAGCAATAGGTATTTGGGAGGGACCCCGAGTTTGCTGCCTCAAGGGGAATATACAGTGAGAAGCCCTAACTTGAAAGGAGGCCGGATTTCCTTGCACGGGCTTGAATACAGGCTCGTCTTTCATCTCACAACATGAAGGGATGTCGGAATCCACTGTGGAGACCTTAGAGAAAGCCCAAGGTCCCTGCCTCATTTTGACGGAATGCCTCACATCCCGTTGACACCTCGAGAGGCACGCAGAGTTCATTGCTTCAAAAGGTGACGATGGCTGACTATTCTTGAATACTGATAGGAATCCCCAAATCCCCGTGGCTACTGGAAAGGGTCCTTGGGTGCCCTGCCTCACCTCGAGAAGCGTCCCTTTTGCCCTGCCAAGCCTCGAAGAGATTCCTGAGGTGTCCCTCGTTACTAGACATTAGTCCTGACGTCACTGAAGAAACTCGTGTTTTGAAGGGCCTTCCCCGCCTTAAGTCGAGAACATACCCCAGGTCCCCGCCGCAACTCGAGAAAAACCATGAGACTTCCCCCTAGAGGCGAGATGAGGCCCCATTCCCCTGCAGTGCATGCAGAGCTATTCCGTGATCCCATTCAAACAAGTCAGGAGCTTCGAATTGCTTAATGGATCTCGAGACAGTCCCCAAGAAGACTGTCACCAGTCTATACGGACCCTGAGTCACCCCAGCAACGCAAAGCAGCTCCATGTGCCCCAAATCAACTCGAGATGAGGCCCGATTCCCCTGCATTGACTCCAGAGCCATTCCCCGTTCCCCATTCAACACGACCGGTGGCTCGACTTCCTTCAGGCAACTCCAGAGATGCCCCGAGAACACTGTCCCAAGTCTAGAGGAACACCAACTTCAGCACAGCAACTCGAGGAATGCTCCGTGTACCCAAAATCGTCTCGAGATGAGAGCTGATTCCCTGGCTTAGGCTCAAGACGTATGCCAACTTTCCAGAAGCACCTCAGGAGGAGGCTTCTCTCAGCAATACGTATGTGGGAGGGACCCCGAGTTTGCTGCCTCAAGGGGAATATACAGCGAGAAGCCCTAACTTGAAAGGAGGCCGGATTTCCTTGCAGTGGCTTGAATACAGGCACTTCTTTGATCTCAAAACATGAAGGGATGACTGAATGCCCTGTGGAGACCTTAGAAAAAGCCCTAGGTCCATGCCTCATTTTGACGGAATGCCTCACATCCCGCTGACACCTCGAGAGGCACGCAGAGTTCATTGCTTCAAAAGGTGACGATGCCTGACTCCTCTTGAATACTGATAGGAATCCCAGAATCCCTGTGGCTACTGGAAAGGCTACTTGGGTGACCTGCCTCACCTCGAGAAGCGTCCCTTGTGCCCTGCCAAGCCTCGAAGAGATTCCTGAGTTGTCCCTCGTTACTAGACAGGAGTCCTGACGTCACTGAATAAAGACGTGTTTTGAACGGCCATCCCAGCCGTAACTCGAGAACATACCCCAGTTCCCGCCACAACTCGAGAAAAACCATGAGACTTCCCCCTAGATGCGAGATGAGGCCTGATTCCCTGCAGTGCATGCAGCGCATTCCCGTGATCCCCATCAAGCAAGTCAGGAGCTTCGACTTGCTTAATGGATCTCGAGACAGTCCCCAAGAACACTGACACAAGACTAAACAGACCCTGATGTCACCCCAGCAATGAAAAGCAGCTGCAAGTGCCCCACATCAACTCGAGATGAGGCCTGATTCCCCTGCATTGACTCCAGAGCCATCCCCCGTTCCCCATTAAACACGACCAGTGGCTTGACTTCCTTCAGGCAACTCCAGAGATGCCACGAGAACCCTGTCCCAAGACTAGAGGAACACCAACTTCAGCACAGCAACTTGAGGAATGCTCCGTGTACCCCAAATCGTCTGGAGATGACAGCTGATTCCCTGGCTTAGGCTCAAGACGTATGCCAAGTTTCCAGAAGCACCTCAAGAGGAGGCTTCTCTCAGCAGTAGGCATGTGGGAGGGACCACGAGTTTGCTGCCTCAAGTGGAATATACAGCGAGAAGCCCTAACTTGAAAGGAGGCCGGATTTCCTTGCAGTGGCTTGAATACAGGCTCGTCTTTCATCTCACAACATGAAGGGATGTCCAAATCCCTTGTGGACACCTTAGAGAAAGCCATAGATCCCTGCCTCATTTTGACGGAATGCCTCACATCCCGTTGACACCTCGAGAGACTCGCGCAGTTCACTGCTTCAAAAGGTGACGATGCCGGACTCCTCTTGAATCATCGATAGGAACACCAAAATCACTGTGGCTTCTGGAAAGGGTACCTGGGTGCCCTGCCTAAACTCGAGAAGCGTTTCCTGTGCCCTGCCAAGCGTCGAAAAGATTCCTGAGGTGTCCCTCGTTACTAGACAGGAGTCCTGACGTCACTGAATAAACACGTGTTTTGAAGGGCCATCCCTGCCGTAACTCGAGAACATAGCCCAGATCGCCGCCGCAACTCGAGAAAAACCATGAGACTTCCCCCTATATGCGAGACGAGGCCCGATTCCCCTTCAGTGCATGCAGAGCAATCTCGTGATCCCCTTCAAAGAAGTCAGGAGTTTCGACTTGCTTAATGGATCTCGAGAGAGTCCCCAAGAAGACTGTCACAAGTCTAGACGGACCCTGAGGTCACCTCAGCAATGCAAAGCAGCTCCATGTGCCCCAAATCAACTCGAGATGAGGCCTGATTCCCCTGCATTGACTCCAGAGCAAATCCCCATTCCCCATTAAACACGACGAGTGGCTCGACTTTCTTCAGGCAACTCGAGAGATGCCCCGAGAACACTGTCCCAAATCTAGAGGAACACCAAATTCAGCAGAGCAAATTGAGGAATGCTCCGTGTACCCGAAATCGTTTCGAGGTGAGAGCTGATTCCCTAGCTTAGGCTCAAGACATATGCCAAGTTTCCAGAAGCACCTCAAGAGGAGGCTTCTCTCAGCAATAGGTATGATTGAGGGACCCCGAGTTTGCTGCCTCAAGTGGAATACACAATGAGAAGCCCTAACTTGAAAGGAGGCCTGATTTCCTTGCAGTGGCTTGAATACAGGCTCGTCTTTCATCTCACAACATGAAGGGATGTCCAAATCCCCTGGGGAGACCTTAGAGAAAGCCATAGATCCCTGCCTCATTTTGACCGAAAGCCTCACATCCCCTTGACACCTCGAAAGGCACGCGGAGTTCACTGCTTCAAAAGGTGACGATGCCTGACTCCACTTGAACATTGATAGGAATCCCAAAATCCCTGTGGCTACTGGAAAGGCTACTTGGGTGCCCTGCCTCACCTCGAGAAGCGTCCCTTGTGCCTTGCCAAGCCTCGACGAGATTCCTGAAGTGTCCCTCATTACTAGACAGGAGTCCTGACGTCACTGAATAAACATGTGTTTTGAAGGGCCATCCCCGCCGTAACTCGAGAACATAACCCAGGTCCCCGCCACAACTCGAGAAAAACCATGAGACTTCCCCATAGATGCGAGATGAAGCCCGATTCCCCTGCACTGCATGCAGAGCTATTCCGTGATCCCCATCAAACAAGTCACGAGCTTCGACTTGCTTGATGGATCCCGGACAGTCCCCAAGAACACTGTCACATGACTAGACGGACCATGAAGTCAATGCAGCAACGCACAGCAGATCCATGTGCCCCAAATCAACTCGAGATGAGGCCTGATACCTCTGCATTGACTCCAGAGCAATTCCCTATTCCCCATTAAACACGACAAATGGCTCGACTTCCTTCAGCCAACTCCAGAGATGCCCCGAGAACACTATCCCAAGTCTAGAGGAACACCAACTTCAGCACAGCAACTCGAGGAATGCTCTGTGTACCCCAAATCTTCTCGAGATGAGAGCTGATTCCCTGGCTTAGGCTCAAGACGTATGCCAACTTTCCAGAAGCACCTAAAAAGGAGGATTCTCTCAGCAATAGGTATGTGGGAGGGACCCCGAGTTTGCTGCCTTAAGTGGAATATACAGCGAGAAGTCCTAACTTGAAAGGAGGCCGGCTCTCCTTGCAGTTTCTTGAATACAGGCTCGTCTTTCTTCTCACAACATGAAGGGATGTCCGAATCCCCTGTGTAAACCTTAGAGAAAGCCATAGGTCCCTGACTCATTTTGACGGAATGCCTCACATCCAGTTGACACCTCGAGAGTCACGCGGAGTTCACTGCTTCAAAATGTGACGATGCCTGACTCCTCTTGAACATTGATAGGAATCAAAAAATCACTGTGGCTCCTGGAAACCGTCCTTGGTTGCCCTGCGTCACCTCGAGAAGCATCCCTTTTGCCCTGCCAAGCCTCAAAGAGATTCCTGAGGTGTCCCTCGTTACTGGACAGGAGTTCTAACGTCACTGAATAAAGACGTGTTTTGAAGGGCCATCCCCGCCGTAACTTGAGAACATACCCCAGGTCCCCAGCGCAACTCGAGAAAAATCATGAGACTTCCCCCTAGATGCGAGATGAGGCACAATTCCCCTGCAGTGCATGAAGAGCAATCCCGTGATCCCCTTCAAACAAGTCAGGAGCTTCGACTTGCTTAATGGATCTCGAGAGAGTCCCCAAGAATACTGTCACAAGTCTAGACGGACCCTGAGGTAAGCATAGCACCGCAAGCAGCTCCATGTGCCCCAAATCAACTCGAGATGAGGCCCGATTCCCCTGCATTCACTCCAGAGCCATCTCCCGTTCCCCATTAAATACCACCAGTGGCTTGACTTCCTTCAGGCAACCCCAGAGATGCGCCGAGAACACTGGCCCAAGTCTAGAGGAACACCAAAATCAGCACAGCAACTCGAGGAATGCTCCGTGAACACCAAATCGTCTGGAGATGAGAGCTGATTCCCTGGCTTAGGATCAAGACGTATGCCAACTTTCCAGAAGCACCTCAAGGGGAGGCTTCTCTCAGCAATAGGTATGTGGGAGGGACCCCGAGGTTGCTGCCTCAAGTGGAATACACAATGAGAAGCCCTAACTTGAAAGGAGGCCTGATTTCCTTGCAGTGGCTCGAATACAGGCTCGTCTTTCATCTCGCAACATGAACTGATGACCAAATCCCCTGGGGAGACCTTAGAGAAAGCCATAGATCCCTGCCTCATTTTGACGGAATGCCTCACATCCCCTTGACACCTCGAGAGGCACGCGGAGTTCACTGCTTCAAAAGGTGACGATGCCTGACACCTCTTGAATATTGATAGGAATCCCAAAATACCTGTGGCTACTGAAAAGGGTACTTGTGTGCCCTGCCTCACATCGAGAAGCATCCCTTGTGCCCTGCCAAGCCTCGAAGAGATTCCTGAGGTGTCCCTCGTTACTAGACAGGAGTCCTGACGTCACTGAATAAACATGTGTTTTGAAGGGCTATCCCCGCCGTAACTCGTTAACATACCCCAGCTCCCCGCTGCAACTCGAGAAAAACCATGAGACTTCCCCCTAGATGCGAGTCGTGGCCCGATTCCCCTGCGGTCCATGCAGAGCAATTCCGTGATCCCCATCAAACAAGTCAGGAGCTTCAACTTGCTTGATGGATCTCGAGACAGTCCCCAAGAACACTGTCACATGTCTAGACGGACACTGAATTCAACACACCAACGCACAGCAGACCCATGTGCCACATATCAACTCGAGATGAGGCCCGATTCCCCTGCATTGACTCCAGAGCCATCCCCCGTTCCCCATTAAACACCACCAGTGGCTTGACTTCCTTCAGGCAACTCCATAGATGCCCTCAGAACACTGGCCCAAGTCTAGAGGAACACCAACTTCAGCACAGCAACTCGAGGAATACTCCGTGTACCCCAAATCGTCTCGAGATGAGAGCTGATTTTCTGGCTTAGGCTCAAGATGTATGCCAACTTTCCAGAAGCACCTCAAGAGGAGGATTCTCTCAGCAATAGGTATGTTCGTGGGATTCCGAGTTTGCTGCCTAAAGTGGAGTATACAGTGAGAAGCCCTAACTTCTGAGAAGGCCGGATTTCCTTGCAGTGTCTTGAATACAGGCTCGTCTTTCATCTCACAACAGGAAGGGATGTCTCTAACCCCTGTGAAAACCTTACAGAAAGCCCTAGTTCCCTGCCTCATTTTGACGGAATGCCTCACATCCCGTTGACACCTCAAGAGGCACACGGAGTTCACTGCTTCAAAAGGTGACGATGCCTAACACCTCCTGAACATTGATAGGAATCCCAAAATCTCTGTGGCTATTGAAAAGGGTCCTTGGGTGCCCTGCCTCACCTCGAGAAGCATCCCTTGTGCCCTGCCAAGCCTCGAAGAGATTCCTGAGATGTCCCTCGTTACTAGACCAGAGTCCTTACGTCACTGAATAAACACGTGTTTTGAAGGGCCATCCCCGCTGTAATTCGAGAAGATACCCCAGGTTCCAGCCACAACTCGAGAAAAACCATGAGACTTCCCCCTATATGCGAGATGAAGTCCGATTCCCCTTCAGTGCATGCAGAGCAATTCCATGATCCCCATCAAACAAGTCAGGAGCTTCGACTTGCTTGATGGATCTCGAGACAGTCCCCAAGAACACTGTCACATGTCTAGACGGACCCTGAGTTCACCCCAGGAATGCAAAGCAGCTCCATGTGCCCCAAATCAACTCGAGATGAGGCCCGAATAACCTGCATTGACTCCAGAGCCATCCCCCGTTCCCCATTAATCACGACCAGTGGCTTGACTTTCTTCAGGCAACTCCAGAGATGCCCCGAGAACACTGTCCCAAGCCTAGAGGAACAGCAACATCAGCATAGCAACTCGAGGAATGATACATGTACCCAAAACTCTCTGGAGATGAGAGCTGATTACCTGGCTTAGGCTCAAGACGTATGCCAACTTTCCAGAAGCACCTCAAGAGGAGGCTTCTCTCAGCAATAGGAGTTGGGAGGGATCCCGAGTTTGCTGCCTCAAGTGGAATATACAGCGAGAAGCCCTAACTTGAAAGAGGCCGGATTTCCTTTCAGTGGCTTCAATACAGGTTCGTCGCTCATGTCAAACATGAAGGGATGTCCAAATCCCCTGTGGATACCTTTGAGAAACACATAGGTCCCTGCCTCATTTTGAGGGAATGCCTCACATCCCCTTGACACCTCAAGAGGCACGCGGAGTTCACTGCTTCAAAAGGTGACGATGCCTGACTCCATTTGAACATTGATAGGAAATCCAAAAATCCCTGTGGCTACTGGAAAGGCTACTTGGGTGCCCTGCCTCACCTTGAGAAGCGTCCCTTGTGCACTGCCAAGCCTCGAAGAGATTCCTGAAGTGTCCCTCGTTACTAGACAGGAGTCCTGACGTTACTGAATAAACACGAGTTTTGAAGGGCCATCCCCGCCGTAACTCAAGAACCTACCCCAGGTCCCCGACACAACTCGAGAAAAACCATGAGACTTCCCCCTAGAGGCGAGATGAGGCCACATTCCCCTACAGTGCAAGCAGAGCTATTCCGTGATCCCATTCAAAAAAGTCAGGAGCTTCGACTTGCTTAATGGATTTCGAGACAGCCCCCAAGAACACTGTCACCAGTCTAGACGGTCCCTGAGGTCACCCCAGCAACGCAAAGCAGCTCCATGTGCCCCAAATCAACTCGAGATGAGGCCCGATTCCCCTGCATTGATTCCAGAGCCATTCCCCGTTCCCCATTCAACACGACCGGTGGCTCGACTTCCTTCAGGCCACTCCAGAGATGCCCCGAGAACACTGTCCCAAGTCTAGAGCAACACCAACTTCAGCACAGCAACTCGAAGAACGCTCCGTGTACGCCAAATCGTCTCGAGATGAGAGCTGATTCCCTGGCTTAGGCTCAAGACGTATGCCAACTTTCCAGAAGCACCTAAAGAGGAGGATTCTCTCAGCAATATGTATGTGGGAGGGACCCCGAGTTTGCTGCCTCAAGTGGAATATACAGCGAGAAGCCCTAACTTGAAAGGAGGCCGGATTTCCTTGCAGTGGCTTGAATACAGGCTCGTCTTTCATCTCACAACATGAAGGGATGTCTGAATCCCCTGTGCAGACCTTAGAGAAAGCCCTAGGACCCTGCCTCATTTTGACGGAATGCCTCACATCATGTTGACACCTCGAGAGGCACGCGGAGTTCACTGCTTCAAAAGGTGACGATGCCTGACACCTCTTGAATATTGATAGGAATCCCAAAATACCTGTGGCTACTGGAAAGTGTCCTTGGGTGCCCTGCCTCACCTCGAGAAGCGTCCCTTGTGCCCTGCCAAGTCTTGAAGAGATTCCTGAGGTGTCCCTCGTTACTAGACAGGAGTCCTGACGTCACTGAATAAACACGTGTTTTGAAGGGCCATCCCCGCCTTAACTCGCGAACATACCCCAGGTCCCCGCCGCAACTCGAGAAAAACCATGAGACTTCCCCCTTGATGCGAGACGTGGCCCGATTCCCCTGCAGTCCATGCAGAGCAATTCCGTGATCCCCATCAAATAAGTCAGCAGCTTCGACTTGCTTGATGGATCTCGAGACAGTCCCCAAGAACACTGTCACATGTCTAGACGTACCCTGAGGTCAACGCAGCAATGCAGAGCAGCTCCATGTACCACAAATCAACTCGAGATGAGGCCCGATTCCCCTGCATTGACTCAAGAGCCATCCCCCGTTCCCCATCAAACACCACGAGTGGCTTGACTTTCTTCAGGCAACTCCACAGATGCCCCGTGAACACTGTCCCAAGTCTAGAGGAACACCAACTTCAGCACAGCAACTCAAAGAACGCTCCGTGTATGCCAAATCGTCTCGAGATGAGAGCTGATTCCCTGGCTTAGGTTCAAGACGTATGCCAACTTTCCAAAAGCACCTCAAGAGGGGGCTTCTCTCAGCAATAGGTATGTGGGAGGGACCCCGAGTTTACTGCCTCAAGTGGAATATACAGCGAGAAGCCCTAACTTGAAAGGAGGCCGGCTTTCCTTGCAGTGGCTTGAATACAGGCTCGTCTTTCTTCTCACAACATGAAGGGATGTACGAATCCCCTGTGGAAACCTTAGAGAAAGACATAGGTCCCTAACTCATTTTGACGGAATGCCTCACATCCAGTTGACACCTCGAGAGGCACGTGGAGTTCACTGCTTGAAAAGGTGACGATGCCTGACTCCACTTGAACATTGATAGGAATCCCAAAATCCCTGTGGCTATTGGAAAGGGTCCTTGGGTGCCCTGCCTCACCACGAGAAGCGTCCCTTGTGCCCTGCCATGCCTCGAAGAGTTTCCTGAGGTGTCCCTCGTTACTAGACAGGAGTCCTGACGTCACTGAATAAACACGTGTTTTGAAGGGCCATCCCCGCCTTAACTCGAGAACATACCCCAGGTCCCCGCCGCAACCCGAGAAAAACCATGAGACTTCCCCTAGAGGCGAGATGAGGCCCCATTCCCCTGCAGTGCATGCAGAGCAATCCTGTGATCCCCTTCAAACAAGTCAGGAGTTTCGACTTGCTTAATGGATCTCCAGAGAGTCCCCAAAAAGACTGTCACAAGTCTAGACGGACCCTGAGGTCACCCCAGCAATGCAAAGCAGCTCCATGTGCCCCAAATCAATTCGAGATGAGGCCTGATTCCCCTGCATTGACTCCAGAGCAAATCCCCATTCCCCATTAAACACGACGAGTGGCTCGACTTTCTTCAGGCAACTCCAGAGATGACCCAAGAACACTGTCCCAAATCTAGTGGAACACCAAATTCAGCAGAGCAAATTGAGGAATGCTCCGTGTACCCCAAATCGTCTCGAGTTGAGAGCTGATTCCCTGGCTTAGGCTCAAGACGTATGCCAAGTTTCCAGAAGCACCTCAAGAGGAGGCTTCTCTCAGCAATACGTATGAAGGAGGGACCCCGAGTGTGCTGCCTCAAGTGGAATACACAATGAGAAGCCCTAACTTGAAAGGAGGCCTGATTTCCTTGCAGTGACTTGAATACAGGCTCGTCTTTCATCTCACAACATGAAGGGATGTCCAAAACCCTGGGGAGAACTTAGAGGAAGCCATAGATCCCTACCTCATTTGACGGAATGCCTCACATCCCCTTGACACCTCGAGAGGCACACGGAGTTCATTGCTTCAAAAGGTGACGATGCCTGACAAATCTTGAATATTGATAGGAATCCCAAAATAACTCTGGCTACTGGAAAGGGTACTTGTGTGCCCTGCCTCACCTCGAGAAGCATCCCTTGGGCCCTGCCAAGCCTCGAAGAGATTCCTGAGGTGTCCCTCGTTACTAGACAGCAGCCCTGACGTCACTGAATAAACACGTGTTTTGAAGGGCCATCCCCGCCATAACTCGCGAACATACCCCAGTTCCCCGCCGCAACTCGAGAAAAATCATGAGACTTCCCCCTAGATGCGAGTCGTGGCCGGATTCCCCTGCAGTCCATGCAGAGCAATTCCGTGATGCCCATCAAACAAGTCAGGAGCTTCGACTTGCTTGATGGATGTCGAGACAGTCCCCAAGAACACTGTCTCATGTCTAGATGGACCCTGAAGTCAACGCACCAACGCACAGCAGATCCATGTGCCCCAAATCAACTCGAGATGAGGCCGATTCCCCTGCATTGACTCCAGAGCCATCCCCCGTTCCCCATTAAACACCACCAGTGGCTGGACTTTCTTCAGGCAACTCCAGAGATGCCCCGAGGACACCGTCCCAAGTCTAGAGGAACAGCAACATCAGCATAGCAACTCGAGGAATGCTCCGTGTACCCCAAATCGTCTGGAGATGAGAGCTGTTTACCTGGCTTAGGCTCAAGACGTATGCCAAGTTTCCAGAAGCACCTCAAGAGGAGGCTTCTCTCAGCAATAGGTAGGTGGGAGGGATCCCGAGTTTGCTGCCTCATGTGGAATATACAGCGAGAAGCCCTAACTTGAAAGGAGGCCGGATTTCCTTGCAGTGGCTTGAATACAGGCTCGTCTTTCCTGTCACAACATGAAGGGATGTCCAAATCCCCTGTGGATACCTTAGAGAAACACATAGGGCCCTGCCTCATTTTGACGGAATGCCTCACATCCCCTTGAGACTTCGAGAGGCACGCGGAGTTCACTGCTTCAAAAGGTGACGATGGCTGACTCCACTTGAACATTGATAGGAATCCCAAAAATCCCTGTGGCTACTGGAAAGGCTACTTGGGTGGCCTGCCTCACCTCGAGAAGCGTCCCTTGTGCCCTGCCAAGCCTCGAAGAGATTCCTGAGGTGTCCCTCGTTACTAGACAGGAGTCCTGACGTCACTGAATAAACACGTGTTTTGAACGGCCATCCCAGCCGTAACTCGAGAACATACCCCAGTTCCCGCCACAACTCGAGAAAAACCATGAGACTTCCCCCTAGATGCGAGATGAGGCCTGATTCCCTGCAGTGCATGCAGTGCATTCCCGTGATCCCCATCAAGCAAGTCAGGAGCTTCGACTTGCTTAATGGATCTCGAGACAGTCCCCAAGAACACTGTCACAAGACTAAACAGACCCTGATGTCACCCCAGCAATGAAAAGCAGCTGCAAGTGCCCCACATCAACTCGAGATGAGGCCTGATTCCCCTGCATTGACACAAGAGCCATCCCCCGTTCCCCATTAAACACGACCAGTGGCTTGACTTCCTTCAGGCAACTCCAGAGATGCCACGAGAACACTGTCCCAAGACTAGAGGAACACCAACTTCAGCACAGCAACTTGAGGAATGCTCCGTGTACCCCAAATCGTCTGGAGATGACAGCTGATTCCCTGGCTTAGGCTCAAGACGTATGCCAAGTTTCCAGAAGCACCTCAAGAGGAGGCTTCTCTCAGCAGTAGGCATGTGGGAGGGACCACGAGTTTGCTGCCTCAAGTGGAATATACAGCGAGAAGCCCTAACTTGAAAGGAGGCCGGATTTCCTTGCAGTGGCTTGAATACAGGCTCGTCTTTCATCTCACAACATGAAGGGATGTCCAAATCCCTTGTGGACACCTTAGAGAAAGCCATAGATCCCTGCCTCATTTTGACGGAATGCCTCACATCCCGTTGACACCTCGAGAGACTCGCGCAGTTCACTGCTTCAAAAGGAGACGATGCCGGACTCCTCTTGAATCATCGATAGGAACACCAAAATCACTGTGGCTTCTGGAAAGGGTACCTGGGTGCCCTGCCTAAACTCGAGAAGCGTTTCCTGTGCCCTGCCAAGCGTCGAAGAGATTCCTGAGGTGTCCCTCGTTACTAGACAGGAGTCCTGACGTCACTGAATAAACACGTGTTTTGAAGGGCCATCCCTGCCGTAACTCGAGAACATAGCCCAGATCGCCGCCGCAACTCGAGAAAAACCATGAGACTTCCCCCTATATGCGAGACGAGGCCCGATTCCCCTTCAGTGCATGCAGAGAAATCTCGTGATCCCCTTCAAAGAAGTCAGGAGTTTCGACTTGCTTAATGGATCTCGAGAGAGTCCCCAAGAAGACTGTCACAAGTCTAGACGGACCCTGAGGTCACCTCAGCAACGCAAAGCAGCTCCATGTGCCCCAAATCAACTCGAGATGAGGCCTGATTCCCCTGCATTGACTCCAGAGCAAATCCACATTCCCCATTAAACACGACGAGTGGCTCGACTTTCTTCAGGCAACTCGAGAGATGCCCCGAGAACACTGTCCCAAATCTAGAGGAACACCAAATTCAGCAGAGCAAATTGAGGAATGCTCCGTGTACCCCAAATCGTTTCGAGGTGAGAGCTGATTCCCTAGCTTAGGCTCAAGACATATGCCAAGTTTCCAGAAGCACCTCAAGAGGAGGCTTCTCTCAGCAATAGGTATGATTGAGGGACCCCGAGTTTGCTGCCTCAAGTGGAATACACAATGAGAAGCCCTAACTTGAAAGGAGGCCTGATTTCCTTGCAGTGGCTTGAATACAGGCTCGTCTTTCATCTCACAACATGAAGGGATGTCCAAATCCCCTGGGGAGACCTTAGAGAAAGCCATAGATCCCTGCCTCATTTTGACCGAAAGCCTCACATCCCCTTGACACCTCGAAAGGCACGCGGAGTTCACTGCTTCAAAAGGTGACGATGCCTGACTCCACTTGAACATTGATAGGAATCCCAAAATCCCTGTGGCTACTGGAAAGGCTACTTGGGTGCCCTGCCTCACCTCGAGAAGCGTCCCTTGTGCCCTGCCAAGCCTCGACGAGATTCCTGAAGTGTCCCTCATTACTAGACAAGAGTCCTGACATCACTGAATAAACATGTGTTTTGAAGGGCCATCCCCGCCGTAACTCGAGAACATAACCCAGGTCCCCGCCACAACTCGAGAAAAACCATGAGACTTCCCCATAGATGCGAGATGAAGCCCGATTCCCCTGCACTGCATGCAGAGCTATTCCGTGATCCCCATCAAACAAGTCACGAGCTTCGACTTGCTTGATGGATCCCGGACAGTCCCCAAGAACACTGTCACATGACTAGACGGACCATGAAGTCAATGCACCAACGCACAGCAGATCCATGTGCCCCAAATCAACTCGAGATGAGGCCTGATACCTCTGCATTGACTCCAGAGCAATTCCCTATTCCCCATTAAACACGACAAATGGCTCGACTTCCTTCAGCCAACTCCAGAGATGCCCCGAGAACACTATCCCAAGTCTAGAGGAACACCAACTTCAGCACAGCAACTCGAGGAATGCTCTGTGTACCCCAAATCTTCTCGAGATGAGAGCTGATTCCCTGGCTTAGGCTCAAGACGTATGCCAACTTTCCAGAAGCACCTAAAAAGGAGGATTCTCTCAGCAATAGGTATGTGGGAGGGACCCCGAGTTTGCTGCCTTAAGTGGAATATACAGCGAGAAGTCCTAACTTGAAAGGAGGCCGGCTCTCCTTGCAGTTTCTTGAATACAGGCTCGTCTTTCTTCTCACAACATGAAGGGATGTCCGAATCCCCTGTGTAAACCTTAGAGAAAGCCATAGGTCCCTGACTCATTTTGACGGAATGCCTCACATCCAGTTGACACCTCGAGAGTCACGCGGAGTTCACTGCTTCAAAATGTGACGATGCCTGACTCCTCTTGAACATTGATAGGAATCAAAAAATCACTGTGGCTCCTGGAAACCGTCCTTGGTTGCCCTGCCTCACCTCGAGAAGCATCCCTTTTGCCCTGCCAAGCCTCAAAGAGATTCCTGAGGTGTCCCTCGTTACTGGACAGGAGTTCTAACGTCACTGAATAAAGACGTGTTTTGAAGGGCCATCCCCGCCGTAACTTGAGAACATACCCCAGGTCCCCAGCGCAACTCGAGAAAAATCATGAGACTTCCCCCTAGATGCGAGATGAGGCGCGATTCCCCTGCAGTGCATGAAGAGCAATCCCGTGATCCCCTTCAAACAAGTCAGGAGCTTCGACTTGCTTAATGGATCTCGAGAGAGTCCCCAAGAATACTGTCACAAGTCTAGACGGACCCTGAGGTAAGCATAGCACCGCAAGCAGCTCCATGTGCCCCAAATCAACTCGAGATGAGGCCCGATTCCCCTGCATTCACTCCAGAGCCATCTCCCGTTCCCCATTAAATACCACCAGTGGCTTGACTTCCTTCAGGCAACCCCAGAGATGCGCCGAGAACACTGGCCCAAGTCTAGAGGAACACCAAAATCAGCACAGCAACTCGAGGAATGCTCCGTGAACACCAAATCGTCTGGAGATGAGAGCTGATTCCCTGGCTTAGGATCAAGACGTATGCCAACTTTCCAGAAGCACCTCAAGGGGAGGCTTCTCTCAGCAATAGGTATGTGGGAGGGACCCCGAGGTTGCTGCCTCAAGTGGAATACACAATGAGAAGCCCTAACTTGAAAGGAGGCCTGATTTCCTTGCAGTGGCTCGAATACAGGCTCGTCTTTCATCTCACAACATGAACTGATGACCAAATCCCCTGGGGAGACCTTAGAGAAAGCCATAGATCCCTGCCTCATTTTGACGGAATGCCTCACATCCCCTTGACACCTCGAGAGGCACGCGGAGTTCACTGCTTCAAAAGGTGACGATGCCTGACACCTCTTGAATATTGATAGGAATCCCAAAATACCTGTGGCTACTGAAAAGGGTACTTGTGTGCCCTGCCTCACATCGAGAAGCATCCCTTGTGCCCTGCCAAGCCTCGAAGAGATTCCTGAGGTGTCCCTCGTTACTAGACAGGAGTCCTGACGTCACTGAATAAACATGTGTTTTGAAGGGCTATCCCCGCCGTAACTCGTTAACATACCCCAGCTCCCCGCTGCAACTCGAGAAAAACCATGAGACTTCCCCCTAGATGCGAGTCGTGGCCCGATTCCCCTGCGGTCCATGCAGAGCAATTCCGTGATCCCCATCAAACAAGTCAGGAGCTTCAACTTGCTTGATGGATCTCGAGACAGTCCCCAAGAACACTGTCACATGTCTAGACGGACACTGAATTCAACACACCAACGCACAGCAGATCCATGTGCCACATATCAACTCGAGATGAGGCCCGATTCCCCTGCATTGACTCCAGAGCCATCCCCCGTTCCCCATTAAACACCACCAGTGGCTTGACTTCCTTCAGGCAACTCCATAGATGCCCTCAGAACACTGGCCCAAGTCTAGAGGAACACCAACTTCAGCACAGCAACTCGAGGAATACTCCGTGTACCCCAAATCGTCTCGAGATGAGAGCTGATTTTCTGGCTTAGGCTCAAGATGTATGCCAACTTTCCAGAAGCACCTCAAGAGGAGGATTCTCTCAGCAATAGGTATGTTCGTGGGATTCCGAGTTTGCTGCCTAAAGTGGAGTATACAGTGAGAAGCCCTAACTTCTGAGAAGGCCGGATTTCCTTGCAGTGTCTTGAATACAGGCTCGTCTTTCATCTCACAACAGGAAGGGATGTCTCTAACCCCTGTGAAAACCTTACAGAAAGCCCTAGTTCCCTGCCTCATTTTGACGGAATGCCTCACATCCCGTTGACACCTCAAGAGGCACACGGAGTTCACTGCTTCAAAAGGTGACGATGCCTAACACCTCCTGAACATTGATAGGAATCCCAAAATCTCTGTGGCTATTGAAAAGGGTCCTTGGGTGCCCTGCCTCACCTCGAGAAGCATCCCTTGTGCCCTGCCAAGCCTCGAAGAGATTCCTGAGATGTCCCTCGTTACTAGACCAGAGTCCTTACGTCACTGAATAAACACGTGTTTTGAAGGGCCATCCCCGCTGTAATTCGAGAAGATACCCCAGGTTCCAGCCACAACTCGAGAAAAACCATGAGACTTCCCCCTATATGCGAGATGAAGTCCGATTCCCCTTCAGTGCATGCAGAGCAATTCCATGATCCCCATCAAACAAGTCAGGAGCTTCGACTTGCTTGATGGATCTCGAGACAGTCCCCAAGAACACTGTCACATGTCTAGACGGACCCTGAGTTCACCCCAGGAATGCAAAGCAGCTCCATGTGCCCCAAATCAACTCGAGATGAGGCCCGAATAACCTGCATTGACTCCAGAGCCATCCCCCGTTCCCCATTAATCACGACCAGTGGCTTGACTTTCTTCAGGCAACTCCAGAGATGCCCCGAGAACACTGTCCCAAGCCTAGAGGAACAGCAACATCAGCATAGCAACTCGAGGAATGATACATGTACCCAAAACTCTCTGGAGATGAGAGCTGATTACCTGGCTTAGGCTCAAGACGTATGCCAACTTTCCAGAAGCACCTCAAGAGGAGGCTTCTCTCAGCAATAGGAGTTGGGAGGGATCCCGAGTTTGCTGCCTCAAGTGGAATATACAGCGAGAAGCCCTAACTTGAAAGAGGCCGGATTTCCTTTCAGTGGCTTCAATACAGGTTCGTCGCTCATGTCAAACATGAAGGGATGTCCAAATTCCCTGTGGATACCTTTGAGAAACACATAGGTCCCCGCCTCATTTTGAGGGAATGCCTCACCTCCCCTTGACACCTCGAGAGGCACGCGGAATTCACTGCTTCAAAAGGTGACGATGCCTGACTCCATTTGAACATTGATAGGAAATCCAAAAATCCCTGTGGCTACTGGAAAGGCTACTTGGGTGCCCTGCCTCACCTTGAGAAGCGTCCCTTGTGCACTGCCAAGCCTCGAAGAGATTCCTGAAGTGTCCCTCGTTACTAGACAGGAGTCCTGACGTCACTGAATAAACACGAGTTTTGAAGGGCCATCCCCGCCGTAACTCAAGAACCTACCCCAGGTCCCCGACACAACTCGAGAAAAACCATGAGACTTCCCCCTAGAGGCGAGATGAGGCCACATTCCCCTACAGTGCAAGCAGAGCTATTCCGTGATCCCATTCAAAAAAGTCAGGAGCTTCGACTTGCTAAATGGATTTCGAGACAGCCCCAAGAACACTGTCACCAGTCTAGACGGACCCTGAGGTCACCCCAGCAACGCAAAGCAGCTCCATGTGCCCCAAATCAACTCGAGATGAGGCCCGATTCCCCTGCATTGATTCCAGAGCCATTCCCCGTTCCCCATTCAACACGACCGGTGGCTCGACTTCCTTCAGGCCACTCCAGAGATGCCCCGAGAACACTGTCCCAAGTCTAGAGCAACACCAACTTCAGCACAGCAACTCGAAGAACGCTCCGTGTACGCCAAATCGTCTCGAGATGAGAGCTGATTCCCTGGCTTAGGCTCAAGACGTATGCCAACTTTCCAGAAGCACCTAAAGAGGAGGATTCTCTCAGCAATATGTATGTGGGAGGGACCCCGAGTTTGCTGCCTCAAGTGGAATATACAGCGAGAAGCCCTAACTTGAAAGGAGGCCGGATTTCCTTGCAGTGGCTTGAATACAGGCTCGTCTTTCATCTCACAACATGAAGGGATGTCTGAATCCCCTGTGCAGACCTTAGAGAAAGCCCTAGGTCCCTGCCTCATTTTGACGGAATGCCTCACATCATGTTGACACCTCGAGAGGCACGCGGAGTTCACTGCTTCAAAAGGTGACGATGCCTGACACCTCTTGAATATTGATAGGAATCCCAAAATACCTGTGGCTACTGGAAAGTGTTCTTGGGTGCCCTGCCTCACCTCGAGAAGCGTCCCTTGTGCCCTGCCAAGTCTTGAAGAGATTCCTGAGGTGGCCCTCGTTACTAGACAGGAGTCCTGACGTCACTGAATAAACACGTGTTTTGAAGGGCCATCCCTGCCTTAACTCGCGAACATACCCCAGGTCCCCGCCGCAACTCGAGAAAAACCATGAGACTTCCCCCTTGATGCGAGACGTGGCCCGATTCCCCTGCAGTCCATGCAGAGCAATTCCGTGATCCCCATCAAATAAGTCAGCAGCTTCGACTTGCTTGATGGATCTCGAGACAGTCCCCAAGAACACTGTCACATGTCTAGACGTACCCTGAGGTCAACGCAGCAATGCACAGCAGCTCCATGTACCACAAATCAACTCGAGATGAGGCCCGATTCCCCTGCATTGACTCAAGAGCCATCCCCCGTTCCCCATTAAACACCACGAGTGGCTTGACTTTCTTCAGGCAACTCCACAGATGCCCCGTGAACACTGTCCCAAGTCTAGAGGAACACCAACTTCAGCACAGCAACTCAAAGAACGCTCCGTGTACGCCAAATCGTCTCGAGATGAGAGCTGATTCCCTGGCTTAGGTTCAAGACGTATGCCAACTTTCCAAAAGCACCTCAAGAGGGGGCTTCTCTCAGCAATAGGTATGTGGGAGGGACCCCGAGTTTACTGCCTCAAGTGGAATATACAGCGAGAAGCCCTAACTTGAAAGGAGGCCGGCTTTCCTTGCAGTGGCTTGAATACAGGCTCGTCTTTCTTCTCACAACATGAAGGGATGTACGAATCCCCTGTGGAAACCTTAGAGAAAGCCATAGGTCCCTGACTCATTTTGACGGAATGCCTCACATCCAGTTGACACCTCGAGAGGCACGCGGAGTTCCCTGCTTGAAAAGGTGACGATGCCTGACTCCACTTGAACATTGATAGGAATCCCAAAATCCCTGTGGCTATTGGAAAGGGTCCTTGGGTGCCCTGCCTCACCACGAGAAGCGTCCCTTGTGCCCTGCCATGCCTCGAAGAGTTTCCTGAGGTGTCCCTCGTTACTAGACAGGAGTCCTGACGTCACTGAATAAACACGTGTTTTGAAGGGCCATCCCCGCCTTAACTCGAGAACATACCCCAGGTCCCCGCCGCAACCCGAGAAAAACCATGAGACTTCCCCTAGAGGCGAGATGAGGCCCCATTCCCCTGCAGTGCATGCAGAGCAATCCTGTGATCCCCTTCAAACAAGTCAGGAGTTTCGACTTGCTTAATGGATCTCCAGAGAGTCCCCAAAAAGACTGTCACAAGTCTAGACGGACCCTGAGGTCACCCCAGCAACGCAAAGCAGCTCCATGTGCCCCAAATCAATTCGAGATGAGGCCTGATTCCCCTGCATTGACTCCAGAGCAAATCCCCATTCCCCATTAAACACGACGAGTGGCTTGACTTTCTTCAGGCAACTCCAGAGATGCCCCAAGAACACTGTCCCAAATCTAGTGGAACACCAAATTCAGCAGAGCAAATTGAGGAATGCTCCGTGTACCCCAAATCGTCTCGAGTTGAGAGCTGATTCCCTGGTTTAGGCTCAAGACGTATGCCAAGTTTCCAGAAGCACCTCAAGAGGAGGCTTCTCTCAGCAATACGTATGAAGGAGGGACCCCGAGTGTGCTGCCTCAAGTGGAATACACAATGAGAAGCCCTAACTTGAAAGGAGGCCTGATTTCCTTGCAGTGACTTGAATACAGGCTCGTCTTTCATCTCACAACATGAAGGGATGTCCAAATCCCCTGGGGAGAACTTAGAGGAAGCCATAGATCCCTACCTCATTTGACGGAATGCCTCACATCCCCTTGACACCTCGAGAGGCACACGGAGTTCATTGCTTCAAAAGGTGACGATGCCTGACAAATCTTGAATATTGATAGGAATCCCAAAATAACTCTGGCTACTGGAAAGGGTACTTGTGTGCCCTGCCTCACCTCGAGAAGCATCCCTTGGGCCCTGCCAAGCCTCGAAGAGATTCCTGAGGTGTCCCTCGTTACGAGACAGGAGTCCTGACGTCACTGAATAAACACGGGTTTTGAAGGGCCATCCCCGCCATAACTCGCGAACATACCCCAGTTCCCCGCCGCAACTCGAGAAAAATCATGAGACTTCCCCCTAGATGCGAGTCGTGGCCCGATTCCCCTGCAGTCCATGCAGAGCAATTCCGTGATGCCCATCAAACAAGTCAGGAGCTTCGACTTGCTTGATGGATGTCGAGACAGTCCCCAAGAACACTGTCTCATGTCTAGACGGACCCTGAAGTCAACGCACCAACGCACAGCAGATCCATGTGCCCCAAATCAACTCGAGATGAGGCCCGATTCCCCTGCATTGACTCCAGAGCCATCCCCCGTTCCCCATTAAACACCACCAGTTGCTGGACTTTCTTCAGGCAACTCCAGAGATGCCCCGAGAACACCGTCCCAAGTCTAGAGGAACAGCAACATCAGCATAGCAACTCGAGGAATGCTCCGTGTACCCCAAATCGTCCGGAGATGAGAGCTGATTACCTGGCTTAGGCTCAAGACGTATGCCAAGTTTCCAGAAGCACCTCAAGAGGAGGCTTCTCTCAGCAATAGGTAGGTGGGAGGGATCCCGAGTTTGCTGCCTCATGTGGAATATACAGCGAGAAGCCCTAACTTGAAAGGAGGCCGGATTTCCTTGCAGTGGCTTGAATACAGGCTCGTCTTTCCTGTCACAACATGAAGGGATGTCCAAATCCCCTGTGGATACCTTAGAGAAACACATAGGGCCCTGCCTCATTTTGATGGAATGCCTCACATCCCCTTGAGACTTCGAGAGGCACGCGGAGTTCACTGCTTCAAAAGGTGACGATGGCTGACTCCACTTGAACATTGATAGGAATCCCAAAAATCCCAGTGGCTACTGGAAAGGCTACTTGGGTGGCCTGCCTCACCTCGAGAAGCGTCCCTTGTGCCCTGCCAAGCCTCGAAGAGATTCCTGAGGAGTCCCTCGTTACTAGACAGGAGTCCTGACGTCACTGAATAAACACGTGTTTTGAACGGCCATCCCAGCCGTAAATCGAGAACATACACCAGTTCCCGCCACAACTCGAGAAAAACCATGAGACTTCCCCCTAGATGCGAGATGAGGCCTGATTCCCTGCAGTGCATGCAGCGCATTCCCGTGATCCCCATCAAGCAAGTCAGGAGCTTCGACTTGCTTAATGGATCTCGAGACAGTCCCCAAGAACACTGTCACAAGACTAAACAGACCCTGATGTCACCCCAGCAATGAAAAGCAGCTGCAAGTGCCCCACATCAACTCGAGATGAGGCCTGATTCCCCTGCATTGACACAAGAGCCATCCCCCGTTCCCCATTAAACACGACCAGTGGCTTGACTTCCTTCAGGCAACTCCAGAGATGCCACGAGAACACTGTCCCAAGACTAGAGGAACACCAACTTCAGCACAGCAACTTGAGGAATGCTCCGTGTACCCCAAATCGTCTGGAGATGACAGCTGATTCCCTGGCTTAGGCTCAAGACGTATGCCAAGTTTCCAGAAGCACCTCAAGAGGAGGCTTCTCTCAGCAGTAGGCATGTGGGAGGGACCACGAGTTTGCTGCCTCAAGTGGAATATACAGCGAGAAGCCCTACCTTGAAAGGAGGCCGGATTTCCTTGCAGTGGCTTGAATACAGGCTCGTCTTTCATCTCACAACATGAAGGGATGTCCAAATCCCTTGTGGACACCTTAGAGAAAGCCATAGATCCCTGCCTCATTTTGACGGAATGCCTCACATCCCGTTGACACCTCGAGAGACACGCGCAGTTCACTGCTTCAAAAGGTGACGATGCCGGACTCCTCTTGAATCATCGATAGGAACACCAAAATCACTGTGGCTTCTGGAAAGGGTACCTGGGTGCCCTGCCTAAACTCGAGAAGCGTTTCTTGTGCCCTGCCAAGCGTCGAAGAGATTCCTGAGGTGTCCCTCGTTACTAGACAGGAGTCCTGACGTCACTGAATAAACACGTGTTTTGAAGGGCCATCCCTGCCGTAACTCGAGAACATAGCCCAGATCACCGCCGCAACTCGAGAAAAACCATGAGACTTCCCCCTAGATGCGAGACGAGGCCCGATTCCCCTTCAGTGCATGCAGAGCATTCTCGTGATCCCCTTCAAAGAAGTCAGGAGTTTCGACTTGCTTAATGGATCTCGAGAGAGTCCCCAAGAAGACTGTCACAAGTCTAGACGGACCCTGAGGACACCTCAGCAACGCAAAGCAGCTCCATGTGCCCCAAATCAACTCGAGATGAGGCCTGATTCCCCTGCATTGACTCCAGAGCAAATCCCCATTCCCCATTAAACACGACGAGTGGCTCGACTTTCTTCAGGCAACTCGAGAGATGCCCCGAGAACACTGTCCCAAATCTAGAGGAACACCAAATTCAGCAGAGCAAATTGAGGAATGCTCCGTGTACCCCAAATCGTTTCGAGGTGAGAGCTGATTCCCTAGCTTAGGCTCAAGACATATGCCAAGTTTCCAGAAGCACCTCAAGAGGAGGCTTCTCTCAGCAATAGGTATGATTGAGGGACCCCGAGTTTGCTGCCTCAAGTGGAATACACAATGAGAAGCCCTAACTTGAAAGGAGGCCTGATTTCCTTGCAGTGGCTTGAATACAGGCTCGTCTTTCATCTCACAACATGAAGGGATGTCCAAATCCCCTGGGGAGACCTTAGAGAAAGCCATAGATCCCTGCCTCATTTTGACTGAAAGCCTCACATCCCCTTGACACTTCGAAAGGCACGCGGAGTTCACTGCTTCAAAAGGTGACGATGCCTGACTCCACTTGAACATTGATAGGAATCCCAAAATCCCTGTGGCTACTGGAAAGGCTACTTGGGTGCCCTGCCTCACCTCGAGAAGCGTCCCTTGTGCCCTGCCAAGCCTCGACGAGATTCCTGAAGTGTCCCTCATTACTAGACAGGAGTCCTGACGTCACTGAATAAACATGTGTTTTGAAGGGCCATCCCCGCCGTAACTCGAGAACATAACCCAGGTCCCCGCCACAACTCGAGGAAAACCATGAGACTTCCCCATAGATGCGAGATGAAGCCCGATTCCCCTGCAGTGCATGCACAGCTATTCCGTGATCCCCATCAAACAAGTCACGAGCTTCGACTTGCTTGATGGATCCCGGACAGTCCCCAAGAACACTGTCACATGACTAGACGGACCATGAAGTCAATGCACCAACGCACAGCAGATCCATGTGCCCCAAATCAACTCGAGATGAGGCCTGATACCTCTGCATTGACTCCAGAGCAATACCCTATTCCCCATTAAACACGAGAAATGGCTCGACTTCCTTCAGCCAACTCCAGAGATGCCCCGAGAACACTATCCCAAGTCTAGAGGAACACCAACTTCAGCACAGCAACTCGAGGAATGCTCTGTGTACCCCAAAACTTCTCGAGATGAGAGCTGATTCCCTGGCTTAGGCTCAAGACGTATGCCAACTTTCCAGAAGCACCTAAAAAGGAGGATTCTCTCAGCAATAGGTATGTGGGAGGGACCCCGAGTTTGCTGCCTTAAGTGGAATATACAGCGAGAAGTCCTAACTTGAAAGGAGGCCGGCTCTCCTTGCAGTGGCTTGAATACAGGCTCGTCTTTCTTCTCACAACATGAAGGGATGTCCGAATCCCCTGTGGAAACCTTAGAGAAAGCCATAGGTCCCTGCCTCATTTTGACGGAATGCCTCACATCCCGTTGACACCTCGAGAGGCACGGGGAGTTCACTGCTTCAAAAGGTTACGATGCCTGACTCCTCTTGAAAATTGATAGGAATCAAAAAATCACTGTGGCTCCTGGAAAGCGTCCTTGGTTGCCCTGCCTCACCTCGAGAAGCATCCCTTTTGCCCTGCCAAGCCTCAAAGAGATTCCTGAGGTGTCCCTCGTTACTAGACAGGAGTTCTGACTTCACTGAATAAAGACGTGTTTTGAAGGGCCATCCCCGCCGTAACTCGAGAACATACCCCAGGTCCCCGCTACAACTCCAGAAAAACCATGAGACTTCCCCCTATATGCGAGATGAAGTCCGATTCCCCTGCAGTGCATGCAGAGCAATTCCATGATCCCCATCAAACAAGTCAGGAGCTTCGACTTGCTTGATGGATCTCGAGACAGTCCCCAAGAACACTGTTACATGGCTAGACGGACCCTGAGGTCACCCCAGCAACGCAAAGCAGCTCCATGTGCGCCAAGTAAACTCGAGATGAGGCCCGATTAACCTGCATTGACACCAGAGCCATCCCCCGTTCCCCATTAATCACGACCAGTGGCTTGACTTCCTTCAGGCAACTCCAGAGATGCGCCGAGAACACTATCCAAAGTCTAGAGGAACACCAACTTCATCACAGCAACTCGAGGAATGCTCCGTGTACCCCAAATCGTCTGGAGATGACAGCTGATTCCCTGTCTTAGTCAAGACGAATGCCAACTTTCCAGAAGCACCTCAAGAGGAGGCTTCTCTGAGCAGTAGGCATGTGGGAGGGACCCCGATTTTGCTGCCTCAAGTGGAATATACAGTGAAAAGCCCTAACTTGAAAGGAGGCCTGATTTCCTTTCAGTGACTTGAATACAGGCTCGTCTTTCATCTCACAACATGAAAGGATGTCCAAATCCCCTGGGGAGAACTTAGAGGAAGCCCTAGATCCCTACCTCATTTGACGGAATGCCTCACATCCCCTTGACACCTCGAGAGGCACACGGAGTTCATTGCTTCAAAAGGTGACGATGCCTGACACCTCTTGAATATTGATAGGAATCCCAAAATAACTCTATCTACTGGAAAGGGTACTCGTGTGCCCTGCCTCACCTCGAGAAGCATCCCTTGTGCCCTGCCAAGCCTCGAAGAGATTCCTGAGGTGTCCCTCGTTACTAGACAGGAGTCCTGACGTCACTGAATAAACACGTGTTTTGAAGGGCCATCCCCGCCATAACTCGCGAACATACCCCAGGTCCCTGCCACAACTCGAGAAAAATCATGAGACTTCCCCCTAGATGCGAGTCATGGCCCGATTCCCCTGCAGTCCATGCAGAGCAATTCCGTGATGCCCATCAAACAAGTCAGGAGCTTCGACTTGCTTGATGGATGTCGAGACAGTCCCCAAGAACACTGTCTCATGTCTAGACGGACCCTGAAGTCAACGCACCAAAGCACAGCAGATCCATGTGCCACAAATCAACTCGAGATGAGGCCCAATTCCCCTGCATTGACTCCAGAGTCATCCCCCGTTCTCCATTAAACACCACCAGTGGCTGGACTTTCTTCAGGCAACTCCCTAGATACCCCGAGAACACCGTCCCAAGTCTAGAGGAACAGCAACATCAGCATAGCAACTCGAGGAATGCTCCGTGTACCCCAAATCATCTCGAGATGAGAGTTGATTCCCTGGCTTAGGCTCAAGACGTATGCCAACTTTCCAGAAGTACCTCAGGAGGAGGCTTCTCTCAGCAATAAGTATGTGGGAGGGACCCCGAGTATGCTGCCTCAAGGGGAATATACAGCGAGAAGCCCTAACTTGAAAGGAGGCCGGATTTCCTTGCAGTGGCTTGAATACAGGCTCGTCTTTCATCTCACAACATGAAGGGATGTCTGAATCCCCTGTGGAGACCTTAGAGAAAGCGCTAGGTCCCTGCCTCATTTTGACGGAATGCCTCTCATTCCGCTAACACGTCGAAAGGCACGCGGAGTTCATTGCTTTAAAAGGTGAGGATGCCTGACTTCTCTTGAATACTGATAGGAATCGCAGAATCCCTGTGGCTACTGGAAAGGGTCCTTGGGTGCCCTGCCTCACCTCGAGAAGCGTCCCTTTTGCCCTGCTAAGCCTCGAAGAGATTCCTGAGATGTCCCTCGTTACTAGACAGGAGTCCTGACGTCACTGAAGAAACTCGTGTTTTGAATGGCCATCCCCGCCTTAAGTCGAGAACATACCCCAGGTCCCCGTCGCAACTCGAGAAAAACCATGAGACTTCCCCCTAGAGGCGAGATGAGGCCCCATTCCCCGGCAGTGCATGCAGAGCTATTCCGTGATCTCATTCAAACAAGTCAGGAGATTCGACTTGCTTAATGGATCTCGAGACAGTCCCCAAGAACACTGTCACCAGTCTAGACGGACCCTGAGGTCACCCCAGCAATGCAAAGCAGCTCCATGTGCCCCTAATCAACTCGAGATGAGGCCCGATTCCCCTGCATTGACTCCAGAGCCATTCCCCGTTCCCCATTCAACACGACCGGTGGCTCGACTTCCTTCAGGCAACTCCAGAGATTTCCCGAGAACACTGTCCCAAGTCTAGAGGAATACCAACTTCAGGACAGCAACTCGAGGAATGCTCCGTGTACCCCAAATCGTCTCGAGATGAGAGCTTATTCCCTGGCTTAGTCTCTAGACGTATGCCAGCTTTCCAGAAGCACCTCAGGATGAGGCTTCTCTCAGCAATAGGTATGTGGTAGGGACCCCGAGTTTGCTGCCTCAAGGGGAATATACAGCGAGAAGCCCTAACTTGAAAGGAGGCCGGATATCCTGGCAGTGGCTTGAATACAGGCTCGTCTTTCATCTTACAACATGAAGGGATGTCTGAATCCCCTGTGGAGACCTTAGAGAAAGCCCTAGGTCCCTGCCTCATTTTGACGGAATGCCTCACATCCCGCTGACACCTCGAGAGGCACGCGGAGTTCATTGCTTCAAATGGGGACGATGCCTGACTCCTCTTGAATACTGATAGGAATCCCAAAATCCCTGTGGCTACTGTAAAGGGTCCTTGGGTGCCCTGCCTCACCTCGAGAAGCGTCCCTTTTACCCTGCCAAGCCTCAAAGAGATTCCTGAGGTGTCCCTCGTTACTAGACAGGAATCCTGACGTCACTGAAGAAACTCGTGTTTTGAAGGGCCATCCCCGCCGTAAGTCAAGAAATACCCCAGGTCCCCGCCGCAACTCGAGAAAAACCATGAGACTTCCCCCTAGAGGCGAGATGAGGCCCCATTCCCCTGCAGTGCATGCCGACCTCTTCCGTGATCCCATTCAAACAAGTCAGGAGATTCGACTTGCTTAATGGATCTCGTGACAGTCCCCAAGAACACTGTCACCAGTCTAGACGGACCCTGAGGTCACCCCAGCAACGCAAAGCAGCTCCATGTGCCCCAAATCAACTCGAGATGAGGCCCAATTGCCCTGCATTGACTCCAGAGCCATTCCCCGTTCCCCATTCAACACGACCGGCGGCTCGACTTCCTTCAGGCAACTCCAGAGATGCCCCGAGAACACTGTCCCAAGTCTAGAGGAACACCAACTTCAGCACAGCAACTCGAGGAATGCTCCGTGTACCCCAAATCGTCTCGAGATGAGAGCTGATTCCCTGGCTTAGGCTCAAGACGTATGCCAACTTTCCAGAAGCACCTCAGGAGGAGGCTTCTCTCAGCAATAGGTATGTGGGAGAGACCCCGAGTTTGCTGCCTCAAAGGGAATATACAGCGAGAAGCCCTAACTTGAAAGGAGGCCGGATTTTCTTCCAGTGGCTTGAATACAGGCACGTCTTTCATCGCACAACATGAAGGGATGTCTGAATCCCCTGTGGAGACTTAGAGAAAGCCCTAGGTCCCTGCCTCATTTTGACGGAATGCCTCACATCATGCTGACATCTCGAGAGGCACGCGGAGTTCATTGCTTCAAAAGGTGACGATGCCTGACTCCTCTTGAATACTGATAGGAATCCCAAAATCCCTGTGGCTACGGGAAAGGGTCCTTGGGTGCCCTGCCTCACCTCGAGAAGCGTCCCTTTTGCCCTGCCAAGCCTCGAAGAGATTCCTGAGGTGTCCCTCGTTACTAGACAGGAGTCCTGAGGTCACTGAAGAAACTCGTGTTTTGAAGGGCCATCCCCGCCTTAAGTCGAGAACATACCCCAGGTCCCCGCCGCAACTCGAGAAAAACCATGAGACTTCCCCCTAGAGGCGAGATGAGGCCCCATTCCCCTGCAGTGCATGCAGAGCTATTCCGTGATCCCATTCAAACAAGTCAGGAGCTTCGACTTGATTAATGGATCTCGAGACAGTCCCCAAGAACACTGTCACCAGTCTAGACGGACCCTGAGGTCACCCCAGCAACGCAAAGCAGCTCCATGTGCCCCAAATCAACTCGAGATGAGGCCCGATTCCCCTGCATTGACTCCAGAGCCATTCCCCGTTCCCGATTCAACACGACCGGTGGCTCGACTTCCTTCAGGCAACACCAGAGATGCACCGAGAACACTGTCCCAAGTCTAGAGGAACACCAACTTCAACACAGCAACTCGAGGAAAGCTCCGTGTACCCCAAATCATCTCGAGATGAGAGCTGATTCCCTGGCTTAGGCTCAAGACGTATGCCAACTTTCCAGAAGCACCTCAGGAGGAGGCTTCTCTCAGCAATAGTTATGTGGGAGGGACCCCGAGTTTGCTGCCTCAAGGGGAATATACAGCGAGAAGCCCTAACTTGAAAGGAGGCCGGATTTCCTTGCAGTGGCTTAAATACAGGCTCGTCTTTCATCTCACAACATGAAGGGATGTCTGAATCCCCTGTGGAGATTTTAGAGAAAGCCGTAGGTCCCTGCCTCATTTTGACGGAATGCCTCACATCCTGCTAACAACTCGAGAGGCACGCAAAGTTCATTGCTTCAAAAGGTGACGATGCCTGACTCCTCTTGAATACTGATAGGAATCCCAGAGTCCCTGTGGCTACTGGAAAGGGTCCTTGGGTGCCCTGCCTCACCTCGAGAAGCGTCCCTTTTGCCCAGCCAAGCCTCGAAGAGATTCCTGAGGTGTCCCTCGTTACTAGACAGGAGTCCTGAGGTCACTGAAGAAACTCGTGTTTTGAAGGGCCATCCCCGCCGTAAGTTGAGAACATACCCCAGGTCTCCGCCCCAACTCGAGAAAAATCATGAGACTTCCCCCTAGAGGCGAGATGAGGCCCCATTCCCCTGCAGTGCATGCAGAGCTATTCCGTGATCCCATTCAAACAACTCATTAGCTTCGACTTGATTAATGGATCTCGAGACAGTCCCCAAGAACACTGTCACCAGTCCAGACGGACCCTGAGGTCACCCCAGCAAAGCAAAGCAGCTCCATGTGCCCCAAATCAACTCGAGATGAGGCCCGATTCCCGTGCATTGACTCGAGAGACATTCCCCGTTCCCCATTCAACACGACCTGTGGCTCGACTTCCTTCAGGCAACTCCAGAGATGCACCGAGAACCCTGTCCCAAGTCTAGAGGAAAACCAACTTCAGCACAGCAACTCGAGGAATGCTCCGTGTACCCCAAATCGTTTCCAGATGAGAGCTGATTCCCTGGCTTAGGCTCAAAACGTATGCCAACTTTCCAGAAGCACCTCAGGAGGAGGCTTCTCAGCAATAGGTATGTGGGAGGGACCCCGAGTTTGCTGCCTCAAGGGGAATATACAGCGAGAAGCCCTAACTTGAAAGGAGGCCGGATTTCCTTGCAGTGGCTTGAATACGGGCTCGTCTTTCATCTCACAACATGAAGGGATGCCTGAATCCCCTGTGAAGACCTTAGAGAAAGCCCTAGGTCCCTGCCTCATTTTGACGGAATGCCTCACATCCCGCTGACACCTCGAGAGGCACGCGGAGTTCATTGCCTCAAAAGGTGACGATGCCTGACTCCTCTTGAATACTGATAGGATTCCCAGAATCACTGTGGCTACTGGAAAGGGTCCTTGGGTGCCCTGCCTCACCTCGAGAAGTGTCCCTTTTGCCTTGCCAAACTCGAAGAGATTCCTGAGGTGTCCCTCGTTACTAGACAGGAGTCCTGAGGTCACTGAAGAAACTCGTGTTTTGAAGGGCCATCCCCGCCGTAAGTCGAGAACATACCCCAGGTCTCCGCCCCAACTCGAGAAAAATCATGACACTTCCCCCTAGAGGCGAGATGAGGCCCCATTCCCCTGCAGTGCATGCAGAGCTATTCCGTGATCCCATTCAAAGAACTCATTAGCTTCGACTTGATTAATGGATCTCAAGACAGTCCCCAAGAACACTGTCACCAGTCTAGACGGACCCTGAGGTCACCCCAGCAAAGCAAAGCAGCTCCATGTGCCCCAAATCAACTCGAGATGAGGCCCGATTCCCGTGCATTGACTCGAGAGACATTCCCCGTTCCCCATTCAACACGACCTGTGGCTCGACTTCCTTCAGGCAACTCCAGAGATGCCCCGAGAACCCTGTCCCAAGTCTAGAGGAAAACCAACTTCAGCACAGCAACTCGCGGAATGCTCCGTGTACCCCAAATCGTCTCGAGATGAGAGCTGATTCCCTGGCTTAGGCTCAAGACGTATGCCAACTTTCCAGAAGCACCTCAGGAGGAGGTTTCTCTCAGCAATAGTTATGTGGGAGGTACCCCGAGTTTGCTGCCTAAAGGGGAATATACAGCGAGAAGCCCTGACTTGAAAGCACGCCGGATTTCCTTGCAGTGGCTTGAATACAGGCTCGTCTTTCATCTCACAACATGAAGGGGTGTCTGAATCCCCTGTGGAGACCTTAGAGAAAGCCCTAGGTCACTGCCTCATTTTGACGGAATGCCTCACATCCCGCTGACACCTCGAGAGGCACGCGGAGTTCTTTGCCTCAAAAGGTGACGATGCCTGACTCCTCTTGAATACTGATAGGATTCCCAGAATCACTGTGGCTACTGGAAAGGGTCCTTGGGTGCCCTGCCTCACCTCGAGAAGCGTCCCTTTTGCCCTGCCAAACTCGAAGAGATTCCTGAGGTGTCCCTCGTTACTAGACAGGAGTCCTGATGTCACTGTAGAAACTCGTGTTTTGAAGGGCCATCCCCGCCGTAAGTCGAGAACATACCCCAGGTCCCCGCCGCAACTCGAGAAAAACAATGAGACTTCCCCCTAGAGGCGAGATGAGGCCCCATTCCCCTGCAGTGCATGCAGAGCTATTCCGTGATCCCATTCAAACAAGTCAGGAGCTTCGACTTGCTTAATGGATCTCGAAAGAGTCCCCAAGAACACTGTCACAAGTCTAGACGGACCCTGAGGTCACCCCAGCAAAGCAAGGCAGCAGCATGTGCCCCAAATCAACTCGAGATGAGGCCCGATTTCCCTGCGTTGACTCCAGAGCCATTCCCGGTTCCCCATTCAACACGACCAGTGGCTCGACTTCTTTCAGGCAACTCCAGAGATGCCCCGAGAACACTGTCCCAAGTCTAGAGGAACACCAACTTCAGCACAGCAACTCGAGGAATGCTCCGTGTACCCCAAAACGTCTCGATTTGAGAGCTGATTCCCTGGCTTAGGCTCAAGACGTATGCCAACTTTCCAGAAGCACCTCAGGAGGAGGTTTCTCTCAGCAATAGTTATGTGGGAGGTACCCCGAGTTTGCTGCCTAAAGGGGAATATACAGCGAGAAGCCCTGACTTGAAAGCAGGCCGGATTTCCTTGCAGTGGCTTGAATACAGGCTCGTCGTTCATCTCACAATATGAAGGGGTGTCTGAATCCCCTGTGGAGACCTTAGAGAAAGCCCTAGGTCCCTGCCTCATTTTTACGGAATGCCTCACATCCCGCTGACACCTCGAGAGGCACGCGGAGTTCATTGCTTCAAAAGGTGACGATGCCTGACTCCTCTTGAATACTGATAGGAATCCCAGAATCACTGTTGCTACTGGAAAGGGTCCTTGGGTGCCCTGCCTCCCATCGAGAAGCGTCCCTTTTGCCCTGCCAAGCCTCGAAGAGATTCCTAAGGTGTTCCTCGTTACTAGACAAGAGTCCTGAGGTCACTGAAGAAACTCGTGTTTTGAAGGGCCATCCCCGCCGTAAGTCGAGAACATACCCCAGGTCCCCGCCGCAACTCGAGAAAAACCATGAGACTTCCCATTAGAGGAGAGATGAGGCCCCATTCCCCTGCAGTGCATGCAGAGCTATTCCGTGATCCCATTCAAACAAGTCAGGAGCTTCGACTTGCTTAATGGATCTCGAGACAGTCCCCAAGAACACTGTCACAAGTCTAGACGGACCCTGAGGTCACCCCAGCAACGCAAAGCAGCTCCATATGCCCCAAATCAACACGAGATGAGGCCCGATTCCCCTGCATTGACTCCAGAGCCATTCCCCGTTCCCCATTCAACACGACCGGTGGCTCGACTTCCTTCAGGCAACTCCAGAGATGCCCCGAGAACACTGTCCCAAGTCTAGAGGAACACCAACTTCAGCACAGCAACTCGAGGAATGCTCCGTGTACCCCAAATCATCTCGAGATGAGAGCTGATTCCATGGCTTAGGCTCAAAACGTATGCCAACTTTCCAGAAGCACCTCAGGAGGAGTCTTCTCAGCAATAGGTATGTGGGAGGGACCCCGAATTTGCTGCCTCAAGGGGAATATACAGCGAGAAGCCCTAACTTGAAAGGAGGCCGGATTTCCTTGCAGTGGCTTGAATACGGGCTCGTCTTTCATCTCACAACATGAAGGGATGTCTGAATCCCCTGTGGAGACCTTAGAGAAAGCCCTAGGTCCCTGCCTCATTTTGACGGAATGCCTCACATCCCGCTGACACCTCGAGAGGCACGCGGAGTTCATTGCCTCAAAAGGTGACGATGCCTGACTCCTCTTGAATACTGATAGGATTCCCAGAATCACTGTGGCTACTGGAAAGGGTCCTTGGGTGCCCTGCCTCACCTCGAGAAGCGTCCCTTTTGCCTTGCCAAACTCGAAGAGATTCCTGAGGTGTCCCTCGTTACTAGACAGGAGTCCTGATGTCAGTGTAGAAACTCGTGTTTTGAAGGGCCATCCCCGCCGTAAGTCGAGAACATACCCCAGGTCCCCGCCGCAACTCGAAAAAAACTATGAGACTTCCCCCTAGAGGCGAGATGAGGCCCCATTCCCCTGCAGTGCATGCAGAGCTATTCCGTGATCCCATTCAAACAAGTCAGGAGCTTCGACTTGCTTAATGGATCTCGAAAGAGTCCCCAAGAACACTGTCACAAGTGTAGACGGACACTGAGGTCACCCCAGCAACGCAAGGCAGCAGCATGAACACCAAATCAACTCGAGATGAGGCCCGATTCCCCTGCATTGACTCCAGAGCCATTCCCCGTTCCCCATTCAACACGACCGGTGGCTCGACTTCCTTCAGGCAACTCCAGAGATGCCCCGAGAACACTGTCCCAAGTCTAGAGGAACACCTACTTCAGCACAGCAACTCGAGGAATGCTCCGTGTACACCAAATCGTCTCGAGATGAGAGCTGATTCCCTGGCTTAGGCTCAAGACGTATGCCAACTTTCCAGAAGCACCTCAGGAGGAGGCTTCAATCAGCAATAGGTATGTGGGAGAGACCCCGAGTTTGCTGCCTCAAGGGGAATATACAGCGAGAAGCCCTAACTTGAAAGGAGGCCGGATTTTCTTCCAGTGGCTTGAATACAGGCTCGTCTTTCATCTCACAACATGAAGGGATGTCTGAATCCCCTGTGGAGACTTAGAGAAAGCCCTAGGTCCCTGCCTCATTTTGACGGAATGCCTCACATCCTGCTGACATCTCGAGAGGCACGCGGAGTTCATTGCTTCAAAAGGTGACGATGCCTGACTCCTCTTGAATACTGATAGAAATCCCAAAATCCCTGTGGCTACTGGAAAGGGTCCTTGGGTGCCCTGCCTCACCTCGAAAAGCGTCCCTTTTGCCCTGCCAAGCCTCGAAGAGATTCCTGAGGTGTCCCTCGTTACTAGACAGGAGTCCTGAGGTCACTGAAGAAACTCGTGTTTTGAAGGGCCATCCCCGCCGTAAGTCGAGAACATACCCCAGGTCCCCGTCGCAACTCGAGAAAAACCATGAGACTTCCCCCTAGAGGCGAGATGAGGCCCCATTCCCCTGCAGTGCATGCAGAGCTATTCCGTGATTCCATTCAAACAAGTCAGGAGCTTCAACTTGATTAATGGATCTCGAGACAGTCCCCAAGAACACTGTCACCAGTCTAGACGGACCCTGAGGTCACCCCAGCAACGCAAAGCAGCTCCATGTGCCCCAAATCAACTCGAGATGAGGCCCGATTCCCCTGCATTGACTCCAGAGCCATTCCCCGTTCCCCATTCAACACGACCGGCGGCTCGACTTCCTTCAGGCAACTCCAGAGATGCACCGAGAACACTGTCCCAAGTCTAGAGGAACACCAACTTCAACACAGCAACTCGAGGAAAGCTCCGTGTACCCCAAATCATCTCGAGATGAGAGCTGATTCCCTGGCTTAGGCTCAAGACGTATGCCAACTTTCCAGAAGCACCTCAGGAGGAGGCTTCTCTCAGCAATAGTTATGTGGGAGGGACCCCGAGTTTGCTGCCTCAAGGGGAATATACAGCGAGAAGCCCTAACTTGAAAGGAGGCCGGATTTCCTTGCAGTGGCTTAAATACAGGCTCGTCTTTCATCTCACAACATGAAGGGATGTCTGAATCCCCTGTGGAGATTTTAGAGAAAGCCGTAGGTCCCTGGCTCATTTTGACGGAATGCCTCACATCCCGCTAAAAACTCGAGAGGCACGCAGAGTTCATTGCTTCAAAAGGTGACGATGCCTGACTCCTCTTGAATACTGATAGGAATCCCAGAGTCCCTGTGGCTACTGGAAAGGGTCCTTGGGTGCCCTGCCTCCCATCGAGAAGCGTCCCTTTTGCCCTGCCAAGCCTCGAAGAGATTCCTGAGGTGTCCCTCGTTACTAGACAGGAGTCCTGAGGTCACTGAAGAAACTCGTGTTTTGAAGGGCCATCCCCGCCGTAAGTCGAGAACATACCCCAGGTCCCCGCCGCAACTCGAGAAAAACCATGAGACTTCCCACTAGAGGAGAGATGAGGCCCCATTCCCCTGCAGTGCATGCAGAGCTATTCCGTGATCCCATTCAAACAAGTCAGGAGCTTCGACTTGCTTAATGGATCTCGAGACAGTCCCCAAGAACACTGTCACAAGTCTAGACGGACCCTGAGGTCACCCCAGCAACGCAAAGCAGTTCCATATGCCCCAAATCAACACGAGATGAGGCCCGATTCCCTGCATTGACTCCAGAGCCATTCCCCGTTCCCCATTCAACACGACCGGTGGCTCGACTTCCTTCAGGCAACTCCAGAGATGCCCCGAGAACCCTGTCCCAAGTCTAGGGGAACACCAACTTCAGCACAGCAACTCGAGGAATGCTCAGTGTACCCCAAATCGTCTCGAGATGAGAGCTAATTCCCTGGCTTAGGCTCAAGACGTATGCCAACTTTCCAGAAGCACCTCAGGGGGAGGCTTCTCTCAGCCATAGGTATGTGGAGGGAACCCGAGTTTGCTGCATCAAGGGGAATATACAGCGAGAAGCCCTAACTTGAAAGGAGGCCGGATTTCCTTGCAGTGGCTTGAATACAGGCTCGTCTTTCATCTCACAACATGAAGGGATGTCTGAATCCACTGTGGAGACCTTAGAGAAAGCCCTAGGTCCCTGCCTCATTTTGACGGAATGCCTCACATCCCGCTGACACCTCGAGAGGCACGCGGAGTTCATTGCTTCAAAATATGATGATGCCTGACTGCTCTAGAATACTGATAGGAATCCCAGAATCCCTGTGGCTACTGGAAAGGGTCCTTGGGTGCCCTGCCTCACCTCGAGAAGCGTCCCTTTTGCCCTGCCAAGCCTCGAAGAGATTCCTGAGGTGTCCCTCATTACTAGACAGGAGTCCTGACGTCACTGAAGAAACTCGTGTTTTGAAGGGCCATCCCCGCCGTAAGTCGAGAACATACCCCAGGTCCGCACCGCAACTGGAGAAAAACCATGAGACTTCCCCCTAGAGGCGAGATGAGGCCCCATTCCCCTGCAGTGCGTGCAGAGCTATTCCGTGATCCCATTCAAACAAGTCAGGAGCTTCGACTTGCTTAATGGATCTCGAGACAGTCCCCAAGAACACTGTCACCAGTCTAGACGGACCCTGAGGTCACCCCAGCAACACAAAGCAGCTCCATGTGCCCCAAATCAACTCGAGATGAGGCCCGATTCCCCTGCATTGACTCCAGAGCCATTCTCCATTCCCCATTAAACACGACCGGTTGCTCGACTTCCTTCAGGCAACACCAGAGATGCCCCGAGAACCCTGTCCCAAGTCTAGAAGAACACCAACTTCAGCACAGCAACTCGAGGAATGCTCCGTGTACCACAAATCGTCTCGAGATGAGAGCTGATTCCCTGGCTTAGGCTCAAGACCTATGCCAACTTTCCAGAAGCACCTCACGGGGAGGCTTCTCTCAGCCATAGGTATGTGGGAGTGACCCCGAGTTTGCTGCATCAAGGGGAATATACAGCGAGAAGACCTAACTTGAAAGGAGGCCGGATTTCCTTGCAGTGGCTTGAATACAAGCTCGTCTTTCATCTCACAACATGAAGGGATGTCTGAATCCCCTGTGGAGACCTTAGAGAAAGCCCTAGGTCCCTGCCTCATTTTGACGGAATGCCTCACATCCCGCTGACACCTCGAGAGGCACGCGGAGTACATTGCTTCAAAATATGATGATGCCTGACTGCTCTAGAATACTGATAGGAATCCCAGAATCCCTGTGGCTACTGGAAAGGGTCCTTGGGTGCCCTGCCTCACCTCGAGAAGCGTCCCTTTTGCCCTGCCAAGCCTCGAAGAGATTCCTGAGGTGTCCCTCATTACTAGACAGGAGTCCTGACGTCACTGAAGAAACTCGTGTTTTGAAGGGCCATCCCCGCCGTAAGTCGAGAACATACCCCAGGTCCGCACCGCAACTGGAGAAAAACCATGAGACTTCCCCCTAGAGGCGAGATGAGGCCCCATTCCCCTGCAGTGCGTGCAGAGCTATTCCGTGATCCCATTCAAACAAGTCAGGAGCTTCGACTTGCTTAATGGATCTCGAGACAGTCCCCAAGAACACTGTCACCAGTCTAGACGGACCCTGAGGTCACCCCAGCAACACAAAGCAGCTCCATGTGCCCCAAATCAACTCGAGATGAGGCCCGATTCCCCTGCATTGACTCCAGAGCCATTCTCCATTCCCCATTAAACACGACCGGTTGCTCGACTTCCTTCAGGCAACTCCAGAGATGCCCCGAGAACCCTGTCCCAAGTCTAGAAGAACACCAACTTCAGCACAGCAACTCGAGGAATGCTCCGTGTACCCCAAATCGTCTCGAGATGAGAGCTGATTCCCTGGCTTAGGCTCAAGACCTATGCCAACTTTCCAGAAGCACCTCACGGGGAGGCTTCTCTCAGCCATAGGTATGTGGGAGTGACCCCGAGTTTGCTGCATCAAGGGGAATATACAGCGAGAAGACCTAACTTGAAAGGAGGCCGGATTTCCTTGCAGTGGCTTGAATACAGGCTCGTCTTTCATCTCACAACATGAAGGGATGTCTGAATCCCCTGTGGAGACCTTAGAGAAAGCCCTAGGTCCCTGCCTCATTTTGACGGAATGCCTCACATCCCGCTGACACTTCGAGAGTCACCGGAGTTCATTGCTTCAAAAGGTGACGATGCCTGACTCCTCTTGAATACTGATAGGAATCCCAGAATCCCTGTGGCTACTGGAAAGGGTCCTTGGGTGCCCTGCCTCACCTCGAGAAGCGTCCCTTTTGCCCTGCCAAGCCTCGAAGAGATTCCTGAGGTGTCCCTCGTTACTAGACAGGAGTCCTGACGTCACTGAAGAAACTCGTGTTTTGAAGGGCCATCCCCGCCGTAAGTCGAGAACATACCCCAGGTCCCCGCCGCAACTCGAAAAAAACCATGAGACTTCCCCCTAGAGGCGAGATGAGGCCCCATTCCCCTGCAGTGCATGCAGAGCTATTCCGTGATCCCATTCAAACAAGTCAGGAGCTTTGACTTGCTTAATGGATCTCGAGACAGTCCCCAAGAACACTGTCACAAGTCTAGACGGACCCTGAGTTCACCCCAGCAACGCAAAGCAGCTCCATGTGCCCCAAATCACCTCGAGATGAGGCCCGATTCCCCTGCATTGACTCAACAGTCATTCCCCGTTCCCCATTAAACACGACCGGTGGCTCGACTTCCTTCAGGCAACTCCAGAGGTGCCCCGAGAACCCTTTCCCAAGTCTAGAGGAACACCAACTTCAGCACCGCAACTCGAGGAATGCTCTGTGTACCCCAAATCGTCTCGAGATGAGAGCTGATTCCCTGGCTTTGGCTCAAGACGTATGCCAACTTTCCAGAAGCACCTCAGGGTGAGGCTTCTCTCAGCCATATGTATGTGGGAGGGACCCCGAGTTTGTTGCCTCAAGGGGAATATACAGCGAGAAGACCTAACTTCAAAGGAGGCCGGATTTCCTTGCAGTGGCTTGAATACAGGCTCGTCTTTCATCTCACAACATGAAGGGATGTCTGAATCCCGTGTGGAGACCTTAGAGAAAGCCCTAGGTCCCTGCCTCATTTTGACGGAATGCCTCACATCCCGCTGACACGTCGAGAGTCACCGGAGTTCATTGCTTCAAAAGGTGACGATGCCTGACTCCTCTTGAATACTGATAGGAATCCCAGAATCCTGTGGCTACTGGAAAGGGTCCTTGGGTGCCCTGCCTCACCTCGAGAAGCGTCCCTTTTGCCCTGCCAAGCCTCGAAGAGATTCCTGAGGTGTCCCTCGTTACTAGACAGGAGTCCTGACGTCATTGAAGAAACTCGTGTTTTGAAGGGCCATCCCCGCCGTAAATCGAGAACATACCCCAGGTCCCCGCCGCAACTCGAAAAAAACCATGAGACTTCCCCCTAGAGGCGAGATGAGGCCCCATTCCCCTGCAGTGCATGCAGAACTATTCCGTGATTCCATTCAAAGAAGTCAGGAGCTTCGACTTGCTTAATGGATCTCGAGACAATCCCCAAGAACACTGTCACAAGTCTAGACGGACCCTGAGGTCACCCCAGCAACACAAAGCAGCTCCATGTGCCCCAAATCACCTCGAGATGAGGCCCGATTCCCCTGCATTGACTCCAGAGCCATTCCCCGTTCCCCATTCAACACGACCGGTGGCTCGACTTCCTTCAGGCAACTCCAGAGATGCCCCGAGAACACTGTCCCAAGTCTAGAAGAACACCAACCTCAGCACAGCAACTCGAGGAATGCTCCGTGTACCCCAAATCGTCTCGAGATGAGAGCAGATTCCCTGGCTTAGTCTCAAGACGTATGCCAACTTTCCAGAAGCACCTCACGGGGAGGCTTCTCTCAGCCATAGATATGTGGGAGGGACCCCGAGTTTGCTGCATCAAGGGGAATATACAGCGAGAAGCCCTAACTTGAAAGGAGGCTGGATTTCCTTGCAGTGGCTTGAATACAGGCTCGTCTTTCATCTCACAACATGAAGGGATGTCTGAATCACCTGTGGAGACCTTAGAGAAAGCCCTAGGTCCCTGCCTCATTTTGACGGAATGCCTCACATCCCGCTGACACTTCGAGAGGCACCGGAGTTCATTGCTTCAAAAGGTGACCATGCCTGACTCCTCTTGAATACTGATAGGAATCCCAGAATCCCTGTGGCTACTGGAAAGGGTCCTTGGGTGGCCTGCCTCACCTCGAGAAGCGTCCGTTTTGCCCTGCCAAGCCTCGAAGAGATTCCTGAGGTGTCCCTCGTTACTAGACAGGAGTCCTGACGTCCCTGAAGAAACTCGTGTTTTGAAGGACCATCCCCGCCGTAAGTCGAGAACATACCCCAGGACCCGCCGCAACTCGAGAAAAACCATGAGACTTCCCACTAGAGGCGAGATGAGTCCTCATTCCCCTGCAGTGCGTGCAGAGCTATTCCGTGATCCCATTCAAAGAAGTCAGGAGCTTCGACTTGCTTAATCGATCTCGAGACAGTCCCCAAGAACACTTTCACCAGTCTAGACGGACCCTGACGTCACCCCGGCAACGCAAAGCAGCTCCATGTACCCCAAATCAACTCGAGATGAGGCCCGATTCCCCTGCATTGACTCCAGAGCCATTCCCCGTTCCCCATTCAACACGACCGGTGGCTCGACTTCCTTCAGGCAACTCCAGAGATGCCCCGAGAACACTGTCGCAAGTCTAGAGGAACACCAACTTCAGCACAGCAACTCGAGGAATGCTCCGTGTACCCCAAATCATTTCGAGATGAGAGCTGATTCCCTGGCTTAGGCTCAAGACGTATGCCAACTTTCCAGAAGGACCTCAGGAGGAGGCTTCTCTCAGCAATAGGTATGTGGGAGGGACCCCGAGTTTGCTGCCTGAAGGGGAATATACAGCGAGAAGCCCTAACTTGAAAGGAGGCCGGATTTCCTTGCAGTGGCTTGAATACAGGCTTGTCTTTCATCTCATAACATGAAGGAATGTCTGAATCCCCTATGGAGACCGTAGAGAAAGCCCTAGATCCCTGCCTCATTTTGACGGAATGCCTCACATCCCGCTGACACCTCGTCAGGCACGCGGAGTTCATTGCTTCAAAAGCTGACGATGCCTGACTCCTCTTGAATACTGATAGGAATCCCAGAATCCCTGTGGCTACTGGAAAGGGTCCTTGGGTACCCTGCCTCACCTCGAGAAGCGTCCCTTTTGCCCTGCCAATCTCGAAGAGATTCCTGAGGTGTCCCTCGTTACTAGACAGGAGTCCTGATGTCACTGAAGAAACTCCTGTTTTGAAGGGCCATCCCCGCCGTAAGTCGAGAACATACCCCAGGTCCCCGCCGCAACTCGAGAAAAAACATGAGACTTCCCCCTAGAGGCGAGATGAAGCCCCATTCCCCTGCAGTGCATGCCGTGCTATTCCGTGATCCCATTCAAACAAGTCAGGAGCTTCGACTTGCTTAATGGATCTCGAGAGAGTCCCCAAGAACACTGTCACCAGTCTAGACGGTCGCTGATGTCACCCCAGCAAAGCAAGGCAGCTGCATGGGCCCTAAATCAACTCGAGATGAGGCCCGATTCCCCTGCATTGACTGCAGAGCCTTTCCCCGTTCCGCATTCAACACGACCGGTGGCTCGACTTCCATCAGGCAACTCCAGAGATGCCCCGAGAACCCTGTCCCAAGTCTAGAGGAACACCAACTTCAGCACAGCAACCCGAGGAATGCTCTGTGTACCCCCAAATCGTCTCGAGATGAGAGCTGATTCCCTGGCTTAGGCCCAAGACGTATGCCAGCTTTCCAGAAGCACCTCAGGAGGAGGCTTCTCTCAGCAATAGGTATGTGGGAGGGACCCCAAGTTTGCTGCCTCAAGGGGGATATACAGCAAGAAGCCCTAACTTGAAAGGAGGCCGGATTTCTGTGCAGTGGCTTGAATACAGGCTCGTCTTTCATCTCACAACATGAAGGGATGTCTGAATCCCCTGTGGAGACCTTAGAGAAAGCCCTAGGTCCCTGCCTCATTTTGACGGAATGCCTCACATCCCGCTGACACCTGGAGAAGCACGCGGAGTTCATTGCTTCAAAAGGTGACGATGCCTGACTCCTCTTGAATACTGATAGGAATCCCAAAATCCCTGTGGCTACTGGAAAGGGTCCTTGGGTGCCCTGCCTCACCTCGAGAAGCGTCCCTTTTGCCCTGCCAAGCCTCGAAGAGATTCCTGAGGTGTCCCTCGTTACTAGACAGGAGTCCTGACGTCACTGAAGAAACTCGTGTTTTGAAGGGCCATCCCCGCCTTAAGTCGAGAACGTACCCCAGGTCCCCGCCGCAACTCGAAAAAAACCATGAGACTTCCCCCTAGAGGCGAGATGAGGCCCCATTCCCCTGCAGTCCATGCAGAGCTATTCCGTAATCCCATTCAAAGAAGTCAGGAGCTTCGACTTGCTTAATGGAATTCGAGACAGTTCCCAAGAACACTGTCACCAGTCTAGACGGACCCTGAGGCCACCGCAGCAACGCAAAGCAGCTCCATGTGCCCCAAATCACCTCGAGATGAGGCCCGATTCCCCTGCATTGACTCCAGAGCCATTCCCCGTTCCCCATTCAACACGACCGGTGGCTCGACTTCCTTCAGGCAACTCCAGAGATGCCCCGAGAACACTGTCCCAAGTCCAAAGGAACACCAACTTCAGCACAGCAACTCGAGGAATGCTCTGTGTACCACAAATCGTCTCGAGATGAGAGCTGATTCCCTGGCTTAAGCTCAAGACGTACGCCAACTTTCCAGAAGCACCTCAGGGGGAGGCTTCTCTCAGCCATAAGTATGTGGGAGGGACCCCGAGTTTGCTGCCTGAAGGGGAATATACAGCCAGAAGCCCTAACTTGAAAGGAGCCCGGATTTCCTTGCAGTGGCTTGAATACAGGCTCGTCTTTCATCTCACAACATGAAGGGATGTCTGAATCCACTGTGGAGACCTTAGAGAAAGCCCTAGGTCCCTACCTCATTTTGACGGAATGCCTCACATCGCGCTGACACGTCGAGAGGCACGCGGAGTTCATTGCTTCAAAAGTGACGATGCCTGACTCCTCTTGAATACTGATAGGAATCCCAGAATCCCTGTGGCTACTGGAAAGGGTCCTTGGGTGCCCTGCCTCACCTCGAGAAGCGTCCCTTTTGCCCTGCCAAGCCTCGAAGAGATTCCTGAGGTGTCCCTCGTTACTAGACAGGAGTCCTGACGTCCCTGAAGAAACTCGTGTTTTGAAGAGCCATCCCCGCCGTAAGTCGAGAACATACCCCAGGTCCCCGCCGCAACTCGAGAAAAACCATGAGACTTCCCCCTAGAGGCGAGATGAGGCCCCATTCCCCTGCAGTGCGTGCAGAGCTATTCCGTGATCCCATTCAAACAGGTCAGGAGCTTCCACTTGCTTAATCGATCTCGAGACAGTCCCCAAGAACACTGTCACCAGTCTAGACGGACCCTGAGGTCACCCCGGCAACGCAAAGCAGCTCCATGTGCCCCAAATCAACTCGAGATGAGGCCCGATTCCCCTGCATTGACTCCAGAGCCATTCCCCATTCCCCATTCAACACGACCGGTGGCTCGACTTCCTTCAGGCAACTCCAGAGATGCCCCGAGAACACTGTCGCAAGTCTAGAGGAACACCAACTTCAGCACAGCAACTCGAGGAATGCTCCGTTTACCCCCAAATCGTCTCGAGATGAGAGCTGATTCCCTGGCTTAGGCTCAAGACGTATGCCAACTTTACAGAAGCACCTCAGGAGAAGGTTTCTCTCAGCAATAGGAATGTGGGAGGGACCCCGAGTTTGCTGCCTCAAGGGGAATATACAGCGAGAAGCCCTAACTTGAAAGGAGGCCGGATTTCCTTGCAGTGGCTTGAATACAGGCTCGTCTTTCATCTCACAAAGAAAGGGATGTCTGAATCCACTGTGGAGACCTTAGAGAAAGCCCTAGGTCCCTGCCTCATTTTGACGGAATGCCTCACATCCCGCTGACACCTCGAGAGGCACGCGGAGTTCATTGCTTCAAAAGGTGACGATGCCTGACTCCTCTTGAATACTGATAGGAATCCCAGAATTCCTGTGGCTACTGGAAAGGGTCTTGGGTGCCCTGCCTCACCTCGAGAAGCGTCCCTTTTCCCCTGCCAAGCCTCGAAGAGATTCCTGAGGTGTCCCACATTACTAGACAGGAGTCCTGACGTCACTGAAGAAACTCGTGTTTTGAAGGGCCATCCCCGCCGTAAGTCGAGAACATACCCCAGGTCCCCGCCGCAACTCGAGAAAAACCATGAGACTTCCCCCTAGAGGCGAGATGAGGCCCCATTCCCCTGCAGTGCGTGCAGAGCTATTCCGTGATCCCATTCAAACTAGTCAGGAGCTTCGACTTGCTTAATGGATCTCGAGACAGTCCCCAAGAACACTGTCACCAGTCTATACGGACCCTGAGGTCACCCCAGCAACGCAAAGCAGCTCCATGTGCCCCAAATCAACTCGAGATGAGGCCCGATTCCCCTGCATTGACTCCAGAGCCATTCCCCGTTCCCCATTCAACACGACCGGTGGCTCGACTTCCTTCACGCAACTCCAGAGATGCCCCGAGAACCCTGTCCCAAGTCTAGAGGAACACCAACTTCAGCACAGCACCTCGAGGAATGCTCCGTGTACCCCAAATCGTCTCGAGATGAGAGCTGATTCCCTGGCTTAGGCTCAATACGTATGCCAACTTTCCAGAAGGACCTCAGGAGGAGGCTTCTCTCAGCAATAGGTATGTGGGAGGGACCCCGAGTTTGCTGCCTCAAGGGGAATATAGAGCGAGAAGCCCTAACTTGAAAGGAGGACGGATTTCCTTGCAGTGGCTTGGATACAGGCTCGTCTTTCATCTCACAACATGAAGGGATGTCTGAATCCCCTGTGGAGACCTTAAAGAAAGCCCTAGGCCCCTGCCTCATTTTGACGGAATGCCTCACATCGCGCTGACACCTCGAGAGGCACGCGGAGTTCATTGCTTCAAAAGGTGACGATGCCTGACTCCTCTTGAATACTGATAGGAATCCCAGAATCCCTGTGGCTACTGGAAAGGGTCCTTGGGTGCCCTGCCTCACCTCGAGAAGCGTCCCTTTTACCCTGCCAAGCCTCGAAGAGATTCCTGAGGTGTCCCTCGTTACTAGACAGGAGTCCTGACGTCACTGAAGAAACTCGTGTTTTGAAGGGCCATCCCCGCCGTAAGTCGAGAACATACCCCAAGGCCCCGTCGCAACTCGAGAAAAACCATGAGACTTCCCCCTAGAGGCGAGATGAGGCCCCATTCCCCTGCAGTGCATGCAGAGCTATTCCGTGATTCCATTCAAAGAAGTCAGGAGCTTCGACTTGCTTAATGGATCTCGAGACAGTCCCCAAGAACACTGTCACAAGTCTAGACGGACCCTGAGGTCACCCCAGCAACGCAGAGCAGCTCCATGTGCCCCAAATCACCTCGAGATGAGGCCCGATTCCCCTGCATTGACTCCAGAGCCATTCCCCGTTCCCCATTCAACACGACCGGTGGCTCGACTTCCTTCAGGCAACTCCAGAGATGCCCCGAGAACCCTGTCCCAAGTCTAGAGGAACACCAACTTCAGCACAGCAACTCGAGGAATGCTCCGTGTACCCCAAATCGTCTCGAGATGAGAGCTGATTCCCTGGCTTAGGCTCAAGACGTATGCCAACTTTCCAGAAGCACCTCACGGGGAGGCTTCTCTCAGCCATAGGTATGTGGGAGGGACCCCGAGTTTGCTGCCTCAAGGGGAATATACAGCGAGAAGACCTAACTTCAAAGGAGGCCGGATTTCCTTGCAGTGGCTTGAATACAGCCGCGTCTTTCATCTCAGAACATGAAGGGATGTCTGAATCCCCTGTGGAGACCTTAGAGAAAGCCCTAGGTCCCTGCCTCATTTTGACGGAATGCCTCACATCCCGCTGACACTTCGAGAGTCACCGGAGTTCATTGCTTCAAAAGGTGACGATGCCTGGCTCCTCTTGAATACTGATAGGAATCCCAGAATCCCTGTGGCTACTGGAAAGGGTCCTTGGGTGCCCTGCCTCACCTCGAGAAGCGTCCCTTTTGCCCTGCCAAGCCTCGAAGAGATTCCTGAGGTGTCCCTCGTTACTAGACAGGAGTCCTGACATCATTGAAGAAACTCGTGTTTTGAAGGGCCATCCCCGCCGTAAGTCGAGAACATACCCCAGGTCCCCGCCGCAACTCGAAAAAAACCATGAGACTTCCCCCTAGAGGCGAGATGAGGCCCCATTCCCCTGCAGTGCATGCAGAACTATTCCGTGATTCGATTCAAAGAAGTCAGGAGCTTCGACTTGCTTAATGGATCTCGAGACAGTCCCCAAGAACACTGTCACAAGTCTAGACGGACCCTGAGGTCACCCCAGCAACGCAAAGCAGCTCCATGTGCCCCAAATCACCTCGAGATGAGGCCCGATTCCCCTGCATTGACTCCAGAGCCATTCCCCGTTCCCCATTCAACACGACCGGTGGCTCGACTTCCTTCAGGCAACTCCAGAGATGCCCCGAGAACCCTGTCCCAAGTCTAGAAGAACACCAACTTCAGCACAGCAACTCGAGGAATGCTCCGTGTACCCCAAATGGTCTCGAGATGAGAGCTGATTCCCTGGTTAGGCTCAAGACGTATGCCAACTTTCCAGAAGCACCTCACGGGGAGGCTTCTCTCAGCCATAGGTATGTGGGAGGGACCCCGAGTTTGCTGCATGAAGGGGAATATACAGCGAGAAGCGCTAACTTGAAAGGAGGCCGGATTTCCTTGCAGTGGCTTGAATACAGGCTCGTCTTTCATCTCACAACATGAAGGAATGTCTGAATCCACTGTGGAGACCTTAGAGAAAGCCCTAGGTCCCTGCCTCATTTTGACGGAATGCCTCACATCCCGCTGACACCTCGAGAGGCACGCGGAGTTCATTGCTTCAAAAGGTGACGATGCCTGACTCCTCTTGAATACTGATAGGAATCCCAGAATCCCAGTGGCTACTGGAAAGGGTCCTTGGGTGCCCTGCCTCACCTCGAGAAGCGTCCCTTTTGCCCTGCCAAGCCTCGAAGAGATTCCTGAGGTGTCCCACATTACTAGACAGGAGTCCTGACGTCACTGAAGAAACTCGTGTTTTGAAGGGCCATCCCCGCCGTAAGTCGAGAACATACCCCAGGTCCCCGCCGCAACTCGAGAAAAACCATGAGACTTCCCCCTAGAGGCGAGATGAGGCCCCATTCCCCTGCAGTGCGTGCAGAGCTATTCCGTGATCCCATTCAAACTAGTCAGGAACTTCGACTTGCTTAATGGATCTCGAGACAGTCCCCAAGAACACTGTCACCAGTCTAGACGGACCCTGAGGTCACACCAGCAACGCAAAGCAGCTCCATGTGCCCCACATCAACTCGAGATGAGGCCCGATTCCCCTGCATTGACTCCAGAGCCATTCCCCGTTCCCCATTCAACACGACCGGTGGCTCGACTTCCTTCAGGTAACTCCGCCCCAAGAACACTGTCCCAAGTCTAGAGGAACACCAACTTCAGCACAGCAACTCGAGGAATGCTCCGTGTACCCCAAATCGTCTCGAGATTAGAGCTGATTCCCTGGCTTAGGCTCAAGACATATGCCAACTTTCCAGAAGCACCTCAGGAGGAGGCTTCTCTCAGCAATAGGTATTTGGGAGGGACCCCGAGTTTGCTGCATGAAGGGGAATATACAGCGAGAAGCCCTAACTTGAAAGGAGGCCGGATTTCCTTGCACGGGCTTGAATACAGGCTCGTCTTTCATCTCACAACATGAAGGGATGTCGGAATCCACTGTGGAGACCTTAGAGAAAGCCCAAGGTCCCTGCCTCATTTTGACGGAATGCCTCACATCCCGTTGACACCTCGAGAGGCACGCAGAGTTCATTGCTTCAAAAGGTGACGATGGCTGACTATTCTTGAATACTGATAGGAATCCCAAAATCCCCGTGGCTACTGGAAAGGGTCCTTGGGTGCCCTGCCTCACCTCGAGAAGCGTCCCTTTTGCCCTGCCAAGCCTCGAAGAGATTCCTGAGGTGTCCCTCGTTACTAGACAGGAGTCCTGACGTCACTGAAGAAACTCGTGTTTTGAAGGGCCTTCCCCGCCTTAAGTCGAGAACATAGCCCAGGTCCCCGCCGCAACTCGAGAAAAACCATGAGACTTCCCCCTAGAGGCGAGATGAGGCCCCATTCCCCTGCAGTGCATGCAGAGCTATTCCGTGATCCCATTCAAACAAGTCAGGAGCTTCGAATTGCTTAATGGATCTCGAGACAGTCCCCAAGAAGACTGTCACCAGTCTATACGGACCCTGAGGTCACCCCAGCAACGCAAAGCAGCACCATGTGCCCCAAATCAACTCGAGATGAGGCCCGATTCCCCTGCATTGACTCCAGAGCCATTCCCCGTTCCCCATTCAACACGACCGGTGGCTCGACTTCCTTCACGCAACTCCAGAGATGCCCCGAGAACCCTTTCCCAAGTCTAGAGGAATATCAACTTCAGCACAGCAACTCGAGAAATGCTCCGTGTACCCCAAATCGTCTCGAGATGAGAGCTGATTCCCTGGCTTAGGCTCAAGACGTATGCCAACTTTCCAGAAGCACCTCAGGGGGAGGCTTCTCTCAGCCATAAGTATGTGGGAGGGACCCCGAGTTTGCTGCCTCAAGGGGAATATACAGCGAGAAGCCCTAACAAGAAAGGAGGCCGGATTTCCTTGCAGTGGCTTGAATACAGGCTCGTCTTTCATCTCACAACATGAAGGGATGTCTGAATCCCCTGTGGAGACCTTAGAGAAAGCCCTAGGTCCCTGCCTCATTTTGACGGAATGCCTCACATCGCGCTGACACCTCGAGAGGCACGCGGAGTTCATTGCTTCAAAAGTGACGATGCCTGACTCCTCTTGAATACTGATAGGAATCCCAGAATCCCTGTGGCTACTGGAAAGGGTCCTTGGGTGCCCTGCCTCACCTCGAGAAGCGTCCCTTTTGCCCTGCCAAGCCTCGAAGAGATTCCTGAGGTGTCCCTCGTTACTAGACAGGAGTCCTGACGTCCCTGAAGAAACTCGTGTTTTGAAGGACCATCCCCGCCGTAAGTCGAGAACATACCCCAGGACCCGCCGCAACTCGAGAAAAACCATGAGACTTCCCACTAGAGGCGAGATGAGTCCTCATTCCCCTGCAGTGCGTGCAGAGCTATTCCGTGATCCCATTCAAAGAAGTCAGGAGCTTCGACTTGCTTAATCGATCTCGAGACAGTCCCCAAGAACACTCTCACCAGTCTAGACGGACACTGACGTCACCCCGGCAACGCAAAGCAGCTCCATGTACCCCAAATCAACTCGAGATGAGGCCCGATTCCCCTGCATTGACTCCAGAGCCATTCCCCGTTCCCCATTCAACACGACCGGTGGCTCGACTTCCTTCAGGCAACTCCAGAGATGCCCCGAGAACACTGTCGCAAGTCTAGAGGAACACCAACTTCAGCACAGCAACTCGAGGAATGCTCCGTGTACCCCAAATCATTTCGAGATGAGAGCTGATTCCCTGGCTTAGGCTCAAGACGTATGCCAACTTTCCAGAAGGACCTCAGGAGGAGGCTTCTCTCAGCAATAGGTATGTGGGAGGGACCCCGAGTTTGCTGCCTGAAGGGGAATATACAGCGAGAAGCCCTAACTTGAAAGGAGGCCGGATTTCCTTGCAGTGGCTTGAATACAGGCTTGTCTTTCATCTCATAACATGAAGGAATGTCTGAATCCCCTATGGAGACCTTAGAGAAAGCCCTAGATCCCTGCCTCATTTTGACGGAATGCCTCACATCCCGCTGACACCTCGTCAGGCACGCGGAGTTCATTGCTTCAAAAGCTGACGATGCCTGACTCCTCTTGAATACTGATAGGAATCCCAGAATCCCTGTGGCTACTGGAAAGGGTCCTTGGGTGCCCTGCCTCACCTCGAGAAGCGTCCCTTTTGCCCTGCCAAGACTCGAAGAGATTCCTGAGGTGTCCCTCGTTACTAGGCAGGAGTCCTGATCTCACTGAAGAAAGTCGTGTTTTGAAGGGCCATCCCTGCCGTAAGTCGAGAACATACCCCAGGTCCCCGCCGCAACTCGAGAAAAACCATGAGACTTCCCCCTAGAGGCGAGATGAAGCCCCATTCCCCTGCAGTGCATGCCGAGCTATTCCGTGATCCCATTCAAACAAGTCAGGAGCTTCGACTTGCTTAATGGATCTCGAGACAGTCCCCAAGAACACTGTCACCAGTCTAGACGGTCGCTGATGTCACCCCAGCAAAGCAAGGCAGCTGCATGAGCCCTAAATCAACTCGAGATGAGGCCCGATTCCCCTGCATTGACTGCAGAGCCTTTCCCCGTTCCGCATTCAACACGACCGGTGGCTCGACTTCCATCAGGCAACTCCAGAGATGCCCCGAGAACCCTGTCCCAAGTCTAGAGGAACACCAACTTCAGCACAGCAACCCGAGGAATGCTCTGTGTACCCCCAAATCGTCTCGAGATGAGAGCTGATTCCCTGGCTTAGGCCCAAGACGTATGCCAGCTTTCCAGAAGCACCTCAGGAGGAGGCTTCTCTCAGCAATAGGTATGTGGGAGGGACCCCAAGTTTGCTGCCTCAAGGGGGATATACAGCAAGAAGCCCTAACTTGAAAGGAGGCCGGATTTCTGTGCAGTGGCTTGAATACAGGCTCGTCTTTCATCTCACAACATGAAGGGATGTCTGAATCCCCTGTGGAGACCTTAGAGAAAGCCCTAGGTCCCTGCCTCATTTTGACGGAATGCCTCAAATCCCACTGACACCTGGAGAGGCACGCGGAGTTCATTGCTTCAAAAGGTGACGATGCCTGACTCCTCTTGAATACTGATAGGAATCCCAGAATCCCTGTGGCTACTGGAAAGGGTCCTTGGGTGCCCTGCCTCACCTCGAGAAGCGTCCCTTTTGCCCTGCCAAGCCTCGAAGAGATTCCTGAGGTGTCCCTCGTTACTAGACAGGAGTCCTGACGTCACTGAAGAAACTCGTGTTTTGAAGGGCCATCCCCGCCTTAAGTCGAGAACGTACCCCAGGTCCCCGCCGCAACTCGAAAAAAACCATGAGACTTCCCCCTAGAGGCGAGATGAGGCCCCATTCCCCTGCAGTGCATGCAGAGCTATTCCGTAATCCCATTCAAAGAAGTCAGGAGCTTCGACTTGCTTAATGGATCTCGAGACAGTCCCCAAGAACACTGTCACCAGTCTAGACGGACCCTGAGGCCACCCCAGCAACGCAAAGCAGCTCCATGTGCCCCAAATCACCTCGAGATGAGGCCCGATTCCCCTGCATTGACTCCAGAGCCATTCCCCGTTCCCCATTCAACACGACCGGTGGCTCGACTTCCTTCAGGCAACTCCAGAGATGCCCCGAGAACACTGTCCCAAGTCCAAAGGAACACCAACTTCAGCACAGCAACTCGAGGAATGCTCCGTGTACCCCAAATCGTCTCGAGATGAGAGCTGATTCCCTGGCTTAGGCTCAAGACGTATGCCAACTTTCCAGAAGCACCTCACGGGGAGGCTTCTCTCAGCCATAGGTATGTGGGAGGGACCCCGAGTTTGCTGCCTCAAGGGGAATATACAGCGAGAAGCCCTAACTTGAAAGGAGGCCGGATTTCCTTGCAGTGGCTTGAATACAGGCTCGTCTTTCATCTCACAACATGAAGGGATGTCTGAATCCCCTGTGGAGACCTTAGAGAAAGCCCTAGGTCCCTGCCTCATTTTGACGGAATGCCTCACATCCCGCTGACACTTCGAGAGGCACCGGAGTTCATTGCTTCAAAAGGTGACGATGCCTGACTCCTCTTGAATACTGATAGGAATCCCAGAATCCCTGTGGCTACTGGAAAGGGTCCTTGGGTGCCCTGCCTCACCTCGAGAAGCGTCCGTTTTGCCCTTCCAAGCCTCGAAGAGATTCCTGAGGTGTCCCTCGTTACTAGAGAGGAGTCCTTACGTCATTGAAAAAACTCGTGTTTTGAAGGGCCATCCCGCCGTAAGTCGAGAACATACCCCAGGTCCCCGCCGCAACTCGAAAAAAACGATGAGACTTCCCCCTAGAGGCGAGATGAGGCCCCATTCCCCTGCAGTGCATGCAGAGCTATTCCGTGATCCCATTCAAAGAAGTCAGGAGCTTCGACTTGCTTAATGGATCTCGAGACAGTCCCCAAGAACACTGTCACAAGTCTAGACGGACCCTGAGGTCACCCAGCAACGCAAAGCAGCTCCATGTGCCCCAAATCACCTCGAGATGAGGCCCGATTCCCCTGCATTGACTCCAGAGCAATTCCCCTTTCCCCATTCAACACGACCGGTGGCTCGACTTCCTTCAGGCAACTCCAGAGATTTCCCGAGAACACTGTCCCAAGTCTAGAGGAACACCAACTTCAGCACAGCAACTCGAGGAATGCTCCGTGTACCCCAAATCGTCTCGAGATGAGAGCTGATTCCCTGGCTTAGGCTCTAGACGTATGCCAGCTTTCCAGAAGCACCTCAGGAGGAGGCATCTCTCAGCAATAGGTATGTGGGAGGGACCCCGAGTTTGCTGCCTCAAGGGGAATATACAGCGAGAAGCCCTAACTTGAAAGGAGGCCGGATTTCCTGCAGTGGCTTGAATACAGGCTCGTCTTTCATCTCACAATATGAAGGGATGTCTGAATCCCCTGTGGAGACCTTAGAGAAAGCCCTAGGTCCCTGCCTCATTTTGACGGAATGCCTCACATCCCGCTGACACCTCGAGAGGCACGCGGAGTTCATTGCTTCAAAAGGTGACGATGCCTGACTCCTCTAGAATACTGATAGGAATCCCAGAATCCGTGTGGCTACTGGAAAGGGTCCTTGGGTGCCCTGCCTCACCTCGAGAAGCGTCCCTTTTGCCCTGCCAAGCCTCGAAGAGATTCCTGAGGTGTCCCTCGTTACTAGACAGGAGTCCTGACGTCACTGAACAAACTCGTGTTTTGAAGGGCCATCCCCGCCGTAAGTCGAGAACATAACCCCGGTCCCTGCCGCAACTCGAGAAAAACCATGAGACTTCCCCCTAGAGGCGAGATGAGGCCCCATTCCCCTGCAGTGCATGCAGAGCTATTCCGTGATTCCATTCAAACAAGTCAGGAGCTTCGACTTGCTTAATCGATCTCGAGACAGTCCCCAAGAACACTGTCACCAGTCTAGACGGACCAGAGGTCACCCCAGCAACACAAAGCAGCTCCATGTGCCCCAAATCAACTCGAGATGAGGCCCGATTCCCCTGCATTGACTCCAGAGCCATTCCCCGTTCCCCATTCAACACGACCGGTGGCTCGACTTCCTTCACGCAACTCCAGAGATGCCCCGAGAACCCTGTCCCAAGTCTAGAGGAATATCAACTTCAGCACAGCAACTCGAGAAATGCTCCGTGTACCCCAAATCGTCTCGAGATGAGAGCTGATTCCCTGGCTTAAGCTCAAGACGTACGCCAACTTTCCAGAAGCACCACAGGGGGAGGCTTCTCTCAGCCATAAGTATGTGGGAGGGACCCCGAGTTTGCTGCCTGAAGGGGAATATACAGCCAGAAGCCCTAACTTGAAAGGAGCCCGGATTTCCTTGCAGTGGCTTGAATACAGGCTCGTCTTTCATCTCACAACATGAAGGGATGTCTGAATCCACTGTGGAGACCTTAGAGAAAGCCCTAGGTCCCTGCCTCATTTTGACGGAATGCCTCACATCGCGCTGACCCCTCGAGAGGCACGCGGAGTTCAATGCTTCAAAAGTGACGATGCCTGACTCCTCTTGAATACTGATAGGAATCCCAGAATCCCTGTGGCTACTGGAAAGGGTCCTTGGGTGCCCTGCCTCACCTCGAGAAGCGTCCCTTTTGCCCTGCCAAGCCTCGAAGAGATTCCTGAGGTGTCCCTCGTTACTAGACAGGAGTCCTGACGTCCCTGAAGAAACTCGTGTTTTGAAGGGCCATCCCCGCCGTAAGTCGAGAACATACCCCAGGTCCCCGCCGCAACTCGAGAAAAACCATGAGACTTCCCCCTAGAGGCGAGATGAGGCCCCATTCCCCTGCATTGCGTGCAGAGCTATTCCGTGATCCCATTCAAACAAGTCAGGAGCTTCCACTTGCTTAATCGATCTCGAGACAGTCCCCAAGAACACTGTCACCAGTCTAGACGGACCCTGAGGTCACCCCGGCAACGCAAAGCAGCTCCATGTGCCCCAAATCAACTCGAGATGAGGCCCGATTCCCCTGCATTGACTCCAGAGCCATTCCCCGTTCCCCATTCAACACGACCGGTGGCTCTACTTCCTTCACGCAACTCCAGAGATGCCCCGAGAACCCTGTCCCAAGTCTAGAGGAACACCAACTTCAGCACAGCACCTCGAGGAATGCTCCGTGTACCCCAAATCGTCTCGAGATGAGAGCTGATTCCCTGGCTTAGGCTCAATACGTATGCCAACTTTCCAGAAGGACCTCAGGAGGAGGCTTCTCTCAGCAATAGGTATGTGGGAGGGACCCCGAGTTTGCTGCCTCAAGGGGAATATAGAGCGAGAAGCCCTAACTTGAAAGGAGGACGGATTTCCTTGCAGTGGCTTGAATACAGGCTCGTCTTTCATCTCACAACATGAAGGGATGTCTGAATCCCCTGAGGAGACCTTAAAGAAAGCCCTAGGCCCCTGCCTCATTTTGACGGAATGCCTCACATCGCGCTGACACCTCGAGAGGCACGCGGAGTTCATTGCTTCAAAAGGTGACGATGCCTGACTCCTCTTGAATACTGATAGGAATCCCAGAATCCCTGTGGCTACTGGAAAGGGTCCTTGGGTGCCCTGCCTCACCTCGAGAAGCGTCCCTTTTACCCTGCCAAGCCTCGAAGAGATTCCTGAGGTGTCCCTCGTTACTAGACAGGAGTCCTGACGTCACTGAAGAAACTCGTGTTTTGAAGGGCCATCCCCGCCGTAAGTCGAGAACATACCCCAAGGCCCCGTCGCAACTCGAGAAAAACCATGAGACTTCCCCCTAGAGGCGAGATGAGGCCCCATTCCCCTGCAGTGCATGCAGAGCTATTCCGTGATTCCATTCAAAGAAGTCAGGAGCTGCGACTTGCTTAATGGATCTCGAGACATTCCCCAAGAACACTGTCACAAGTCTAGACGGACCCTGAGGTCACCCCAGCAACGCAAAGCAGCTCCATGTGCCCCAAATCACCTCGAGATGAGGCCCGATTCCCCTGCATTGACTCCAGAGCCATTCCCCGATCCCCATTCAACACGACCGGTGGCTCGACTTCCTTCAGGCAACTCCAGAGATGCCCCGAGAACCCTGTCCCAAGTCTAGAGGAACACCAACTTCAGCACAGCAACTCGAGGAATGCTCCGTGTACCCCAAATCGTCTCGAGATGAGAGCTGATTCCCTGGCTTAGGCTCAAGACGTATGCCAACTTTCCAGAAGCACCTCAGAGGGAAGCTTCTCTCAGCCATAGGTATGTGGGAGGGACCCCGAGTTTGCTGCCTCAAGGGGAATATACAGCGAGAAGCCCTAACTTGAAAGGAGGCCGGATTTCCTTGCAGTGGCTTGAATACAGGCTCGTCTTTCATCTCACAACATGAAGGGATGTCTGAATCCACTGTGGAGACCTTAGAGAAAGCCCTAGGTCCCTGCCTCATTTTGACGGAATGCCTCACATCCCGCTGACACCTCGAGAGGCACGCGGAGTTCATTGCTTCAAAATATGATGATGCCTGACTCCTCTAGAATACTGATAGGAATCCCAGAATCCCTGTGGCTACTGGAAAGGGTCCTTGGGTGCCCTGCCTCACCTCGAAAAGCGTCCCTTTTGCCCTGCCAAGCCTCGAAGAGATTCCTGAGGTGTCCCTCATTACTAGACAGGAGTCCTGACGTCACTGAAGAAACTCGTGTTTTGAAGGGCCATCCCCGCCGTAAGTCGAGAACATACCCCAGATCCGCACCGCAACTGGAGAAAAACCATGAGACTTCCCCCTAGAGGCGAGATGAGGCCCCATTCCCCTGCAGTGCGTGCAGAGCTATTCCGTGATCCCATTCAAACAAGTCAGGAGATTCGACTTGCTTAATGGATCTCGAGACAGTCCCCAAGAACACTGTCACCAGTCTAGACGGACCCTGAGGTCACCCCAGCAACGCCATGCAGCTCCATGTGCCCCAAATCAACTCGAGATGAGGCCCGATTCCCCTGCATTGACTCCAGAGCCATTCTCCATTCCCCATTAAACACGACCGGTGGCTCGACTTCCTTCAGGCAACTCCAGAGATGCCCCGAGAACCCTGTCCCAAGTCTAGAAGAACACCAACTTCAGCACAGCAACTCGAGGAATGCTCCGTGTACCCCAAATCGTCTCGAGATGAGAGATGATTCCCTGGCTTAGGCTCAAGACGTATGCCAACTTTCCAGAAGCACCTCACGGGGAGGCTTCTCTCAACCATAGGTATGTGGGAGGGACCCCGAGTTTGCTGCATCAAGGGGAATATACAGCGAGAAGACCTAACTTCAAAGGAGGCCGGATTTCCTTGCAGTGGCTTGAATACAGCCGCGTCTTTCATCTCAGAACATGAAGGGATGTCTGAATCCCCTGTGGAGACCTTAGAGAAAGCCCTAGGTCCCTGCCTCATTTTGACGGAATGCCTCACATCCCGCTGACACTTCGAGAGTCACCGGAGTTCATTGCTTCAAAAGGTGACGATGCCTGGCTCCTCTTGAATACTGATAGGAATCCCAGAATCCCTGTGGCTACTGGAAAGGGTCCTTGGGTGCCCTGCCTCACCTCGAGAAGCGTCCCTTTTGCCCTGCCAAGCCTCGAAGAGATTCCTGAGGTGTCCCTCGTTACTAGACAGGAGTCCTGACATCATTGAAGAAACTCGTGTTTTGAAGGGCCATCCCCGCCGTAAGTCGAGAACATACCCCAGGTCCCCGCCGCAACTCGAAAAAAACCATGAGATTTCCCCCTAGAGGCGAGATGAGGCCCCATTCCCCTGCAGTGCATGCAGAACTATTCCGTGATTCGATTCAAAGAAGTCAGGAGCTTCGACTTGCTTAATGGATCTCGAGACAGTCCCCAAGAACACTGTCACAAGTCTAGACGGACCCTGAGGTCACCCCAGCAACGCAAAGCAGCTCCATGTGCCCCAAATCACCTCGAGATGAGGCCCGATTCCCATGCATTGACTCCAGAGCCATTCCCCGTTCCCCATTCAACACGACCGGTGGCTCGACTTCCTTCAGGCAACTCCAGAGATGCCCCGAGAACCCTGTCCCAAGTCTAGAAGAACACCAACTTAAGCACAGCAACTCGAGGAATGCTCCGTGTACACCAAATCGTCTCGAGATGAGAGCTGATTCCCTGGTTAGGCTCAAGACGTATGCCAACTTTCCAGAAGCACCTCTGGGGAGGCTTCTCTCAGCCATAGGTATGTGGGAGGGACCCCGAGTTTGCTGCATGAAGGGGAATATACAGCGAGAAGCCCTAACTTGAAAGGAGGCCGGATTTCCTTGCAGTGGCTTGAATACAGGCTCGTCTTTCATCTCACAACATGAAGGGATGTCTGAATCCACTGTGGAGACCTTAGAGAAAGCCCTAGGTCCCTGCCTCATTTTGACGGAATCCCTCACATCCCGCTGACACCTCGAGAGGCACGCGGAGTTCATTGCTTCAAAAGGTGACGATGCCTGACTCCTCTTGAATACTGATAGGAATCCCAGAATCCCTGTGGCTACTGGAAAGGGTCCTTGGGTGCCCTGCCTCACCTCGAGAAGCGTCCCTTTTGCCCTGCCAAGCCTCGAAGAGATTCCTGAGGTGTCCCACATTACTAGACAGGAGTCCTGACGTCACTGAAGAAACTCGTGTTTTGAAGGGCCTTCCCCGCCTTAAGTCGAGAACATACCCCAGGTCCCCGCCGCAACTCGAGAAAAACCATGAGACTTCCCCCTAGAGGCGAGATGAGGCCCCATTCCCCTGCAGTGCGTGCAGAGCTATTCCGTGATCCCATTCAAACTAGTCAGGAGCTTCGACTTGCTTAATGGATCTCGAGACAGTCCCCAAGAACACTGTCACCAGTCTAGACGGACCCTGAGGTCACCCCAGCAACGCAAAGCAGCTCCATGTGCCCCAAATCAACACGAGATGAGGCCCGATTCCCCTGCATTGACTCCAGAGCCATTCCCCGTTCCCCATTCAACACGACCGGTGGCTCGACTTCCTTCACGCAACTCCAGAGATGCCCCGAGAACCCTGTCCCAAGTCTAGAGGAACACCAACTTCAGCACAGCAACTCGAGGAATGCTCCGTGTACCCCAAATCGTCTCGAGATGAGAGCTGATTCCCTGGCTCAGGCTCAATACGTATGCCAACTTTCCAGAAGGACCTCAGGAGGAGGCTTCTCTCAGCAATAGGTATGTGGGAGGGACCCCGAGTTTGCTGCCTCAAGGGGAATATAGAGCGAGAAGCCCTAACTTGAAAGGAGGCCGGATTTCCTTGCAGTGGCTTGAATACAGGCTCGTCTTTCATCTCACAACATGAAGGGATGTCTGAATCCCCTGTGGAGACCTTAAAGAAAGCCCTAGGCCCCTGCCTCATTTTGACGGAATGCCTCACATCGCGCTGACACCTCGAGAGGCACGCGGAGTTCATTGCTTCAAAAGGTGACGATGCCTGACTCCTCTTGAATACTGATAGGAATCCCAGAATCCCTGTGGCTACTGGAAAGGGTCCTTGGGTGCCCTGCCTTACCTCGAGAAGCGTCAATTTTACCCTGCCAAGCCTCGAAGAGATTCCTGAAGTGTCCCTCGTTACTAGACAGGAGTCCTGATGTCACTGAAGAAACTCGTGTTTTGAAGGGCCATCCCCGCCGTAAGTCGAGAACATACCCCAAGTCCCCGTCGCAACTCGAGAAAAACCATGAGACTTCCCCCTAGAGGCGAGATGAGGCCCCATTCCCCTGCACTGCATGCAGAGCTATTCCGTGATCCCATTCAAACAAGTCAGGAGCTTCGACTTGCTTAATCGATCTCGAGACAGTCCCCAAGAGCACTGTCACCAGTCTAGACGGACCCTGAGGTCACCCCAGCAACACAAAGCAGCTACATGTGCCCCAAATCAACTCGAGATGAGGCCCGATTCCCCTGCATTGACTCCAGAGCCATTCCCCGTTCCCCATTCAACAGGACCGGTGGCTCGACTTCCTTCAGGTAACTCCGCCCCAAGAACACTGTCCCAAGTCTAGAGGAACACCAACTTCAGCACAGCAACTCGAGGAATGCTCCGTGTACCCCAAATCGTCTCGAGATTAGAGCTGATTCCCTGGCTTAGGCTCAAGACATATGCCAACTTTCCAGAAGCACCTCAGGAGGAGGCTTCTCTCAGCAATAGGTATTTGGGAGGGACCCCGAGTTTGCTGCCTCAAGGGGAATATACAGTGAGAAGCCCTAACTTGAAAGGAGGCCGGATTTCCTTGCACGGGCTTGAATACAGGCTCGTCTTTCATCTCACAACATGAAGGGATGTCGGAATCCACTGTGGAGACCTTAGAGAAAGCCCAAGGTCCCTGCCTCATTTTGACGGAATGCCTCACATCCCGTTGACACCTCGAGAGGCACGCAGAGTTCATTGCTTCAAAAGGTGACGATGGCTGACTATTCTTGAATACTGATAGGAATCCCCAAATCCCCGTGGCTACTGGAAAGGGTCCTTGGGTGCCCTGCCTCACCTCGAGAAGCGTCCCTTTTGCCCTGCCAAGCCTCGAAGAGATTCCTGAGGTGTCCCTCGTTACTAGACATTAGTCCTGACGTCACTGAAGAAACTCGTGTTTTGAAGGGCCTTCCCCGCCTTAAGTCGAGAACATACCCCAGGTCCCCGCCGCAACTCGAGAAAAACCATGAGACTTCCCCCTAGAGGCGAGATGAGGCCCCATTCCCCTGCAGTGCATGCAGAGCTATTCCGTGATCCCATTCAAACAAGTCAGGAGCTTCGAATTGCTTAATGGATCTCGAGACAGTCCCCAAGAAGACTGTCACCAGTCTATACGGACCCTGAGTCACCCCAGCAACGCAAAGCAGCTCCATGTGCCCCAAATCAACTCGAGATGAGGCCCGATTCCCCTGCATTGACTCCAGAGCCATTCCCCGTTCCCCATTCAACACGACCGGTGGCTCGACTTCCTTCAGGCAACTCCAGAGATGCCCCGAGAACACTGTCCCAAGTCTAGAGGAACACCAACTTCAGCACAGCAACTCGAGGAATGCTCCGTGTACCCAAAATCGTCTCGAGATGAGAGCTGATTCCCTGGCTTAGGCTCAAGACGTATGCCAACTTTCCAGAAGCACCTCAGGAGGAGGCTTCTCTCAGCAATACGTATGTGGGAGGGACCCCGAGTTTGCTGCCTCAAGGGGAATATACAGCGAGAAGCCCTAACTTGAAAGGAGGCCGGATTTCCTTGCAGTGGCTTGAATACAGGCACTTCTTTGATCTCAAAACATGAAGGGATGACTGAATGCCCTGTGGAGACCTTAGAAAAAGCCCTAGGTCCATGCCTCATTTTGACGGAATGCCTCACATCCCGCTGACACCTCGAGAGGCACGCAGAGTTCATTGCTTCAAAAGGTGACGATGCCTGACTCCTCTTGAATACTGATAGGAATCCCAGAATCCCTGTGGCTACTGGAAAGGCTACTTGTGTGACCTGCCTCACCTCGAGAAGCGTCCCTTGTGCCCTGCCAAGCCTCGAAGAGATTCCTGAGTTGTCCCTCGTTACTAGACAGGAGTCCTGACGTCACTGAATAAAGACGTGTTTTGAACGGCCATCCCAGCCGTAACTCGAGAACATACCCCAGTTCCCGCCACAACTCGAGAAAAACCATGAGACTTCCCCCTAGATGCGAGATGAGGCCTGATTCCCTGCAGTGCATGCAGCGCATTCCCGTGATCCCCATCAAGCAAGTCAGGAGCTTCGACTTGCTTAATGGATCTCGAGACAGTCCCCAAGAACACTGACACAAGACTAAACAGACCCTGATGTCACCCCAGCAATGAAAAGCAGCTGCAAGTGCCCCACATCAACTCGAGATGAGGCCTGATTCCCCTGCATTGACTCCAGAGCCATCCCCCGTTCCCCATTAAACACGACCAGTGGCTTGACTTCCTTCAGGCAACTCCAGAGATGCCACGAGAACCCTGTCCCAAGACTAGAGGAACACCAACTTCAGCACAGCAACTTGAGGAATGCTCCGTGTACCCCAAATCGTCTGGAGATGACAGCTGATTCCCTGGCTTAGGCTCAAGACGTATGCCAAGTTTCCAGAAGCACCTCAAGAGGAGGCTTCTCTCAGCAGTAGGCATGTGGGAGGGACCACGAGTTTGCTGCCTCAAGTGGAATATACAGCGAGAAGCCCTACCTTGAAAGGAGGCCGGATTTCCTTGCAGTGGCTTGAATACAGGCTCGTCTTTCATCTCACAACATGAAGGGATGTCCAAATCCCTTGTGGACACCTTAGAGAAAGCCATAGATCCCTGCCTCATTTTGACGGAATGCCTCACATCCCGTTGACACCTCGAGAGACTCGCGCAGTTCACTGCTTCAAAAGGTGACGATGCCGGACTCCTCTTGAATCATCGATAGGAACACCAAAATCACTGTGGCTTCTGGAAAGGGTACCTGGGTGCCCTGCCTAAACTCGAGAAGCGTTTCCTGTGCCCTGCCAAGCGTCGAAAAGATTCCTGAGGTGTCCCTCGTTACTAGACAGGAGTCCTGACGTCACTGAATAAACACGTGTTTTGAAGGGCCATCCCTGCCGTAACTCGAGAACATAGCCCAGATCGCCGCCGCAACTCGAGAAAAACCATGAGACTTCCCCCTATATGCGAGACGAGGCCCGATTCCCCTTCAGTGCATGCAGAGCAATCTCGTGATCCCCTTCAAAGAAGTCAGGAGTTTCGACTTGCTTAATGGATCTCGAGAGAGTCCCCAAGAAGACTGTCACAAGTCTAGACGGACCCTGAGGTCACCTCAGCAATGCAAAGCAGCTCCATGTGCCCCAAATCAACTCGAGATGAGGCCTGATTCCCCTGCATTGACTCCAGAGCAAATCCCCATTCCCCATTAAACACGACGAGTGGCTCGACTTTCTTCAGGCAACTCGAGAGATGCCCCGAGAACACTGTCCCAAATCTAGAGGAACACCAAATTCAGCAGAGCAAATTGAGGAATGCTCCGTGTACCCGAAATCGTTTCGAGGTGAGAGCTGATTCCCTAGCTTAGGCTCAAGACATATGCCAAGTTTCCAGAAGCACCTCAAGAGGAGGCTTCTCTCAGCAATAGGTATGATTGAGGGACCCCGAGTTTGCTGCCTCAAGTGGAATACACAATGAGAAGCCCTAACTTGAAAGGAGGCCTGATTTCCTTGCAGTGGCTTGAATACAGGCTCGTCTTTCATCTCACAACATGAAGGGATGTCCAAATCCCCTGGGGAGACCTTAGAGAAAGCCATAGATCCCTGCCTCATTTTGACCGAAAGCCTCACATCCCCTTGACACCTCGAAAGGCACGCGGAGTTCACTGCTTCAAAAGGTGACGATGCCTGACTCCACTTGAACATTGATAGGAATCCCAAAATCCCTGTGGCTACTGGAAAGGCTACTTGGGTGCCCTGCCTCACCTCGAGAAGCGTCCCTTGTGCCTTGCCAAGCCTCGACGAGATTCCTGAAGTGTCCCTCATTACTAGACAGGAGTCCTGACGTCACTGAATAAACATGTGTTTTGAAGGGCCATCCCCGCCGTAACTCGAGAACATAACCCAGGTCCCCGCCACAACTCGAGAAAAACCATGAGACTTCCCCATAGATGCGAGATGAAGCCCGATTCCCCTGCACTGCATGCAGAGCTATTCCGTGATCCCCATCAAACAAGTCACGAGCTTCGACTTGCTTGATGGATCCCGGACAGTCCCCAAGAACACTGTCACATGACTAGACGGACCATGAAGTCAATGCAGCAACGCACAGCAGATCCATGTGCCCCAAATCAACTCGAGATGAGGCCTGATACCTCTGCATTGACTCCAGAGCAATTCCCTATTCCCCATTAAACACGACAAATGGCTCGACTTCCTTCAGCCAACTCCAGAGATGCCCCGAGAACACTATCCCAAGTCTAGAGGAACACCAACTTCAGCACAGCAACTCGAGGAATGCTCTGTGTACCCCAAATCTTCTCGAGATGAGAGCTGATTCCCTGGCTTAGGCTCAAGACGTATGCCAACTTTCCAGAAGCACCTAAAAAGGAGGATTCTCTCAGCAATAGGTATGTGGGAGGGACCCCGAGTTTGCTGCCTTAAGTGGAATATACAGCGAGAAGTCCTAACTTGAAAGGAGGCCGGCTCTCCTTGCAGTTTCTTGAATACAGGCTCGTCTTTCTTCTCACAACATGAAGGGATGTCCGAATCCCCTGTGTAAACCTTAGAGAAAGCCATAGGTCCCTGACTCATTTTGACGGAATGCCTCACATCCAGTTGACACCTCGAGAGTCACGCGGAGTTCACTGCTTCAAAATGTGACGATGCCTGACTCCTCTTGAACATTGATAGGAATCAAAAAATCACTGTGGCTCCTGGAAACCGTCCTTGGTTGCCCTGCGTCACCTCGAGAAGCATCCCTTTTGCCCTGCCAAGCCTCAAAGAGATTCCTGAGGTGTCCCTCGTTACTGGACAGGAGTTCTAACGTCACTGAATAAAGACGTGTTTTGAAGGGCCATCCCCGCCGTAACTTGAGAACATACCCCAGGTCCCCAGCGCAACTCGAGAAAAATCATGAGACTTCCCCCTAGATGCGAGATGAGGCACAATTCCCCTGCAGTGCATGAAGAGCAATCCCGTGATCCCCTTCAAACAAGTCAGGAGCTTCGACTTGCTTAATGGATCTCGAGAGAGTCCCCAAGAATACTGTCACAAGTCTAGACGGACCCTGAGGTAAGCATAGCACCGCAAGCAGCTCCATGTGCCCCAAATCAACTCGAGATGAGGCCCGATTCCCCTGCATTCACTCCAGAGCCATCTCCCGTTCCCCATTAAATACCACCAGTGGCTTGACTTCCTTCAGGCAACCCCAGAGATGCGCCGAGAACACTGGCCCAAGTCTAGAGGAACACCAAAATCAGCACAGCAACTCGAGGAATGCTCCGTGAACACCAAATCGTCTGGAGATGAGAGCTGATTCCCTGGCTTAGGATCAAGACGTATGCCAACTTTCCAGAAGCACCTCAAGGGGAGGCTTCTCTCAGCAATAGGTATGTGGGAGGGACCCCGAGGTTGCTGCCTCAAGTGGAATACACAATGAGAAGCCCTAACTTGAAAGGAGGCCTGATTTCCTTGCAGTGGCTCGAATACAGGCTCGTCTTTCATCTCGCAACATGAACTGATGACCAAATCCCCTGGGGAGACCTTAGAGAAAGCCATAGATCCCTGCCTCATTTTGACGGAATGCCTCACATCCCCTTGACACCTCGAGAGGCACGCGGAGTTCACTGCTTCAAAAGGTGACGATGCCTGACACCTCTTGAATATTGATAGGAATCCCAAAATACCTGTGGCTACTGAAAAGGGTACTTGTGTGCCCTGCCTCACATCGAGAAGCATCCCTTGTGCCCTGCCAAGCCTCGAAGAGATTCCTGAGGTGTCCCTCGTTACTAGACAGGAGTCCTGACGTCACTGAATAAACATGTGTTTTGAAGGGCTATCCCCGCCGTAACTCGTTAACATACCCCAGCTCCCCGCTGCAACTCGAGAAAAACCATGAGACTTCCCCCTAGATGCGAGTCGTGGCCCGATTCCCCTGCGGTCCATGCAGAGCAATTCCGTGATCCCCATCAAACAAGTCAGGAGCTTCAACTTGCTTGATGGATCTCGAGACAGTCCCCAAGAACACTGTCACATGTCTAGACGGACACTGAATTCAACACACCAACGCACAGCAGACCCATGTGCCACATATCAACTCGAGATGAGGCCCGATTCCCCTGCATTGACTCCAGAGCCATCCCCCGTTCCCCATTAAACACCACCAGTGGCTTGACTTCCTTCAGGCAACTCCATAGATGCCCTCAGAACACTGGCCCAAGTCTAGAGGAACACCAACTTCAGCACAGCAACTCGAGGAATACTCCGTGTACCCCAAATCGTCTCGAGATGAGAGCTGATTTTCTGGCTTAGGCTCAAGATGTATGCCAACTTTCCAGAAGCACCTCAAGAGGAGGATTCTCTCAGCAATAGGTATGTTCGTGGGATTCCGAGTTTGCTGCCTAAAGTGGAGTATACAGTGAGAAGCCCTAACTTCTGAGAAGGCCGGATTTCCTTGCAGTGTCTTGAATACAGGCTCGTCTTTCATCTCACAACAGGAAGGGATGTCTCTAACCCCTGTGAAAACCTTACAGAAAGCCCTAGTTCCCTGCCTCATTTTGACGGAATGCCTCACATCCCGTTGACACCTCAAGAGGCACACGGAGTTCACTGCTTCAAAAGGTGACGATGCCTAACACCTCCTGAACATTGATAGGAATCCCAAAATCTCTGTGGCTATTGAAAAGGGTCCTTGGGTGCCCTGCCTCACCTCGAGAAGCATCCCTTGTGCCCTGCCAAGCCTCGAAGAGATTCCTGAGATGTCCCTCGTTACTAGACCAGAGTCCTTACGTCACTGAATAAACACGTGTTTTGAAGGGCCATCCCCGCTGTAATTCGAGAAGATACCCCAGGTTCCAGCCACAACTCGAGAAAAACCATGAGACTTCCCCCTATATGCGAGATGAAGTCCGATTCCCCTTCAGTGCATGCAGAGCAATTCCATGATCCCCATCAAACAAGTCAGGAGCTTCGACTTGCTTGATGGATCTCGAGACAGTCCCCAAGAACACTGTCACATGTCTAGACGGACCCTGAGTTCACCCCAGGAATGCAAAGCAGCTCCATGTGCCCCAAATCAACTCGAGATGAGGCCCGAATAACCTGCATTGACTCCAGAGCCATCCCCCGTTCCCCATTAATCACGACCAGTGGCTTGACTTTCTTCAGGCAACTCCAGAGATGCCCCGAGAACACTGTCCCAAGCCTAGAGGAACAGCAACATCAGCATAGCAACTCGAGGAATGATACATGTACCCAAAACTCTCTGGAGATGAGAGCTGATTACCTGGCTTAGGCTCAAGACGTATGCCAACTTTCCAGAAGCACCTCAAGAGGAGGCTTCTCTCAGCAATAGGAGTTGGGAGGGATCCCGAGTTTGCTGCCTCAAGTGGAATATACAGCGAGAAGCCCTAACTTGAAAGAGGCCGGATTTCCTTTCAGTGGCTTCAATACAGGTTCGTCGCTCATGTCAAACATGAAGGGATGTCCAAATCCCCTGTGGATACCTTTGAGAAACACATAGGTCCCTGCCTCATTTTGAGGGAATGCCTCACATCCCCTTGACACCTCAAGAGGCACGCGGAGTTCACTGCTTCAAAAGGTGACGATGCCTGACTCCATTTGAACATTGATAGGAAATCCAAAAATCCCTGTGGCTACTGGAAAGGCTACTTGGGTGCCCTGCCTCACCTTGAGAAGCGTCCCTTGTGCACTGCCAAGCCTCGAAGAGATTCCTGAAGTGTCCCTCGTTACTAGACAGGAGTCCTGACGTTACTGAATAAACACGAGTTTTGAAGGGCCATCCCCGCCGTAACTCAAGAACCTACCCCAGGTCCCCGACACAACTCGAGAAAAACCATGAGACTTCCCCCTAGAGGCGAGATGAGGCCACATTCCCCTACAGTGCAAGCAGAGCTATTCCGTGATCCCATTCAAAAAAGTCAGGAGCTTCGACTTGCTTAATGGATTTCGAGACAGCCCCCAAGAACACTGTCACCAGTCTAGACGGTCCCTGAGGTCACCCCAGCAACGCAAAGCAGCTCCATGTGCCCCAAATCAACTCGAGATGAGGCCCGATTCCCCTGCATTGATTCCAGAGCCATTCCCCGTTCCCCATTCAACACGACCGGTGGCTCGACTTCCTTCAGGCCACTCCAGAGATGCCCCGAGAACACTGTCCCAAGTCTAGAGCAACACCAACTTCAGCACAGCAACTCGAAGAACGCTCCGTGTACGCCAAATCGTCTCGAGATGAGAGCTGATTCCCTGGCTTAGGCTCAAGACGTATGCCAACTTTCCAGAAGCACCTAAAAAGGAGGATTCTCTCAGCAATAGGTATGTGGGAGGGACCCCGAGTTTGCTGCCTTAAGTGGAATATACAGCGAGAAGTCCTAACTTGAAAGGAGGCCGGCTCTCCTTGCAGTTTCTTGAATACAGGCTCGTCTTTCTTCTCACAACATGAAGGGATGTCCGAATCCCCTGTGTAAACCTTAGAGAAAGCCATAGGTCCCTGACTCATTTTGACGGAATGCCTCACATCCAGTTGACACCTCGAGAGTCACGCGGAGTTCACTGCTTCAAAATGTGACGATGCCTGACTCCTCTTGAACATTGATAGGAATCAAAAAATCACTGTGGCTCCTGGAAACCGTCCTTGGTTGCCCTGCCTCACCTCGAGAAGCATCCCTTTTGCCCTGCCAAGCCTCAAAGAGATTCCTGAGGTGTCCCTCGTTACTGGACAGGAGTTCTAACGTCACTGAATAAAGACGTGTTTTGAAGGGCCATCCCCGCCGTAACTTGAGAACATACCCCAGGTCCCCAGCGCAACTCGAGAAAAATCATGAGACTTCCCCCTAGATGCGAGATGAGGCGCGATTCCCCTGCAGTGCATGAAGAGCAATCCCGTGATCCCCTTCAAACAAGTCAGGAGCTTCGACTTGCTTAATGGATCTCGAGAGAGTCCCCAAGAATACTGTCACAAGTCTAGACGGACCCTGAGGTAAGCATAGCACCGCAAGCAGCTCCATGTGCCCCAAATCAACTCGAGATGAGGCCCGATTCCCCTGCATTCACTCCAGAGCCATCTCCCGTTCCCCATTAAATACCACCAGTGGCTTGACTTCCTTCAGGCAACCCCAGAGATGCGCCGAGAACACTGGCCCAAGTCTAGAGGAACACCAAAATCAGCACAGCAACTCGAGGAATGCTCCGTGAACACCAAATCGTCTGGAGATGAGAGCTGATTCCCTGGCTTAGGATCAAGACGTATGCCAACTTTCCAGAAGCACCTCAAGGGGAGGCTTCTCTCAGCAATAGGTATGTGGGAGGGACCCCGAGGTTGCTGCCTCAAGTGGAATACACAATGAGAAGCCCTAACTTGAAAGGAGGCCTGATTTCCTTGCAGTGGCTCGAATACAGGCTCGTCTTTCATCTCACAACATGAACTGATGACCAAATCCCCTGGGGAGACCTTAGAGAAAGCCATAGATCCCTGCCTCATTTTGACGGAATGCCTCACATCCCCTTGACACCTCGAGAGGCACGCGGAGTTCACTGCTTCAAAAGGTGACGATGCCTGACACCTCTTGAATATTGATAGGAATCCCAAAATACCTGTGGCTACTGAAAAGGGTACTTGTGTGCCCTGCCTCACATCGAGAAGCATCCCTTGTGCCCTGCCAAGCCTCGAAGAGATTCCTGAGGTGTCCCTCGTTACTAGACAGGAGTCCTGACGTCACTGAATAAACATGTGTTTTGAAGGGCTATCCCCGCCGTAACTCGTTAACATACCCCAGCTCCCCGCTGCAACTCGAGAAAAACCATGAGACTTCCCCCTAGATGCGAGTCGTGGCCCGATTCCCCTGCGGTCCATGCAGAGCAATTCCGTGATCCCCATCAAACAAGTCAGGAGCTTCAACTTGCTTGATGGATCTCGAGACAGTCCCCAAGAACACTGTCACATGTCTAGACGGACACTGAATTCAACACACCAACGCACAGCAGATCCATGTGCCACATATCAACTCGAGATGAGGCCCGATTCCCCTGCATTGACTCCAGAGCCATCCCCCGTTCCCCATTAAACACCACCAGTGGCTTGACTTCCTTCAGGCAACTCCATAGATGCCCTCAGAACACTGGCCCAAGTCTAGAGGAACACCAACTTCAGCACAGCAACTCGAGGAATACTCCGTGTACCCCAAATCGTCTCGAGATGAGAGCTGATTTTCTGGCTTAGGCTCAAGATGTATGCCAACTTTCCAGAAGCACCTCAAGAGGAGGATTCTCTCAGCAATAGGTATGTTCGTGGGATTCCGAGTTTGCTGCCTAAAGTGGAGTATACAGTGAGAAGCCCTAACTTCTGAGAAGGCCGGATTTCCTTGCAGTGTCTTGAATACAGGCTCGTCTTTCATCTCACAACAGGAAGGGATGTCTCTAACCCCTGTGAAAACCTTACAGAAAGCCCTAGTTCCCTGCCTCATTTTGACGGAATGCCTCACATCCCGTTGACACCTCAAGAGGCACACGGAGTTCACTGCTTCAAAAGGTGACGATGCCTAACACCTCCTGAACATTGATAGGAATCCCAAAATCTCTGTGGCTATTGAAAAGGGTCCTTGGGTGCCCTGCCTCACCTCGAGAAGCATCCCTTGTGCCCTGCCAAGCCTCGAAGAGATTCCTGAGATGTCCCTCGTTACTAGACCAGAGTCCTTACGTCACTGAATAAACACGTGTTTTGAAGGGCCATCCCCGCTGTAATTCGAGAAGATACCCCAGGTTCCAGCCACAACTCGAGAAAAACCATGAGACTTCCCCCTAGAGGCGAGATGAGGCCACATTCCCCTACAGTGCAAGCAGAGCTATTCCGTGATCCCATTCAAAAAAGTCAGGAGCTTCGACTTGCTAAATGGATTTCGAGACAGCCCCAAGAACACTGTCACCAGTCTAGACGGACCCTGAGGTCACCCCAGCAACGCAAAGCAGCTCCATGTGCCCCAAATCAACTCGAGATGAGGCCCGATTCCCCTGCATTGATTCCAGAGCCATTCCCCGTTCCCCATTCAACACGACCGGTGGCTCGACTTCCTTCAGGCCACTCCAGAGATGCCCCGAGAACACTGTCCCAAGTCTAGAGCAACACCAACTTCAGCACAGCAACTCGAAGAACGCTCCGTGTACGCCAAATCGTCTCGAGATGAGAGCTGATTCCCTGGCTTAGGCTCAAGACGTATGCCAACTTTCCAGAAGCACCTAAAGAGGAGGATTCTCTCAGCAATATGTATGTGGGAGGGACCCCGAGTTTGCTGCCTCAAGTGGAATATACAGCGAGAAGCCCTAACTTGAAAGGAGGCCGGATTTCCTTGCAGTGGCTTGAATACAGGCTCGTCTTTCATCTCACAACATGAAGGGATGTCTGAATCCCCTGTGCAGACCTTAGAGAAAGCCCTAGGTCCCTGCCTCATTTTGACGGAATGCCTCACATCATGTTGACACCTCGAGAGGCACGCGGAGTTCACTGCTTCAAAAGGTGACGATGCCTGACACCTCTTGAATATTGATAGGAATCCCAAAATACCTGTGGCTACTGGAAAGTGTCCTTGGGTGCCCTGCCTCACCTCGAGAAGCGTCCCTTGTGCCCTGCCAAGTCTTGAAGAGATTCCTGAGGTGGCCCTCGTTACTAGACAGGAGTCCTGACGTCACTGAATAAACACGTGTTTTGAAGGGCCATCCCCGCCTTAACTCGCGAACATACCCCAGGTCCCCGCCGCAACTCGAGAAAAACCATGAGACTTCCCCCTTGATGCGAGACGTGGCCCGATTCCCCTGCAGTCCATGCAGAGCAATTCCGTGATCCCCATCAAATAAGTCAGCAGCTTCGACTTGCTTGATGGATCTCGAGACAGTCCCCAAGAACACTGTCACATGTCTAGACGTACCCTGAGGTCAACGCAGCAATGCACAGCAGCTCCATGTACCACAAATCAACTCGAGATGAGGCCCGATTCCCCTGCATTGACTCAAGAGCCATCCCCCGTTCCCCATTAAACACCACGAGTGGCTTGACTTTCTTCAGGCAACTCCACAGATGCCCCGTGAACACTGTCCCAAGTCTAGAGGAACACCAACTTCAGCACAGCAACTCAAAGAACGCTCCGTGTACGCCAAATCGTCTCGAGATGAGAGCTGATTCCCTGGCTTAGGTTCAAGACGTATGCCAACTTTCCAAAAGCACCTCAAGAGGGGGCTTCTCTCAGCAATAGGTATGTGGGAGGGACCCCGAGTTTACTGCCTCAAGTGGAATATACAGCGAGAAGCCCTAACTTGAAAGGAGGCCGGCTTTCCTTGCAGTGGCTTGAATACAGGCTCGTCTTTCTTCTCACAACATGAAGGGATGTACGAATCCCCTGTGGAAACCTTAGAGAAAGCCATAGGTCCCTGACTCATTTTGACGGAATGCCTCACATCCAGTTGACACCTCGAGAGGCACGCGGAGTTCCCTGCTTGAAAAGGTGACGATGCCTGACTCCACTTGAACATTGATAGGAATCCCAAAATCCCTGTGGCTATTGGAAAGGGTCCTTGGGTGCCCTGCCTCACCACGAGAAGCGTCCCTTGTGCCCTGCCATGCCTCGAAGAGTTTCCTGAGGTGTCCCTCGTTACTAGACAGGAGTCCTGACGTCACTGAATAAACACGTGTTTTGAAGGGCCATCCCCGCCTTAACTCGAGAACATACCCCAGGTCCCCGCCGCAACCCGAGAAAAACCATGAGACTTCCCCTAGAGGCGAGATGAGGCCCCATTCCCCTGCAGTGCATGCAGAGCAATCCTGTGATCCCCTTCAAACAAGTCAGGAGTTTCGACTTGCTTAATGGATCTCCAGAGAGTCCCCAAAAAGACTGTCACAAGTCTAGACGGACCCTGAGGTCACCCCAGCAACGCAAAGCAGCTCCATGTGCCCCAAATCAATTCGAGATGAGGCCTGATTCCCCTGCATTGACTCCAGAGCAAATCCCCATTCCCCATTAAACACGACGAGTGGCTTGACTTTCTTCAGGCAACTCCAGAGATGCCCCAAGAACACTGTCCCAAATCTAGTGGAACACCAAATTCAGCAGAGCAAATTGAGGAATGCTCCGTGTACCCCAAATCGTCTCGAGTTGAGAGCTGATTCCCTGGTTTAGGCTCAAGACGTATGCCAAGTTTCCAGAAGCACCTCAAGAGGAGGCTTCTCTCAGCAATACGTATGAAGGAGGGACCCCGAGTGTGCTGCCTCAAGTGGAATACACAATGAGAAGCCCTAACTTGAAAGGAGGCCTGATTTCCTTGCAGTGACTTGAATACAGGCTCGTCTTTCATCTCACAACATGAAGGGATGTCCAAATCCCCTGGGGAGAACTTAGAGGAAGCCATAGATCCCTACCTCATTTGACGGAATGCCTCACATCCCCTTGACACCTCGAGAGGCACACGGAGTTCATTGCTTCAAAAGGTGACGATGCCTGACAAATCTTGAATATTGATAGGAATCCCAAAATAACTCTGGCTACTGGAAAGGGTACTTGTGTGCCCTGCATCACCTCGAGAAGCATCCCTTGGGCCCTGCCAAGCCTCGAAGAGATTCCTGAGGTGTCCCTCGTTACGAGACAGGAGTCCTGACGTCACTGAATAAACACGGGTTTTGAAGGGCCATCCCCGCCATAACTCGCGAACATACCCCAGTTCCCCGCCGCAACTCGAGAAAAATCATGAGACTTCCCCCTAGATGCGAGTCGTGGCCCGATTCCCCTGCAGTCCATGCAGAGCAATTCCGTGATGCCCATCAAACAAGTCAGGAGCTTCGACTTGCTTGATGGATGTCGAGACAGTCCCCAAGAACACTGTCTCATGTCTAGACGGACCCTGAAGTCAACGCACCAACGCACAGCAGATCCATGTGCCCCAAATCAACTCGAGATGAGGCCCGATTCCCCTGCATTGACTCCAGAGCCATCCCCCGTTCCCCATTAAACACCACCAGTGGCTGGACTTTCTTCAGGCAACTCCAGAGATGCCCCGAGAACACCGTCCCAAGTCTAGAGGAACAGCAACATCAGCATAGCAACTCGAGGAATGCTCCGTGTACCCCAAATCGTCCGGAGATGAGAGCTGATTACCTGGCTTAGGCTCAAGACGTATGCCAAGTTTCCAGAAGCACCTCAAGAGGAGGCTTCTCTCAGCAATAGGTAGGTGGGAGGGATCCCGAGTTTGCTGCCTCATGTGGAATATACAGCGAGAAGCCCTAACTTGAAAGGAGGCCGGATTTCCTTGCAGTGGCTTGAATACAGGCTCGTCTTTCCTGTCACAACATGAAGGGATGTCCAAATCCCCTGTGGATACCTTAGAGAAACACATAGGGCCCTGCCTCATTTTGATGGAATGCCTCACATCCCCTTGAGACTTCGAGAGGCACGCGGAGTTCACTGCTTCAAAAGGTGACGATGGCTGACTCCACTTGAACATTGATAGGAATCCCAAAAATCCCAGTGGCTACTGGAAAGGCTACTTGGGTGGCCTGCCTCACCTCGAGAAGCGTCCCTTGTGCCCTGCCAAGCCTCGAAGAGATTCCTGAGGAGTCCCTCGTTACTAGACAGGAGTCCTGACGTCACTGAATAAACACGTGTTTTGAACGGCCATCCCAGCCGTAAATCGAGAACATACACCAGTTCCCGCCACAACTCGAGAAAAACCATGAGACTTCCCCCTAGATGCGAGATGAGGCCTGATTCCCTGCAGTGCATGCAGCGCATTCCCGTGATCCCCATCAAGCAAGTCAGGAGCTTCGACTTGCTTAATGGATCTCGAGACAGTCCCCAAGAACACTGTCACAAGACTAAACAGACCCTGATGTCACCCCAGCAATGAAAAGCAGCTGCAAGTGCCCCACATCAACTCGAGATGAGGCCTGATTCCCCTGCATTGACACAAGAGCCATCCCCCGTTCCCCATTAAACACGACCAGTGGCTTGACTTCCTTCAGGCAACTCCAGAGATGCCACGAGAACACTGTCCCAAGACTAGAGGAACACCAACTTCAGCACAGCAACTTGAGGAATGCTCCGTGTACCCCAAATCGTCTGGAGATGACAGCTGATTCCCTGGCTTAGGCTCAAGACGTATGCCAAGTTTCCAGAAGCACCTCAAGAGGAGGCTTCTCTCAGCAGTAGGCATGTGGGAGGGACCACGAGTTTGCTGCCTCAAGTGGAATATACAGCGAGAAGCCCTACCTTGAAAGGAGGCCGGATTTCCTTGCAGTGGCTTGAATACAGGCTCGTCTTTCATCTCACAACATGAAGGGATGTCCAAATCCCTTGTGGACACCTTAGAGAAAGCCATAGATCCCTGCCTCATTTTGACGGAATGCCTCACATCCCGTTGACACCTCGAGAGACACGCGCAGTTCACTGCTTCAAAAGGTGACGATGCCGGACTCCTCTTGAATCATCGATAGGAACACCAAAATCACTGTGGCTTCTGGAAAGGGTACCTGGGTGCCCTGCCTAAACTCGAGAAGCGTTTCTTGTGCCCTGCCAAGCGTCGAAGAGATTCCTGAGGTGTCCCTCGTTACTAGACAGGAGTCCTGACGTCACTGAATAAACACGTGTTTTGAAGGGCCATCCCTGCCGTAACTCGAGAACATAGCCCAGATCGCCGCCGCAACTCGAGAAAAACCATGAGACTTCCCCCTAGATGCGAGACGAGGCCCGATTCCCCTTCAGTGCATGCAGAGCATTCTCGTGATCCCCTTCAAAGAAGTCAGGAGTTTCGACTTGCTTAATGGATCTCGAGAGAGTCCCCAAGAAGACTGTCACAAGTCTAGACGGACCCTGAGGACACCTCAGCAACGCAAAGCAGCTCCATGTGCCCCAAATCAACTCGAGATGAGGCCTGATTCCCCTGCATTGACTCCAGAGCAAATCCCCATTCCCCATTAAACACGACGAGTGGCTCGACTTTCTTCAGGCAACTCGAGAGATGCCCCGAGAACACTGTCCCAAATCTAGAGGAACACCAAATTCAGCAGAGCAAATTGAGGAATGCTCCGTGTACCCCAAATCGTTTCGAGGTGAGAGCTGATTCCCTAGCTTAGGCTCAAGACATATGCCAAGTTTCCAGAAGCACCTCAAGAGGAGGCTTCTCTCAGCAATAGGTATGATTGAGGGACCCCGAGTTTGCTGCCTCAAGTGGAATACACAATGAGAAGCCCTAACTTGAAAGGAGGCCTGATTTCCTTGCAGTGGCTTGAATACAGGCTCGTCTTTCATCTCACAACATGAAGGGATGTCCAAATCCCCTGGGGAGACCTTAGAGAAAGCCATAGATCCCTGCCTCATTTTGACTGAAAGCCTCACATCCCCTTGACACTTCGAAAGGCACGCGGAGTTCACTGCTTCAAAAGGTGACGATGCCTGACTCCACTTGAACATTGATAGGAATCCCAAAATCCCTGTGGCTACTGGAAAGGCTACTTGGGTGCCCTGCCTCACCTCGAGAAGCGTCCCTTGTGCCCTGCCAAGCCTCGACGAGATTCCTGAAGTGTCCCTCATTACTAGACAGGAGTCCTGACGTCACTGAATAAACATGTGTTTTGAAGGGCCATCCCCGCCGTAACTCGAGAACATAACCCAGGTCCCCGCCACAACTCGAGGAAAACCATGAGACTTCCCCATAGATGCGAGATGAAGCCCGATTCCCCTGCAGTACATGCACAGCTATTCCGTGATCCCCATCAAACAAGTCACGAGCTTCGACTTGCTTGATGGATCCCGGACAGTCCCCAAGAACACTGTCACATGACTAGACGGACCATGAAGTCAATGCACCAACGCACAGCAGATCCATGTGCCCCAAATCAACTCGAGATGAGGCCTGATACCTCTGCATTGACTCCAGAGCAATTCCCTATTCCCCATTAAACACGAGAAATGGCTCGACTTCCTTCAGCCAACTCCAGAGATGCCCCGAGAACACTGTCCCAAGTCTAGAGGAACACCAACTTCAGCACAGCAACTCGAGGAATGCTCTGTGTACCCCAAAACTTCTCGAGATGAGAGCTGATTCCCTGGCTTAGGCTCAAGACGTATGCCAACTTTCCAGAAGCACCTAAAAAGGAGGATTCTCTCAGCAATAGGTATGTGGGAGGGACCCCGAGTTTGCTGCCTTAAGTGGAATATACAGCGAGAAGTCCTAACTTGAAAGGAGGCCGGCTCTCCTTGCAGTGGCTTGAATACAGGCTCGTCTTTCTTCTCACAACATGAAGGGATGTCCGAATCCCCTGTGGAAACCTTAGAGAAAGCCATAGGTCCCTGCCTCATTTTGACGGAATGCCTCACATCCCGTTGACACCTCGAGAGGCACGGGGAGTTCACTGCTTCAAAAGGTTACGATGCCTGACTCCTCTTGAAAATTGATAGGAATCAAAAAATCACTGTGGCTCCTGGAAAGCGTCCTTGGTTGCCCTGCCTCACCTCGAGAAGCATCCCTTTTGCCCTGCCAAGCCTCAAAGAGATTCCTGAGGTGTCCCTCGTTACTAGACAGGAGTTCTGACTTCACTGAATAAAGACGTGTTTTGAAGGGCCATCCCCGCCGTAACTCGAGAACATACCCCAGGTCCCCGCTACAACTCCAGAAAAACCATGAGACTTCCCCCTATATGCGAGATGAAGTCCGATTCCCCTGCAGTGCATGCAGAGCAATTCCATGATCCCCATCAAACAAGTCAGGAGCTTCGACTTGCTTGATGGATCTCGAGACAGTCCCCAAGAACACTGTTACATGGCTAGACGGACCCTGAGGTCACCCCAGCAACGCAAAGCAGCTCCATGTGCGCCAAGTAAACTCGAGATGAGGCCCGATTAACCTGCATTGACACCAGAGCCATCCCCCGTTCCCCATTAATCACGACCAGTGGCTTGACTTCCTTCAGGCAACTCCAGAGATGCGCCGAGAACACTATCCAAAGTCTAGAGGAACACCAACTTCATCACAGCAACTCGAGGAATGCTCCGTGTACCCCAAATCGTCTGGAGATGACAGCTGATTCCCTGTCTTAGTCAAGACGAATGCCAACTTTCCAGAAGCACCTCAAGAGGAGGCTTCTCTGAGCAGTAGGCATGTGGAAGGGACCCCGATTTTGCTGCCTCAAGTGGAATATACAGTGAAAAGCCCTAACTTGAAAGGAGGCCTGATTTCCTTTCAGTGACTTGAATACAGGCTCGTCTTTCATCTCACAACATGAAAGGATGTCCAAATCCCCTGGGGAGAACTTAGAGGAAGCCCTAGATCCCTACCTCATTTGACGGAATGCCTCACATCCCCTTGACACCTCGAGAGGCACACGGAGTTCATTGCTTCAAAAGGTGACGATGCCTGACACCTCTTGAATATTGATAGGAATCCCAAAATAACTCTATCTACTGGAAAGGGTACTCGTGTGCCCTGCCTCACCTCGAGAAGCATCCCTTGTGCCCTGCCAAGCCTCGAAGAGATTCCTGAGGTGTCCCTCGTTACTAGACAGGAGTCCTGACGTCACTGAATAAACACGTGTTTTGAAGGGCCATCCCCGCCATAACTCGCGAACATACCCCAGGTCCCTGCCACAACTCGAGAAAAATCATGAGACTTCCCCCTAGATGCGAGTCATGGCCCGATTCCCCTGCAGTCCATGCAGAGCAATTCCGTGATGCCCATCAAACAAGTCAGGAGCTTCGACTTGCTTGATGGATGTCGAGACAGTCCCCAAGAACACTGTCTCATGTCTAGACGGACCCTGAAGTCAACGCACCAAAGCACAGCAGATCCATGTGCCACAAATCAACTCGAGATGAGGCCCAATTCCCCTGCATTGACTCCAGAGTCATCCCCCGTTCTCCATTAAACACCACCAGTGGCTGGACTTTCTTCAGGCAACTCCCTAGATACCCCGAGAACACCGTCCCAAGTCTAGAGGAACAGCAACATCAGCATAGCAACTCGAGGAATGCTCCGTGTACCCCAAATCATCTCGAGATGAGAGTTGATTCCCTGGCTTAGGCTCAAGACGTATGCCAACTTTCCAGAAGTACCTCAGGAGGAGGCTTCTCTCAGCAATAAGTATGTGGGAGGGACCCCGAGTATGCTGCCTCAAGGGGAATATACAGCGAGAAGCCCTAACTTGAAAGGAGGCCGGATTTCCTTGCAGTGGCTTGAATACAGGCTCGTCTTTCATCTCACAACATGAAGGGATGTCTGAATCCCCTGTGGAGACCTTAGAGAAAGCGCTAGGTCCCTGCCTCATTTTGACGGAATGCCTCTCATTCCGCTAACACGTCGAAAGGCACGCGGAGTTCATTGCTTTAAAAGGTGAGGATGCCTGACTTCTCTTGAATACTGATAGGAATCGCAGAATCCCTGTGGCTACTGGAAAGGGTCCTTGGGTGCCCTGCCTCACCTCGAGAAGCGTCCCTTTTGCCCTGCTAAGCCTCGAAGAGATTCCTGAGATGTCCCTCGTTACTAGACAGGAGTCCTGACGTCACTGAAGAAACTCGTGTTTTGAATGGCCATCCCCGCCTTAAGTCGAGAACATACCCCAGGTCCCCGTCGCAACTCGAGAAAAACCATGAGACTTCCCCCTAGAGGCGAGATGAGGCCCCATTCCCCGGCAGTGCATGCAGAGCTATTCCGTGATCTCATTCAAACAAGTCAGGAGATTCGACTTGCTTAATGGATCTCGAGACAGTCCCCAAGAACACTGTCACCAGTCTAGACGGACCCTGAGGTCACCCCAGCAATGCAAAGCAGTTCCATGTGCCCCTAATCAACTCGAGATGAGGCCCGATTCCCCTGCATTGACTCCAGAGCCATTCCCCGTTCCCCATTCAACACGACCGGTGGCTCGACTTCCTTCAGGCAACTCCAGAGATTTCCCGAGAACACTGTCCCAAGTCTAGAGGAATACCAACTTCAGGACAGCAACTCGAGGAATGCTCCGTGTACCCCAAATCGTCTCGAGATGAGAGCTTATTCCCTGGCTTAGTCTCTAGACGTATGCCAGCTTTCCAGAAGCACCTCAGGATGAGGCTTCTCTCAGCAATAGGTATGTGGTAGGGACCCCGAGTTTGCTGCCTCAAGGGGAATATACAGCGAGAAGCCCTAACTTGAAAGGAGGCCGGATATCCTGGCAGTGGCTTGAATACAGGCTCGTCTTTCATCTTACAACATGAAGGGATGTCTGAATCCCCTGTGGAGACCTTAGAGAAAGCCCTAGGTCCCTGCCTCATTTTGACGGAATGCCTCACATCCCGCTGACACCTCGAGAGGCACGCGGAGTTCATTGCTTCAAATGGGGACGATGCCTGACTCCTCTTGAATACTGATAGGAATCCCAAAATCCCTGTGGCTACTGTAAAGGGTCCTTGGGTGCCCTGCCTCACCTCGAGAAGCGTCCCTTTTACCCTGCCAAGCCTCAAAGAGATTCCTGAGGTGTCCCTCGTTACTAGACAGGAATCCTGACGTCACTGAAGAAACTTGTGTTTTGAAGGGCCATCCCCGCCGTAAGTCAAGAAATACCCCAGGTCCCCGCCGCAACTCGAGAAAAACCATGAGACTTCCCCCTAGAGGCGAGATGAGGCCCCATTCCCCTGCAGTGCATGCCGACCTCTTCCGTGATCCCATTCAAACAAGTCAGGAGATTCGACTTGCTTAATGGATCTCGTGACAGTCCCCAAGAACACTGTCACCAGTCTAGACGGACCCTGAGGTCACCCCAGCAACGCAAAGCAGCTCCATGTGCCCCAAATCAACTCGAGATGAGGCCCAATTGCCCTGCATTGACTCCAGAGCCATTCCCCGTTCCCCATTCAACACGACCGGCGGCTCGACTTCCTTCAGGCAACTCCAGAGATGCCCCGAGAACACTGTCCCAAGTCTAGAGGAACACCAACTTCAGCACAGCAACTCGAGGAATGCTCCGTGTACCCCAAATCGTCTCGAGATGAGAGCTGATTCCCTGGCTTAGGCTCAAGACGTATGCCAACTTTCCAGAAGCACCTCAGGAGGAGGCTTCTCTCAGCAATAGGTATGTGGGAGAGACCCCGAGTTTGCTGCCTCAAAGGGAATATACAGCGAGAAGCCCTAACTTGAAAGGAGGCCGGATTTTCTTCCAGTGGCTTGAATACAGGCACGTCTTTCATCGCACAACATGAAGGGATGTCTGAATCCCCTGTGGAGACTTAGAGAAAGCCCTAGGTCCCTGCCTCATTTTGACGGAATGCCTCACATCATGCTGACATCTCGAGAGGCACGCGGAGTTCATTGCTTCAAAAGGTGACGATGCCTGACTCCTCTTGAATACTGATAGGAATCCCAAAATCCCTGTGGCTACGGGAAAGGGTCCTTGGGTGCCCTGCCTCACCTCGAGAAGCGTCCCTTTTGCCCTGCCAAGCCTCGAAGAGATTCCTGAGGTGTCCCTCGTTACTAGACAGGAGTCCTGAGGTCACTGAAGAAACTCGTGTTTTGAAGGGCCATCCCCGCCTTAAGTCGAGAACATACCCCAGGTCCCCGCCGCAACTCGAGAAAAACCATGAGACTTCCCCCTAGAGGCGAGATGAGGCCCCATTCCCCTGCAGTGCATGCAGAGCTATTCCGTGATCCCATTCAAACAAGTCAGGAGCTTCGACTTGATTAATGGATCTCGAGACAGTCCCCAAGAACACTGTCACCAGTCTAGACGGACCCTGAGGTCACCCCAGCAACGCAAAGCAGCTCCATGTGCCCCAAATCAACTCGAGATGAGGCCCGATTCCCCTGCATTGACTCCAGAGCCATTCCCCGTTCCCGATTCAACACGACCGGTGGCTCGACTTCCTTCAGGCAACACCAGAGATGCACCGAGAACACTGTCCCAAGTCTAGAGGAACACCAACTTCAACACAGCAACTCGAGGAAAGCTCCGTGTACCCCAAATCATCTCGAGATGAGAGCTGATTCCCTGGCTTAGGCTCAAGACGTATGCCAACTTTCCAGAAGCACCTCAGGAGGAGGCTTCTCTCAGCAATAGTTATGTGGGAGGGACCCCGAGTTTGCTGCCTCAAGGGGAATATACAGCGAGAAGCCCTAACTTGAAAGGAGGCCGGATTTCCTTGCAGTGGCTTAAATACAGGCTCGTCTTTCATCTCACAACATGAAGGGATGTCTGAATACCCTGTGGAGATTTTAGAGAAAGCCGTAGGTCCCTGCCTCATTTTGACGGAATGCCTCACATCCTGCTAACAACTCGAGAGGCACGCAAAGTTCATTGCTTCAAAAGGTGACGATGCCTGACTCCTCTTGAATACTGATAGGAATCCCAGAGTCCCTGTGGCTACTGGAAAGGGTCCTTGGGTGCCCTGCCTCACCTCGAGAAGCGTCCCTTTTGCCCAGCCAAGCCTCGAAGAGATTCCTGAGGTGTCCCTCGTTACTAGACAGGAGTCCTGAGGTCACTGAAGAAACTCGTGTTTTGAAGGGCCATCCCCGCCGTAAGTCGAGAACATACCCCAGGTCTCCGCCCCAACTCGAGAAAAATCATGAGACTTCCCCCTAGAGGCGAGATGAGGCCCCATTCCCCTGCAGTGCATGCAGAGCTATTCCGTGATCCCATTCAAACAACTCATTAGCTTCGACTTGATTAATGGATCTCGAGACAGTCCCCAAGAACACTGTCACCAGTCTAGACGGACCCTGAGGTCACCCCAGCAAAGCAAAGCAGCTCCATGTGCCCCAAATCAACTCGAGATGAGGCCCGATTCCCGTGCATTGACTCGAGAGACATTCCCCGTTCCCCATTCAACACGACCTGTGGCTCGACTTCCTTCAGGCAACTCCAGAGATGCACCGAGAACCCTGTCCCAAGTCTAGAGGAAAACCAACTTCAGCACAGCAACTCGAGGAATGCTCCGTGTACCCCAAATCGTTTCCAGATGAGAGCTGATTCCCTGGCTTAGGCTCAAAACGTATGCCAACTTTCCAGAAGCACCTCAGGAGGAGGCTTCTCAGCAATAGGTATGTGGGAGGGACCCCGAGTTTGCTGCCTCAAGGGGAATATACAGCGAGAAGCCCTAACTTGAAAGGAGGCCGGATTTCCTTGCAGTGGCTTGAATACGGGCTCGTCTTTCATCTCACAACATGAAGGGATGCCTGAATCCCCTGTGAAGACCTTAGAGAAAGCCCTAGGTCCCTGCCTCATTTTGACGGAATGCCTCACATCCCGCTGACACCTCGAGAGGCACGCGGAGTTCATTGCCTCAAAAGGTGACGATGCCTGACTCCTCTTGAATACTGATAGGATTCCCAGAATCACTGTGGCTACTGGAAAGGGTCCTTGGGTGCCCTGCCTCACCTCGAGAAGTGTCCCTTTTGCCTTGCCAAACTCGAAGAGATTCCTGAGGTGTCCCTCGTTACTAGACAGGAGTCCTGAGGTCACTGAAGAAACTCGTGTTTTGAAGGGCCATCCCCGCCGTAAGTCGAGAACATACCCCAGGTCTCCGCCCCAACTCGAGAAAAATCATGACACTTCCCCCTAGAGGCGAGATGAGGCCCCATTCCCCTGCAGTGCATGCAGAGCTATTCCGTGATCCCATTCAAAGAACTCATTAGCTTCGACTTGATTAATGGATCTCAAGACAGTCCCCAAGAACACTGTCACCAGTCTAGACGGACCCTGAGGTCACCCCAGCAAAGCAAAGCAGCTCCATGTGCCCCAAATCAACTCGAGATGAGGCCCGATTCCCGTGCATTGACTCGAGAGACATTCCCCGTTCCCCATTCAACACGACCTGTGGCTCGACTTCCTTCAGGCAACTCCAGAGATGCCCCGAGAACCCTGTCCCAAGTCTAGAGGAAAACCAACTTCAGCACAGCAACTCGAGGAATGCTCCGTGTACCCCAAATCGTCTCGAGATGAGAGCTGATTCCCTGGCTTAGGCTCAAGACGTATGCCAACTTTCCAGAAGCACCTCAGGAGGAGGTTTCTCTCAGCAATAGTTATGTGGGAGGTACCCCGAGTTTGCTGCCTAAAGGGGAATATACAGCGAGAAGCCCTGACTTGAAAGCACGCCGGATTTCCTTGCAGTGGCTTGAATACAGGCTCGTCTTTCATCTCACAACATGAAGGGGTGTCTGAATCCCCTGTGGAGACCTTAGAGAAAGCCCTAGGTCACTGCCTCATTTTGACGGAATGCCTCACATCCCGCTGACACCTCGAGAGGCACGCGGAGTTCTTTGCCTCAAAAGGTGACGATGCCTGACTCCTCTTGAATACTGATAGGAATCCCAGAATTCCTGTGGCTACTGGAAAGGGTCTTGGGTGCCCTGCCTCACCTCGAGAAGCGTCCCTTTTCCCCTGCCAAGCCTCGAAGAGATTCCTGAGGTGTCCCACATTACTAGACAGGAGTCCTGACGTCACTGAAGAAACTCGTGTTTTGAAGGGCCATCCCCGCCGTAAGTCGAGAACATACCCCAGGTCCCCGCCGCAACTCGAGAAAAACCATGAGACTTCCCCCTAGAGGCGAGATGAGGCCCCATTCCCCTGCAGTGCGTGCAGAGCTATTCCGTGATCCCATTCAAACTAGTCAGGAGCTTCGACTTGCTTAATGGATCTCGAGACAGTCCCCAAGAACACTGTCACCAGTCTATACGGACCCTGAGGTCACCCCAGCAACGCAAAGCAGCTCCATGTGCCCCAAATCAACTCGAGATGAGGCCCGATTCCCCTGCATTGACTCCAGAGCCATTCCCCGTTCCCCATTCAACACGACCGGTGGCTCGACTTCCTTCACGCAACTCCAGAGATGCCCCGAGAACCCTGTCCCAAGTCTAGAGGAACACCAACTTCAGCACAGCACCTCAAGGAATGCTCCGTGTACCCCAAATCGTCTCGAGATGAGAGCTGATTCCCTGGCTTAGGCTCAATACGTATGCCAACTTTCCAGAAGGACCTCAGGAGGAGGCTTCTCTCAGCAATAGGTATGTGGGAGGGACCCCGAGTTTGCTGCCTCAAGGGGAATATAGAGCGAGAAGCCCTAACTTGAAAGGAGGACGGATTTCCTTGCAGTGGCTTGGATACAGGCTCGTCTTTCATCTCACAACATGAAGGGATGTCTGAATCCCCTGTGGAGACCTTAAAGAAAGCCCTAGGCCCCTGCCTCATTTTGACGGAATGCCTCACATCGCGCTGACCCCTCGAGAGGCACGCGGAGTTCATTGCTTCAAAAGGTGACGATGCCTGACTCCTCTTGAATACTGATAGGAATCCCAGAATCCCTGTGGCTACTGGAAAGGGTCCTTGGGTGCCCTGCCTCACCTCGAGAAGCGTCCCTTTTACCCTGCCAAGCCTCGAAGAGATTCCTGAGGTGTCCCTCGTTACTAGACAGGAGTCCTGACGTCACTGAAGAAACTCGTGTTTTGAAGGGCCATCCCCGCCGTAAGTCGAGAACATACCCCAAGGCCCCGTCGCAACTCGAGAAAAACCATGAGACTTCCCCCTAGAGGCGAGATGAGGCCCCATTCCCCTGCAGTGCATGCAGAGCTATTCCGTGATTCCATTCAAAGAAGTCAGGAGCTTCGACTTGCTTAATGGATCTCGAGACAGTCCCCAAGAACACTGTCACAAGTCTAGACGGACCCTGAGGTCACCCCAGCAACGCAGAGCAGCTCCATGTGCCCCAAATCACCTCGAGATGAGGCCCGATTCCCCTGCATTGACTCCAGAGCCATTCCCCGTTCCCCATTCAACACGACCGGTGGCTCGACTTCCTTCAGGCAACTCCAGAGATGCCCCGAGAACCCTGTCCCAAGTCTAGAGGAACACCAACTTCAGCACAGCAACTCGAGGAATGCTCCGTGTACCCCAAATCGTCTCGAGATGAGAGCTGATTCCCTGGCTTAGGCTCAAGACGTATGCCAACTTTCCAGAAGCACCTCACGGGGAGGCTTCTCTCAGCCATAGGTATGTGGGAGGGACCCCGAGTTTGCTGCCTCAAGGGGAATATACAGCGAGAAGACCTAACTTCAAAGGAGGCCGGATTTCCTTGCAGTGGCTTGAATACAGCCGCGTCTTTCATCTCAGAACATGAAGGGATGTCTGAATCCCCTGTGGAGACCTTAGAGAAAGCCCTAGGTCCCTGCCTCATTTTGACGGAATGCCTCACATCCCGCTGACACTTCGAGAGTCACCGGAGTTCATTGCTTCAAAAGGTGACGATGCCTGGCTCCTCTTGAATACTGATAGGAATCCCAGAATCCCTGTGGCTACTGGAAAGGGTCCTTGGGTGCCCTGCCTCACCTCGAGAAGCGTCCCTTTTGCCCTGCCAAGCCTCGAAGAGATTCCTGAGGTGTCCCTCGTTACTAGACAGGAGTCCTGACATCATTGAAGAAACTCGTGTTTTGAAGGGCCATCCCCGCCGTAAGTCGAGAACATACCCCAGGTCCCCGCCGCAACTCGAAAAAAACCATGAGACTTCCCCCTAGAGGCGAGATGAGGCCCCATTCCCCTGCAGTGCATGCAGAACTATTCCGTGATTCGATTCAAAGAAGTCAGGAGCTTCGACTTGCTTAATGGATCTCGAGACAGTCCCCAAGAACACTGTCACAAGTCTAGACGGACCCTGAGGTCACCCCAGCAACGCAAAGCAGCTCCATGTGCCCCAAATCACCTCGAGATGAGGCCCGATTCCCCTGCATTGACTCCAGAGCCATTCCCCGTTCCCCATTCAACACGACCGGTGGCTCGACTTCCTTCAGGCAACTCCAGAGATGCCCCGAGAACCCTGTCCCAAGTCTAGAAGAACACCAACTTCAGCACAGCAACTCGAGGAATGCTCCGTGTACCCCAAATGGTCTCGAGATGAGAGCTGATTCCCTGGTTAGGCTCAAGACGTATGCCAACTTTCCAGAAGCACCTCACGGGGAGGCTTCTCTCAGCCATAGGTATGTGGGAGGGACCCCGAGTTTGCTGCATGAAGGGGAATATACAGCGAGAAGCGCTAACTTGAAAGGAGGCCGGATTTCCTTGCAGTGGCTTGAATACAGGCTCGTCTTTCATCTCACAACATGAAGGAATGTCTGAATCCACTGTGGAGACCTTAGAGAAAGCCCTAGGTCCCTGCCTCATTTTGACGGAATGCCTCACATCCCGCTGACACCTCGAGAGGCACGCGGAGTTCATTGCTTCAAAAGGTGACGATGCCTGACTCCTCTTGAATACTGATAGGAATCCCAGAATCCCAGTGGCTACTGGAAAGGGTCCTTGGGTGCCCTGCCTCACCTCGAGAAGCGTCCCTTTTGCCCTGCCAAGCCTCGAAGAGATTCCTGAGGTGTCCCACATTACTAGACAGGAGTCCTGACGTCACTGAAGAAACTCGTGTTTTGAAGGGCCATCCCCGCCGTAAGTCGAGAACATACCCCAGGTCCCCGCCGCAACTCGAGAAAAACCATGAGACTTCCCCCTAGAGGCGAGATGAGGCCCCATTCCCCTGCAGTGCGTGCAGAGCTATTCCGTGATCCCATTCAAACTAGTCAGGAACTTCGACTTGCTTAATGGATCTCGAGACAGTCCCCAAGAACACTGTCACCAGTCTAGACGGACCCTGAGGTCACACCAGCAACGCAAAGCAGCTCCATGTGCCCCAAATCAACTCGAGATGAGGCCCGATTCCCCTGCATTGACTCCAGAGCCATTCCCCGTTCCCCATTCAACACGACCGGTGGCTCGACTTCCTTCAGGTAACTCCGCCCCAAGAACACTGTCCCAAGTCTAGAGGAACACCAACTTCAGCACAGCAACTCGAGGAATGCTCCGTGTACCCCAAATCGTCTCGAGATTAGAGCTGATTCCCTGGCTTAGGCTCAAGACATATGCCAACTTTCCAGAAGCACCTCAGGAGGAGGCTTCTCTCAGCAATAGGTATTTGGGAGGGACCCCGAGTTTGCTGCATGAAGGGGAATATACAGCGAGAAGCCCTAACTTGAAAGGAGGCCGGATTTCCTTGCACGGGCTTGAATACAGGCTCGTCTTTCATCTCACAACATGAAGGGATGTCGGAATCCACTGTGGAGACCTTAGAGAAAGCCCAAGGTCCCTGCCTCATTTTGACGGAATGCCTCACATCCCGTTGACACCTCGAGAGGCACGCAGAGTTCATTGCTTCAAAAGGTGACGATGGCTGACTATTCTTGAATACTGATAGGAATCCCAAAATCCCCGTGGCTACTGGAAAGGGTCCTTGGGTGCCCTGCCTCACCTCGAGAAGCGTCCCTTTTGCCCTGCCAAGCCTCGAAGAGATTCCTGAGGTGTCCCTCGTTACTAGACAGGAGTCCTGACGTCACTGAAGAAACTCGTGTTTTGAAGGGCCTTCCCCGCCTTAAGTCGAGAACATAGCCCAGGTCCCCGCCGCAACTCGAGAAAAACCATGAGACTTCCCCCTAGAGGCGAGATGAGGCCCCATTCCCCTGCAGTGCATGCAGAGCTATTCCGTGATCCCATTCAAACAAGTCAGGAGCTTCGAATTGCTTAATGGATCTCGAGACAGTCCCCAAGAAGACTGTCACCAGTCTATACGGACCCTGAGGTCACCCCAGCAACGCAAAGCAGCACCATGTGCCCCAAATCAACTCGAGATGAGGCCCGATTCCCCTGCATTGACTCCAGAGCCATTCCCCGTTCCCCATTCAACACGACCGGTGGCTCGACTTCCTTCACGCAACTCCAGAGATGCCCCGAGAACCCTTTCCCAAGTCTAGAGGAATATCAACTTCAGCACAGCAACTCGAGAAATGCTCCGTGTACCCCAAATCGTCTCGAGATGAGAGCTGATTCCCTGGCTTAGGCTCAAGACGTATGCCAACTTTCCAGAAGCACCTCAGGGGGAGGCTTCTCTCAGCCATAAGTATGTGGGAGGGACCCCTAGTTTGCTGCCTCAAGGGGAATATACAGCGAGAAGTCCTAACAAGAAAGGAGGCCGGATTTCCTTGCAGTGGCTTGAATACAGGCTCGTCTTTCATCTCACAACATGAAGGGATGTCTGAATCCCCTGTGGAGACCTTAGAGAAAGCCCTAGGTCCCTGCCTCATTTTGACGGAATGCCTCACATCGCGCTGACACCTCGAGAGGCACGCGGAGTTCATTGCTTCAAAAGTGACGATGCCTGACTCCTCTTGAATACTGATAGGAATCCCAGAATCCCTGTGGCTACTGGAAAGGGTCCTTGGGTGCCCTGCCTCACCTCGAGAAGCGTCCCTTTTGCCCTGCCAAGCCTCGAAGAGATTCCTGAGGTGTCCCTCGTTACTAGACAGGAGTCCTGACGTCCCTGAAGAAACTCGTGTTTTGAAGGACCATCCCCGCCGTAAGTCGAGAACATACCCCAGGACCCGCCGCAACTCGAGAAAAACCATGAGACTTCCCACTAGAGGCGAGATGAGTCCTCATTCCCCTGCAGTGCGTGCAGAGCTATTCCGTGATCCCATTCAAAGAAGTCAGGAGCTTCGACTTGCTTAATCGATCTCGAGACAGTCCCCAAGAACACTCTCACCAGTCTAGACGGACACTGACGTCACCCCGGCAACGCAAAGCAGCTCCATGTACCCCAAATCAACTCGAGATGAGGCCCGATTCCCCTGCATTGACTCCAGAGCCATTCCCCGTTCCCCATTCAACACGACCGGTGGCTCGACTTCCTTCAGGCAACTCCAGAGATGCCCCGAGAACACTGTCGCAAGTCTAGAGGAACACCAACTTCAGCACAGCAACTCGAGGAATGCTCCGTGTACCCCAAATCATTTCGAGATGAGAGCTGATTCCCTGGCTTAGGCTCAAGACGTATGCCAACTTTCCAGAAGGACCTCAGGAGGAGGCTTCTCTCAGCAATAGGTATGTGGGAGGGACCCCGAGTTTGCTGCCTCAAGGGGAATATACAGCGAGAAGCCCTAACTTGAAAGGAGGCCGGATTTCCTTGCAGTGGCTTGAATACAGGCTTGTCTTTCATCTCATAACATGAAGGAATGTCTGAATCCCCTATGGAGACCTTAGAGAAAGCCCTAGATCCCTGCCTCATTTTGACGGAATGCCTCACATCCCGCTGACACCTCGTCAGGCACGCGGAGTTCATTGCTTCAAAAGCTGACGATGCCTGACTCCTCTTGAATACTGATAGGAATCCCAGAATCCCTGTGGCTACTGGAAAGGGTCCTTGGGTGCCCTGCCTCACCTCGAGAAGCGTCCCTTTTGCCCTGCCAAGACTCGAAGAGATTCCTGAGGTGTCCCTCGTTACTAGGCAGGAGTCCTGATCTCACTGAAGAAAGTCGTGTTTTGAAGGGCCATCCCTGCCGTAAGTCGAGAACATACCCCAGGTCCCCGCCGCAACTCGAGAAAAACCATGAGACTTCCCCCTAGAGGCGAGATGAAGCCCCATTCCCCTGCAGTGCATGCCGAGCTATTCCGTGATCCCATTCAAACAAGTCAGGAGCTTCGACTTGCTTAATGGATCTCGAGACAGTCCCCAAGAACACTGTCACCAGTCTAGACGGTCGCTGATGTCACCCCAGCAAAGCAAGGCAGCTGCATGAGCCCTAAATCAACTCGAGATGAGGCCCGATTCCCCTGCATTGACTGCAGAGCCTTTCCCCGTTCCGCATTCAACACGACCGGTGGCTCGACTTCCATCAGGCAACTCCAGAGATGCCCCGAGAACCCTGTCCCAAGTCTAGAGGAACACCAACTTCAGCACAGCAACCCGAGGAATGCTCTGTGTACCCCCAAATCGTCTCGAGATGAGAGCTGATTCCCTGGCTTAGGCCCAAGACGTATGCCAGCTTTCCAGAAGCACCTCAGGAGGAGGCTTCTCTCAGCAATAGGTATGTGGGAGGGACCCCAAGTTTGCTGCCTCAAGGGGGATATACAGCAAGAAGCCCTAACTTGAAAGGAGGCCGGATTTCTGTGCAGTGGCTTGAATACAGGCTCGTCTTTCATCTCACAACATGAAGGGATGTCTGAATCCCCTGTGGAGACCTTAGAGAAAGCCCTAGGTCCCTGCCTCATTTTGACGGAATGCCTCAAATCCCACTGACACCTGGAGAGGCACGCGGAGTTCATTGCTTCAAAAGGTGACGATGCCTGACTCCTCTTGAATACTGATAGGAATCCCAGAATCCCTGTGGCTACTGGAAAGGGTCCTTGGGTGCCCTGCCTCACCTCGAGAAGCGTCCCTTTTGCCCTGCCAAGCCTCGAAGAGATTCCTGAGGTGTCCCTCGTTACTAGACAGGAGTCCTGACGTCACTGAAGAAACTCGTGTTTTGAAGGGCCATCCCCGCCTTAAGTCGAGAACGTACCCCAGGTCCCCGCCGCAACTCGAAAAAAACCATGAGACTTCCCCCTAGAGGCGAGATGAGGCCCCATTCCCCTGCAGTGCATGCAGAGCTATTCCGTAATCCCATTCAAAGAAGTCAGGAGCTTCGACTTGCTTAATGGATCTCGAGACAGTCCCCAAGAACACTGTCACCAGTCTAGACGGACCCTGAGGCCACCCCAGCAACGCAAAGCAGCTCCATGTGCCCCAAATCACCTCGAGATGAGGCCCGATTCCCCTGCATTGACTCCAGAGCCATTCCCCGTTCCCCATTCAACACGACCGGTGGCTCGACTTCCTTCAGGCAACTCCAGAGATGCCCCGAGAACACTGTCCCAAGTCCAAAGGAACACCAACTTCAGCACAGCAACTCGAGGAATGCTCCGTGTACCCCAAATCGTCTCGAGATGAGAGCTGATTCCCTGGCTTAGGCTCAAGACGTATGCCAACTTTCCAGAAGCACCTCACGGGGAGGCTTCTCTCAGCCATAGGTATGTGGGAGGGACCCCGAGTTTGCTGCCTCAAGGGGAATATACAGCGAGAAGCCCTAACTTGAAAGGAGGCCGGATTTCCTTGCAGTGGCTTGAATACAGGCTCGTCTTTCATCTCACAACATGAAGGGATGTCTGAATCCCCTGTGGAGACCTTAGAGAAAGCCCTAGGTCCCTGCCTCATTTTGACGGAATGCCTCACATCCCGCTGACACTTCGAGAGGCACCGGAGTTCATTGCTTCAAAAGGTGACGATGCCTGACTCCTCTTGAATACTGATAGGAATCCCAGAATCCCTGTGGCTACTGGAAAGGGTCCTTGGGTGCCCTGCCTCACCTCGAGAAGCGTCCGTTTTGCCCTTCCAAGCCTCGAAGAGATTCCTGAGGTGTCCCTCGTTACTAGAGAGGAGTCCTTACGTCATTGAAAAAACTCGTGTTTTGAAGGGCCATCCCGCCGTAAGTCGAGAACATACCCCAGGTCCCCGCCGCAACTCGAAAAAAACGATGAGACTTCCCCCTAGAGGCGAGATGAGGCCCCATTCCCCTGCAGTGCATGCAGAGCTATTCCGTGATCCCATTCAAAGAAGTCAGGAGCTTCGACTTGCTTAATGGATCTCGAGACAGTCCCCAAGAACACTGTCACAAGTCTAGACGGACCCTGAGGTCACCCAGCAACGCAAAGCAGCTCCATGTGCCCCAAATCACCTCGAGATGAGGCCCGATTCCCCTGCATTGACTCCAGAGCAATTCCCCTTTCCCCATTCAACACGACCGGTGGCTCGACTTCCTTCAGGCAACTCCAGAGATTTCCCGAGAACACTGTCCCAAGTCTAGAGGAACACCAACTTCAGCACAGCAACTCGAGGAATGCTCCGTGTACCCCAAATCGTCTCGAGATGAGAGCTGATTCCCTGGCTTAGGCTCTAGACGTATGCCAGCTTTCCAGAAGCACCTCAGGAGGAGGCATCTCTCAGCAATAGGTATGTGGGAGGGACCCCGAGTTTGCTGCCTCAAGGGGAATATACAGCGAGAAGCCCTAACTTGAAAGGAGGCCGGATTTCCTGCAGTGGCTTGAATACAGGCTCGTCTTTCATCTCACAATATGAAGGGATGTCTGAATCCCCTGTGGAGACCTTAGAGAAAGCCCTAGGTCCCTGCCTCATTTTGACGGAATGCCTCACATCCCGCTGACACCTCGAGAGGCACGCGGAGTTCATTGCTTCAAAAGGTGACGATGCCTGACTCCTCTAGAATACTGATAGGAATCCCAGAATCCGTGTGGCTACTGGAAAGGGTCCTTGGGTGCCCTGCCTCACCTCGAGAAGCGTCCCTTTTGCCCTGCCAAGCCTCGAAGAGATTCCTGAGGTGTCCCTCGTTACTAGACAGGAGTCCTGACGTCACTGAACAAACTCGTGTTTTGAAGGGCCATCCCCGCCGTAAGTCGAGAACATAACCCCGGTCCCTGCCGCAACTCGAGAAAAACCATGAGACTTCCCCCTAGAGGCGAGATGAGGCCCCATTCCCCTGCAGTGCATGCAGAGCTATTCCGTGATTCCATTCAAACAAGTCAGGAGCTTCGACTTGCTTAATCGATCTCGAGACAGTCCCCAAGAACACTGTCACCAGTCTAGACGGACCAGAGGTCACCACAGCAACACAAAGCAGCTCCATGTGCCCCAAATCAACTCGAGATGAGGCCCGATTCCCCTGCATTGACTCCAGAGCCATTCCCCGTTCCCCATTCAACACGACCGGTGGCTCGACTTCCTTCACGCAACTCCAGAGATGCCCCGAGAACCCTGTCCCAAGTCTAGAGGAATATCAACTTCAGCACAGCAACTCGAGAAATGCTCCGTGTACCCCAAATCGTCTCGAGATGAGAGCTGATTCCCTGGCTTAAGCTCAAGACGTACGCCAACTTTCCAGAAGCACCACAGGGGGAGGCTTCTCTCAGCCATAAGTATGTGGGAGGGACCCCGAGTTTGCTGCCTGAAGGGGAATATACAGCCAGAAGCCCTAACTTGAAAGGAGCCCGGATTTCCTTGCAGTGGCTTGAATACAGGCTCGTCTTTCATCTCACAACATGAAGGGATGTCTGAATCCACTGTGGAGACCTTAGAGAAAGCCCTAGGTCCCTGCCTCATTTTGACGGAATGCCTCACATCGCGCTGACCCCTCGAGAGGCACGCGGAGTTCATTGCTTCAAAAGTGACGATGCCTGACTCCTCTTGAATACTGATAGGAATCCCAGAATCCCTGTGGCTACTGGAAAGGGTCCTTGGGTGCCCTGCCTCACCTCGAGAAGCGTCCCTTTTGCCCTGCCAAGCCTCGAAGAGATTCCTGAGGTGTCCCTCGTTACTAGACAGGAGTCCTGACGTCCCTGAAGAAACTCGTGTTTTGAAGGGCCATCCCCGCCGTAAGTCGAGAACATACCCCAGGTCCCCGCCGCAACTCGAGAAAAACCATGAGACTTCCCCCTAGAGGCGAGATGAGGCCCCATTCCCCTGCATTGCGTGCAGAGCTATTCCGTGATCCCATTCAAACAAGTCAGGAGCTTCCACTTGCTTAATCGATCTCGAGACAGTCCCCAAGAACACTGTCACCAGTCTAGACGGACCCTGAGGTCACCCCGGCAACGCAAAGCAGCTCCATGTGCCCCAAATCAACTCGAGATGAGGCCCGATTCCCCTGCATTGACTCCAGAGCCATTCCCCGTTCCCCATTCAACACGACCGGTGGCTCTACTTCCTTCACGCAACTCCAGAGATGCCCCGAGAACCCTGTCCCAAGTCTAGAGGAACACCAACTTCAGCACAGCACCTCGAGGAATGCTCCGTGTACCCCAAATCGTCTCGAGATGAGAGCTGATTCCCTGGCTTAGGCTCAATACGTATGCCAACTTTCCAGAAGGACCTCAGGAGGAGGCTTCTCTCAGCAATAGGTATGTGGGAGGGACCCCGAGTTTGCTGCCTCAAGGGGAATATAGAGCGAGAAGCCCTAACTTGAAAGGAGGACGGATTTCCTTGCAGTGGCTTGAATACAGGCTCGTCTTTCATCTCACAACATGAAGGGATGTCTGAATCCCCTGTGGAGACCTTAAAGAAAGCCCTAGGCCCCTGCCTCATTTTGACGGAATGCCTCACATCGCGCTGACACCTCGAGAGGCACGCGGAGTTCATTGCTTCAAAAGGTGACGATGCCTGACTCCTCTTGAATACTGATAGGAATCCCAGAATCCCTGTGGCTACTGGAAAGGGTCCTTGGGTGCCCTGCCTCACCTCGAGAAGCGTCCCTTTTACCCTGCCAAGCCTCGAAGAGATTCCTGAGGTGTCCCTCGTTACTAGACAGGAGTCCTGACGTCACTGAAGAAACTCGTGTTTTGAAGGGCCATCCCCGCCGTAAGTCGAGAACATACCCCAAGGCCCCGTCGCAACTCGAGAAAAACCATGAGACTTCCCCCTAGAGGCGAGATGAGGCCCCATTCCCCTGCAGTGCATGCAGAGCTATTCCGTGATTCCATTCAAAGAAGTCAGGAGCTGCGACTTGCTTAATGGATCTCGAGACAGTCCCCAAGAACACTGTCACAAGTCTAGACGGACCCTGAGGTCACCCCAGCAACGCAAAGCAGCTCCATGTGCCCCAAATCACCTCGAGATGAGGCCCGATTCCCCTGCATTGACTCCAGAGCCATTCCCCGATCCCCATTCAACACGACCGGTGGCTCGACTTCCTTCAGGCAACTCCAGAGATGCCCCGAGAACCCTGTCCCAAGTCTAGAGGAACACCAACTTCAGCACAGCAACTCGAGGAATGCTCCGTGTACCCCAAATCGTCTCGAGATGAGAGCTGATTCCCTGGCTTAGGCTCAAGACGTATGCCAACTTTCCAGAAGCACCTCAGAGGGAAGCTTCTCTCAGCCATAGGTATGTGGGAGGGACCCCGAGTTTGCTGCCTCAAGGGGAATATACAGCGAGAAGCCCTAACTTGAAAGGAGGCCGGATTTCCTTGCAGTGGCTTGAATACAGGCTCGTCTTTCATCTCACAACATGAAGGGATGTCTGAATCCACTGTGGAGACCTTAGAGAAAGCCCTAGGTCCCTGCCTCATTTTGACGGAATGCCTCACATCCCGCTGACACCTCGAGAGGCACGCGGAGTTCATTGCTTCAAAATATGATGATGCCTGACTCCTCTAGAATACTGATAGGAATCCCAGAATCCCTGTGGCTACTGGAAAGGGTCCTTGGGTGCCCTGCCTCACCTCGAAAAGCGTCCCTTTTGCCCTGCCAAGCCTCGAAGAGATTCCTGAGGTGTCCCTCATTACTAGACAGGAGTCCTGACGTCACTGAAGAAACTCGTGTTTTGAAGGGCCATCCCCGCCGTAAGTCGAGAACATACCCCAGATCCGCACCGCAACTGGAGAAAAACCATGAGACTTCCCCCTAGAGGCGAGATGAGGCCCCATTCCCCTGCAGTGCGTGCAGAGCTATTCCGTGATCCCATTCAAACAAGTCAGGAGATTCGACTTGCTTAATGGATCTCGAGACAGTCCCCAAGAACACTGTCACCAGTCTAGACGGACCCTGAGGTCACCCCAGCAACGCCATGCAGCTCCATGTGCCCCAAATCAACTCGAGATGAGGCCCGATTCCCCTGCATTGACTCCAGAGCCATTCTCCATTCCCCATTAAACACGACCGGTGGCTCGACTTCCTTCAGGCAACTCCAGAGATGCCCCGAGAACCCTGTCCCAAGTCTAGAAGAACACCAACTTCAGCACAGCAACTCGAGGAATGCTCCGTGTACCCCAAATCGTCTCGAGATGAGAGATGATTCCCTGGCTTAGGCTCAAGACGTATGCCAACTTTCCAGAAGCACCTCACGGGGAGGCTTCTCTCAACCATAGGTATGTGGGAGGGACCCCGAGTTTGCTGCATCAAGGGGAATATACAGCGAGAAGACCTAACTTCAAAGGAGGCCGGATTTCCTTGCAGTGGCTTGAATACAGCCGCGTCTTTCATCTCAGAACATGAAGGGATGTCTGAATCCCCTGTGGAGACCTTAGAGAAAGCCCTAGGTCCCTGCCTCATTTTGACGGAATGCCTCACATCCCGCTGACACTTCGAGAGTCACCGGAGTTCATTGCTTCAAAAGGTGACGATGCCTGGCTCCTCTTGAATACTGATAGGAATCCCAGAATCCCTGTGGCTACTGGAAAGGGTCCTTGGGTGCCCTGCCTCACCTCGAGAAGCGTCCCTTTTGCCCTGCCAAGCCTCGAAGAGATTCCTGAGGTGTCCCTCGTTACTAGACAGGAGTCCTGACATCATTGAAGAAACTCGTGTTTTGAAGGGCCATCCCCGCCGTAAGTCGAGAACATACCCCAGGTCCCCGCCGCAACTCGAAAAAAACCATGAGATTTCCCCCTAGAGGCGAGATGAGGCCCCATTCCCCTGCAGTGCATGCAGAACTATTCCGTGATTCGATTCAAAGAAGTCAGGAGCTTCGACTTGCTTAATGGATCTCGAGACAGTCCCCAAGAACACTGTCACAAGTCTAGACGGACCCTGAGGTCACCCCAGCAACGCAAAGCAGCTCCATGTGCCCCAAATCACCTCGAGATGAGGCCCGATTCCCATGCATTGACTCCAGAGCCATTCCCCGTTCCCCATTCAACACGACCGGTGGCTCGACTTCCTTCAGGCAACTCCAGAGATGCCCCGAGAACCCTGTCCCAAGTCTAGAAGAACACCAACTTAAGCACAGCAACTCGAGGAATGCTCCGTGTACACCAAATCGTCTCGAGATGAGAGCTGATTCCCTGGTTAGGCTCAAGACGTATGCCAACTTTCCAGAAGCACCTCTGGGGAGGCTTCTCTCAGCCATAGGTATGTGGGAGGGACCCCGAGTTTGCTGCATGAAGGGGAATATACAGCGAGAAGCCCTAACTTGAAAGGAGGCCGGATTTCCTTGCAGTGGCTTGAATACAGGCTCGTCTTTCATCTCACAACATGAAGGGATGTCTGAATCCACTGTGGAGACCTTAGAGAAAGCCCTAGGTCCCTGCCTCATTTTGACGGAATCCCTCACATCCCGCTGACACCTCGAGAGGCACGCGGAGTTCATTGCTTCAAAAGGTGACGATGCCTGACTCCTCTTGAATACTGATAGGAATCCCAGAATCCCTGTGGCTACTGGAAAGGGTCCTTGGGTGCCCTGCCTCACCTCGAGAAGCGTCCCTTTTGCCCTGCCAAGCCTCGAAGAGATTCCTGAGGTGTCCCACATTACTAGACAGGAGTCCTGACGTCACTGAAGAAACTCGTGTTTTGAAGGGCCTTCCCCGCCTTAAGTCGAGAACATACCCCAGGTCCCCGCCGCAACTCGAGAAAAACCATGAGACTTCCCCCTAGAGGCGAGATGAGGCCCCATTCCCCTGCAGTGCGTGCAGAGCTATTCCGTGATCCCATTCAAACTAGTCAGGAGCTTCGACTTGCTTAATGGATCTCGAGACAGTCCCCAAGAACACTGTCACCAGTCTAGACGGACCCTGAGGTCACCCCAGCAACGCAAAGCAGCTCCATGTGCCCCAAATCAACACGAGATGAGGCCCGATTCCCCTGCATTGACTCCAGAGCCATTCCCCGTTCCCCATTCAACACGACCGGTGGCTCGACTTCCTTCACGCAACTCCAGAGATGCCCCGAGAACCCTGTCCCAAGTCTAGAGGAACACCAACTTCAGCACAGCAACTCGAGGAATGCTCCGTGTACCCCAAATCGTCTCGAGATGAGAGCTGATTCCCTGGCTCAGGCTCAATACGTATGCCAACTTTCCAGAAGGACCTCAGGAGGAGGCTTCTCTCAGCAATAGGTATGTGGGAGGGACCCCGAGTTTGCTGCCTCAAGGGGAATATAGAGCGAGAAGCCCTAACTTGAAAGGAGGCCGGATTTCCTTGCAGTGGCTTGAATACAGGCTCGTCTTTCATCTCACAACATGAAGGGATGTCTGAATCCCCTGTGGAGACCTTAAAGAAAGCCCTAGGCCCCTGCCTCATTTTGACGGAATGCCTCACATCGCGCTGACACCTCGAGAGGCACGCGGAGTTCATTGCTTCAAAAGGTGACGATGCCTGACTCCTCTTGAATACTGATAGGAATCCCAGAATCCCTGTGGCTACTGGAAAGGGTCCTTGGGTGCCCTGCCTTACCTCGAGAAGCGTCAATTTTACCCTGCCAAGCCTCGAAGAGATTCCTGAAGTGTCCCTCGTTACTAGACAGGAGTCCTGATGTCACTGAAGAAACTCGTGTTTTGAAGGGCCATCCCCGCCGTAAGTCGAGAACATACCCCAAGTCCCCGTCGCAACTCGAGAAAAACCATGAGACTTCCCCCTAGAGGCGAGATGAGGCCCCATTCCCCTGCACTGCATGCAGAGCTATTCCGTGATCCCATTCAAACAAGTCAGGAGCTTCGACTTGCTTAATCGATCTCGAGACAGTCCCCAAGAGCACTGTCACCAGTCTAGACGGACCCTGAGGTCACCCCAGCAACACAAAGCAGCTACATGTGCCCCAAATCAACTCGAGATGAGGCCCGATTCCCCTGCATTGACTCCAGAGCCATTCCCCGTTCCCCATTCAACAGGACCGGTGGCTCGACTTCCTTCAGGTAACTCCGCCCCAAGAACACTGTCCCAAGTCTAGAGGAACACCAACTTCAGCACAGCAACTCGAGGAATGCTCCGTGTACCCCAAATCGTCTCGAGATTAGAGCTGATTCCCTGGCTTAGGCTCAAGACATATGCCAACTTTCCAGAAGCACCTCAGGAGGAGGCTTCTCTCAGCAATAGGTATTTGGGAGGGACCCCGAGTTTGCTGCCTCAAGGGGAATATACAGTGAGAAGCCCTAACTTGAAAGGAGGCCGGATTTCCTTGCACGGGCTTGAATACAGGCTCGTCTTTCATCTCACAACATGAAGGGATGTCGGAATCCACTGTGGAGACCTTAGAGAAAGCCCAAGGTCCCTGCCTCATTTTGACGGAATGCCTCACATCCCGTTGACACCTCGAGAGGCACGCAGAGTTCATTGCTTCAAAAGGTGACGATGGCTGACTATTCTTGAATACTGATAGGAATCCCCAAATCCCCGTGGCTACTGGAAAGGGTCCTTGGGTGCCCTGCCTCACCTCGAGAAGCGTCCCTTTTGCCCTGCCAAGCCTCGAAGAGATTCCTGAGGTGTCCCTCGTTACTAGACATTAGTCCTGACGTCACTGAAGAAACTCGTGTTTTGAAGGGCCTTCCCCGCCTTAAGTCGAGAACATACCCCAGGTCCCCGCCGCAACTCGAGAAAAACCATGAGACTTCCCCCTAGAGGCGAGATGAGGCCCCATTCCCCTGCAGTGCATGCAGAGCTATTCCGTGATCCCATTCAAACAAGTCAGGAGCTTCGAATTGCTTAATGGATCTCGAGACAGTCCCCAAGAAGACTGTCACCAGTCTATACGGACCCTGAGTCACCCCAGCAACGCAAAGCAGCTCCATGTGCCCCAAATCAACTCGAGATGAGGCCCGATTCCCCTGCATTGACTCCAGAGCCATTCCCCGTTCCCCATTCAACACGACCGGTGGCTCGACTTCCTTCAGGCAACTCCAGAGATGCCCCGAGAACACTGTCCCAAGTCTAGAGGAACACCAACTTCAGCACAGCAACTCGAGGAATGCTCCGTGTACCCAAAATCGTCTCGAGATGAGAGCTGATTCCCTGGCTTAGGCTCAAGACGTATGCCAACTTTCCAGAAGCACCTCAGGAGGAGGCTTCTCTCAGCAATACGTATGTGGGAGGGACCCCGAGTTTGCTGCCTCAAGGGGAATATACAGCGAGAAGCCCTAACTTGAAAGGAGGCCGGATTTCCTTGCAGTGGCTTGAATACAGGCACTTCTTTGATCTCAAAACATGAAGGGATGACTGAATGCCCTGTGGAGACCTTAGAAAAAGCCCTAGGTCCATGCCTCATTTTGACGGAATGCCTCACATCCCGCTGACACCTCGAGAGGCACGCAGAGTTCATTGCTTCAAAAGGTGACGATGCCTGACTCCTCTTGAATACTGATAGGAATCCCAGAATCCCTGTGGCTACTGGAAAGGCTACTTGGGTGACCTGCCTCACCTCGAGAAGCGTCCCTTGTGCCCTGCCAAGCCTCGAAGAGATTCCTGAGTTGTCCCTCGTTACTAGACAGGAGTCCTGACGTCACTGAATAAAGACGTGTTTTGAACGGCCATCCCAGCCGTAACTCGAGAACATACCCCAGTTCCCGCCACAACTCGAGAAAAACCATGAGACTTCCCCCTAGATGCGAGATGAGGCCTGATTCCCTGCAGTGCATGCAGCGCATTCCCGTGATCCCCATCAAGCAAGTCAGGAGCTTCGACTTGCTTAATGGATCTCGAGACAGTCCCCAAGAACACTGACACAAGACTAAACAGACCCTGATGTCACCCCAGCAATGAAAAGCAGCTGCAAGTGCCCCACATCAACTCGAGATGAGGCCTGATTCCCCTGCATTGACTCCAGAGCCATCCCCCGTTCCCCATTAAACACGACCAGTGGCTTGACTTCCTTCAGGCAACTCCAGAGATGCCACGAGAACCCTGTCCCAAGACTAGAGGAACACCAACTTCAGCACAGCAACTTGAGGAATGCTCCGTGTACCCCAAATCGTCTGGAGATGACAGCTGATTCCCTGGCTTAGGCTCAAGACGTATGCCAAGTTTCCAGAAGCACCTCAAGAGGAGGCTTCTCTCAGCAGTAGGCATGTGGGAGGGACCACGAGTTTGCTGCCTCAAGTGGAATATACAGCGAGAAGCCCTACCTTGAAAGGAGGCCGGATTTCCTTGCAGTGGCTTGAATACAGGCTCGTCTTTCATCTCACAACATGAAGGGATGTCCAAATCCCTTGTGGACACCTTAGAGAAAGCCATAGATCCCTGCCTCATTTTGACGGAATGCCTCACATCCCGTTGACACCTCGAGAGACTCGCGCAGTTCACTGCTTCAAAAGGTGACGATGCCGGACTCCTCTTGAATCATCGATAGGAACACCAAAATCACTGTGGCTTCTGGAAAGGGTACCTGGGTGCCCTGCCTAAACTCGAGAAGCGTTTCCTGTGCCCTGCCAAGCGTCGAAAAGATTCCTGAGGTGTCCCTCGTTACTAGACAGGAGTCCTGACGTCACTGAATAAACACGTGTTTTGAAGGGCCATCCCTGCCGTAACTCGAGAACATAGCCCAGATCGCCGCCGCAACTCGAGAAAAACCATGAGACTTCCCCCTATATGCGAGACGAGGCCCGATTCCCCTTCAGTGCATGCAGAGCAATCTCGTGATCCCCTTCAAAGAAGTCAGGAGTTTCGACTTGCTTAATGGATCTCGAGAGAGTCCCCAAGAAGACTGTCACAAGTCTAGACGGACCCTGAGGTCACCTCAGCAATGCAAAGCAGCTCCATGTGCCCCAAATCAACTCGAGATGAGGCCTGATTCCCCTGCATTGACTCCAGAGCAAATCCCCATTCCCCATTAAACACGACGAGTGGCTCGACTTTCTTCAGGCAACTCGAGAGATGCCCCGAGAACACTGTCCCAAATCTAGAGGAACACCAAATTCAGCAGAGCAAATTGAGGAATGCTCCGTGTACCCGAAATCGTTTCGAGGTGAGAGCTGATTCCCTAGCTTAGGCTCAAGACATATGCCAAGTTTCCAGAAGCACCTCAAGAGGAGGCTTCTCTCAGCAATAGGTATGATTGAGGGACCCCGAGTTTGCTGCCTCAAGTGGAATACACAATGAGAAGCCCTAACTTGAAAGGAGGCCTGATTTCCTTGCAGTGGCTTGAATACAGGCTCGTCTTTCATCTCACAACATGAAGGGATGTCCAAATCCCCTGGGGAGACCTTAGAGAAAGCCATAGATCCCTGCCTCATTTTGACCGAAAGCCTCACATCCCCTTGACACCTCGAAAGGCACGCGGAGTTCACTGCTTCAAAAGGTGACGATGCCTGACTCCACTTGAACATTGATAGGAATCCCAAAATCCCTGTGGCTACTGGAAAGGCTACTTGGGTGCCCTGCCTCACCTCGAGAAGCGTCCCTTGTGCCTTGCCAAGCCTCGACGAGATTCCTGAAGTGTCCCTCATTACTAGACAGGAGTCCTGACGTCACTGAATAAACATGTGTTTTGAAGGGCCATCCCCGCCGTAACTCGAGAACATAACCCAGGTCCCCGCCACAACTCGAGAAAAACCATGAGACTTCCCCATAGATGCGAGATGAAGCCCGATTCCCCTGCACTGCATGCAGAGCTATTCCGTGATCCCCATCAAACAAGTCACGAGCTTCGACTTGCTTGATGGATCCCGGACAGTCCCCAAGAACACTGTCACATGACTAGACGGACCATGAAGTCAATGCAGCAACGCACAGCAGATCCATGTGCCCCAAATCAACTCGAGATGAGGCCTGATACCTCTGCATTGACTCCAGAGCAATTCCCTATTCCCCATTAAACACGACAAATGGCTCGACTTCCTTCAGCCAACTCCAGAGATGCCCCGAGAACACTATCCCAAGTCTAGAGGAACACCAACTTCAGCACAGCAACTCGAGGAATGCTCTGTGTACCCCAAATCTTCTCGAGATGAGAGCTGATTCCCTGGCTTAGGCTCAAGACGTATGCCAACTTTCCAGAAGCACCTAAAAAGGAGGATTCTCTCAGCAATAGGTATGTGGGAGGGACCCCGAGTTTGCTGCCTTAAGTGGAATATACAGCGAGAAGTCCTAACTTGAAAGGAGGCCGGCTCTCCTTGCAGTTTCTTGAATACAGGCTCGTCTTTCTTCTCACAACATGAAGGGATGTCCGAATCCCCTGTGTAAACCTTAGAGAAAGCCATAGGTCCCTGACTCATTTTGACGGAATGCCTCACATCCAGTTGACACCTCGAGAGTCACGCGGAGTTCACTGCTTCAAAATGTGACGATGCCTGACTCCTCTTGAACATTGATAGGAATCAAAAAATCACTGTGGCTCCTGGAAACCGTCCTTGGTTGCCCTGCGTCACCTCGAGAAGCATCCCTTTTGCCCTGCCAAGCCTCAAAGAGATTCCTGAGGTGTCCCTCGTTACTGGACAGGAGTTCTAACGTCACTGAATAAAGACGTGTTTTGAAGGGCCATCCCCGCCGTAACTTGAGAACATACCCCAGGTCCCCAGCGCAACTCGAGAAAAATCATGAGACTTCCCCCTAGATGCGAGATGAGGCACAATTCCCCTGCAGTGCATGAAGAGCAATCCCGTGATCCCCTTCAAACAAGTCAGGAGCTTCGACTTGCTTAATGGATCTCGAGAGAGTCCCCAAGAATACTGTCACAAGTCTAGACGGACCCTGAGGTAAGCATAGCACCGCAAGCAGCTCCATGTGCCCCAAATCAACTCGAGATGAGGCCCGATTCCCCTGCATTCACTCCAGAGCCATCTCCCGTTCCCCATTAAATACCACCAGTGGCTTGACTTCCTTCAGGCAACCCCAGAGATGCGCCGAGAACACTGGCCCAAGTCTAGAGGAACACCAAAATCAGCACAGCAACTCGAGGAATGCTCCGTGAACACCAAATCGTCTGGAGATGAGAGCTGATTCCCTGGCTTAGGATCAAGACGTATGCCAACTTTCCAGAAGCACCTCAAGGGGAGGCTTCTCTCAGCAATAGGTATGTGGGAGGGACCCCGAGGTTGCTGCCTCAAGTGGAATACACAATGAGAAGCCCTAACTTGAAAGGAGGCCTGATTTCCTTGCAGTGGCTCGAATACAGGCTCGTCTTTCATCTCGCAACATGAACTGATGACCAAATCCCCTGGGGAGACCTTAGAGAAAGCCATAGATCCCTGCCTCATTTTGACGGAATGCCTCACATCCCCTTGACACCTCGAGAGGCACGCGGAGTTCACTGCTTCAAAAGGTGACGATGCCTGACACCTCTTGAATATTGATAGGAATCCCAAAATACCTGTGGCTACTGAAAAGGGTACTTGTGTGCCCTGCCTCACATCGAGAAGCATCCCTTGTGCCCTGCCAAGCCTCGAAGAGATTCCTGAGGTGTCCCTCGTTACTAGACAGGAGTCCTGACGTCACTGAATAAACATGTGTTTTGAAGGGCTATCCCCGCCGTAACTCGTTAACATACCCCAGCTCCCCGCTGCAACTCGAGAAAAACCATGAGACTTCCCCCTAGATGCGAGTCGTGGCCCGATTCCCCTGCGGTCCATGCAGAGCAATTCCGTGATCCCCATCAAACAAGTCAGGAGCTTCAACTTGCTTGATGGATCTCGAGACAGTCCCCAAGAACACTGTCACATGTCTAGACGGACACTGAATTCAACACACCAACGCACAGCAGACCCATGTGCCACATATCAACTCGAGATGAGGCCCGATTCCCCTGCATTGACTCCAGAGCCATCCCCCGTTCCCCATTAAACACCACCAGTGGCTTGACTTCCTTCAGGCAACTCCATAGATGCCCTCAGAACACTGGCCCAAGTCTAGAGGAACACCAACTTCAGCACAGCAACTCGAGGAATACTCCGTGTACCCCAAATCGTCTCGAGATGAGAGCTGATTTTCTGGCTTAGGCTCAAGATGTATGCCAACTTTCCAGAAGCACCTCAAGAGGAGGATTCTCTCAGCAATAGGTATGTTCGTGGGATTCCGAGTTTGCTGCCTAAAGTGGAGTATACAGTGAGAAGCCCTAACTTCTGAGAAGGCCGGATTTCCTTGCAGTGTCTTGAATACAGGCTCGTCTTTCATCTCACAACAGGAAGGGATGTCTCTAACCCCTGTGAAAACCTTACAGAAAGCCCTAGTTCCCTGCCTCATTTTGACGGAATGCCTCACATCCCGTTGACACCTCAAGAGGCACACGGAGTTCACTGCTTCAAAAGGTGACGATGCCTAACACCTCCTGAACATTGATAGGAATCCCAAAATCTCTGTGGCTATTGAAAAGGGTCCTTGGGTGCCCTGCCTCACCTCGAGAAGCATCCCTTGTGCCCTGCCAAGCCTCGAAGAGATTCCTGAGATGTCCCTCGTTACTAGACCAGAGTCCTTACGTCACTGAATAAACACGTGTTTTGAAGGGCCATCCCCGCTGTAATTCGAGAAGATACCCCAGGTTCCAGCCACAACTCGAGAAAAACCATGAGACTTCCCCCTATATGCGAGATGAAGTCCGATTCCCCTTCAGTGCATGCAGAGCAATTCCATGATCCCCATCAAACAAGTCAGGAGCTTCGACTTGCTTGATGGATCTCGAGACAGTCCCCAAGAACACTGTCACATGTCTAGACGGACCCTGAGTTCACCCCAGGAATGCAAAGCAGCTCCATGTGCCCCAAATCAACTCGAGATGAGGCCCGAATAACCTGCATTGACTCCAGAGCCATCCCCCGTTCCCCATTAATCACGACCAGTGGCTTGACTTTCTTCAGGCAACTCCAGAGATGCCCCGAGAACACTGTCCCAAGCCTAGAGGAACAGCAACATCAGCATAGCAACTCGAGGAATGATACATGTACCCAAAACTCTCTGGAGATGAGAGCTGATTACCTGGCTTAGGCTCAAGACGTATGCCAACTTTCCAGAAGCACCTCAAGAGGAGGCTTCTCTCAGCAATAGGAGTTGGGAGGGATCCCGAGTTTGCTGCCTCAAGTGGAATATACAGCGAGAAGCCCTAACTTGAAAGAGGCCGGATTTCCTTTCAGTGGCTTCAATACAGGTTCGTCGCTCATGTCAAACATGAAGGGATGTCCAAATCCCCTGTGGATACCTTTGAGAAACACATAGGTCCCTGCCTCATTTTGAGGGAATGCCTCACATCCCCTTGACACCTCAAGAGGCACGCGGAGTTCACTGCTTCAAAAGGTGACGATGCCTGACTCCATTTGAACATTGATAGGAAATCCAAAAATCCCTGTGGCTACTGGAAAGGCTACTTGGGTGCCCTGCCTCACCTTGAGAAGCGTCCCTTGTGCACTGCCAAGCCTCGAAGAGATTCCTGAAGTGTCCCTCGTTACTAGACAGGAGTCCTGACGTTACTGAATAAACACGAGTTTTGAAGGGCCATCCCCGCCGTAACTCAAGAACCTACCCCAGGTCCCCGACACAACTCGAGAAAAACCATGAGACTTCCCCCTAGAGGCGAGATGAGGCCACATTCCCCTACAGTGCAAGCAGAGCTATTCCGTGATCCCATTCAAAAAAGTCAGGAGCTTCGACTTGCTTAATGGATTTCGAGACAGCCCCCAAGAACACTGTCACCAGTCTAGACGGTCCCTGAGGTCACCCCAGCAACGCAAAGCAGCTCCATGTGCCCCAAATCAACTCGAGATGAGGCCCGATTCCCCTGCATTGATTCCAGAGCCATTCCCCGTTCCCCATTCAACACGACCGGTGGCTCGACTTCCTTCAGGCCACTCCAGAGATGCCCCGAGAACACTGTCCCAAGTCTAGAGCAACACCAACTTCAGCACAGCAACTCGAAGAACGCTCCGTGTACGCCAAATCGTCTCGAGATGAGAGCTGATTCCCTGGCTTAGGCTCAAGACGTATGCCAACTTTCCAGAAGCACCTAAAAAGGAGGATTCTCTCAGCAATAGGTATGTGGGAGGGACCCCGAGTTTGCTGCCTTAAGTGGAATATACAGCGAGAAGTCCTAACTTGAAAGGAGGCCGGCTCTCCTTGCAGTTTCTTGAATACAGGCTCGTCTTTCTTCTCACAACATGAAGGGATGTCCGAATCCCCTGTGTAAACCTTAGAGAAAGCCATAGGTCCCTGACTCATTTTGACGGAATGCCTCACATCCAGTTGACACCTCGAGAGTCACGCGGAGTTCACTGCTTCAAAATGTGACGATGCCTGACTCCTCTTGAACATTGATAGGAATCAAAAAATCACTGTGGCTCCTGGAAACCGTCCTTGGTTGCCCTGCCTCACCTCGAGAAGCATCCCTTTTGCCCTGCCAAGCCTCAAAGAGATTCCTGAGGTGTCCCTCGTTACTGGACAGGAGTTCTAACGTCACTGAATAAAGACGTGTTTTGAAGGGCCATCCCCGCCGTAACTTGAGAACATACCCCAGGTCCCCAGCGCAACTCGAGAAAAATCATGAGACTTCCCCCTAGATGCGAGATGAGGCGCGATTCCCCTGCAGTGCATGAAGAGCAATCCCGTGATCCCCTTCAAACAAGTCAGGAGCTTCGACTTGCTTAATGGATCTCGAGAGAGTCCCCAAGAATACTGTCACAAGTCTAGACGGACCCTGAGGTAAGCATAGCACCGCAAGCAGCTCCATGTGCCCCAAATCAACTCGAGATGAGGCCCGATTCCCCTGCATTCACTCCAGAGCCATCTCCCGTTCCCCATTAAATACCACCAGTGGCTTGACTTCCTTCAGGCAACCCCAGAGATGCGCCGAGAACACTGGCCCAAGTCTAGAGGAACACCAAAATCAGCACAGCAACTCGAGGAATGCTCCGTGAACACCAAATCGTCTGGAGATGAGAGCTGATTCCCTGGCTTAGGATCAAGACGTATGCCAACTTTCCAGAAGCACCTCAAGGGGAGGCTTCTCTCAGCAATAGGTATGTGGGAGGGACCCCGAGGTTGCTGCCTCAAGTGGAATACACAATGAGAAGCCCTAACTTGAAAGGAGGCCTGATTTCCTTGCAGTGGCTCGAATACAGGCTCGTCTTTCATCTCACAACATGAACTGATGACCAAATCCCCTGGGGAGACCTTAGAGAAAGCCATAGATCCCTGCCTCATTTTGACGGAATGCCTCACATCCCCTTGACACCTCGAGAGGCACGCGGAGTTCACTGCTTCAAAAGGTGACGATGCCTGACACCTCTTGAATATTGATAGGAATCCCAAAATACCTGTGGCTACTGAAAAGGGTACTTGTGTGCCCTGCCTCACATCGAGAAGCATCCCTTGTGCCCTGCCAAGCCTCGAAGAGATTCCTGAGGTGTCCCTCGTTACTAGACAGGAGTCCTGACGTCACTGAATAAACATGTGTTTTGAAGGGCTATCCCCGCCGTAACTCGTTAACATACCCCAGCTCCCCGCTGCAACTCGAGAAAAACCATGAGACTTCCCCCTAGATGCGAGTCGTGGCCCGATTCCCCTGCGGTCCATGCAGAGCAATTCCGTGATCCCCATCAAACAAGTCAGGAGCTTCAACTTGCTTGATGGATCTCGAGACAGTCCCCAAGAACACTGTCACATGTCTAGACGGACACTGAATTCAACACACCAACGCACAGCAGATCCATGTGCCACATATCAACTCGAGATGAGGCCCGATTCCCCTGCATTGACTCCAGAGCCATCCCCCGTTCCCCATTAAACACCACCAGTGGCTTGACTTCCTTCAGGCAACTCCATAGATGCCCTCAGAACACTGGCCCAAGTCTAGAGGAACACCAACTTCAGCACAGCAACTCGAGGAATACTCCGTGTACCCCAAATCGTCTCGAGATGAGAGCTGATTTTCTGGCTTAGGCTCAAGATGTATGCCAACTTTCCAGAAGCACCTCAAGAGGAGGATTCTCTCAGCAATAGGTATGTTCGTGGGATTCCGAGTTTGCTGCCTAAAGTGGAGTATACAGTGAGAAGCCCTAACTTCTGAGAAGGCCGGATTTCCTTGCAGTGTCTTGAATACAGGCTCGTCTTTCATCTCACAACAGGAAGGGATGTCTCTAACCCCTGTGAAAACCTTACAGAAAGCCCTAGTTCCCTGCCTCATTTTGACGGAATGCCTCACATCCCGTTGACACCTCAAGAGGCACACGGAGTTCACTGCTTCAAAAGGTGACGATGCCTAACACCTCCTGAACATTGATAGGAATCCCAAAATCTCTGTGGCTATTGAAAAGGGTCCTTGGGTGCCCTGCCTCACCTCGAGAAGCATCCCTTGTGCCCTGCCAAGCCTCGAAGAGATTCCTGAGATGTCCCTCGTTACTAGACCAGAGTCCTTACGTCACTGAATAAACACGTGTTTTGAAGGGCCATCCCCGCTGTAATTCGAGAAGATACCCCAGGTTCCAGCCACAACTCGAGAAAAACCATGAGACTTCCCCCTAGAGGCGAGATGAGGCCACATTCCCCTACAGTGCAAGCAGAGCTATTCCGTGATCCCATTCAAAAAAGTCAGGAGCTTCGACTTGCTAAATGGATTTCGAGACAGCCCCAAGAACACTGTCACCAGTCTAGACGGACCCTGAGGTCACCCCAGCAACGCAAAGCAGCTCCATGTGCCCCAAATCAACTCGAGATGAGGCCCGATTCCCCTGCATTGATTCCAGAGCCATTCCCCGTTCCCCATTCAACACGACCGGTGGCTCGACTTCCTTCAGGCCACTCCAGAGATGCCCCGAGAACACTGTCCCAAGTCTAGAGCAACACCAACTTCAGCACAGCAACTCGAAGAACGCTCCGTGTACGCCAAATCGTCTCGAGATGAGAGCTGATTCCCTGGCTTAGGCTCAAGACGTATGCCAACTTTCCAGAAGCACCTAAAGAGGAGGATTCTCTCAGCAATATGTATGTGGGAGGGACCCCGAGTTTGCTGCCTCAAGTGGAATATACAGCGAGAAGCCCTAACTTGAAAGGAGGCCGGATTTCCTTGCAGTGGCTTGAATACAGGCTCGTCTTTCATCTCACAACATGAAGGGATGTCTGAATCCCCTGTGCAGACCTTAGAGAAAGCCCTAGGTCCCTGCCTCATTTTGACGGAATGCCTCACATCATGTTGACACCTCGAGAGGCACGCGGAGTTCACTGCTTCAAAAGGTGACGATGCCTGACACCTCTTGAATATTGATAGGAATCCCAAAATCCCTGTGGCTACTGGAAAGTGTCCTTGGGTGCCCTGCCTCACCTCGAGAAGCGTCCCTTGTGCCCTGCCAAGTCTTGAAGAGATTCCTGAGGTGGCCCTCGTTACTAGACAGGAGTCCTGACGTCACTGAATAAACACGTGTTTTGAAGGGCCATCCCCGCCTTAACTCGCGAACATACCCCAGGTCCCCGCCGCAACTCGAGAAAAACCATGAGACTTCCCCCTTGATGCGAGACGTGGCCCGATTCCCCTGCAGTCCATGCAGAGCAATTCCGTGATCCCCATCAAATAAGTCAGCAGCTTCGACTTGCTTGATGGATCTCGAGACAGTCCCCAAGAACACTGTCACATGTCTAGACGTACCCTGAGGTCAACGCAGCAATGCACAGCAGCTCCATGTACCACAAATCAACTCGAGATGAGGCCCGATTCCCCTGCATTGACTCAAGAGCCATCCCCCGTTCCCCATTAAACACCACGAGTGGCTTGACTTTCTTCAGGCAACTCCACAGATGCCCCGTGAACACTGTCCCAAGTCTAGAGGAACACCAACTTCAGCACAGCAACTCAAAGAACGCTCCGTGTACGCCAAATCGTCTCGAGATGAGAGCTGATTCCCTGGCTTAGGTTCAAGACGTATGCCAACTTTCCAAAAGCACCTCAAGAGGGGGCTTCTCTCAGCAATAGGTATGTGGGAGGGACCCCGAGTTTACTGCCTCAAGTGGAATATACAGCGAGAAGCCCTAACTTGAAAGGAGGCCGGCTTTCCTTGCAGTGGCTTGAATACAGGCTCGTCTTTCTTCTCACAACATGAAGGGATGTACGAATCCCCTGTGGAAACCTTAGAGAAAGCCATAGGTCCCTGACTCATTTTGACGGAATGCCTCACATCCAGTTGACACCTCGAGAGGCACGCGGAGTTCCCTGCTTGAAAAGGTGACGATGCCTGACTCCACTTGAACATTGATAGGAATCCCAAAATCCCTGTGGCTATTGGAAAGGGTCCTTGGGTGCCCTGCCTCACCACGAGAAGCGTCCCTTGTGCCCTGCCATGCCTCGAAGAGTTTCCTGAGGTGTCCCTCGTTACTAGACAGGAGTCCTGACGTCACTGAATAAACACGTGTTTTGAAGGGCCATCCCCGCCTTAACTCGAGAACATACCCCAGGTCCCCGCCGCAACCCGAGAAAAACCATGAGACTTCCCCTAGAGGCGAGATGAGGCCCCATTCCCCTGCAGTGCATGCAGAGCAATCCTGTGATCCCCTTCAAACAAGTCAGGAGTTTCGACTTGCTTAATGGATCTCCAGAGAGTCCCCAAAAAGACTGTCACAAGTCTAGACGGACCCTGAGGTCACCCCAGCAACGCAAAGCAGCTCCATGTGCCCCAAATCAATTCGAGATGAGGCCTGATTCCCCTGCATTGACTCCAGAGCAAATCCCCATTCCCCATTAAACACGACGAGTGGCTTGACTTTCTTCAGGCAACTCCAGAGATGCCCCAAGAACACTGTCCCAAATCTAGTGGAACACCAAATTCAGCAGAGCAAATTGAGGAATGCTCCGTGTACCCCAAATCGTCTCGAGTTGAGAGCTGATTCCCTGGTTTAGGCTCAAGACGTATGCCAAGTTTCCAGAAGCACCTCAAGAGGAGGCTTCTCTCAGCAATACGTATGAAGGAGGGACCCCGAGTGTGCTGCCTCAAGTGGAATACACAATGAGAAGCCCTAACTTGAAAGGAGGCCTGATTTCCTTGCAGTGACTTGAATACAGGCTCGTCTTTCATCTCACAACATGAAGGGATGTCCAAATCCCCTGGGGAGAACTTAGAGGAAGCCATAGATCCCTACCTCATTTGACGGAATGCCTCACATCCCCTTGACACCTCGAGAGGCACACGGAGTTCATTGCTTCAAAAGGTGACGATGCCTGACAAATCTTGAATATTGATAGGAATCCCAAAATAACTCTGGCTACTGGAAAGGGTACTTGTGTGCCCTGCATCACCTCGAGAAGCATCCCTTGGGCCCTGCCAAGCCTCGAAGAGATTCCTGAGGTGTCCCTCGTTACGAGACAGGAGTCCTGACGTCACTGAATAAACACGGGTTTTGAAGGGCCATCCCCGCCATAACTCGCGAACATACCCCAGTTCCCCGCCGCAACTCGAGAAAAATCATGAGACTTCCCCCTAGATGCGAGTCGTGGCCCGATTCCCCTGCAGTCCATGCAGAGCAATTCCGTGATGCCCATCAAACAAGTCAGGAGCTTCGACTTGCTTGATGGATGTCGAGACAGTCCCCAAGAACACTGTCTCATGTCTAGACGGACCCTGAAGTCAACGCACCAACGCACAGCAGATCCATGTGCCCCAAATCAACTCGAGATGAGGCCCGATTCCCCTGCATTGACTCCAGAGCCATCCCCCGTTCCCCATTAAACACCACCAGTGGCTGGACTTTCTTCAGGCAACTCCAGAGATGCCCCGAGAACACCGTCCCAAGTCTAGAGGAACAGCAACATCAGCATAGCAACTCGAGGAATGCTCCGTGTACCCCAAATCGTCCGGAGATGAGAGCTGATTACCTGGCTTAGGCTCAAGACGTATGCCAAGTTTCCAGAAGCACCTCAAGAGGAGGCTTCTCTCAGCAATAGGTAGGTGGGAGGGATCCCGAGTTTGCTGCCTCATGTGGAATATACAGCGAGAAGCCCTAACTTGAAAGGAGGCCGGATTTCCTTGCAGTGGCTTGAATACAGGCTCGTCTTTCCTGTCACAACATGAAGGGATGTCCAAATCCCCTGTGGATACCTTAGAGAAACACATAGGGCCCTGCCTCATTTTGATGGAATGCCTCACATCCCCTTGAGACTTCGAGAGGCACGCGGAGTTCACTGCTTCAAAAGGTGACGATGGCTGACTCCACTTGAACATTGATAGGAATCCCAAAAATCCCAGTGGCTACTGGAAAGGCTACTTGGGTGGCCTGCCTCACCTCGAGAAGCGTCCCTTGTGCCCTGCCAAGCCTCGAAGAGATTCCTGAGGAGTCCCTCGTTACTAGACAGGAGTCCTGACGTCACTGAATAAACACGTGTTTTGAACGGCCATCCCAGCCGTAAATCGAGAACATACACCAGTTCCCGCCACAACTCGAGAAAAACCATGAGACTTCCCCCTAGATGCGAGATGAGGCCTGATTCCCTGCAGTGCATGCAGCGCATTCCCGTGATCCCCATCAAGCAAGTCAGGAGCTTCGACTTGCTTAATGGATCTCGAGACAGTCCCCAAGAACACTGTCACAAGACTAAACAGACCCTGATGTCACCCCAGCAATGAAAAGCAGCTGCAAGTGCCCCACATCAACTCGAGATGAGGCCTGATTCCCCTGCATTGACACAAGAGCCATCCCCCGTTCCCCATTAAACACGACCAGTGGCTTGACTTCCTTCAGGCAACTCCAGAGATGCCACGAGAACACTGTCCCAAGACTAGAGGAACACCAACTTCAGCACAGCAACTTGAGGAATGCTCCGTGTACCCCAAATCGTCTGGAGATGACAGCTGATTCCCTGGCTTAGGCTCAAGACGTATGCCAAGTTTCCAGAAGCACCTCAAGAGGAGGCTTCTCTCAGCAGTAGGCATGTGGGAGGGACCACGAGTTTGCTGCCTCAAGTGGAATATACAGCGAGAAGCCCTACCTTGAAAGGAGGCCGGATTTCCTTGCAGTGGCTTGAATACAGGCTCGTCTTTCATCTCACAACATGAAGGGATGTCCAAATCCCTTGTGGACACCTTAGAGAAAGCCATAGATCCCTGCCTCATTTTGACGGAATGCCTCACATCCCGTTGACACCTCGAGAGACACGCGCAGTTCACTGCTTCAAAAGGTGACGATGCCGGACTCCTCTTGAATCATCGATAGGAACACCAAAATCACTGTGGCTTCTGGAAAGGGTACCTGGGTGCCCTGCCTAAACTCGAGAAGCGTTTCTTGTGCCCTGCCAAGCGTCGAAGAGATTCCTGAGGTGTCCCTCGTTACTAGACAGGAGTCCTGACGTCACTGAATAAACACGTGTTTTGAAGGGCCATCCCTGCCGTAACTCGAGAACATAGCCCAGATCGCCGCCGCAACTCGAGAAAAACCATGAGACTTCCCCCTAGATGCGAGACGAGGCCCGATTCCCCTTCAGTGCATGCAGAGCATTCTCGTGATCCCCTTCAAAGAAGTCAGGAGTTTCGACTTGCTTAATGGATCTCGAGAGAGTCCCCAAGAAGACTGTCACAAGTCTAGACGGACCCTGAGGACACCTCAGCAACGCAAAGCAGCTCCATGTGCCCCAAATCAACTCGAGATGAGGCCTGATTCCCCTGCATTGACTCCAGAGCAAATCCCCATTCCCCATTAAACACGACGAGTGGCTCGACTTTCTTCAGGCAACTCGAGAGATGCCCCGAGAACACTGTCCCAAATCTAGAGGAACACCAAATTCAGCAGAGCAAATTGAGGAATGCTCCGTGTACCCCAAATCGTTTCGAGGTGAGAGCTGATTCCCTAGCTTAGGCTCAAGACATATGCCAAGTTTCCAGAAGCACCTCAAGAGGAGGCTTCTCTCAGCAATAGGTATGATTGAGGGACCCCGAGTTTGCTGCCTCAAGTGGAATACACAATGAGAAGCCCTAACTTGAAAGGAGGCCTGATTTCCTTGCAGTGGCTTGAATACAGGCTCGTCTTTCATCTCACAACATGAAGGGATGTCCAAATCCCCTGGGGAGACCTTAGAGAAAGCCATAGATCCCTGCCTCATTTTGACTGAAAGCCTCACATCCCCTTGACACTTCGAAAGGCACGCGGAGTTCACTGCTTCAAAAGGTGACGATGCCTGACTCCACTTGAACATTGATAGGAATCCCAAAATCCCTGTGGCTACTGGAAAGGCTACTTGGGTGCCCTGCCTCACCTCGAGAAGCGTCCCTTGTGCCCTGCCAAGCCTCGACGAGATTCCTGAAGTGTCCCTCATTACTAGACAGGAGTCCTGACGTCACTGAATAAACATGTGTTTTGAAGGGCCATCCCCGCCGTAACTCGAGAACATAACCCAGGTCCCCGCCACAACTCGAGGAAAACCATGAGACTTCCCCATAGATGCGAGATGAAGCCCGATTCCCCTGCAGTACATGCACAGCTATTCCGTGATCCCCATCAAACAAGTCACGAGCTTCGACTTGCTTGATGGATCCCGGACAGTCCCCAAGAACACTGTCACATGACTAGACGGACCATGAAGTCAATGCACCAACGCACAGCAGATCCATGTGCCCCAAATCAACTCGAGATGAGGCCTGATACCTCTGCATTGACTCCAGAGCAATTCCCTATTCCCCATTAAACACGAGAAATGGCTCGACTTCCTTCAGCCAACTCCAGAGATGCCCCGAGAACACTGTCCCAAGTCTAGAGGAACACCAACTTCAGCACAGCAACTCGAGGAATGCTCTGTGTACCCCAAAACTTCTCGAGATGAGAGCTGATTCCCTGGCTTAGGCTCAAGACGTATGCCAACTTTCCAGAAGCACCTAAAAAGGAGGATTCTCTCAGCAATAGGTATGTGGGAGGGACCCCGAGTTTGCTGCCTTAAGTGGAATATACAGCGAGAAGTCCTAACTTGAAAGGAGGCCGGCTCTCCTTGCAGTGGCTTGAATACAGGCTCGTCTTTCTTCTCACAACATGAAGGGATGTCCGAATCCCCTGTGGAAACCTTAGAGAAAGCCATAGGTCCCTGCCTCATTTTGACGGAATGCCTCACATCCCGTTGACACCTCGAGAGGCACGGGGAGTTCACTGCTTCAAAAGGTTACGATGCCTGACTCCTCTTGAAAATTGATAGGAATCAAAAAATCACTGTGGCTCCTGGAAAGCGTCCTTGGTTGCCCTGCCTCACCTCGAGAAGCATCCCTTTTGCCCTGCCAAGCCTCAAAGAGATTCCTGAGGTGTCCCTCGTTACTAGACAGGAGTTCTGACTTCACTGAATAAAGACGTGTTTTGAAGGGCCATCCCCGCCGTAACTCGAGAACATACCCCAGGTCCCCGCTACAACTCCAGAAAAACCATGAGACTTCCCCCTATATGCGAGATGAAGTCCGATTCCCCTGCAGTGCATGCAGAGCAATTCCATGATCCCCATCAAACAAGTCAGGAGCTTCGACTTGCTTGATGGATCTCGAGACAGTCCCCAAGAACACTGTTACATGGCTAGACGGACCCTGAGGTCACCCCAGCAACGCAAAGCAGCTCCATGTGCGCCAAGTAAACTCGAGATGAGGCCCGATTAACCTGCATTGACACCAGAGCCATCCCCCGTTCCCCATTAATCACGACCAGTGGCTTGACTTCCTTCAGGCAACTCCAGAGATGCGCCGAGAACACTATCCAAAGTCTAGAGGAACACCAACTTCATCACAGCAACTCGAGGAATGCTCCGTGTACCCCAAATCGTCTGGAGATGACAGCTGATTCCCTGTCTTAGTCAAGACGAATGCCAACTTTCCAGAAGCACCTCAAGAGGAGGCTTCTCTGAGCAGTAGGCATGTGGGAGGGACCCCGATTTTGCTGCCTCAAGTGGAATATACAGTGAAAAGCCCTAACTTGAAAGGAGGCCTGATTTCCTTTCAGTGACTTGAATACAGGCTCGTCTTTCATCTCACAACATGAAAGGATGTCCAAATCCCCTGGGGAGAACTTAGAGGAAGCCCTAGATCCCTACCTCATTTGACGGAATGCCTCACATCCCCTTGACACCTCGAGAGGCACACGGAGTTCATTGCTTCAAAAGGTGACGATGCCTGACACCTCTTGAATATTGATAGGAATCCCAAAATAACTCTATCTACTGGAAAGGGTACTCGTGTGCCCTGCCTCACCTCGAGAAGCATCCCTTGTGCCCTGCCAAGCCTCGAAGAGATTCCTGAGGTGTCCCTCGTTACTAGACAGGAGTCCTGACGTCACTGAATAAACACGTGTTTTGAAGGGCCATCCCCGCCATAACTCGCGAACATACCCCAGGTCCCTGCCACAACTCGAGAAAAATCATGAGACTTCCCCCTAGATGCGAGTCATGGCCCGATTCCCCTGCAGTCCATGCAGAGCAATTCCGTGATGCCCATCAAACAAGTCAGGAGCTTCGACTTGCTTGATGGATGTCGAGACAGTCCCCAAGAACACTGTCTCATGTCTAGACGGACCCTGAAGTCAACGCACCAAAGCACAGCAGATCCATGTGCCACAAATCAACTCGAGATGAGGCCCAATTCCCCTGCATTGACTCCAGAGTCATCCCCCGTTCTCCATTAAACACCACCAGTGGCTGGACTTTCTTCAGGCAACTCCCTAGATACCCCGAGAACACCGTCCCAAGTCTAGAGGAACAGCAACATCAGCATAGCAACTCGAGGAATGCTCCGTGTACCCCAAATCATCTCGAGATGAGAGTTGATTCCCTGGCTTAGGCTCAAGACGTATGCCAACTTTCCAGAAGTACCTCAGGAGGAGGCTTCTCTCAGCAATAAGTATGTGGGAGGGACCCCGAGTATGCTGCCTCAAGGGGAATATACAGCGAGAAGCCCTAACTTGAAAGGAGGCCGGATTTCCTTGCAGTGGCTTGAATACAGGCTCGTCTTTCATCTCACAACATGAAGGGATGTCTGAATCCCCTGTGGAGACCTTAGAGAAAGCGCTAGGTCCCTGCCTCATTTTGACGGAATGCCTCTCATTCCGCTAACACGTCGAAAGGCACGCGGAGTTCATTGCTTTAAAAGGTGAGGATGCCTGACTTCTCTTGAATACTGATAGGAATCGCAGAATCCCTGTGGCTACTGGAAAGGGTCCTTGGGTGCCCTGCCTCACCTCGAGAAGCGTCCCTTTTGCCCTGCTAAGCCTCGAAGAGATTCCTGAGATGTCCCTCGTTACTAGACAGGAGTCCTGACGTCACTGAAGAAACTCGTGTTTTGAATGGCCATCCCCGCCTTAAGTCGAGAACATACCCCAGGTCCCCGTCGCAACTCGAGAAAAACCATGAGACTTCCCCCTAGAGGCGAGATGAGGCCCCATTCCCCGGCAGTGCATGCAGAGCTATTCCGTGATCTCATTCAAACAAGTCAGGAGATTCGACTTGCTTAATGGATCTCGAGACAGTCCCCAAGAACACTGTCACCAGTCTAGACGGACCCTGAGGTCACCCCAGCAATGCAAAGCAGTTCCATGTGCCCCTAATCAACTCGAGATGAGGCCCGATTCCCCTGCATTGACTCCAGAGCCATTCCCCGTTCCCCATTCAACACGACCGGTGGCTCGACTTCCTTCAGGCAACTCCAGAGATTTCCCGAGAACACTGTCCCAAGTCTAGAGGAATACCAACTTCAGGACAGCAACTCGAGGAATGCTCCGTGTACCCCAAATCGTCTCGAGATGAGAGCTTATTCCCTGGCTTAGTCTCTAGACGTATGCCAGCTTTCCAGAAGCACCTCAGGATGAGGCTTCTCTCAGCAATAGGTATGTGGTAGGGACCCCGAGTTTGCTGCCTCAAGGGGAATATACAGCGAGAAGCCCTAACTTGAAAGGAGGCCGGATATCCTGGCAGTGGCTTGAATACAGGCTCGTCTTTCATCTTACAACATGAAGGGATGTCTGAATCCCCTGTGGAGACCTTAGAGAAAGCCCTAGGTCCCTGCCTCATTTTGACGGAATGCCTCACATCCCGCTGACACCTCGAGAGGCACGCGGAGTTCATTGCTTCAAATGGGGACGATGCCTGACTCCTCTTGAATACTGATAGGAATCCCAAAATCCCTGTGGCTACTGTAAAGGGTCCTTGGGTGCCCTGCCTCACCTCGAGAAGCGTCCCTTTTACCCTGCCAAGCCTCAAAGAGATTCCTGAGGTGTCCCTCGTTACTAGACAGGAATCCTGACGTCACTGAAGAAACTTGTGTTTTGAAGGGCCATCCCCGCCGTAAGTCAAGAAATACCCCAGGTCCCCGCCGCAACTCGAGAAAAACCATGAGACTTCCCCCTAGAGGCGAGATGAGGCCCCATTCCCCTGCAGTGCATGCCGACCTCTTCCGTGATCCCATTCAAACAAGTCAGGAGATTCGACTTGCTTAATGGATCTCGTGACAGTCCCCAAGAACACTGTCACCAGTCTAGACGGACCCTGAGGTCACCCCAGCAACGCAAAGCAGCTCCATGTGCCCCAAATCAACTCGAGATGAGGCCCAATTGCCCTGCATTGACTCCAGAGCCATTCCCCGTTCCCCATTCAACACGACCGGCGGCTCGACTTCCTTCAGGCAACTCCAGAGATGCCCCGAGAACACTGTCCCAAGTCTAGAGGAACACCAACTTCAGCACAGCAACTCGAGGAATGCTCCGTGTACCCCAAATCGTCTCGAGATGAGAGCTGATTCCCTGGCTTAGGCTCAAGACGTATGCCAACTTTCCAGAAGCACCTCAGGAGGAGGCTTCTCTCAGCAATAGGTATGTGGGAGAGACCCCGAGTTTGCTGCCTCAAAGGGAATATACAGCGAGAAGCCCTAACTTGAAAGGAGGCCGGATTTTCTTCCAGTGGCTTGAATACAGGCACGTCTTTCATCGCACAACATGAAGGGATGTCTGAATCCCCTGTGGAGACTTAGAGAAAGCCCTAGGTCCCTGCCTCATTTTGACGGAATGCCTCACATCATGCTGACATCTCGAGAGGCACGCGGAGTTCATTGCTTCAAAAGGTGACGATGCCTGACTCCTCTTGAATACTGATAGGAATCCCAAAATCCCTGTGGCTACGGGAAAGGGTCCTTGGGTGCCCTGCCTCACCTCGAGAAGCGTCCCTTTTGCCCTGCCAAGCCTCGAAGAGATTCCTGAGGTGTCCCTCGTTACTAGACAGGAGTCCTGAGGTCACTGAAGAAACTCGTGTTTTGAAGGGCCATCCCCGCCTTAAGTCGAGAACATACCCCAGGTCCCCGCCGCAACTCGAGAAAAACCATGAGACTTCCCCCTAGAGGCGAGATGAGGCCCCATTCCCCTGCAGTGCATGCAGAGCTATTCCGTGATCCCATTCAAACAAGTCAGGAGCTTCGACTTGATTAATGGATCTCGAGACAGTCCCCAAGAACACTGTCACCAGTCTAGACGGACCCTGAGGTCACCCCAGCAACGCAAAGCAGCTCCATGTGCCCCAAATCAACTCGAGATGAGGCCCGATTCCCCTGCATTGACTCCAGAGCCATTCCCCGTTCCCGATTCAACACGACCGGTGGCTCGACTTCCTTCAGGCAACACCAGAGATGCACCGAGAACACTGTCCCAAGTCTAGAGGAACACCAACTTCAACACAGCAACTCGAGGAAAGCTCCGTGTACCCCAAATCATCTCGAGATGAGAGCTGATTCCCTGGCTTAGGCTCAAGACGTATGCCAACTTTCCAGAAGCACCTCAGGAGGAGGCTTCTCTCAGCAATAGTTATGTGGGAGGGACCCCGAGTTTGCTGCCTCAAGGGGAATATACAGCGAGAAGCCCTAACTTGAAAGGAGGCCGGATTTCCTTGCAGTGGCTTAAATACAGGCTCGTCTTTCATCTCACAACATGAAGGGATGTCTGAATACCCTGTGGAGATTTTAGAGAAAGCCGTAGGTCCCTGCCTCATTTTGACGGAATGCCTCACATCCTGCTAACAACTCGAGAGGCACGCAAAGTTCATTGCTTCAAAAGGTGACGATGCCTGACTCCTCTTGAATACTGATAGGAATCCCAGAGTCCCTGTGGCTACTGGAAAGGGTCCTTGGGTGCCCTGCCTCACCTCGAGAAGCGTCCCTTTTGCCCAGCCAAGCCTCGAAGAGATTCCTGAGGTGTCCCTCGTTACTAGACAGGAGTCCTGAGGTCACTGAAGAAACTCGTGTTTTGAAGGGCCATCCCCGCCGTAAGTCGAGAACATACCCCAGGTCTCCGCCCCAACTCGAGAAAAATCATGAGACTTCCCCCTAGAGGCGAGATGAGGCCCCATTCCCCTGCAGTGCATGCAGAGCTATTCCGTGATCCCATTCAAACAACTCATTAGCTTCGACTTGATTAATGGATCTCGAGACAGTCCCCAAGAACACTGTCACCAGTCTAGACGGACCCTGAGGTCACCCCAGCAAAGCAAAGCAGCTCCATGTGCCCCAAATCAACTCGAGATGAGGCCCGATTCCCGTGCATTGACTCGAGAGACATTCCCCGTTCCCCATTCAACACGACCTGTGGCTCGACTTCCTTCAGGCAACTCCAGAGATGCACCGAGAACCCTGTCCCAAGTCTAGAGGAAAACCAACTTCAGCACAGCAACTCGAGGAATGCTCCGTGTACCCCAAATCGTTTCCAGATGAGAGCTGATTCCCTGGCTTAGGCTCAAAACGTATGCCAACTTTCCAGAAGCACCTCAGGAGGAGGCTTCTCAGCAATAGGTATGTGGGAGGGACCCCGAGTTTGCTGCCTCAAGGGGAATATACAGCGAGAAGCCCTAACTTGAAAGGAGGCCGGATTTCCTTGCAGTGGCTTGAATACGGGCTCGTCTTTCATCTCACAACATGAAGGGATGCCTGAATCCCCTGTGAAGACCTTAGAGAAAGCCCTAGGTCCCTGCCTCATTTTGACGGAATGCCTCACATCCCGCTGACACCTCGAGAGGCACGCGGAGTTCATTGCCTCAAAAGGTGACGATGCCTGACTCCTCTTGAATACTGATAGGATTCCCAGAATCACTGTGGCTACTGGAAAGGGTCCTTGGGTGCCCTGCCTCACCTCGAGAAGTGTCCCTTTTGCCTTGCCAAACTCGAAGAGATTCCTGAGGTGTCCCTCGTTACTAGACAGGAGTCCTGAGGTCACTGAAGAAACTCGTGTTTTGAAGGGCCATCCCCGCCGTAAGTCGAGAACATACCCCAGGTCTCCGCCCCAACTCGAGAAAAATCATGACACTTCCCCCTAGAGGCGAGATGAGGCCCCATTCCCCTGCAGTGCATGCAGAGCTATTCCGTGATCCCATTCAAAGAACTCATTAGCTTCGACTTGATTAATGGATCTCAAGACAGTCCCCAAGAACACTGTCACCAGTCTAGACGGACCCTGAGGTCACCCCAGCAAAGCAAAGCAGCTCCATGTGCCCCAAATCAACTCGAGATGAGGCCCGATTCCCGTGCATTGACTCGAGAGACATTCCCCGTTCCCCATTCAACACGACCTGTGGCTCGACTTCCTTCAGGCAACTCCAGAGATGCCCCGAGAACCCTGTCCCAAATCTAGAGGAAAACCAACTTCAGCACAGCAACTCGAGGAATGCTCCGTGTACCCCAAATCGTCTCGAGATGAGAGCTGATTCCCTGGCTTAGGCTCAAGACGTATGCCAACTTTCCAGAAGCACCTCAGGAGGAGGTTTCTCTCAGCAATAGTTATGTGGGAGGTACCCCGAGTTTGCTGCCTAAAGGGGAATATACAGCGAGAAGCCCTGACTTGAAAGCACGCCGGATTTCCTTGCAGTGGCTTGAATACAGGCTCGTCTTTCATCTCACAACATGAAGGGGTGTCTGAATCCCCTGTGGAGACCTTAGAGAAAGCCCTAGGTCACTGCCTCATTTTGACGGAATGCCTCACATCCCGCTGACACCTCGAGAGGCACGCGGAGTTCTTTGCCTCAAAAGGTGACGATGCCTGACTCCTCTTGAATACTGATAGGATTCCCAGAATCACTGTGGCTACTGGAAAGGGTCCTTGGGTGCCCTGCCTCACCTCGAGAAGCGTCCCTTTTGCCCTGCCAAACTCGAAGAGATTCCTGAGGTGTCCCTCGTTACTAGACAGGAGTCCTGATGTCACTGTAGAAACTCGTGTTTTGAAGGGCCATCCCCGCCGTAAATCGAGAACATACCCCAGGTCCCCGCCGCAACTCGAGAAAAACAATGAGACTTCCCCCTAGAGGCGAGATGAGGCCCCATTCCCCTGCAGTGCATGCAGAGCTATTCCGTGATCCCATTCAAACAAGTCAGGAGCTTCGACTTGCTTAATGGATCTCGAAAGAGTCCCCAAGAACACTGTCACAAGTCTAGACGGACCCTGAGGTCACCCCAGCAAAGCAAGGCAGCAGCATGTGCCCCAAATCAACTCGAGATGAGGCCCGATTCCCCTGCGTTGACTCCAGAGCCATTCCCGGTTCCCCATTCAACACGACCAGTGGCTCGACTTCTTTCAGGCAACTCCAGAGATGCCCCGAGAACACTGTCCCAAGTCTAGAGGAACACCAACTTCAGCACAGCAACTCGAGGAATGCTCCGTGTACCCCAAAACGTCTCGATTTGAGAGCTGATTCCCTGGCTTAGGCTCAAGACGTATGCCAACTTTCCAGAAGCACCTCAGGAGGAGGTTTCTCTCAGCAATAGTTATGTGGGAGGTACCCCGAGTTTGCTGCCTAAAGGGGAATATACAGCGAGAAGCCCTGACTTGAAAGCAGGCCGGATTTCCTTGCAGTGGCTTGAATACAGGCTCGTCGTTCATCTCACAACATGAAGGGGTGTCTGAATCCCCTGTGGAGACCTTAGAGAAAGCCCTAGGTCCCTGCCTCATTTTTACGGAATGCCTCACATCCCGCTGACACCTCGAGAGGCACGCGGAGTTCATTGCTTCAAAAGGTGACGATGCCTGACTCCTCTTGAATACTGATAGGAATCCCAGAATCACTGTTGCTACTGGAAAGGGTCCTTGGGTGCCCTGCCTCCCATCGAGAAGCGTCCCTTTTGCCCTGCCAAGCCTCGAAGAGATTCCTAAGGTGTTCCTCGTTACTAGACAAGAGTCCTGAGGTCACTGAAGAAACTCGTGTTTTGAAGGGCCATCCCCGCCGTAAGTCGAGAACATACCCCAGGTCCCCGCCGCAACTCGAGAAAAACCATGAGACTTCCCATTAGAGGAGAGATGAGGCCCCATTCCCCTGCAGTGCATGCAGAGCTATTCCGTGATCCCATTCAAACAAGTCAGGAGCTTCGACTTGCTTAATGGATCTCGAGACAGTCCCCAAGAACACTGTCACAAGTCTAGACGGACCCTGAGGTCACCCCAGCAACGCAAAGCAGCTCCATATGCCCCAAATCAACACGAGATGAGGCCCGATTCCCCTGCATTGACTCCAGAGCCATTCCCCGTTCCCCATTCAACACGACCGGTGGCTCGACTTCCTTCAGGCAACTCCAGAGATGCCCCGAGAACACTGTCCCAAGTCTAGAGGAACACCAACTTCAGCACAGCAACTCGAGGAATGCTCCGTGTACCCCAAATCATCTCGAGATGAGAGCTGATTCCATGGCTTAGGCTCAAAACGTATGCCAACTTTCCAGAAGCACCTCAGGAGGAGTCTTCTCAGCAATAGGTATGTGGGAGGGACCCCGAATTTGCTGCCTCAAGGGGAATATACAGCGAGAAGCCCTAACTTGAAAGGAGGCCGGATTTCCTTGCAGTGGCTTGAATACGGGCTCGTCTTTCATCTCACAACATGAAGGGATGTCTGAATCCCCTGTGGAGACCTTAGAGAAAGCCCTAGGTCCCTGCCTCATTTTGACGGAATGCCTCACATCCCGCTGACACCTCGAGAGGCACGCGGAGTTCATTGCCTCAAAAGGTGACGATGCCTGACTCCTCTTGAATACTGATAGGATTCCCAGAATCACTGTGGCTACTGGAAAGGGTCCTTGGGTGCCCTGCCTCACCTCGAGAAGCGTCCCTTTTGCCTTGCCAAACTCGAAGAGATTCCTGAGGTGTCCCTCGTTACTAGACAGGAGTCCTGATGTCATTGTAGAAACTCGTGTTTTGAAGGGCCATCCCCGCCGTAAGTCGAGAACATACCCCAGGTCCCCGCCGCAACTCGAAAAAAACTATGAGACTTCCCCCTAGAGGCGAGATGAGGCCCCATTCCCCTGCAGTGCATGCAGAGCTATTCCGTGATCCCATTCAAACAAGTCAGGAGCTTCGACTTGCTTAATGGATCTCGAAAGAGTCCCCAAGAACACTGTCACAAGTGTAGACGGACACTGAGGTCACCCCAGCAACGCAAGGCAGCAGCATGAACACCAAATCAACTCGAGATGAGGCCCGATTCCCCTGCATTGACTCCAGAGCCATTCCCCGTTCCCCATTCAACACGACCGGTGGCTCGACTTCCTTCAGGCAACTCCAGAGATGCCCCGAGAACACTGTCCCAATCTAGAGGAACACCTACTTCAGCACAGCAACTCGAGGAATGCTCCGTGTACACCAAATCGTCTCGAGATGAGAGCTGATTCCCTGGCTTAGGCTCAAGACGTATGCCAACTTTCCAGAAGCACCTCAGGAGGAGGCTTCAATCAGCAATAGGTATGTGGGAGAGACCCCGAGTTTGCTGCCTCAAGGGGAATATACAGCGAGAAGCCCTAACTTGAAAGGAGGCCGGATTTTCCTCCAGTGGCTTGAATACAGGCTCGTCTTTCATCTCACAACATGAAGGGATGTCTGAATCCCCTGTGGAGACTTAGAGAAAGCCCTAGGTCCCTGCCTCATTTTGACGGAATGCCTCACATCCTGCTGACATCTCGAGAGGCACGCGGAGTTCATTGCTTCAAAAGGTGACGATGCCTGACTCCTCTTGAATACTGATAGAAATCCCAAAATCCCTGTGGCTACTGGAAAGGGTCCTTGGGTGCCCTGCCTCACCTCGAAAAGCGTCCCTTTTGCCCTGCCAAGCCTCGAAGAGATTCCTGAGGTGTCCCTCGTTACTAGACAGGAGTCCTGAGGTCACTGAAGAAACTCGTGTTTTGAAGGGCCATCCCCGCCGTAAGTCGAGAACATACCCCAGGTCCCCGTCGCAACTCGAGAAAAACCATGAGACTTCCCCCTAGAGGCGAGATGAGGCCCCATTCCCCTGCAGTGCATGCAGAGCTATTCCGTGATTCCATTCAAACAAGTCAGGAGCTTCAACTTGATTAATGGATCTCGAGACAGTCCCCAAGAACACTGTCACCAGTCTAGACGGACCCTGAGGTCACCCCAGCAACGCAAAGCAGCTCCATGTGCCCCAAATCAACTCGAGATGAGGCCCGATTCCCCTGCATTGACTCCAGAGCCATTCCCCGTTCCCCATTCAACACGACCGGCGGCTCGACTTCCTTCAGGCAACTCCAGAGATGCACCGAGAACACTGTCCCAAGTCTAGAGGAACACCAACTTCAACACAGCAACTCGAGGAAAGCTCCGTGTAGCCCAAATCATCTCGAGATGAGAGCTGATTCCCTGGCTTAGGCTCAAGACGTATGCCAACTTTCCAGAAGCACCTCAGGAGGAGGCTTCTCTCAGCAATAGTTATGTGGGAGGGACCCCGAGTTTGCTGCCTCAAGGGGAATATACAGCGAGAAGCCCTAACTTGAAAGGAGGCCGGATTTCCTTGCAGTGGCTTAAATACAGGCTCGTCTTTCATCTCACAACATGAAGGGATGTCTGAATCCCCTGTGGAGATTTTAGAGAAAGCCGTAGGTCCCTGGCTCATTTTGACGGAATGCCTCACATCCCGCTAAAAACTCGAGAGGCACGCAGAGTTCATTGCTTCAAAAGGTGACGATGCCTGACTCCTCTTGAATACTGATAGGAATCCCAGAGTCCCTGTGGCTACTGGAAAGGGTCCTTGGGTGCCCTGCCTCCCATCGAGAAGCGTCCCTTTTGCCCTGCCAAGCCTCGAAGAGATTCCTGAGGTGTCCCTCGTTACTAGACAGGAGTCCTGAGGTCACTGAAGAAACTCGTGTTTTGAAGGGCCATCCCCGCCGTAAGTCGAGAACATACCCCAGGTCCCCGCCGCAACTCGAGAAAAACCATGAGACTTCCCACTAGAGGAGAGATGAGGCCCCATTCCCCTGCAGTGCATGCAGAGCTATTCCGTGATCCCATTCAAACAAGTCAGGAGCTTCGACTTGCTTAATGGATCTCGAGACAGTCCCCAAGAACACTGTCACAAGTCTAGACGGACCCTGAGGTCACCCCAGCAACGCAAAGCAGTTCCATATGCCCCAAATCAACACGAGATGAGGCCCGATTCCCCTGCATTGACTCCAGAGCCATTCCCCGTTCCCCATTCAACACGACCGGTGGCTCGACTTCCTTCAGGCAACTCCAGAGATGCCCCGAGAACCCTGTCCCAAGTCTAGGGGAACACCAACTTCAGCACAGCAACTCGAGGAATGCTCAGTGTACCCCAAATCGTCTCGAGATGAGAGCTAATTCCCTGGCTTAGGCTCAAGACGTATGCCAACTTTCCAGAAGCACCTCAGGGGGAGGCTTCTCTCAGCCATAGGTATGTGGAGGGAACCCGAGTTTGCTGCATCAAGGGGAATATACAGCGAGAAGCCCTAACTTGAAAGGAGGCCGGATTTCCTTGCAGTGGCTTGAATACAGGCTCGTCTTTCATCTCACAACATGAAGGGATGTCTGAATCCACTGTGGAGACCTTAGAGAAAGCCCTAGGTCCCTGCCTCATTTTGACGGAATGCCTCACATCCCGCTGACACCTCGAGAGGCACGCGGAGTTCATTGCTTCAAAATATGATGATGCCTGACTGCTCTAGAATACTGATAGGAATCCCAGAATCCCTGTGGCTACTGGAAAGGGTCCTTGGGTGCCCTGCCTCACCTCGAGAAGCGTCCCTTTTGCCCTGCCAAGCCTCGAAGAGATTCCTGAGGTGTCCCTCATTACTAGACAGGAGTCCTGACGTCACTGAAGAAACTCGTGTTTTGAAGGGCCATCCCCGCCGTAAGTCGAGAACATACCCCAGGTCCGCACCGCAACTGGAGAAAAACCATGAGACTTCCCCCTAGAGGCGAGATGAGGCCCCATTCCCCTGCAGTGCGTGCAGAGCTATTCCGTGATCCCATTCAAACAAGTCAGGAGCTTCGACTTGCTTAATGGATCTCGAGACAGTCCCCAAGAACACTGTCACCAGTCTAGACGGACCCTGAGGTCACCCCAGCAACACAAAGCAGCTCCATGTGCCCCAAATCAACTCGAGATGAGGCCCGATTCCCCTGCATTGACTCCAGAGCCATTCTCCATTCCCCATTAAACACGACCGGTTGCTCGACTTCCTTCAGGCAACTCCAGAGATGCCCCGAGAACCCTGTCCCAAGTCTAGAAGAACACCAACTTCAGCACAGCAACTCGAGGAATGCTCCGTGTACAACAAATCGTCTCGAGATGAGAGCTGATTCCCTGGCTTAGGCTCAAGACCTATGCCAACTTTCCAGAAGCACCTCACGGGGAGGCTTCTCTCAGCCATAGGTATGTGGGAGTGACCCCGAGTTTGCTGCATCAAGGGGAATATACAGCGAGAAGACCTAACTTGAAAGGAGGCCGGATTTCCTTGCAGTGGCTTGAATACAAGCTCGTCTTTCATCTCACAACATGAAGGGATGTCTGAATCCCCTGTGGAGACCTTAGAGAAAGCCCTAGGTCCCTGCCTCATTTTGACGGAATGCCTCACATCCCGCTGACACCTCGAGAGGCACGCGGAGTACATTGCTTCAAAATATGATGATGCCTGACTGCTCTAGAATACTGATAGGAATCCCAGAATCCCTGTGGCTACTGGAAAGGGTCCTTGGGTGCCCTGCCTCACCTCGAGAAGCGTCCCTTTTGCCCTGCCAAGCCTCGAAGAGATTCCTGAGGTGTCCCTCATTACTAGACAGGAGTCCTGACGTCACTGAAGAAACTCGTGTTTTGAAGGGCCATCCCCGCCGTAAGTCGAGAACATACCCCAGGTCCGCACCGCAACTGGAGAAAAACCATGAGACTTCCCCCTAGAGGCGAGATGAGGCCCCATTCCCCTGCAGTGCGTGCAGAGCTATTCCGTGATCCCATTCAAACAAGTCAGGAGCTTCGACTTGCTTAATGGATCTCGAGACAGTCCCCAAGAACACTGTCACCAGTCTAGACGGACCCTGAGGTCACCCCAGCAACACAAAGCAGCTCCATGTGCCCCAAATCAACTCGAGATGAGGCCCGATTCCCCTGCATTGACTCCAGAGCCATTCTCCATTCCCCATTAAACACGACCGGTTGCTCGACTTCCTTCAGGCAACTCCAGAGATGCCCCGAGAACCCTGTCCCAAGTCTAGAAGAACACCAACTTCAGCACAGCAACTCGAGGAATGCTCCGTGTACCCCAAATCGTCTCGAGATGAGAGCTGATTCCCTGGCTTAGGCTCAAGACCTATGCCAACTTTCCAGAAGCACCTCACGGGGAGGCTTCTCTCAGCCATAGGTATGTGGGAGTGACCCCGAGTTTGCTGCATCAAGGGGAATATACAGCGAGAAGACCTAACTTGAAAGGAGGCCGGATTTCCTTGCAGTGGCTTGAATACAGGCTCGTCTTTCATCTCACAACATGAAGGGATGTCTGAATCCCCTGTGGAGACCTTAGAGAAAGCCCTAGGTCCCTGCCTCATTTTGACGGAATGCCTCACATCCCGCTGACACTTCGAGAGTCACCGGAGTTCATTGCTTCAAAAGGTGACGATGCCTGACTCCTCTTGAATACTGATAGGAATCGCAGAATCCCTGTGGCTACTGGAAAGGGTCCTTGGGTGCCCTGCCTCACCTCGAGAAGCGTCCGTTTTGCCCTGCCAAGCCTCGAAGAGATTCCTGAGGTGTCCCTCGTTACTAGACAGGAGTCCTGACGTCACTGAAGAAACTCGTGTTTTGAAGAGCCATCCCCGCCGTAAGTCGAGAACATACCCCAGGTCCCCGCCGCAACTCGAGAAAAACCATGAGACTTCCCCCTAGAGGCGAGATGAGGCCCCATTCCCCTGCAGTGCGTGCAGAGCTATTCCGTGATACCATTCAAACAAGTCAGTAGCTTCGACTTGCTTAATGGATCTCGAGACAGTCCCCAATAACACTTTCACCAGTCTAGAAGGACCCTGAGGTCACCCCAGCAACGCAAAGCAGCTCCATATGCCCCAAATCAACTCGAGATGAGGCCCGATTCCCCTCCATTGACTCCAGAGCCATTCCCCGTTCCCCATTCAACATGATCGGTGGCTCGACTTCCTTCAAGCAACTCCAGAGATGCCCCGAGAACCCTGTCCCAAGTCTATAGTAACACCAACTTCAGCACAGCAACTCGAGGAATGCTCCGTGTACCCCCAAATTGTCTCGAGATGAGAGCTGATTCCCTGGCTTAGGCTCAAGACGTATGCCAACTTTCCAGAAGCAACTCAGGAGGAGGTTTCTCTCAGCAATAGGAATGTGGGAGGGACCCCGAGTTTGCTGCATCAAGGGGAATATACAGCGAGAAGCCCTAACTTGAAAGGAGGCCGGATTTCCTTGCAGTGGCTTTAATACAGGCTCGTCTTTCATCTCACAACATGAGGGGATGTCTGAATCCCCTGTGGAGACCTTAGAGAAAGCCCTAGGTCCCTGCCTCATTTTGACGGAATACCTCACATCCCGGTGACACGTCGAGAGGCACGCGGAGTTCATTGCTTCAAAATCTGACGATGCCTGACTCCTCTTGAATACTGATAGGAATCCCAAAATCCCTGTGGCTATTGGAAAGGGTCCTTGGGTGCCCTGCCTCACCTCGAGAAGCGTCCCTTTTGCCCTGCCAAGCCTGGAAGAGATTCCTGAGGTGTCCCTCGTTACTAGACAGGAGTCCTGACGTCACTGAAGAAACTCGTGTTTTGAAGGGCCATCCCCGCCGTAAGTCGAGAACATACCCCAGGTCCCCGTCGCAACTCGAGAAAAACCATGAGACTTCCCCCTAGAGGCGAGATGAGGCCCCATTCCCCTGCAGTGCATGCAGAGCTATTCCGTGATCCCATTCAAACAAGTCAGGAGCTTCGAATTGCTTAATGGATCTCGAGACAGTCCCCAAGAACACTGTCACCAGTCTAGACGGACCCTGAGGTCACCCCAGCAACGCAAGGCAGCAGCATGTGCACCAAATCAACTCGAGATGAGGCCCGATTCCCCTGCATTGACTCCAGAGCCATTCCCGGTTCCCCATTCAACACGACCAGTGGCTCGACTTCCTTCAGGCAACTCCAGAGATGCCCCGAGAACCCTGTCCCAAGTCTAGAGGAACACCAACTTCAGCACAGCAACTCGAGAAATGCTCCGTGTACCCCAAATCATCTCGAGATTAGAGCTGATTCCCTGGCTTGGGCTCAAGACGTATGCCAACTTTCCAGAAGCACCTCACGGGGAGGCTTCTCTCAGCCATAGGTATGTGGGAGGGACCCCGAGTTTGTTGCATGAAGGGGAATATACAGCGAGAATCCCTAACTTGAAAGGAGGCCGGATTTCCTTGCAGTGGCTTGAATACCGGCTCATCTTTCATCACACAACATGAAGGGATGTCTGAATCCCCTGTGGAGACATTAGAGAAAGCGCTAGGTCCCTGCTTCATTTTGACGGAATGCCTCACATCCCGCTGACACTTCGAGAGGCACCGGAGTTCATTGCTTCAAAAGGTGACGATGCCTGACTCCTCTTGAATACTGATAGGAATCCCAGAATCCCTGTGGCTACTAGAAAGGGTAGTTGGGTGCCCTGCCTAACCTCGAGAAGCATACCTTTTGCCCTGCCAAGCCTCGAAGAGATTCCTGAGGTGTCCCTCTTTACTAGACAGGAGTCCTGACGTCATTGAAGAAACTCGTGTTTTGAAGGGCCATCCCCGCCGTAAGTCGAGAACATACCCCAGGTCCCCGCCGCAACTCGAAAAAAACCATGAGACTTCCCCCTAGAGGAGAGATGAGGCCCCAATCCCCTGCAGTGCATGCAGAGCTATTCCGTGATCCCATTCAAAGAAGTCAGGAGCTTCGACTTACTTAATGGATCTCGAGACAGTCCCCAAGAACACTGTCACAAGTCTAGACGGACCCTGAGGTCACCCCAGCAACGCAAAGCAGATCCATGTGCCCCAAATCACCTGGAGATGAGGCCCGATTCCCCTGCATTGACTCCAGAGCCATTCCCCGTTCCCCATTCAACACGACCGGTGGCTCGACTTCCTTCAGGCAACTCCAGAGATGCCCCGAGAACCCTGTCCCAAGTCTAGAAGAACACCAACTTCAGCACAGCAACTTGAGGAATGCTCCGTGTACCCCAAATCGTCTCGAGATGAGAGCTGATTCCCTGGCTTAGGCTCAAGACGTATGCCAACTTTCCAGAAGCACCTCACGGGGAGGCTTCTCTCAGCCATAGGTATGTGGGAGGGACCCCGAGTTTGCTGCCTCAAGGGGAATATACAGCGAGAAGCCCTAACTTGAAAGGAGGCCGGATTTCCTTGCAGTGGCTTGAATACAGGCTCGTCTTTCATCTCACAACATGAAGGGATGTCTGAATCCCCTGTGGAGACCTTAGAGAAAGCCCTAGGTCCCTGCCTCATTTTGACGGAATGCCTCACATTCCGCTGACACTTCGAGAGGCACCGGAGTTCATTGCTTCAAAAGGTGACGATGCCTGACTCCTCTTGAATACTGATAGGAATCCCAGAATCCCTGTGGCTACTGGAAAGGGTCCTTGGGTGCCCTGCCTCACCTCGAGAAGCGTCCGTTTTGCCCTGCCAAGCCTGGAAGAGATTCCTGAGGTGTCCCTCGTTACTAGAGAGGAGTCCTGACGTCATTGAAAAAACTCGTGTTTTGAAGGGCCATCCCGCCGTAAGTCGAGAACATACCCCAGGTCCCCGCCGCAACTCGAAAAAAACGATGAGACTTCCCCCTAGAGGCGAGATGAGGCCCCATTCCCCTGCAGTGCATGCAGAGCTATTCCGTGATCCCATTCAAAGAAGTCAGGAGCTTCGACTTGCTTAATGGATCTCGAGACAGTCCCCAAGAACACTGTCACAAGTCTAGACGGACCCTGAGGTCACCCAGCAACGCAAAGCAGCTCCATGTGCCCCAAATCACCTCGAGATGAGGCCCGATTCCCCTGCATTGACTCCAGAGCAATTCCCCTTTCCCCATTCAACACGACCGGTGGCTCGACTTCCTTCAGGCAACTCCAGAGATTTCCCGAGAACACTGTCCCAAGTCTAGAGGAACACCAACTTCAGCACAGCAACTCGAGGAATGCTCCGTGTACCCCAAATCGTCTCGAGATGAGAGCTGATTCCCTGGCTTAGGCTCTAGACGTATGCCAGCTTTCCAGAAGCACCTCAGGAGGAGGCATCTCTCAGCAATAGGTATGTGGGAGGGACCCCGAGTTCGCTGCCTCAAGGGGAATATACAGCGAGAAGCCCTAACTTGAAAGGAGGCCGGATTTCCTGCAGTGGCTTGAATACAGGCTCGTCTTTCATCTCACAATATGAAGGGATGTCTGAATCCCCTGTGGAGACCTTAGAGAAAGCCCTAGGTCCCTGCCTCATTTTGACGGAATGCCTCACATCCCGCTGACACCTCGAGAGGCACGCGGAGTTCATTGCTTCAAAAGGTGACGATGCCTGACTCCTCTAGAATACTGATAGGAATCCCAGAATCCCTGTGGCTACTGGAAAGGGTCCTTGGGTGCCCTGCCTCACCTCGAGAAGCGTCCCTTTTGCCCTGCCAAGCCTCGAAGAGATTCCTGAGGTGTCCCTCGTTACTAGACAGGAGTCCTGACGTCACTGAACAAACTCGGGTTTTGAAGGGCCATCCCCGCCGTAAGTCGAGAACATAACCCCGGTCCCTGCCGCAACTCGAGAAAAACCATGAGACTTCCCCCTAGAGGCGAGATGAGGCCCCATTCCCCTGCAGTGCATGCAGAGCTATTCCGTGATTCCATTCAAACAAGTCAGGAGCTTCGACTTGCTTAATCGATCTCGAGACAGTCCCCAAGAACACTGTCACCAGTCTAGACGGACCCAGAGGTCACCCCAGCAACACAAAGCAGCTCCATGTGCCCCAAATCAACTCGAGATGAGGCCCGATTCCCCTGCATTGACTCCAGAGCCATTCCCCGTTCCCCATTCAACACGACCGGTGGCTCGACTTCCTTCAGGCAACTCCAGAGATGCCCCGAGAACCCTGTCCCAAGTCTAGAGGAATATCAACTTCAGCACAGCAACTCGAGAAATGCTCCGTGTACCCCAAATCGTCTCGAGATGAGAGCTGATTCCCTGGCTTAGGCTCAAGACGTATGCCAACTTTCCAGAAGCACCTCAGGGGGAGGCTTCTCTCAGCCATAGGTATGTGGGAGGGACCCTGAGTTTGCTGCCTCAAGGGGAATATACAGCGAGAAGCCCTAACAAGAAAGGAGGCCGGATTTCCTTGCAGTGGATTGAATACAGGCTCGTCTTTCATCTCACAACATGAAGGGATGTCTGAATCCCCTGTGTAGACCTTAGAGAAAGCCCTAGGTCCCTGCCTCATTTTGACGGAATGCCTCACATCGCGCTGACACCTCGAGAGGCACGCGGAGTTCATTGCTTCAAAAGTGACGATGCCTGACTCCTCTTGAATACTGATAGGAATCCCAGAATCCCTGTGGCTACTGGAAAGGGTCCTTGGGTGCCCTGCCTCACCTCGAGAAGCGTCCCTTTTGCCCTGCCAAGCCTCGAAGAGATTCCTGAGGTGTCCCTCGTTACTAGACAGGAGTCCTGACGTCCCTGAAGAAACTCGTGTTTTGAAGGACCATCCCCGCCGTAAGTCGAGAACATACCCCAGGACCCGCCGCAACTCGAGAAAAACCATGAGACTTCCCACTAGAGGCGAGATGAGTCCTCATTCCCCTGCAGTGCGTGCAGAGCTATTCCGTGATCCCATTCAAAGAAGTCAGGAGCTTCGACTTGCTTAATCGATCTCGAGACAGTCCCCAAGAACACTTTCACCAGTCTAGACGGACCCTGACGTCACCCCGGCAACGCAAAGCAGCTCCATGTACCCCAAATCAACTCGAGATGAGGCCCGATTCCCCTGCATTGACTCCAGAGCCATTCCCCGTTCCCCATTCAACACGACCGGTGGCTCGACTTCCTTCAGGCAACTCCAGAGATGCCCCGAGAACACTGTCCCAAGTCTAGAGGAACACCAACTTCAGCACAGCAACTCGAGGAATGCTCCGTGTACCCCAAATCATTTCGAGATGAGAGCTGATTCCCTGGCTTAGGCTCAAGACGTATGCCAACTTTCCAGAAGGACCTCAGGAGGAGGCTTCTCTCAGCAATAGGTATGTGGGAGGGACCCCGAGTTTGCTGCCTGAAGGGGAATATACAGCGAGAAGCCCTAACTTGAAAGGAGGCCGGATTTCCTTGCAGTGGCTTGAATACAGGCTTGTCTTTCATCTCATAACATGAAGGAATGTCTGAATCCCCTATGGAGACCGTAGAGAAAGCCCTAGATCCCTGCCTCATTTTGACGGAATGCCTCACATCCCGCTGACACCTCGTCAGGCACGCGGAGTTCATTGCTTCAAAAGCTGACGATGCCTGACTCCTCTTGAATACTGATAGGAATCCGAGAATCCCTGTGGCTACTGGAAAGGGTCCTTGGGTACCCTGCCTCACCTCGAGAAGCGTCCCTTTTGCCCTGCCAATCTCGAAGAGATTCCTGAGGTGTCCCTCGTTACTAGACAGGAGTCCTGATGTCACTGAAGAAACTCCTGTTTTGAAGGGCCATCCCCGCCGTAAGTCGAGAACATACCCCAGGTCCCCGCCGCAACTCGAGAAAAAACATGAGACTTCCCCCTAGAGGCGAGATGAAGCCCCATTCCCCTGCAGTGCATGCCGTGCTATTCCGTGATCCCATTCAAACAAGTCAGGAGCTTCGACTTGCTTAATGGATCTCGAGAGAGTCCCCAAGAACACTGTCACCAGTCTAGACGGTCGCTGATGTCACCCCAGCAAAGCAAGGCAGCTGCATGGGCCCTAAATCAACTCGAGATGAGGCCCGATTCCCCTGCATTGACTGCAGAGCCTTTCCCCGTTCCGCATTCAACACGACCGGTGGCTCGACTTCCATCAGGCAACTCCAGAGATGCCCCGAGAACCCTGTCCCAAGTCTAGAGGAACACCAACTTCAGCACAGCAACCCGAGGAATGCTCTGTGTACCCCCAAATCGTCTCGAGATGAGAGCTGATTCCCTGGCTTAGGCCCAAGACGTATGCCAGCTTTCCAGAAGCACCTCAGGAGGAGGCTTCTCTCAGCAATAGGTATGTGGGAGGGACCCCAAGTTTGCTGCCTCAAGGGGGATATACAGCAAGAAGCCCTAACTTGAAAGGAGGCCGGATTTCTGTGCAGTGGCTTGAATACAGGCTCGTCTTTCATCTCACAACATGAAGGGATGTCTGAATCCCCTGTGGAGACCTTAGAGAAAGCCCTAGGTCCCTGCCTCATTTTGACGGAATGCCTCACATCCCGCTGACACCTGGAGAAGCACGCGGAGTTCATTGCTTCAAAAGGTGACGATGCCTGACTCCTCTTGAATACTGATAGGAATCCCAAAATCCCTGTGGCTACTGGAAAGGGTCCTTGGGTGCCCTGCCTCACCTCGAGAAGCGTCCCTTTTGCCCTGCCAAGCCTCGAAGAGATTCCTGAGGTGTCCCTCGTTACTAGACAGGAGTCCTGACGTCACTGAAGAAACTCGTGTTTTGAAGGGCCATCCCCGCCTTAAGTCGAGAACGTACCCCAGGTCCCCGCCGCAACTCGAAAAAAACCATGAGACTTCCCCCTAGAGGCGAGATGAGGCCCCATTCCCCTGCAGTCCATGCAGAGCTATTCCGTAATCCCATTCAAAGAAGTCAGGAGCTTCGACTTGCTTAATGGAATTCGAGACAGTTCCCAAGAACACTGTCACCAGTCTAGACGGACCCTGAGGCCACCGCAGCAACGCAAAGCAGCTCCATGTGCCCCAAATCACCTCGAGATGAGGCCCGATTCCCCTGCATTGACTCCAGAGCCATTCCCGGTTCCCCATTCAACACGACCGGTGGCTCGACTTCCTTCAGGCAACTCCAGAGATGCCCCGAGAACACTGTCCCAAGTCCAAAGGAACACCAACTTCAGCACAGCAACTCGAGGAATGCTCTGTGTACCACAAATCGTCTCGAGATGAGAGCTGATTCCCTGGCTTAAGCTCAAGACGTACGCCAACTTTCCAGAAGCACCTCAGGGGGAGGCTTCTCTCAGCCATAAGTATGTGGGAGGGACCCCGAGTTTGCTGCCTGAAGGGGAATATACAGCCAGAAGCCCTAACTTGAAAGGAGCCCGGATTTCCTTGCAGTGGCTTGGATACAGGCTCGTCTTTCATCTCACAACATGAAGGGATGTCTGAATCCCCTGTGGAGACCTTAAAGAAAGCCCTAGGCCCCTGCCTCATTTTGACGGAATGCCTCACATCGCGCTGACACCTCGAGAGGCACGCGGAGTTCATTGCTTCAAAAGGTGACGATGCCTGACTCCTCTTGAATACTGATAGGAATCCCAGAATCCCTGTGGCTACTGGAAAGGGTCCTTGGGTGCCCTGCCTCACCTCGAGAAGCGTCCCTTTTGCCCTGCCAAGCCTCGAAGAGATTCCTGAGGTGTCCCTCGTTACTAGACAGGAGTCCTGACATCATTGAAGAAACTCGTGTTTTGAAGGGCCATCCCCGCCTTAAGTCGAGAACGTACCCCAGGTCCCCGCCGCAACTCGAAAAAAACCATGAGACTTCCCCCTAGAGGCGAGATGAGGCCCCATTCCCCTGCAGTCCATGCAGAGCTATTCCGTAATCCCATTCAAAGAAGTCAGGAGCTTCGACTTGCTTAATGGAATTCGAGACAGTTCCCAAGAACACTGTCACCAGTCTAGACGGACCCTGAGGTCACCCCAGCAACGCAGAGCAGCTCCATGTGCCCCAAATCACCTCGAGATGAGGCCCGATTCCCCTGCATTGACTCCAGAGCCATTCCCCGTTCCCCATTCAACACCACTGGTGGCTCGACTTCCTTCAGGCAACTCCAGAGATGCCCCGAGAACCCTGTCCCAAGTCTAGAGGAACACCAACTTCAGCACAGCAACTCGAGGAATGCTCCGTGTACCCCAAATCGTCTCGAGATGAGAGCTGATTCCCTGGCTTAGGCTCAAGACGTATGCCAACTTTCCAGAAGCACCTCACGGGGAGGCTTCTCTCAGCCATAGGTATGTGGGAGGGACCCCGAGTTTGCTGCCTCAAGGGGAATATACAGCGAGAAGGCCTAACTTCAAAGGAGGCCGGATTTCCTTGCAGTGGCTTGAATACAGCCGCGTCTTTCATCTCAGAACATGAAGGGATGTCTGAATCCCCTGTGGAGACCTTAGAGAAAGCCCTAGGTCCCTGCCTCATTTTGACGGAATGCCTCACATCCCGCTGACACTTCGAGAGTCACCGGAGTTCATTGCTTCAAAAGGTGACGATGCCTGGCTCCTCTTGAATACTGATAGGAATCCCAGAATCCTGTGGCTACTGGAAAGGGTCCTTGGGTGCCCTGCCTCACCTCGAGAAGCGTCCCTTTTGCCCTGCCAAGCCTCGAAGAGATTCCTGAGGTGTCCCTCGTTACTAGACAGGAGTCCTGACATCATTGAAGAAACTCGTGTTTTGAAGGGCCATCCCCGCCGTAAGTCGAGAACATACCCCAGGTCCCCGCCGCAACTCGAAAAAAACCATGAGACTTCCCCCTAGAGGCGAGATGAGGCCCCATTCCCCTGCAGTGCATGCAGAACTATTCCGTGATTCGATTCAAAGAAGTCAGGAGCTTCGACTTGCTTAATGGATCTCGAGACAGTCCCCAAGAACACTGTCACAAGTCTAGACGGACCCTGAGGTCACCCCAGCAACGCAAAGCAGCTCCATGTGCCCCAAATCACCTCGAGATGAGGCCCGATTCCCCTGCATTGACTCCAGAGCCATTCCCCGTTCCCCATTCAACACGACCGGTGGCTCGACTTCCTTCAGGCAACTCCAGAGATGCCCCGAGAACCCTGTCCCAAGTCTAGAAGAACACCAACTTCAGCACAGCAACTCGAGGAATGCTCCGTGTACCCCAAATCGTCTCGAGATGAGAGCTGATTCCCTGGTTAGGCTCAAGACGTATGCCAACTTTCCAGAAGCACCTCACGGGGAGGCTTCTCTCAGCCATAGGTATGTGGGAGGGACCCCGAGTTTCCTGCATGAAGGGGAATATACAGCGAGAAGCGCTAACTTGAAAGGAGGCCGGATTTCCTTGCAGTGGCTTGAATACAGGCTCGTCTTTCATCTCACAACATGAAGGAATGTCTGAATCCACTGTGGAGACCTTAGAGAAAGCCCTAGGTCCCTGCCTCATTTTGACGGAATGCCTCACATCCCGCTGACACCTCGAGAGGCACGCGGAGTTCATTGCTTCAAAAGGTGACGATGCCTGACTCCTCTTGAATACTGATAGGAATCCCAGAATCCCAGTGGCTACTGGAAAGGGTCCTTGGGTGCCCTGCCTCACCTCGAGAAGCGTCCCTTTTGCCCTGCCAAGCCTCGAAGAGATTCCTGAGGTGTCCCACATTACTAGACAGGAGTCCTGACGTCACTGAAGAAACTCGTGTTTTGAAGGGCCATCCCCGCCGTAAGTCGAGAACATACCCCAGGTCCCCGCCGCAACTCGAGAAAAACCATGAGACTTCCCCCTAGAGGCGAGATGAGGCCCCATTCCCCTGCAGTGCGTGCAGAGCTATTCCGTGATCCCATTCAAACTAGTCAGGAACTTCGACTTGCTTAATGGATCTCGAGACAGTCCCCAAGAACACTGTCACCAGTCTAGACGGACCCTGAGGTCACCCCAGCAACGCAAAGCAGCTCCATGTGCCCCAAATCAACTCGAGATGAGGCCCGATTCCCCTGCATTGACTCCAGAGCCATTCCCCGTTCCCCATTCAACACGACCGGTGGCTCGACTTCCTTCAGGTAACTCCGCCACAAGAACACTGTCCCAAGTCTAGAGGAACACCAACTTCAGCACAGCAACTCGAGGAATGCTCCGTGTACCCCAAATCGTCTCGAGATTAGAGCTGATTCCCTGGCTTAGGCTCAAGACATATGCCAACTTTCCAGAAGCACCTCAGGAGGAGGCTTCTCTCAGCAATAGGTATTTGGGAGGGACCCCGAGTTTGCTGCATGAAGGGGAATATACAGCGAGAAGCCCTAACTTGAAAGGAGGCCGGATTTCCTTGCAGGGGCTTGAATACAGGCTCGTCTTTCATCTCACAACATGAAGGGATGTCGGAATCCACTGTGGAGACCTTAGAGAAAGCCCAAGGTCCCTGCCTCATTTTGACGGAATGCCTCACATCCCGTTGACACCTCGAGAGGCACGCAGAGTTCATTGCTTCAAAAGGTGACGATGGCTGACTATTCTTGAATACTGATAGGAATCCCAAAATCCCCGTGGCTACTGGAAAGGGTCCTTGGGTGCCCTGCCTCACCTCGAGAAGCGTCCCTTTTACCCTGCCAAGCCTCGAAGAGATTCCTGAGGTGTCCCTCGTTACTAGACAGGAGTCCTGACGTCACTGAAGAAACTCGTGTTTTGAAGGGCCATCCCCGCCGTAAGTCGAGAACATACCCCAAGTCCCCGTCGCAACTCGAGAAAAACCATGAGACTTCCCCCTAGAGGCGAGATGAGGCCCCATTCCCCTGCAGTGCATGCAGAGCTATTCCGTGATCCCATTCAAAGAAGTCAGGAGCTTCGAATTGCTTAATGGATCTCGAGACAGTCCCCAAGAAGACTGTCACCGGTCTATACGGACCCTGAGGTCACCCCAGCAACGCAAAGCATCTCCATGTGCCCCAAATCAACTCGAGATGAGGCCCGATTCCCCTGCATTGACTCCAGAGCCATTCCCCGTTCCCCATTCAACACGACCGGTGGCTCGACTTCCTTCAGGCAACTCCAGAGATGCCCGGAGAACACTGTCCCAAGTCTAGAGGAACACCAACTTCAGCACAGCAACTCGAGGAATGCTCCGTGTACCCCAAATCGTCTCGAGATGAGAGCTGATTCAATGGCTTAGGCTCAAGACGTATGCCAACTTTCCAGAAGCACCTCAGGAGGAGGCTTCTCTCAGCAATAGGTATGTGGGAGGGACCCCGAGTTTGCTGCCTCAAGGGGAATATACAGCGAGAAGCCCTAACTTGAAAGGAGGCCGGATTTCCTTGCAGTGGCTTGAATACAGGCTCGTGTTTCATCTCAAAACATGAAGGGATGACTGAATGCCCTTTGGAGACCTTAGAGAAAGCCCTAGGTCCATGCCTCATTTTGACGGAATGCCTCACATCCCGCTGACACCTCGAGAGGCACGCAGAGTACATTGCTTCAAAAGGTGACGATGCCTGACTCCTCTTGAATACTGATAGGAATCCCAAAATCCCTGTGGCTACTGGAAAGGGTCCTTGGGTGCCCTGCCTCACCTCGAGAAGCGTCCCTTTTGCCCTGCCAAGCCTCGAAGAGATTCCTGAGGTGTCCCACATTACTAGACAGGAGTCCTGACGTCACTGAAGAAACTCGTGTTTTGAAGGGCCATCCCCGCCGTAAGTCGAGAACATACCCCAGGTCCCCGCCGCAACTCGAGAAAAACCATGAGACTTCCCCCTAGAGGCGAGATGAGGCCACATTCCCCTGCAGTGCGTGCAGAGCTATTCCGTGATCCCATTCAAACTAGTCAGGAGATTCGACTTGCTTAATGGATCTCGAGACAGTCCCCAAGAACACAGTCACCAGTCTAGACGGACCCTGAGGTCACCCAAGCAATGCAAAGCAGCTCCATGTGCCCCAAATCAATTCGAGATGAGGCCCGATTACCCTGCATTGACTCCAGAGCCATTCCCCATTCCCCATTCAACACGACCGGTGGCTCGACTTCCTTCAAGCAACTCCAGAGATGCCCCGAGAACCCTGTCCCAAGTCTAGAGGAACACCAACTTCAGCACAGCAACTCGAGGAATGCTCCGTGTACCCCAAATCGTCTCGAGATGAGAGCTGATTCCCTGGCTTAGGCTCAATACGTATGCCAACTTTCCAGAAGGACCTCAGGAGGAGGCTTCTCTCAGCAATAGTTATGTGGGACGGACCCCGAGTTTGCTGCCTCAAGGGGAATATAGAGCGAGAAGCCCTAACTTGAAAGGAGGCCGGATTTCCTTGCAGTGGCTTGAATACAGGCACGTCTTTCATCTCACAACAAGAAGGGATGTCTGAATCCCCTGTGGAGACCTTAAAGAAAGGCCTAGGCCCCTGCCTCATTTTGACGGAATGCCTCACATCGCGCTGACACCTCGAGAGGCACGCGGAGTTCATTGCTTCAAAAGGTGACGATGCCTTACTCCACTTGAATACTGATAGGAATCCCAGAATCCCTTTGGCTACTGGAAAGGGTCCTTGGGTGCCCTGCCTCACCTCGAGAAGCGTCCCTTTTACCCTGCCAAGCCTCGAAGAGATTCCTGAGGTGTCCCTCGTTACTAGACAGGAGTCCTGACGTCACTGAAGAAACTCGTGTTTTGAAGGGCCATCCCCGCCGTAAGTCGAGAACATACCCCAAGTCCCCGTCGCAACTCGAGAAAAACCATGAGACTTCCCCCTAGAGGCGAGGTGAGGCCCCATTCCCCTGCAGTGCATGCAGAGCTATTCCGTGATCCCATTCAAACAAGTCAGGAGCTTCGACTTGCTTAATCGATCTCGAGACAGTCCCCAAGAGCACTGTCACCAGTCTAGACGGACCCTGAGGTCACCCCAGCAACACAAAGCAGCTACATGTGCCCCAAATCAACTCGAGATGAGGCCCGATTCCCCTGCATTGACTCCAGAGCCATTCCCCGTTCCCCATTCAACACGACCGGTGGCTCGACTTCCTTCAGGTAACTCCGCCCCAAGAACACTGTCCCAAGTCTAGAGGAACACCAAATTCAGCACAGCAACTCGAGGAATGCTCCGTGTACCCCAAATCGTCTCGAGATGAGAGCTGATTCCCTGGCTTAGGCTCAAGACGTATGCCAACTTTCCAGAAGCACCTCAGGAGGAGGCTTCTCTCAGCAATACGTATGTGGGAGGGACCCCGAGTTTGCTGCCTCAAGGGGAATATACAGCGAGAAGCCCTAACTTGAAAGGAGGCCGGATTTCCTTGCAGTGGCTTGAATATAGGCTCTTCTTTGATCCAAAACATGAAGGGATGACTGAATGCCCTGTGGAGACCTTAGAGAAAGCCCTAGGTCCATGCCTCATTTTGATGGAATGCCTCACATCCCGCTGACACCTCGAGAGGCACGCAGAGTTCATTGCTTCAAAAGGTGACGATGCCTGACTCCTCTTGAATACTGATAGGAATCCCAAAATCCCTGTGGCTACTGGAAAGGGTCCTTGGGTGCCCTGCCTCACCTCGAGAAGCGTCCATTTTGCCCTGCCAAGCCTCGAAGAGATTCCTGAAGTGTCCCCCGTTACTAGACAGGAGTCCTGACGTCACTGAAGAAACTCGTGTTTTGAAGGGCCATCCCCGCCTTAAGTCGAGAACATACCCCAGGTCCCCGCCACAACTCGAGAAAAACCATGAGACTACCCCCTAGAGGCGAGATGAGGCCCCATTCCCCTGCAGTGCATGCAGAGCTATTCCGTGATCCCATTCAAACAAGTCAGGAGCTTCGTATTTCTTAATGGATCTCGAGACAGTCCCCAAGAACACTGTCACCAGTCTATACGGACCCTGAGGTCACCCAGCAACGCAAAGCAGCTCCATGTGCCCCAAATCAACTCGAGATGAGGCCCGATTCCCCTGCATTGACTCCAGAGCCATTCCCCGTTCCCCATTCTACACGACCGGTGGCTCGACTTCCTTCAGGCAACTCCAGAGATGCCCCGAGAACACTGTCCCAAGTCTAGAGGAATACCAACTTCAGCAAAGCAACTCGAGGAATGCTCCGTGTCCCCAAATCGTCTCGAGATGAGAGCTGATTCCCTGGCTTAGGCTCAAGACGTATGCCAACTTTCCAGAAGCACCTCAGGAGGAGGCTTCTCTCAGCAATAGGTATATGGGAGGGACCCCGAGTTTGCTGCCTCAAGGGGAATATACAGCGAGAAGCCCTAAATTGAAAGGAGGCCGGATTTCCTTGCAGTGGCTTGAATACAGGCTCGTGTTTCATCTCACAACATGAAGGCATGTCTGAATCCCCTGTGGAGACCTTAGAGAAAGCCCTAGGTCCCTGCATCATTTTGACGGAATGCCTCACATCCCGCTGACACCTCGAGAGGCACGCAGAGTTCATTGCTTCAAAAGGTGACGATGCCTGACTCCTCTTGAATACTGATAGGAATCCCAAAATCCCTGTGGCTACAGGAAAGGGTCCTTGGGTGCCCTGCTTCACCTCGAGAAGTGTCCCTTTTGCCCTGCAAGCCTCGAAGAGATTCCTGAGGTGTCCCTCGTTAATAGACAGGAGTCCTGACGTCACTGAAGAAACTCGTGTTTTGAAGGGCCATCCCGCCGTAAGTCGAGAACATACCCCAGGTCCCCGCCGCAACTCGAGAAAAACCATGAGACTTCCCCCTAGAGGCGAGATGAGGCCCCATTCCCCTGCAGTGCATGCAGAGCTATTCCGTGATCCCATTCAAACAAGTCAGGAGCTTCGACTTGCTTAATGGATCTCGAGACAGTCCCCAAGAACACTGTCACCAGTCTAGACGGACGCTGCGGTCACCCCAGCAACGAAAAGCAGCTCCATGTGCCCCAAATCAACTCGAGATGAGGCCCGATTCTCCTGCATTGACTCCAGAGCCATTCCCCGTTCCCCATTCAACAGGACCGCTGGCTCGACTTCCTTCAGGCAACTCCAGAGATGCCCCGAGAACACTGTCCCAAGTCTAGAGGAACACCAACTTCAGCACAGCAACTCGAGGAATGCTCCGTGTACCCGAAATCGTCTCGAGATGAGAGCTGATTCCCTGGCTTAGGCTCAAGACGTATGCCAACTTTCCAGAAGCACCTCAGGAGGAGGCTTGTCTCAGCAATAGGTATGTGGGAGGGACCCCGAGTTTGCTGCCTCAAGGGGAATATACAGCGAGAAGCCCTAACTTGAAAGGAGGCCTTATTTCCTTGCAGTGGCTTGAATACAGGCTCTTCTTTGATCTCAAAACATGGAGGGATGACTGAATGCCTTGTGGAGACCTTAGAGAAAGCCCTAGGTCCATGCCTCATTTTGACGGAATGCCTCACATCCCGCTGACACCTCGAGAGGCACGCAGAGTTCATTGCTTCAAAAGGTGACGATGCCTGACTCCTCTTGAATACTGATAGGAATCCCAAAATCCCTGTGGCTACTGGAAAGGGTCCTTGGGTGCCCTGCCTCACCTCGAGAAGCGTCCCTTTTGCCCTGCCAAGCCTCGAAGAGATTCCTGAAGTGTCCCTCGTTACTAGACAGGAGTCCTGACGTCACTGAAGAAACTCGTGTTTTGAAGGGCCATCCCCGCCGTAAGTCGAGAACATACCCCAGGTCCCCGCCGCAACTCGAGAAAAACCATGAGACTTCCCCCTAGAGGCGAGATGAGGCCTCATTCCCCTGCAGTGCATGTAGAGTTATTCCGTGATCCCATTCAAACAAGTCAGGAGCTTCGACTTGCTTAATGGATCTCGAGACAGTCCCCAAGAACACTGTCACCAGTCTAGACGGACGCTGAGGTCACCCCAGCAACGCAAAGCAGTTCCATGTGCCCCAAATCAACTCGAGATGAGGCCCGATTCCCCTGCATTGACTCCAGAGCCATTCCCCGTTCCCCATTCAACATGACCGGTGGCTCGACTTCCTTCAGGCAACTCCAGAGATGCCCGGAGAACACTCTCCCAAGTCTAGAGGAACACCAACTTCAGCACAGCAACTCGAGGAATGCTCCGTGTACCACAAATCGTCTCGAGATGAGAGCTGATTCCCTGGCTTAGGCTCAAGACGTATGCCAACTTTCCAGAAGCACCTCAGGAGGAGGCTTCTCTCAGCAATAGGTATATGGGAGGGACCCCGAGTTTGCTGCCTCAAGGGGAATATACAGCGAGAAGCCCTAACTTGAAAGGAGGCCGGATTTCCTTGCAGTGGCTTGAATACAGGCTATTCTTTGATCTCAAAACATGAAGGGATGACTGAATGCCCTGTGGAGACCTTAGAGAAAGCCCTAGGACCCTGCCTCATTTTGACGGAATGCCTCACATCCCGCTGACACCTCGAGAGGCACGCAGAGTTCATTGCTTCAAAAGGTGACGATGCCTGACTCCTCTTGAATACTGATAGGAATCCCAAAATCCCTGTGGCTACTGGAAAGGGTCCTTGGGTGCCCTGCCTCACCTCGAGAAGCGTCCCTTTTACCCTGCCAAGCCTCGAAGAGATTCCTGAGGTGTCCCTCGTTACTAGACAGGAGTCCTGACGTCACTGAAGAAACTCGTGTTTTGAAGGGCCATCCCCGCCGTAAGTCGAGAACATACCCCAAGGCCCCGTCGCAACTCGAGAAAAACCATGAGACTTCCCCCTAGAGGCGAGATGAGGCCCCATTCCCCTGCAGTGCATGCAGAGCTATTATGTGATTCCATTCAAAGAAGTCAGGAGCTTCGACTTGCTTAATGGATCTCGAGACAGTCCCCAAGAACACTGTCACAAGTCTAGACGGACCCTGAGGTCACCCCAGCAACGCAGAGCAGCTCCATGTGCCCCAAATCACCTCGAGATGAGGCCCGATTCCCCTGCATTGACTCCAGAGCCATTCCCCGTTCCCCATTCAACACCACTGGTGGCTCGACTTCCTTCAGGCAACTCCAGAGATGCCCCGAGAACCCTGTCCCAAGTCTAGAGGAACACCAACTTCAGCACAGCAACTCGAGGAATGCTCCGTGTACCCCAAATCGTCTCGAGATGAGAGCTGATTCCCTGGCTTAGGCTCAAGACGTATGCCAACTTTCCAGAAGCACCTCACGGGGAGGCTTCTCTCAGCCATAGGTATGTGGGAGGGACCCCGAGTTTGCTGCCTCAAGGGGAATATACAGCGAGAAGGCCTAACTTCAAAGGAGGCCGGATTTCCTTGCAGTGGCTTGAATACAGCCGCGTCTTTCATCTCAGAACATGAAGGGATGTCTGAATCCCCTGTGGAGACCTTAGAGAAAGCCCTAGGTCCCTGCCTCATTTTGACGGAATGCCTCACATCCCGCTGACACTTCGAGAGTCACCGGAGTTCATTGCTTCAAAAGGTGACGATGCCTGGCTCCTCTTGAATACTGATAGGAATCCCAGAATCCTGTGGCTACTGGAAAGGGTCCTTGGGTGCCCTGCCTCACCTCGAGAAGCGTCCCTTTTGCCCTGCCAAGCCTCGAAGAGATTCCTGAGGTGTCCCTCGTTACTAGACAGGAGTCCTGACATCATTGAAGAAACTCGTGTTTTGAAGGGCCATCCCCGCCGTAAGTCGAGAACATACCCCAGGTCCCCGCCGCAACTCGAAAAAAACCATGAGACTTCCCCCTAGAGGCGAGATGAGGCCCCATTCCCCTGCAGTGCGTGCAGAGCTATTCCGTGATCCCATTCAAACTAGTCAGGAACTTCGACTTGCTTAATGGATCTCGAGACAGTCCCCAAGAACACTGTCACCAGTCTAGACGGACCCTGAGGTCACCCCAGCAACGCAAAGCAGCTCCATGTGCCCCAAATCAACTCGAGATGAGGCCCGATTCCCCTGCATTGACTCCAGAGCCATTCCCCGTTCCCCATTCAACACGACCGGTGGCTCGACTTCCTTCAGGTAACTCCGCCACAAGAACACTGTCCCAAGTCTAGAGGAACACCAACTTCAGCACAGCAACTCGAGGAATGCTCCGTGTACCCCAAATCGTCTCGAGATTAGAGCTGATTCCCTGGCTTAGGCTCAAGACATATGCCAACTTTCCAGAAGCACCTCAGGAGGAGGCTTCTCTCAGCAATAGGTATTTGGGAGGGACCCCGAGTTTGCTGCATGAAGGGGAATATACAGCGAGAAGCCCTAACTTGAAAGGAGGCCGGATTTCCTTGCAGGGGCTTGAATACAGGCTCGTCTTTCATCTCACAACATGAAGGGATGTCGGAATCCACTGTGGAGACCTTAGAGAAAGCCCAAGGTCCCTGCCTCATTTTGACGGAATGCCTCACATCCCGTTGACACCTCGAGAGGCACGCAGAGTTCATTGCTTCAAAAGGTGACGATGGCTGACTATTCTTGAATACTGATAGGAATCCCAAAATCCCCGTGGCTACTGGAAAGGGTCCTTGGGTGCCCTGCCTCACCTCGAGAAGCGTCCCTTTTACCCTGCCAAGCCTCGAAGAGATTCCTGAGGTGTCCCTCGTTACTAGACAGGAGTCCTGACGTCACTGAAGAAACTCGTGTTTTGAAGGGCCATCCCCGCCGTAAGTCGAGAACATACCCCAAGTCCCCGTCGCAACTCGAGAAAAACCATGAGACTTCCCCCTAGAGGCGAGATGAGGCCCCATTCCCCTGCAGTGCATGCAGAGCTATTCCGTGATCCCATTCAAAGAAGTCAGGAGCTTCGAATTGCTTAATGGATCTCGAGACAGTCCCCAAGAAGACTGTCACCGGTCTATACGGACCCTGAGGTCACCCCAGCAACGCAAAGCATCTCCATGTGCCCCAAATCAACTCGAGATGAGGCCCGATTCCCCTGCATTGACTCCAGAGCCATTCCCCGTTCCCCATTCAACACGACCGGTGGCTCGACTTCCTTCAGGCAACTCCAGAGATGCCCGGAGAACACTGTCCCAAGTCTAGAGGAACACCAACTTCAGCACAGCAACTCGAGGAATGCTCCGTGTACCCCAAATCGTCTCGAGATGAGAGCTGATTCAATGGCTTAGGCTCAAGACGTATGCCAACTTTCCAGAAGCACCTCAGGAGGAGGCTTCTCTCAGCAATAGGTATGTGGGAGGGACCCCGAGTTTGCTGCCTCAAGGGGAATATACAGCGAGAAGCCCTAACTTGAAAGGAGGCCGGATTTCCTTGCAGTGGCTTGAATACAGGCTCGTGTTTCATCTCAAAACATGAAGGGATGACTGAATGCCCTTTGGAGACCTTAGAGAAAGCCCTAGGTCCATGCCTCATTTTGACGGAATGCCTCACATCCCGCTGACACCTCGAGAGGCACGCAGAGTACATTGCTTCAAAAGGTGACGATGCCTGACTCCTCTTGAATACTGATAGGAATCCCAAAATCCCTGTGGCTACTGGAAAGGGTCCTTGGGTGCCCTGCCTCACCTCGAGAAGCGTCCCTTTTGCCCTGCCAAGCCTCGAAGAGATTCCTGAGGTGTCCCACATTACTAGACAGGAGTCCTGACGTCACTGAAGAAACTCGTGTTTTGAAGGGCCATCCCCGCCGTAAGTCGAGAACATACCCCAGGTCCCCGCCGCAACTCGAGAAAAACCATGAGACTTCCCCCTAGAGGCGAGATGAGGCCACATTCCCCTGCAGTGCGTGCAGAGCTATTCCGTGATCCCATTCAAACTAGTCAGGAGATTCGACTTGCTTAATGGATCTCGAGACAGTCCCCAAGAACACAGTCACCAGTCTAGACGGACCCTGAGGTCACCCAAGCAATGCAAAGCAGCTCCATGTGCCCCAAATCAATTCGAGATGAGGCCCGATTACCCTGCATTGACTCCAGAGCCATTCCCCATTCCCCATTCAACACGACCGGTGGCTCGACTTCCTTCAAGCAACTCCAGAGATGCCCCGAGAACCCTGTCCCAAGTCTAGAGGAACACCAACTTCAGCACAGCAACTCGAGGAATGCTCCGTGTACCCCAAATCGTCTCGAGATGAGAGCTGATTCCCTGGCTTAGGCTCAATACGTATGCCAACTTTCCAGAAGGACCTCAGGAGGAGGCTTCTCTCAGCAATAGTTATGTGGGACGGACCCCGAGTTTGCTGCCTCAAGGGGAATATAGAGCGAGAAGCCCTAACTTGAAAGGAGGCCGGATTTCCTTGCAGTGGCTTGAATACAGGCACGTCTTTCATCTCACAACAAGAAGGGATGTCTGAATCCCCTGTGGAGACCTTAAAGAAAGGCCTAGGCCCCTGCCTCATTTTGACGGAATGCCTCACATCGCGCTGACACCTCGAGAGGCACGCGGAGTTCATTGCTTCAAAAGGTGACGATGCCTTACTCCACTTGAATACTGATAGGAATCCCAGAATCCCTTTGGCTACTGGAAAGGGTCCTTGGGTGCCCTGCCTCACCTCGAGAAGCGTCCCTTTTACCCTGCCAAGCCTCGAAGAGATTCCTGAGGTGTCCCTCGTTACTAGACAGGAGTCCTGACGTCACTGAAGAAACTCGTGTTTTGAAGGGCCATCCCCGCCGTAAGTCGAGAACATACCCCAAGTCCCCGTCGCAACTCGAGAAAAACCATGAGACTTCCCCCTAGAGGCGAGATGAGGCCCCATTCCCCTGCAGTGCATGCAGAGCTATTCCGTGATCCCATTCAAACAAGTCAGGAGCTTCGTATTTCTTAATGGATCTCGAGACAGTCCCCAAGAACACTGTCACCAGTCTATACGGACCCTGAGGTCACCCAGCAACGCAAAGCAGCTCCATGTGCCCCAAATCAACTCGAGATGAGGCCCGATTCCCCTGCATTGACTCCAGAGCCATTCCCCGTTCCCCATTCTACACGACCGGTGGCTCGACTTCCTTCAGGCAACTCCAGAGATGCCCCGAGAACACTGTCCCAAGTCTAGAGGAATACCAACTTCAGCAAAGCAACTCGAGGAATGCTCCGTGTCCCCAAATCGTCTCGAGATGAGAGCTGATTCCCTGGCTTAGGCTCAAGACGTATGCCAACTTTCCAGAAGCACCTCAGGAGGAGGCTTCTCTCAGCAATAGGTATATGGGAGGGACCCCGAGTTTGCTGCCTCAAGGGGAATATACAGCGAGAAGCCCTAAATTGAAAGGAGGCCGGATTTCCTTGCAGTGGCTTGAATACAGGCTCGTGTTTCATCTCACAACATGAAGGCATGTCTGAATCCCCTGTGGAGACCTTAGAGAAAGCCCTAGGTCCCTGCATCATTTTGACGGAATGCCTCACATCCCGCTGACACCTCGAGAGGCACGCAGAGTTCATTGCTTCAAAAGGTGACGATGCCTGACTCCTCTTGAATACTGATAGGAATCCCAAAATCCCTGTGGCTACAGGAAAGGGTCCTTGGGTGCCCTGCTTCACCTCGAGAAGTGTCCCTTTTGCCCTGCAAGCCTCGAAGAGATTCCTGAGGTGTCCCTCGTTAATAGACAGGAGTCCTGACGTCACTGAAGAAACTCGTGTTTTGAAGGGCCATCCCGCCGTAAGTCGAGAACATACCCCAGGTCCCCGCCGCAACTCGAGAAAAACCATGAGACTTCCCCCTAGAGGCGAGATGAGGCCCCATTCCCCTGCAGTGCATGCAGAGCTATTCCGTGATCCCATTCAAACAAGTCAGGAGCTTCGACTTGCTTAATGGATCTCGAGACAGTCCCCAAGAACACTGTCACCAGTCTAGACGGACGCTGCGGTCACCCCAGCAACGAAAAGCAGCTCCATGTGCCCCAAATCAACTCGAGATGAGGCCCGATTCTCCTGCATTGACTCCAGAGCCATTCCCCGTTCCCCATTCAACAGGACCGCTGGCTCGACTTCCTTCAGGCAACTCCAGAGATGCCCCGAGAACACTGTCCCAAGTCTAGAGGAACACCAACTTCAGCACAGCAACTCGAGGAATGCTCCGTGTACCCGAAATCGTCTCGAGATGAGAGCTGATTCCCTGGCTTAGGCTCAAGACGTATGCCAACTTTCCAGAAGCACCTCAGGAGGAGGCTTGTCTCAGCAATAGGTATGTGGGAGGGACCCCGAGTTTGCTGCCTCAAGGGGAATATACAGCGAGAAGCCCTAACTTGAAAGGAGGCCTTATTTCCTTGCAGTGGCTTGAATACAGGCTCTTCTTTGATCTCAAAACATGGAGGGATGACTGAATGCCTTGTGGAGACCTTAGAGAAAGCCCTAGGTCCATGCCTCATTTTGACGGAATGCCTCACATCCCGCTGACACCTCGAGAGGCACGCAGAGTTCATTGCTTCAAAAGGTGACGATGCCTGACTCCTCTTGAATACTGATAGGAATCCCAAAATCCCTGTGGCTATTGGAAAGGGTCCTTGGGTGCCCTGCCTCACCTCGAGAAGCGTCCCTTTTGCCCTGCCAAGCCTCGAAGAGATTCCTGAAGTGTCCCTCGTTACTAGACAGGAGTCCTGACGTCACTGAAGAAACTCGTGTTTTGAAGGGCCATCCCCGCCGTAAGTCGAGAACATACCCCAGGTCCCCGACGCAACTCGAGAAAAACCATGAGACTTCCCCCTAGAGGCGAGATGAGGCCTCATTCCCCTGCAGTGCATGTAGAGTTATTCCGTGATCCCATTCAAACAAGTCAGGAGCTTCGACTTGCTTAATGGATCTCGAGACAGTCCCCAAGAACACTGTCACCAGTCTAGACGGACGCTGAGGTCACCCCAGCAACGCAAAGCAGTTCCATGTGCCCCAAATCAACTCGAGATGAGGCCCGATTCCCCTGCATTGACTCCAGAGCCATTCCCCGTTCCCCATTCAACATGACCGGTGGCTCGACTTCCTTCAGGCAACTCCAGAGATGCCCGGAGAACACTCTCCCAAGTCTAGAGGAACACCAACTTCAGCACAGCAACTCGAGGAATGCTCCGTGTACCACAAATCGTCTCGAGATGAGAGCTGATTCCCTGGCTTAGGCTCAAGACGTATGCCAACTTTCCAGAAGCACCTCAGGAGGAGGCTTCTCTCAGCAATAGGTATATGGGAGGGACCCCGAGTTTGCTGCCTCAAGGGGAATATACAGCGAGAAGCCCTAACTTGAAAGGAGGCCGGATTTCCTTGCAGTGGCTTGAATACAGGCTATTCTTTGATCTCAAAACATGAAGGGATGACTGAATGCCCTGTGGAGACCTTAGAGAAAGCCCTAGGACCCTGCCTCATTTTGACGGAATGCCTCACATCCCGCTGACACCTCGAGAGGCACGCAGAGTTCATTGCTTCAAAAGGTGACGATGCCTGACTCCTCTTGAATACTGATAGGAATCCCAAAATCCCTGTGGCTACTGGAAAGGGTCCTTGGGTGCCCTGCCTCACCTCGAGAAGCGTCCCTTTTGCCCTGCCAAGCCTCGAAGAGATTCCTGAGGTGTCCCTCGTTGGTAGACAGGAGTCCTGACGTCACTGAAGAAACTCGTGTTTTGAAGGGCCATCCCGCCGTAAGTCGAGAACATACCCCAGGTCCCCGCCGCAACTCGAGAAAAACCATGAGACTTCCCCCTAGAGGCGAGATGAGGCCCCATTCCCCTGCAGTGCATGCAGAGCTATTCCGTGATCCCATTCAAACAAGTCAGGAGCTTCGACTTGCTTAATGGATCTCGAGACAGTCCCCAAGAACACTGTCACCAGTCTAGACGGACGCTGCGGTCACCCCAGCAACGCAAAGCAGCTCCATGTGCCCCAAATCAACTCGAGATGAGGCCCGATTCCCCTGCATTGACGCCAGAGCCATTCCCCGTTCCCCATTCAACACGACCGGTGGCTCGACTTCCTTCAGGTAACTCCGCCCCAAGAATACTGTCCCAAGTCTAGAGGAACACCAACTTCAGCACAGCAACTCGAGGAATGCTCCGTGTACCCCAAATCGTCTCGAGATTAGAGCTGATTCCCTGGCTTAGGCTCAAGACATATGCCAACTTTCCAGAAGCACCTCAGGAGGAGGCTTCTCTCAGCAATAGGTATTTGGGAGGGACCCCGAGTTTGCTGCCTCAAGGGGAATATACAGCGAGAAGCCCTAACTTGAAAGGAGGCCGGATTTCCTTGCACGGGCTTGAATACAGGCTCGTCTTTCATTTCACAACATGAAGGGATGTCGGAATCCACTGTGGACACCTTAGAGAAAGCCCAAGGTCCATGCCTTATTTTGACGGAATGCCTCACATCCCCTTGACACCTCGAGAGGCACGCAGAGTTCATTGCTTCAAAAGGTGACGATGGCTGACTATTCTTGAATACTGATAGGAATCCCAAAATCCCCGTGGCTACTGGAAAGGGTCCTTGGGTGCCCTGACTCACCTCGAGAAGCGTCCCTTTTGCCCTGCCAAGCCTCGAAGAGATTCCTGAGGTGTCCCTCGTTACTAGACAGGAGTCCTGACGTCACTGAAGAAACTCGTGTTTTGAAGGGCCATCCCCGCCTTAAGTCGAGAACATACCCCAGGTCCCCGCCGCAACTCGAGAAAAACCATGAGACTTCCCCCTAGAGGCGAGATGAGGCCCCATTCCCCTGCAGTGCATGCAGAGCTATTCCGTGATCTCATTCAAACAAGTCAGGAGCTTCGAATTGCTTAATGGATCTCGAGACAGTCCCCAAGAACACTGTCACCAGTCTATACGGACCCTGAGGTCACCCCAGGAACGCAAAGCAGCTCCATGTGCCCCAAATCAACTCGAGATGAGGCCCGATTCCCCTGCATTGACTCCAGAGCCATTCCCCGTTCCCCATTCAACACGACCGGTGGCTCGACTTCCTTCACGCAACTCCAGAGATGCCCCGAGAACCATGTCCCAAGTCTAGAGGAACACCAACTTCAGCACAGCAACTCGAGGAATGCTCCGTGTACCCCAAATCGTCTCGAGATGAGAGCTGATTCCCTGGCTTAGGCTCAATACGTATGCCAACTTTCCAGAAGGACCTCAGGAGGAGGCTTCTCTCAGCAATAGGTATGTGGGAGGGACCCCGAGTTTGCTGCCTCAAGGGGAATATAGAGCGAGAAGCCCTAACTTGAAAGGAGGCCGGATTTCCTTGCAGTGGCTTGAATACAGGCTCGTCTTTCATCTCACAACATGAAGGGATGTCTGAATCCCCTGTGGAGACCTTAAAGAAAGCCCTAGCCCCCTGCCTCATTTTGACGGAATGCCTCACATCGCGCTGACACCTCGAGAGGCACGCGGAGTTCATTGCTTCAAAAGGTGACGATGCCTGACTCCTCTTGAATACTGATAGGAATCCCAGAATCCCTGTGGCTACTGGAAAGGGTCCTTGGGTGCCCTGCCTCACCTCGAGAAGCGTCCCTTTTACCCTGCCAAGCCTCGAAGAGAATCCTGAGGTGTCCCTCGTTACTAGACAGGAGTCCTGACGTCACTGAAGAAACTCGTGTTTTGAAGGGCCATCCCCGCCGTAAGTCGAGAACATACCCCAAGTCCCCGTCGCAACTGGAGAAAAACCATGAGACTTCCCCCTAGAGGCGAGATGAGGCCCCATTCCCCTGCAGTGCATGCAGAGCTATTCCGTGATCCCATTCAAACAAGTCAGGAGCTTCGACTTGCTTAATCAATCTCGAGACAGTCCCCAAGAGCACTGTCACCAGTCTAGACGGACCCTGAGGTCACCCCAGCAACACAAAGAAGCTACATGTGCCCCAAATCAACTCGAGATGAGGCCCGATTCCCCTGCATTGACTCCAGAGCCATTCCCCGTTCCCCATTCAACACGACCGGTGGCTCGACTTCCTTCAGGTAACTCCGCCCCAAGAACACTGTCCCAAGTCTAGAGGAACACCAACTTCAGCACAGCAACTCGAGGAATGCTCCGTGTACCCCAAATCGTCTCGAGATTAGAGCTGATTCCCTGGCTTAGGCTCAAGACATATGCCAACTTTCCAGAAGCACCTCAGGAGGAGGCTTCTCTCAGCAATAGGTATTTGGGAGGGACCCCGAGTTTGCTGCCTCAAGGGGAATATACAGCGAGAAGCCCTAACTTGAAAGGAGGCCGGATTTCCTTGCACGGGCTTGAATACAGGCTCGTCTTTCATCTCACAACATGAAGGGATGTCGGAATCCACTGTGGAGACCTTAGAGAAAGCCCAAGGTCCCTGCCTCATTTTGACGGAATGCCTCACATCCCGTTGACACCTCGAGAGGCACGCAGAGTTCATTGCTTCAAAAGGTGACGATGGCTGACTATTCTTGAATACTGATAGGAATCCCAAAATCCCCGTGGCTACTGGAAAGGGTCCTTGGGTGCCCTGCCTCACCTCGAGAAGCGTCCCTTTTGCCCTGCCAAACCTCGAAGAGATTCCTGAGGTGTCCCTCGTTACTAGACAGGAGTCCTGACGTCACTGAAGAAACTAGTGTTTTGAAGGGCCATCCCCGCCTTAAGTCGAGAACATACCCCAGGTCCCCGCCGCAACTCGAGAAAAACCATGAGACTTCCCCCTAGAGGCGAGATGAGGCCCCATTCCCCTGCAGTGCATGCAGAGCTATTCCGTGATCCCATTCAAAGAAGTCAGGAGCTTCGAATTGCTTAATGGATCTCGAGACAGTCCCCAAGAAGACTGTCACCGGTCTATACGGACCCTGAGGTCACCCCAGCAACGCAAAGCAGCTCCATGTGCCCCAAATCAACTCGAGATGAGGCCCGATTCCCCTGCATTGACTCCAGAGCCATTCCCCGTTCCCCATTCAACACTACCGGTGGCTCGACTTCCTTCAGGCAACTCCAGAGATGCCCGGAGAACACTGTCCCAAGTCTAGAGGAACACCAACTTCAGCACAGCAACTCGAGGAATGCTCCGTGTACCCCAAATCGTCTCGAGATGAGAGCTGATTCCCTGGCTTAGGCTCAAGACGTATGCCAACTTTCCAGAAGCACCTCAGGAGGAGGCTTCTCTCAGCAATAGTTATGTGGGAGGGACCCCGAGTTTGCTGCCTCAAGGGGAATATACAGTGAGAAGCCCTAACTTGAAAGGAGGCCGGATTTCCTTGCAGTGGCTTGAATACAGGCTCTTCTTTGATCTCAAAACATGAAGGGATGACTGAATGCCCTGTGGAGACCTTAGAGAAAGCCCTAGGTCCATGCCTCATTTTGACGGAATGCCTCACATCCCGCTGACACCTCGAGAGGCACGCAGAGTTCATTGCTTCAAAAGGTGACGATGCCTGACTCCTCTTGAATACTGATAGGAATCCCAAAATCCCTGTGGCTACTGGAAAGGGTCCTTGGGTGCCCTGCCTCACCTCGAGAAGCGTCCCTTTTGCCCTGCCAAGCCTCGAAGAGATTCCTGAGGTGTCCCACATTACTAGACAGGAGTCCTGACGTCACTGAAGAAACTCGTGTTTTGAAGGGCCATCCCCGCCGTAAGTCGAGAACATACCCCAGGTCCCCGCCGCAACTCGAGAAAAACAATGAGACTTCCCCCTAGAGGCGAGATGAGGTCACATTCCCCTGCAGTGCGTGCAGAGCTATTCCGTGATCCCATTCAAACTAGTCAGGAGCTTCGACTTGCTTAATGGATCTCGAGACAGTCCCCAAGAACACTGTCACCAGTCTAGACGGACGCTGAGGTCACCCCAGCAACGCAAAGCAGCTCCATGTGCCCCAAATCAACTCGAGATGAGGCCCGATTCCCCTGCATTGACGCCAGAGCCATTCCCCGTTCCCCATTCAACACGACCGGTGGCTCGACTTCCTTCAGGTAACTCCGCCCCAAGAACACTGTCCCAAGTCTAGAGGAACACCAACTTCAGCACAGCAACTCGAGGAATGCTCCGTGTACCCCAAATCGTCTCGAGATTAGAGCTGATTCCCTGGCTTAGGCTCAAGACATATGCCAACTTTCCAGAAGCACCTCAGGAGGAGGCTTCTCTCAGCAATAGGTATTTGGGAGGGACCCCGAGTTTGCTGCCTCAAGGGGAATATACAGCGAGAAGCCCTAACTTGAAAGGAGGCCGGATTTCCTTGCACGGGCTTGAATACAGGCTCGTCTTTCATTTCACAACATGAAGGGATGTCGGAATCCACTGTGGAGACCTTAGAGAAAGCCCAAGGTCCATGCCTCATTTTGACGGAATGCCTCACATCCCCTTGACACCTCGAGAGGCACGCAGAGTTCATTGCTTCAAAAGGTGACGATGGCTGACTATTCTTGAATACTGATAGGAATCCCAAAATCCCCGTGGCTACTGGAAAGGGTCCTTGGGTGCCCTGACTCACCTCGAGAAGCGTCCCTTTTGCCCTGCCAAGCCTCGAAGAGATTCCTGAGGTGTCCCTCGTTACTAGACAGGAGTCTTGACGTCACTGAAGAAACTCGTGTTTTGAAGAGCCATCCCCGCCTTAAGTCGAGAACATACCCCAGGTCCCCGCCGCAACTCGAGAAAAACCATGAGACTTCCCCCTAGAGGCGAGATGAGGCCCCATTCCCCTGCAGTGCATGCAGAGCTATTCCGTGATCTCATTCAAACAAGTCAGGAGCTTCGAATTGCTTAATGGATCTCGAGACAGTCCCCAAGAACACTGTCACCAGTCTATACGGACCCTGAGGTCACCCCAGGAACGCAAAGCAGCTCCATGTGCCCCAAATCAACTCGAGATGAGGCCCGATTCCCCTGCATTGACTCCAGAGCCATTCCCCGTTCCCCATTCAACACGACCGGTGGCTCGACTTCCTTCACGCAACTCCAGAGATGCCCCGAGAACCATGTCCCAAGTCTAGAGGAACACCAACTTCAGCACAGCAACTCGAGGAATGCTCCGTGTACCCCAAATCGTCTCGAGATGAGAGCTGATTCCCTGGCTTAGGCTCAATACGTATGCCAACTTTCCAGAAGGACCTCAGGAGGAGGCTTCTCTCAGCAATAGGTATGTGGGAGGGACCCCGAGTTTGCTGCCTCAAGGGGAATATAGAGCGAGAAGCCCTAACTTGAAAGGAGGCCGGATTTCCTTGCAGTGGCTTGAATACAGGCTCGTCTTTCATCTCACAACTTGAAGGGATGTCTGAATCCCCTGTGGAGACCTTAAAGAAAGCCCTAGCCCCCTGCCTCATTTTGACGGAATGCCTCACATCGCGCTGACACCTCGAGAGGCACGCGGAGTTCATTGCTTCAAAAGGTGACGATGCCTGACTCCTCTTGAATACTGATAGGAATCCCAGAATCCCTGTGGCTACTGGAAAGGGTCCTTGGGTGCCCTGCCTCACCTCGAGAAGCGTCCCTTTTACCCTGCCAAGCCTCGAAGAGAATCCTGAGGTGTCCCTCGTTACTAGACAGGAGTCCTGACGTCACTGAAGAAACTCGTGTTTTGAAGGGCCATCCCCGCCGTAAGTCGAGAACATACCCCAAGTCCCCGTCGCAACTCGAGAAAAACCATGAGACTTCCCCCTAGAGGCGAGATGAGGCCCCATTCCCCTGCAGTGCATGCAGAGCTATTCCGTGATCCCATTCAAACAAGTCAGGAGCTTCGACTTGCTTAATCAATCTCGAGACAGTCCCCAAGAGCACTGTCACCAGTCTAGACGGACCCTGAGGTCACCCCAGCAATGCAAAGCAGTTCCATGTGCCCGAAATCAACTCGAGATGAGGCCCGATTCCCCTGCATTAACTCCAGAGCCATTCCCCGTTCCCCATTCAACACGACCGGTGGCTCGACTTCCTTCACGCAACTCCAGAGATGCCCCGAGAACCCTGTCCCAAGTCTAGAGGAACACCAACTTCAGCACAGCAACTCGAGGAATGCTCCGTGTACCACAAATCGTCTCGAGATGAGAGCTGATTCCCTGGCTTAGGCTCAATACGTATGCCAACTTTCCAGAAGGACCTCAGGAGGAGGTTTCTCTCAGCAATAGTTATGTGGGACGGACCCCGAGTTTGCTGCCTCAAGGGGAATATGGAGCGAGAAGCCCTAACTTGAAAGGAGGCCGGATTTCCTTGCAGTGGCTTGAATACAGGCACGTCTTTCATCTCACAACATGAAGGGATGTCTGAATCCCCTGTGGAGACCTTAAAGAAAGCCCTAGGCCCCTGCCTCATTTTGACGGAATGCCTCACATCGCGCTGACACCTCGAGAGGCACGCGGAGTTCATTGCTTCAAAAGGTGACGATGCCTTACTCCTCTTGAATACTGATAGGAATCCCAGAATCCCTTTGGCTACTGGAAAGGGTCCTTGGGTGCCCTGCCTCACCTCGAGAAGCGTCCCTTTTACCCTGCCAAGCCTCGAAGAGATTCCTGAGGTGTCCCTCGTTACTAGACAGGAGTCCTGACGTCACTGAAGAAACTCGTGTTTTGAAGGGCCATCCCCGCCGTAAGTCGAGAACATACCCCAAGTCCCCGTCGCAACTCGAGAAAAACCATGAGACTTCCCCCTAGAGGCGAGATGAGGCCCCATTCCCCTGCAGTGCATGCAGAGCTATTCCGTGATCCCATTCAAACAAGTCAGGAGCTTCGACTTGCTTAATCGATCTCGAGACAGTCCCCAAGAGCACTGTCACCAGTCTAGACGGACCCTGAGGTCACCCCAGCAACACAAAGCAGCTACATGTGCCCCAAATCAACTCGAGATGAGGCCCGATTCCCCTGCATTGACTCCAGAGCCATTCCCCGTTCCCCATTCAACACGACCGGTGGCTCGACTTCCTTCAGGTAACTCCGCCCCAAGAACACTGTCCCAAGTCTAGAGGAACACCAACTTCAGCACAGCAACTCGAGGAATGCTCCGTGTACCCCAAATCATCTCGAGATTAGAGCTGATTCCCTGGCTTAGGCTCAAGACATATGCCAACTTTCCAGAAGCACCTCAGGAGGAGGCTTCTCTCAGCAATAGGTATTTGGGAGGGACCCCGAGTTTGCTGCCTCAAGGGGAATATACAGCGAGAAGCCCTAACTTGAAAGGAGGCCGGATTTCCTTGCACGGGCTTGAATACAGGCTCGTCTTTCATCTCACAACATGAAGGGATGTCGGAATCCACTGTGGAGAACTTAGAGAAAGCCCAAGGTCCCTGCCTCATTTTGACGGAATGCCTCACATCCCGTTGACACTTCGAGAGGCACGCAGAGTTCATTGCTTCAAAAGGTGACGATGGCTGACTATTCTTGAATACTGATAGGAATCCCAAAATCCCCGTGGCAACTGGAAAAGGTCCTTGGGTGCCCTGCCTCACCTCGAGAAGCGTCCCTTTTGCCCTGCCAAGCCTCGAAGAGATTCCTGAGGTGTCCCTCGTTACTAGACAGGAGTCCTGACGTCACTGAAGAAACTCGTGTTTTGAAGGGCCATCCGCGCCTTAAGTCGAGAACATACCCCAGGTCCCCGCCGCAACTCGAGAAAAACCATGAGACTTCCCCCTAGAGGCGAGATGAGGCCCCATTCCCCTGCAGTGCATGCAGAGCTATTCCGTGATCTCATTCAAACAAGTCAGGAGCTTCGAATTGCTTAATGGATCTCCAGACAGTCCCCAAGAACACTGTCACCAGTCTATACGGACCCTGAGGTCACCCCAGCAACGCAAAGCAGCTCCATGTGCCCCAAATCAACTCGAGATGAGGCCAGATTCCCCTGCATTGACTCCAGAGCCATTCCCCGTTCCCCATTCAACACGACCGGTGGCTCGACTTCCTTCAGGCAACTCCAGAGATGCCCGGAGAACACTGTCCCAAGTCTAGAGGAACACCAACTTCAGCACAGCAACTCGAGGAATGCTCCGTGTACCCCAAATCGTCTCGAGATGAGAGCTGATTCCCTGGCTTAGGCTCAAGACGTATGCCAACTTTCCAGAAGCACCTCAGGAGGAGGCTTCTCTCAGTAATAGGTATGTGGGAGGGACCCCGAGTTTGCTGCCTCAAGGGGAATATACAGCGAGAAGCCCTAACTTGAAAGGAGGCCGGATTTCCTTGCAGTGGCTTGAATACAGGCTCTTCTTTGATCTCAAAACATGAAGGGATGACTGAATGCCCTGTGGAGACCTTAGAGAAAGCCCTAGGTCCATGCCTCATTTGGACGGAATGCCTCACATCCCGCTGACACCTCGAGAGGCACGCAGAGTTCATTGCTTCAAAAGGTGACGATGCCTGACTCCTCTTGAATACTGATAGGAATCCCAAAATCCCTGTGGCAACTGGAAAGGGTCCTTGGGTGCCCTGCCTCACCTCGAGAAGCGTCCATTTTGCCCTGCCAAGCCTCGAAGAGATTCCTGAAGTGTCCCTCTTTACTAGACAGGAGTCCTGACGTCACTGAAGAAACTCGTGTTTTGAAGGGCCATTCCCGCCGTAAGTCGAGAACATACCCCAGGTCCCCGCCGCAACTCGAGAAAAACCATGAGACTACCCCCTAGAGGCGAGATGAGGCCCCATTCCCCTGCAGTGCATGCAGAGCTATTCCGTGATCCCATTCAAACAAGTCAGGAGCTTCGAATTGCTTAATGGATCTCGAGACAGTCCCCAAGAACACTGTCACCAGTCTATACGGACCCTGAGGTCACCCAGCAACGCAAAGCAGCTCCATGTGCCCCAAATCAACTCGAGATGAGGCCCGATTCCCCTGCATTGACTCCAGAGCCATTCCCCGTTCCTCATTCAACACGACCGGTGGCTCGACTTCCTTCAGGCAACTCCAGAGATGCCCCGAGAACACTGTCCCAAGTCTAGAGGAATACCAACTTCAGCAAAGCAACTCGAGGAATGCTCCGTGTCCCCAAATCGTCTCGAGATGAGAGCTGATTCCCTGGCTTAGGCTCAAGACGTATGCCAACTTTCCAGAAGCAACTCAGGAGGAGGCTTCTCTCAGCAATAGGTATATGGGAGGGACCCCGAGTTTGCTGCCTCAAGGGGAATATACAGCGAGAAGCCCTAAATTGAAAGGAGGCACGATTTCCTTGCAGTGGCTTGAATACAGGCTCGTGTTTCATCTCACAACATGAAGGCATGTCTGAATCCCCTGTGGAGACCTTAGAGAAAGCCCTAGGTCCCTGCATCATTTTGACGGAATGCCTCACATCCCGCTGACAAATCGAGAGGCACGCAGAGTTCATTGCTTCAAAAGGTGACGATGCCTGACTCCTCTTGAATACTGATAGGAATCCCAAAATCCCTGTGGCTACAGGAAAAGGGTCCTTGGGTGCCCTGCCTCACCTCGAGAAGTGTCCCTTTTGCCCTGCAAGCCTCGAAGAGATTCCTGAGGTGTCCCTCGTTAATAGACAGGAGTCCTGACGTCACTGAAGAAACTCGTGTTTTGAAGGGCCATCCCGCCGTAAGTCGAGAACATACCCCAGGTCCCCGCCGCAACTCGAGAAAAACCATGAGACTTCCCCCTAGAGGCGAGATGAGGCCCCATTCCCCTGCAGTGCATGCAGAGCTATTCCGTGATCCCATTCAAACAAGTCAGGAGCTTCGACTTGCTTAATGGATCTCGAGACAGTCCCCAAGAACACTGTCACCAGTCTAGTCGGACGCTGAGGTCACCCCAGCAACGCAAAGCAGCTCCATGTGCCCCAAATCAACTCGAGATGAGGCCCGATTCCCCTGCATTGACTAGAGAGCCATTCCCCGTTCCCCATTCAACACGACCGGTGGCTCGACTTCCTTCAGGCAACTCCAGAGATGCCCGGAGAACACTGTCCCAAGTCTAGAGGAACACCAACTTCAGCACAGCAACTCGAGGAATGCTCCGTGTACCCCAAATCGTCTCGAGATGAGAGCTGATTCCCGGGCTTAGGCTCAAGACGTATGCCAACTTTCCAGAAGCACCTCAGGAGGAGGCTTCTCTCAGCAATAGGTATGTGGGAGGGACCCCGAGTTTGCTGCCTCAAGGGGAATATACAGCGAGAAGCCCTAACTTGAAAGGAGGCCGGATTTCCTTGCAGTAGCTTGAATACAGGCTCTTCTTTGATCTCAAAAGATGGAGGGATGACTGAATGCCCTGTGGAGACCTTAGAGAAAGCCCTAGGTCCATGCCTCATTTTGACGGAATGCCTCACATCCCGCTGACACCTCGAGAGGCACGCAGAGTTCATTGCTTCAAAAGGTGACGATGCCTGACTCCTCTTGAATACTGATAGGAATCCCAAAATCCCTGTGGCTACTGGAAAGGGTCCTTGGGTGCCCTGCCTCACGTCGAGAAGCGTCCCTTTTGCCCTGCCAAGCCTCGAAGAGATTCCTGAAGTGTCCCTCGTTACTAGACAGGAGTCCTGACGTCACTGAAGAAACTCGTGTTTTGAAGGGCCATCCCCGCCGTAAGTCGAGAACATACCCCAGGTCCCCGCCGCAACTCGAGAAAAACCATGAGACTTCCCCCTAGAGGCGAGATGAGGCCCCATTCCCCTGCAGTGCATGCAGAGTTATTCCGTGATCCCATTCAAACAAGTCAGGAGCTTCGACTTGCTTAATGGATCTCGAGACAGTCCCCAAGAACACTGTCACCAGTCTAGACGGACGCTGAGGTCACCCCAGCAACGCAAAGCAGTTCCATGTGCCCCAAATCAACTCGAGATGAGGCCCGATTCCCCTGCATTGACTCCAGAGCCATTCCCCGTTCCCCATTCAACATGACCGGTGGCTCGACTTCCTTCAGGCAACTCCAGAGATGCCCTGAGAACACTCTCCCAAGTCTAGAGGAACACCAACTTCAGCACAGCAACTCGAGGAATGCTCCGTGTACACCAAATCGTCTCGAGATGAGAGCTGATTCCCTGGCTTAGGCTCAAGACGTATGCCAACTTTCCAGAAGCACCTCAGGAGGAGGCTTCTCTCAGCAATAGGTATATGGGAGGGACCCCGAGTTTGCTGCCTCAAGGGGAATATACAGCGAGAAGCCCTAACTTGAAAGGAGGCCGGATTTCCTTGCAGTGGCTTGAATACAGGCTCTTCTTTGATCTCAAAACATGAAGGGATGACTGAATGCCCTGTGGAGACCTTAGAGAAAGCCCTAGATCCATGCCTCATTTTGACGGAATGCCTCACATCCCGCTGACACCTCGAGAGGCACGCAGAGTTCATTGCTTCAAAAGGTGACGATGCCTGACTCCTCTTGAATACTGATAGGAATCCCAAAATCCCTGTGGCTACTGGAAAGGGTCCTTGGGTGCCCTGCCTCACCTCGAGAAGCGTCCCTTTTGCACTGCCAAGCCTCGAAGAGATTCCTGAGGTGTCCCTCGTTACTAGACAGGAGTCCTGACGTCACTGAAGAAACTCGTGTTTTGAAGGGCCATCCCGCCGTAAGTCGAGAACATACCCCAGTTCCCGGCCGCAACTCGAGAAAAACCATGAGACTTCCCCCTAGAGGCGAGATGAGGCCCCATTCCCCTGCAGAGCATGCAGAGCTATTCCGTGATCCCATTCAAACAAGTCAGGAGCTTCGACTTGCTTAATGGATCTCGAGACAGTCCCCAAGAACACTGTCACCAGTCTAGACGGACGCTGAGGTCACCCCAGCAACGCAAAGCAGCTCCATGTGCCCCAAATCAACTCGAGATGAGGCCCGATTCCCCTGCATTGACTCCAGAGCCATTCCCCGATCCCCATTCAACACGACCGGTGGCTCGACTTCCTTCAGGCAACTCCAGAGATTCCCCGAGAACACTGTCCGAAGTCTAGAGGAGCACCAACTTCAGCACAGCAACTCGAGGAATGCTCCGTGCACCCCAAATCGTCTCGAGATGAGAGCTGATACATTGGCTTAGGCTCAAGGCATTTGCCAACTTTCCAGAAGCAACTCAGGAGGAGGCTTCTCTCAGCAATAGGTATGTGGGAGGGACCCCGAGTGTGCTGCCTCAAGGGGAATATACAGCGAGAAGCCCTAACTTGAAAGGAGGCCGGATTTCCTTGCAGTGGCTTGAATACAGGCTATTCTTTGATCTCAAAACATGAAGGGATGACTGAATGCCCTGTGGAGACCTTAGAGAAAGCCGTAGGTCCCTGCCTCATTTGGACGGAATGCCTCACATCCCGCTGACAACTCGAGAGGCACGCGGAGTTCATTGCTTCAATAGGTGACGATGCCTGACTCCTCTTGAATACTGATAGGAATCCCAAAATCCCTGTGGCTCCTGAAAGGGTCCTTGGGTGCCCTGCCTCACCTCGAGAAGCGTCCCTTTTGCCCTGCCAAGCCTCGAAGAGATTCCTGAGGTGTCCCTCGTTACTAGACAGGAGTCCTGACGTCACTGAAGAAACTCGTGTTTTGAAGGGCCATCCCCGCCGTAAGTCGAGAACATACCCCAGGCCCCCGCCGCAACTCGAGAAAAACCATGAGACTTCCCCTTAGAGGCGAGATAAGGCCCCATTCCCCTGCACTGCATGCAGACCTATTCCGTGATCCCATTCAAACAAGTCAGGAGCTTCGACTTGCTTAATCGATCTCGAGACAGTCCCCAAGAACACTGTCACCAGTCTAGACGGACCCTGAGGTCACCCCAGCAACGAAAAGCAGCTCCATGTGCCCCAAATCAACTCGAGATGAGTCCCGATTCCCCTGCATTGACCCCAGAGCTATTACCCGTTCCCCATTCAACACGCCCGGTGGCTCCACTTCCTTCAGGCAACTCCAGAGATGCCCCGAGAACACTGTCCCAAGTCTAGAGGAACACCAACTTCAGCACAGCAACTCGAGGAATGCTCCGTGTACCCCAAATCGTCTCGAGATGAGAGCCGATTACCTGGCTTAGGCTCAAGACGTATGCCTACATTCCAGAAGCACCTCAGGAGGAGGCTTCTCTCAGCAATATGTATGTTGGAGGGACCCCGAGTTTGCTGCCTCAAGGGGAATATACATCGAGAAGCCCTAACTTGAAAGGTGGCCGGATTTCCTTGCAGTGGCTTGAATACAGGCTCGTCTTTCATCTCACAATATGAAGGGATGTCTGAATCCCCTGTGGAGACCTGAGAGAAAGCCCTTGGTCCCAGCCTCATTTTGACGGAATGCCTCACATCCCGCTGACACCTCGAGAGGCACGCGGAGTTCATTGCTTCAAAAGGTGACGATGCCTGACTCCTCTTGAATACTGATAGGAATCCCAAAATCCCTGTGGCTACTGGAAAGGATCCTTGGGTGCCCTGCCTGACCTCGAGAAGCATCACTTTTGCCCAGCCAAGCCTCGAAGAGATTCCTGAGGTGTCCCTCGTTACTAGACAGGAGTCCTGACGTCACTGAAGAAACTCGTGTTTTGAAGGGCCATCCCCGCCGTAAGTCGAGAACATAACCCAGGTCCACGCCGCAACTCGAGAAAAACCATGAGACTTCCCCCTAGAGGCGAGATGAGGCCCCATTCCCCTGCAGTGCATGCAGAGCTATTCCGTGATCCCATTCAAACAAGTCAGGAGCTTCGACTTGCTGAATCGATCTGGAGACAGTCCCCAAGAGCACTGTCACCAGTCTAGACGGACCCTGAGGTCACCCCAGCAACACAAAGCAGCTACATGTGCCCCAAATCAAATCGAGATGAGGCCCGATTCCCCTGCATTGACTCCAGAGCCATTCCCCGTTCCCCATTCAACACGACCGGTGGCTCGACTTCCTTCAGGCAACTCCACAGATGCCCGAGAACACTGTCCCAAGTCTAGAGGAACACCAACTTCAGCACAGCAACTCGAGGAATGCTCCGTGTACCCCAAATCGTCTCGAGATGAGAGCTGATTCCCTGGCTTAGGCTCAAGACGTATGCCAACTTTCCAGAAGCACCTCAGGAGGAGGCTTCTCTCAGCAATAGGTATGTGGGAGGGACCCCGAGTTTGCTGCCTCAATGGGAATATACAGCGAGAAGCCCTAACTTGAAAGGAGGCCGGATTTCCTTGCAGTGGCTTGAATACAGCTCTTCTTTGATCTCAAAACATGAAGGGATGACTGAATGCCCTTTGGAGACCTTAGAGAAAGCCCTAGGTCCATGCCTCATTTTAACGGAATGCCTCACATCCCGCTGACACCTCGAGAGGCACGCGGAGTTCATTGCTTCAAAAGGTGACGATGCCTGACTCCTCTTGAATACTGATAGGAATCCCAAAATCCCTGTGGCTACTGGAAAGGGTCCTTGGGTGCCCTGCCTCACCTCGAGAAGCGTCCCTCTTGCCCTGCCAAGCCTGGAAGAGATTCCTGAGGTGTCCCTCGTTACTAGACAGGAGTCCTGACGTCATTGAAGAAACTCGTGTTTTGAAGGGCCATCACCGCCGAAAGTCGAGAACATACCCCAGGTCCCCGTCGCAACTCGAGAAAAACCATGAGACTTCCCCCTAGAGGCGAGATTAGGCCCCATTCCCCTGCAGTGCATGCAGAGCTATTCCGTGATCCCATTCAAACAAGTCAGGAGCTTCGACTTGCTTAATGGATCTCGAGACAGTCCCCAAGAACACTGTCACCAGTCTAGACGGACCCTGAGGTCACCCCAGCAACGCAAAGCAGCTCCATGTGCCCCAAATCAACTCGAGATGAGGCCCGATTCCCCTGCATTGACCCCAGAGCCATTCCCCGTTCCCCATTCAACACGACCGGTGGCTCGACTTCCTTCACGCAACTCCAGAGATGCCCCGAGAACACTGTCCCAAGTCTAGAGGAACACCAACTTCAGCACAGCAACTCGAGGAATGCTCCGTGCACCCCAAATCGTCTCGAGATGAGAGCTGATACATTGGCTTAGGCTCAAGGCATTTGCCAACTTTCCAGAAGCAACTCAGGAGGAGGCTTCTCTCAGCAATAGGTATGTGGGAGGGACCCCGAGTGTGCTGCCTCAAGGGGAATATACAGCGAGAAGCCCTAACTTGAAAGGAGGCCGGATTTCCTTGCAGTGGCTTGAATACAGGCTCGTCTTTCATCTCACAACATGAAGGGATGTCTGAATCCCCTGTGGAGACCTTAGAGAAAGCCGTAGGTCCCTGCCTCATTTTGACGGAATGCCTCACATCCCGCTGACAACTCGAGAGGCACGCGGAGTTCATTGCTTCAATAGGTGACGATGCCTGACTCCTCTTGAATACTGATAGGAATCCCAAAATCCCTGTGGCTACTGAAAGGGTCCTTGGGTGCCCTGCCTCACCTCGAGAAGCGTCCCTTTTGCCCTGCCAAGCCTCGAAGAGATTCCTGAGGTGTCCCTCGTTACTAGACAGGAGTCCTGACGTCACTGAAGAAACTCGTGTTTTGAAGGGCCATCCCCGCCGTAAGTCGAGAACATACCCCAGGTCCCCGCCGCAACTCGAGAAAAACCATGAGACTTCCCCCTAGAGGCGAGATGAGGCCCCACTCCCCTGCAGTGCATGCAGAGCTATTCCGTGATCCCATTCAAACAAGTCAGGAGCTTCGACTTGCTTAATCGATCTCGAGACAGTTCCCAAGAGCACTGTCACCAGTCTAGACGGACCCTGAGGTCACCCCAGCAACGCAAAGCAGCTCCATGTGCCCCAAATCAACTCGAGATGAGGCCCGATTCCCCTGCATTGACTCTAGAGCCATTCCCCGTTCCCCATTCAACACGACCGGTGGCTCGACTTCCTTCAGGCAACTCCACAGATGCCCGAGAACACTGTCCCAAGTCTAGAGGAACACCAACTTCAGCACAGCAACTCGAGGAATGCTCCGTGTACCCCAAATCGTCTCGAGATGAGAGCTGATTCCCTGGCTTAGGCTCAAGACGTATGCCAACTTTCCAGAAGCACCTCAGGAGGAGGCTTCTCTCAGCAATAGCTATGTGGGAGGGACCCCGAGTTTGCTGCCTCAAGGGGAATATACAGCGAGAAGCCCTAACTTGAAAGGAGGCCGGATTTCCTTGCAGTGGCTTGAATACAGGCTCGTGTTTAATCTCAAAACATGAAGGCATGTCTGAATGCCCTTTGGAGACCTTAGAGAAAGCCCTAGGTCCATGCCTCATTTTAACGGAATGCCTCACATCCCGCTGACACCTCGAGAGGCACGCAGAGTTCATTGCTTCAAAAGGTGACGATGCCTGACTCCTCTTGAATACTGATAGGAATCCCAAAATCCCTGTGGCTACTGGAAAGGGTCCTTGGGTGCCCTGCCTCACCTCGAGAAGCGTCCCTTTTGCCCTGCCAAGCCTGGAAGAGATTCCTGAGGTGTCCCTCGTTACTAGACAGGAGTCCTGACGTCACTGAAGAAACTCGTGTTTTGAAGGGCCATCCCCGCCGTAAGTCGAGAACATACCCCAGGTCCCCGCCGCAACTCGAGAAAAACCATGAGACTTACCCCTAGAGGCGAGATGAGGCCCCATTCCCCTGCAGTGCATGCAGAGCTATTCCGTGATCCCATTCAAACAAGTCAGGAGCTTCGACTTGCTTAATGGATCTCGAGACAGTCCCCAAGAGCACTGTCACCAGTCTAGACGGACCCTGAGGTCACCCCAGCAACACAAAGCAGCTACATGTGCCCCAAATCAACTCGAGATGAGGCCCGATTCCCCTGCATTGACTCCAGAGCCATTCCCCGTTCCCCATTCAACACGACCGGTGGCTCGACTTCCTTCAGGCAACTCCACAGATGCCCGAGAACACTGTCCCAAGTCTAGAGGAACACCAACTTCAGCACAGCAACTCGAGGAATGCTCCGTGTACCCCAAATCGTCTCGAGATGAGAGCTGATTCCCTGGCTTAGGCTCAAGACGTATGCCAACTTTCCAGAAGCACCTCAGGAGGAGGCTTCTCTCAGCAATAGGTATGTGGGAGGGACCCCGAGTTTGCTGCCTCAATGGGAATATACAGCGAGAAGCCCTAACTTGAAAGGAAGCCGGATTTCCTTGCAGTGGCTTGAATACAGCTCTTCTTTGATCTCAAAACATGAAGGGATGACTGAATGCCCTTTGGAGACCTTAGAGAAAGCCCTAGGTCCATGCCTCATTTTAACGGAATGCCTCACATCCCGCTGACACCTCGAGAGGCACGCGGAGTTCATTGCTTCAAAAGGTGACGATGCCTGACTCCTCTTGAATACTGATAGGAATCCCAAAATCCCTGTGGCTACTGGAAAGGGTCCTTGGGTGCCCTGCCTCACCTCGAGAAGCGTCCCTTTTGCCCTGCCAAGCCTGGAAGAGATTCCTGAGGTGTCCCTCGTTACTAGACAGGAGTCCTGACGTCATTGAAGAAACTCGTGTTTTGAAGGGCCATCACCGCCGTAAGTCGAGAACATACCCCAGGTCCCCGTCGCAACTCGAGAAAAACCATGAGACTTCCCCCTAGAGGCGAGATGAGGCCCCATTCCCCTGCAGTGCATGCAGAGCTATTCCGTGATCCCATTCAAACAAGTCAGGAGCTTCGACTTGCTTAATCGATCTCGAGACAGTCCCCAAGAACACTGTCACCAGTCTAGACGGACCCTGAGGTCACCCCAGCAACGCAAAGCAGCTCCATGTGCCCCAAATCAACTCGAGATGAGGCCCGATTCCCCTGCATTGACCCCAGAGCCATTCCCCGTTCCCCATTCAACACGACCGGTGGCTCGACTTCCTTCACGCAACTCCAGAGATGCCCCGAGAACACTGTCCCAAGTCTAGAGGAACACCAACTTCAGCACAGCAACTCGAGGAATGCTCCGTGCACCCCAAATCGTCTCGAGATGAGAGCTGATACATTGGCTTAGGCTCAAGGCATTTGCCAACTTTCCAGAAGCAACTCAGGAGGAGGCTTCTCTCAGCAATAGGTATGTGGGAGGGACCCCGAGTGTGCTGCCTCAAGGGGAATATACAGCGAGAAGCCCTAACTTGAAAGGAGGCCGGATTTCCTTGCAGTGGCTTGAATACAGGCTCGTCTTTCATCTCACAACATGAAGGGATGTCTGAATCCCCTGTGGAGACCTTAGAGAAAGCCGTAGGTCCCTGCCTCATTTTGACGGAATGCCTCACATCCCGCTGACAACTCGAGAGGCACGCGGAGTTCATTGCTTCAATAGGTGACGATGCCTGACTCCTCTTGAATACTGATAGGAATCCCAAAATCCCTGTGGCTACTGAAAGGGTCCTTGGGTGCCCTGCCTCACCTCGAGAAGCATCCCTTTTGCCCTGCCAAGCCTCGAAGAGATTCCTGAGGTGTCCCTCGTTACTAGACAGGAGTCCTGACGTCACTGAAGAAACTCGTGTTTTGAAGGGCCATCCCCGCCGTAAGTCGAGAACATACCCCAGGCCCCCGCCGCAACTCGAGAAAAACCATGAGACTTCCCCTTAGAGGGGAGATAAGGCCCCATTCCCCTGCACTGCATGCAGACCTATTCCGTGATCCCATTCAAACAAGTCAGGAGCTTCGACTTGCTTAATCGATCTCGAGACAGTCCCCAAGAACACTGTCACCAGTCTAGACGGACCCTGAGGTCACCCCAGCAACGCAAAGCAGATCCATGTGCCCCAAATCAACTCGAGATGAGGCCCGATTCCCCTGCATTGACCCCAGAGCTATTACCCGTTCCCCATTCAACACGCCCGGTGGCTCCACTTCCTTCAGGCAACTCCAGAGATGCCCCGAGAACACTGTCCCAAGTCTAGAGGAACACCAACTTCAGCACAGCAACTCGAGGAATGCTCCGTGTACCCCAAATCGTCTCGAGATGAGAGCCGATTACCTGGCTTAGGCTCAAGACGTATGCCTACATTCCAGAAGCACCTCAGGAGGAGGCTTCTCTCAGCAATATGTATGTTGGAGGGACCCCGAGTTTGCTGCCTCAAGGGGAATATACATCGAGAAGCCCTAACTTGAAAGGTGGCCGGATTTCCTTGCAGTGGCTTGAATACAGGCTCGTCTTTCATCTCACAACATGAAGGGATGTCTGAATCCCCTGTGGAGACCTGAGAGAAAGCCCTAGGTCCCAGCCTCATTTTGACGGAATGCCTCACATCCCGCTGACACCTCGAGAGGCACGCGGAGTTCATTGCTTCAAAATGTGACGATGCCTGACTCCTCTTGAATACTGATAGGAATCCCAAAATCCCTGTGGCTACAGGAAAGGGTCCTTGGGTGCCCTGCCTCACCTCGAGAAGCGTCCCTTTTGCCCTGCCAAGCCTCGAAGAGATTCCTGAGGTGTCCCTCGTTACTAGACAGGAGTCCTGACGTCACTGAAGAAACTCGTGTTTTGAAGGGCCATCCCGCCGTAAGTCGAGAACATACCCCAGGTCCCCGCCGCAACTCGAGAAAAACCATGAGACTTCCCCCTAGAGGCGAGATGAGGCCCCATTCCCCTGCAGTGCATGCAGAGCTATTCCGTGATCCCATTCAAACAAGTCAGGAGCTTCGACTTGCTTAATCGATCTCGAGACAGTTCCCAAGAGCACTGTCACCAGTCTAGACGGACCCTGAGGTCACCCCAGCAACACAAAGCAGCTACATGTGCCCCAAATCAACTCGAGATGAGGCCCGATTCCCCTGCATTGACTCCAGAGCCATTCCCCGTTCCCCATTCAACACGACCGGTGGCTCGACTTCCTTCAGGCAACTCCACAGATGCCCCGAGAACACTGTCCCAAGTCTAGAGGAACACCAACTTCAGCACAGCAACTCGAGGAATGCTCCGTGTACCCCAAATCGTCTCGAGATGAGAGCTGATTCCCTGGCTTAGGCTCAAGACGTATGCCAACTTTCCAGAAGCACCTCAGGAGGAGGCTTCTCTCAGCAATAGGTATGTGGGAGGGACCCCGAGTTTGCTGCCTCAATGGGAATATACAGCGAGAAGCCCTAACTTGAAAGGAGGCCGGATTTCCTTGCAGTGGCTTGAATACAGCTCTTCTTTGATCTCAAAACATGAAGGGATGACTGAATGCCCTTTGGTGACCTTAGAGAAAGCCCTAGGTCCATGCCTCATTTTAACGGAATGCCTCACATCCCGCTGACACCTCGAGAGGCACGCAGAGTTCATTGCTTCAAAAGGTGACGATGCCTGACTCCTCTTGAATACTGATAGGAATCCCAAAATCCCTGTGGCTACTGGAAAGGGTCCTTGGGTGCCCTGCCTCACCTCGAGAAGCGTCCCTTTTGGCCTGCCAAGCCTGGAAGAGATTCCTGAGGTGTCCCTCGTTACTAGACAGGAGTCCTGACGTCACTGAAGAAACTCGTGTTTTGAAGGGCCATCACCGCCGAAAGTCGAGAACATACCCCAGGTCCCCGTCGCAACTCGAGAAAAACCATGAGACTTCCCCCTAGAGGCGAGATGAGGCCCCATTCCCCTGCAGTGCATGCAGAGCTATTCCGTGATCCCATTCAAACAAGTCAGGAGCTTCGACTTGCTTAATGGATCTCGAGACAGTCCCCAAGAACACTGTCACCAGTCTAGACGGACCCTGAGGTCACCCCAGCAACGCAAAGCAGCTCCATGTGCCCCAAATCAACTCGAGATGAGGCCCGATTCCCCTGCATTGACCCCAGAGCCATTCCCCGTTCCCCATTCAACACGACCGGTGGCTCGACTTCCTTCAGGCAACTCCAGAGATGCCCCGAGAACACTGTCCCAAGTCTAGAGGAACACCAACTTCAGCACAGCAACTCGAGGAATCCTCCGTGCACCCCAAATCGTCTCGAGATGAGAGCTGATACATTGGCTTAGGCTCAAGGCATTTGCCAACTTTCCAGAAGCAACTCAGGAGGAGGCTTCTCTCAGCAATAGGTATGTGGGAGGGACCCCGAGTGTGCTGCCTCAAGGGGAATATACAGCGAGAAGCCCTAACTTGAAAGGAGGCCGGATTTCCTTGCAGTGGCTTGAATACAGGCCCGTCTTTCATCTCACAACATGAAGGGATGTCTGAATCCCCTGTGGAGACCTTAGAGAAAGCCGTAGGTCCCTGCCTCATTTTGACGGAATGCCTCACATCCCGCTGACAACTCGAGAGGCACGCGGAGTTCATTGCTTCAATAGGTGACGATGCCTGACTCCTCTTGAATACTGATAGGAATCCCAAAATCCCTGGGCTACTGAAAGGGTCCTTGGGTGCCCTGCCTCACCTCGAGAAGCGTCCCTTTTGCCCTGCCAAGCCTCGAAGAGATTCCTGAGGTGTCCCTCGTTACTAGACAGGAGTCCTGACGTCACTGAAGAAACTCGTGTTTTGAAGGGCCATCCCCGCCGTAAGTCGAGAACATACCCCAGGCCCCCGCCGCAACTCGAGAAAAACCATGAGACTTCCCCTTAGAGGCGAGATAAGGCCCCATTCCCCTGCACTGCATGCAGACCTATTCCGTGATCCCATTCAAACAAGTCAGGAGCTTCGACTTGCTTAATCGATCTCGAGACAGTCCCCAAGAACACTGTCACCAGTCTAGACGAACCCTGAGGTCACCCCAGCAACGCAAAGCAGCTCCATGTGCCCCAAATCAACTCGAGATGAGTCCCGATTCCCCTGCATTGACCCCAGAGCTATTACCCGTTCCCCATTCAACACGCCCGGTGGCTCCACTTCCTTCAGGCAACTCCAGAGATGCCCCGAGAACACTGTCCCAAGTCTAGAGGAACACCAACTTCAGCACAGCAACTCGAGGAATGCTCCGTGTACCCCAAATCGTCTCGAGATGAGAGCCGATTACCTGGCTTAGGCTCAAGACGTATGCCTACATTCCAGAAGCACCTCAGGAGGAGGCTTCTCTCAGCAATATGTATGTTGGAGGGACCCCGAGTTTGCTGCCTCAAGGGGAATATACATCGAGAAGCCCTAACTTGAAAGGTGGCCGGATTTCCTTGCAGTGGCTTGAATACAGGCTCGTCTTTCATCTCACAACATGAAGGGATGTCTGAATCCCCTGTGGAGACCTGAGAGAAAGCCCTAGGTCCCAGCCTCATTTTGACGGAATGCCTCACATCCCGCTGACACCTCGAGAGGCACGCGGAGTTCATTGCTTCAAAAGGTGACAATGCCTGACTCCTCTTGAATACTGATAGGAATCCCAAAATCCCTGTGGCTACTGGAAAGGATCCTTGGGTGCCCTGCCTGACCTCGAGAAGCATCACTTTTGCCCAGCCAAGCCTCGAAGAGATTCCTGAGGTGTCCCTCGTTACTAGACAGGAGTCCTGACGTCACTGAAGAAACTCGTGTTTTGAAGGGCCATCCCGCCGTAAGTCGAGAACATACCCCACGTCCCCGCCGCAACTCGAGAAAAACCATGAGACTTCCCCCTAGAGGCGAGATGAGGCCCCATTCCCCTGCAGTGCATGCAGAGCTATTCCGTGATCCCATTCAAACAAGTCAGGAGCTTCGACTTGCTTAATCGATCTCGAGACAGTCCCCAAGAGCACTGTCACCAGTCTAGACGGACCCTGAGGTCACCCCAGCAACACAAAGCAGCTACATGTGCCCCAAATCAACTCGAGATGAGGCCCGATTCCCCTGCATTGACTCCAGAGCCATTCCCCGTTCCCCATTCAACACGACCGGTGGCTCGACTTCCTTCAGGCAACTCCACAGATGCCCGAGAACACTGTCCCAAGTCTAGAGGAACACCAACTTCAGCACAGCAACTCGAGGAATGCTCCGTGTACCCCAAATCGTCTCGAGATGAGAGCTGATTCCCTGGCTTAGGCTCAAGACGTATGCCAACTTTCCAGAAGCACCTCAGGAGGAGGCTTCTCTCAGCAATAGGTATGTGGGAGGGACCCCGAGTTTGCTGCCTCAAGGGGAATATACAGCGAGAAGCCCTAAATTGAAAGGAGGCCCGATTTCCTTGCAGTGGCTTGAATACAGGCTCGTGTTTAATCTCACAACATGAACGCATGTCTGAATCCCCTGTGGAGACCTTAGAGAAAGCCCTAGGTCCCTGCCTCATTTTGACGGAATGCCTCACATCCCGCTGACACCTCGAGAGGCACGCGGAGTTCATTTCTGCAAAATGTGACGATGCCTGACTCCTCTTGAATACTGATAGGAATCCCAAAATCCCTGTGGCTATAGGAAAGGGTCCTTGGGTGCCCTGCCTCACCTCGAGAAGCGTCCCTTTTGCCCTGCCAAGCCTCGAAGAGATTCCTGAGGTGTCCCTCGTTACTAGACAAGAGTCCTGACGTCACTGAAGAAACTCGTGTTTTGAAGGGCCATCCCGCCGTAAGTCGAGAACATACCCCAGGTCCCCGCCGCAACTCGAGAAAAACCATGAGACTTCCCCCTAGAGGCGAGATGAGGCCCCATTCCCCTGCAGTGCATGCAGAGCTATTCCGTGATCCCATTCAAACAAGTCAGGAGCTTCGACTTGCTTAATGGATCTCGAGACAGTCCCCAAGAACACTGTCACCAGTCTAGACGGACCCTGGGGTCACCCCAGCAACGCAAAGCAGCTCCATGTGCCCCAAATCAACTCGAGATGAGGCCCGATTCCCCTGCATTGACTCTAGAGCCATTCCCCGTTCCCCATTCAACACGACCGGTGGCTCGACTTCCTTCAGGCAACTCCAGAGATGCCCCGAGAACACTGTCCCAAGTCTAGAGGAACACCAACTTCAGCACAGCAACTCGAGGAATGCTCCGTGTACCCCAAATCGTCTCGAGATGAGAGCTGATTCCCTGGCTTAGGCTCAAGACGTATGCCAACTTTCCAGAAGCACCTCAGGAGGAGGCTTCTCTCAGCAATAGGTATGTGGGAGGGACCCCGAGTTTGCTGCCTCAATGGGAATATACAGCGAGAAGCCCTAACTTGAAAGGAGGCCGGATTTCCTTGCAGTGGCTTGAATACAGCTCTTCTTTGATCTCAAAACATGAAGGGATGACTGAATGCCCTTTGGAGACCTTAGAGAAAGCCCTAGGTCCATGCCTCATTTTAACGGAATGCCTCACATCCCGCTGACACCTCGAGAGGCACGCGGAGTTCATTGCTTCAAAAGGTGACGATGCCTGACTCCTCTTGAATACTGATAGGAATCCCAAAATCCCTGTGGCTACTGGAAAGGGTCCTTGGGTGCCCTGCCTCACCTCAAGAAGCGTCCCTTTTGCCCTGCCAAGCCTGGAAGAGATTCCTGAGGTGTCCCTCGTTACTAGACAGGAGTCCTGACGTCATTGAAGAAACTCGTGTTTTGAAGGGCCATCCCCGCCGTAAGTCGAGAACATACCCCAGGTCCCCGTCGCAACTCGAGAAAAACCATGAGACTTCCCCCTAGAGGCGAGATGAGGCCCCATTCCCCTGCAGTGCATGCAGAGCTATTCCGTGATCCCATTCAAACTAGTCAGGAGCTTCGACTTGCTTAATGGATCTCGAGACAGTCCCCAAGAACACTGTCACCAGTCTAGACGGACCCTGAGGTCACCCCAGCAACGCAAAGCAGCTCCATGTGCCCCAAATCAACTCGAGATGAGGCCCGATTCCCCTGCATTGACCCCAGAGCCATTCCCCGTTCCCCATTCAACACGACCGGTGGCTCGACTTCCTTCACGCAACTCCAGAGATGCCCCGAGAACACTGTCCCAAGTCTAGAGGAACACCAACTTCAGCACAGCAACTCGAGGAATGCTCCGTGCACCCCAAATCGTCTCGAGATGAGAGCTGATACATTGGCTTAGGCTCAAGGCATTTGCCAACTTTCCAGAAGCAACTCAGGAGGAGGATTCTCTCAGCAATAGGTATGTGGGAGGGACCCCGAGTGTGCTGCCTCAAGGGGAATATACAGCGAGAAGCCCTAACTTGAAAGGAGGCCGGATTTCCTTGCAGTGGCTTGAATACAGGCTCGTCTTTCATCTCACAACATGAAGGGATGTCTGAATCCCCTGTGGAGACCTTAGAGAAAGCCGTAGGTCCCTGCCTCATTTTGACGGAATGCCTCACATCCCGCTGACAACTCGAGAGGCACGCGGAGTTCATTGCTTCAATAGGTGACGATGCCTGACTCCTCTTGAATACTGATAGGAATCCCAAAATCCCTGTGGCTACTGAAAGGGTCCTTGGGTGCCCTGCCTCACCTCGAGAAGCGTCCCTTTTGCCCTGCCAAGCCTCGAAGAGATTCCTGAGGTGTCCCTCGTTACTAGACAGGAGTCCTGACGTCACTGAAGAAACTCGTGTTTTGAAGGGCCATCCCCGCCGTAAGTCGAGAACATACCCCAGGCCCCCGCCGCAACTCGAGAAAAACCATGAGACTTCCCCTTAGAGGCGAGATAAGGCCCCATTCCCCTGCACTGCATGCAGACCTATTCCGTGATCCCATTCAAACAAGTCAGGAGCTTCGACTTGCTTAATCGATCTCGAGACAGTCCCCAAGAACACTGTCACCAGTCTAGACGGACCCTGAGGTCACCCCAGCAACGCAAAGCAGATCCATGTGCCCCAAATCAACTCGAGATGAGGCCCGATTCCCCTGCATTGACCCCAGAGCTATTACCCGTTCCCCATTCAACACGCCCGGTGGCTCCACTTCCTTCAGGCAACTCCAGAGATGCCCCGAGAACACTGTCCCAAGTCTAGAGGAACACCAACTTCAGCACAGCAACTCGAGGAATGCTCCGTGTACCCCAAATCGTCTCGAGATGAGAGCCGATTACCTGGCTTAGGCTCAAGACGTATGCCTACATTCCAGAAGCACCTCAGGAGGAGGCTTCTCTCAGCAATATGTATGTTGGAGGGACCCCGAGTTTGCTGCCTCAAGGGGAATATACATCGAGAAGCCCTAACTTGAAAGGTGGCCGGATTTCCTTGCAGTGGCTTGAATACAGGCTCGTCTTTCATCTCACAACATGAAGGGATGTCTGAATCCCCTGTGGAGACCTGAGAGAAAGCCCTAGGTCCCAGCCTCATTTTGACGGAATGCCTCACATCCCGCTGACACCTCGAGAGGCACGCGGAGTTCATTGCTTCAAAAGGTGACGATGCCTGACTCCTCTTGAATACTGATAGGAATCCCAAAATCCCTGTGGCTACTGGAAAGGATCCTTGGGTGCCCTGCCTGACCTCGAGAAGCATCACTTTTGCCCAGCCAAGCCTCGAAGAGATTCCTGAGGTGTCCCTCGTTACTAGACAGGAGTCCTGACGTCACTGAAGAAACTCGTGTTTTGAAGGGCCATCCCCGCCGTAAGTCGAGAACATACCCCAGGTCCCCGCCGCAACTCGAGAAAAACCATGAGACTTCCCCCTAGAGGCGAGATGAGGCCCCATTCCCCTGCAGTGCATGCAGAGCTATTCCGTGATCCCATTCAAACAAGTCAGGAGCTTCGACTTGCTTAATCGATCTCGAGACAGTCCCCAAGAGCACTGTCACCAGTCTAGACGGACCCTGAGGTCACCCCAGCAACACAAAGCAGCTACATGTGCCCCAAATCAACTCGAGATGAGGCCCGATTCCCCTGCATTGACTCCAGAGCCATTCCCCGTTCCCCATTCAACACGACCGGTGGCTCGACTTCCTTCAGGCAACTCCACAGATGCCCGAGAACACTGTCCCAAGTCTAGAGGAACACCAACTTCAGCACAGCAACTCGAGGAATGCTCCGTGTACCCCAAATCGTCTCGAGATGAGAGCTGATTCCCTGGCTTAGGCTCAAGACGTATGCCAACTTTCCAGAAGCACCTCAGGAGGAGGCTTCTCTCAGCAATAGGTATGTGGGGGGACCCCGAGTTTGCTGCCTCAAGGGGAATATACAGCGAGAAGCCCTACATTGAAAGGAGGCCCAATTTCCTTGCAGTGGCTTGAACACAGGCTCGTGTTTAATCTCACAACATGAAGGCATGTCTGAATCCCCTGTGGAGACCTTAGAGAAAGCCCTAGGTCCCTGCCTCATTTTGACGGAATGCCTCACATCCCGCTGACACCTCGAGAGGCACGCGGAGTTCATTTCTTCAAAATGTGACGATGCCTGACTCCTCTTGAATACTGATAGGAATCCCAAAATCCCTGTGGCTACAGGAAAGGGTCCTTGGGTGCCCTGCCTCACCTCGAGAAGCGTCCCTTTTGCCCTGCCAAGCCTCGAAGAGATTCCTGAGGTGTCCCTCGTTACTAGACAGGAGTCCTGACGTCACTGAAGAAACTCGTGTTTTGAAGGGCCATCCCGCCGTAAGTCGAGAACATACCCCAGGTCCCCGCCGCAACTCGAGAAAAACCATGAGACTTCCCCCTAGAGGCGAGATGAGGCCCCATTCCCCTGCAGTGCATGCAGAGCTATTCCGTGATCCCATTCAAACAAGTCAGGAGCTTCGACTTGCTTAATGGATCTCGAGACAGTCCCCAAGAACACTGTCACCAGTCTAGACGGACCCTGGGGTCACCCCAGCAACGCAAAGCAGCTCCATGTGCCCCAAATCAACTCGAGATGAGGCCCGATTCCCCTGCATTGACTCTAGAGCCATTCCCCGTTCCCCATTCAACACGACCGGTGGCTCGACTTCCTTCAGGCAACTCCAGAGATGCCCCGAGAACACTGTCCCAAGTCTAGAGGAACACCAACTTCAGCACAGCAACTCGAGGAATGCTCCGTGTACCCCAAATCGTCTCGAGATGAGAGCTGATTCCCTGGCTTAGGCTCAAGACGTATGCCAACTTTCCAGAAGCACCTCAGGAGGAGGCTTCTCTCAGCAATAGGTATGTGGGAGGGACCCCGAGTTTGCTGCCTCAATGGGAATATACAGCGAGAAGCCCTAACTTGAAAGGAGGCCGGATTTCCTTGCAGTGGCTTGAATACAGCTCTTCTTTGATCTCAAAACATGAAGGGATGACTGAATGCCCTTTGGAGACCTTAGAGAAAGCCCTAGGTCCATGCCTCATTTTAACGGAATGCCTCACATCCCGCTGACACCTCGAGAGGCACGCAGAGTTCATTGCTTCAAAAGGTGACGATGCCTCATGCCTCTTGAATACTGATAGGAATCCCAAAATCCCTGTGGCTACTGGAAAGGGTCCTTGGGTGCCCTGCCTCACCTCGAGAAGCGTCCCTTTTGCCCTGCCAAGCTTGGAAGAGATTCCTGAGGTGTCCCTCGTTACTAGACAGGAGTCCTGACGTCACTGAAGAAACTCGTGTTTTGAAGGGCCATCCCCGCCGTAAGTCGAGAACATACCCCAGGTCCCCGCCGCAACTCGAGAAAAACCATGAGACTTCCCCCTAGAGGCGAGATGAGGCCCCATTCCCCTGCCGTGCATGCAGAGCTATTCCGTGATCCCATTCAAACAAGTCAGGAGATTCGACTTGCTTAATGGATCTCGAGAGAGTCCCCAAGAACAATGTCACCAGTCTAGACGGACGCTGAGGTAACCCCAGCAAGGCAAAGCAGCTCCATGTGCCCCAAATCAACTCGAGATGAGGCCCGATTCCCCTGCATTGACTCAAGAGCCATTCCCCGATCCCCATTCAACACGACCGGTGGCTCGACTTCCTTCAGGCAACTCCAGAGATTCCCCGAGAACACTGTCCGAAGTCTAGAGGAACACCAACTTCAGCACAGCAACTCGAGGAATGCTCCGTGTACCCCAAATCGTCTCGAGATGAGAGCTGATTCCCTGGCTTAGGGTCAATACGTATGCCAACTTTCCAGAAGCACCTCAGGAGGAGGCTTCTCTCAGCAATAGGTATGTGGGAGGGACCCCGAGTTTGCTGCCTCAAGGGGAATATACAGCGAGAAGCCCTAACTTGAAAGGAGGCCGGATTTCCCTGCAGTGGCTTGAATACAGGCTCTTCTTTGATCTCAAAACATGAAGGGATGACTGAATGCCCTGTGGAGACCTTAGAGAAAGCCCTAGGTCCATGCCTCATTTTGACGGAATGCCTCACATCCCGCTGACACCTCGAGAGGCACGCAGAGTTCATTGCTTCAAAAGGTGACGATGCCTGACTCCTCTTGAATACTGATAGGAATCCCAAAATCCCTGTGGCTACTGGAAAGGGTCCTTGGGTGCCCTGCCTCACCTCGAGAAGCGTCCCTTTTGCCCTGCCAAGCTTGGAAGAGATTCCTGAGGTGTCCCTCGTTACTAGACAGGAGTCCTGACGTCACTGAAGAAACTCGTGTTTTGAAGGGCCATCCCCGCCGTAAGTCGAGAACATACCCCAGGTCCCCGCCGCAACTCGAGAAAAACCATGAGACTTCCCCCTAGAGGCGAGATGAGGCCCCATTCCCCTGCAGTGCATGCAGAGCTATTCCGTGATCCCATTCAAACAAGTCAGGAGATTCGACTTGCTTAATGGATCTCGAGACAGTGCCCAAGAACACTGTCACCAGTCTAGACGGACCCTGAGGTCACCCCAGCAACGCAAAGCAGCTCCATGTGCCCCAAATCAACTCGAGATGAGGCCCGATTCCCCTGCATTGACTCCAGAGCCATTCCCCGATCCCCATTCAACACGACCGGTGGCTCGACTTCCTTCAGGCAACTCCAGAGATTCCCCGAGAACACTGTCCCAAATCTAGAGGAACACCAACTTCAGCACAGCAACTCGAGGAATGCTCCGTGTACCCCAAATCGTCTCGAGATGAGAGCTGATTCCCTGGCTTAGGGTCAATACGTATGCCAACTTTCCAGAAGCACCTCAGGAGGAGGCTTCTCTCAGCAATAGGTATGTGGGAGGGACCCCGAGTTTGCTGCCTCAAGGGGAATATACAGCGAGAAGCCCTAACTTGAAAGGAGGCCGGATTTCCTTGCAGTGGCTTGAATAAAGGCTCGTGTTTAATCTCACAACATGAAGGCATGACTGAATCCCCTGTGTAGACCTTAGAGAAAGCCCTAGGTCCCTGCCTCATTTTGACGGAATGCCTCACATCCCGCTGACACCTCGAGAGGCACGCAGAGTTCATTGCTTCAAAAGGTGACGATGCCTGACTCCTCTTGAATACTGATAGGAATCCCAAATCCCTGTGGCTACAGGAAAGGGTCCTTGGGTGCCCTGCCTCACCTCGAGAAGCGTCCCTTTTGCCCTGCCAAGCCTCGAAGAGATTCCTGAGGTGTCCCTCGTTACTAAACAGGAGTCCTGACGTCACTGAAGAAACTCGTGTTTTGAAGGGCCATCCCGCCGTAAGTCGAGAACATACCCCAGGTCCCCGCCGCAACTCGAGAAAAACCATGAGACTTCCCCCTAGAGTCGAGATGAGGCCCCATTCCCCTGCAGTGCATGCACAGCTATTCCGTGATCCCATTCAAACAAGTCAGGAGCTTCGACTTGCTTAATGGATCGCGAGACAGTCCCCAAGAACACTGTCACCAGTCTAGACGGACGCTGAGGTCACCCCAGCAACGCAAAGCAGCTCCAAGTGCCCCAAATCAACTCGAGATGAGGCCCGATTCCCCTGCATTGACTCCAGAGCCATTCCCCGTTCCCCATTCAACACGACCGGTGGCTCGACTTCCTTCAGGTAACTCCAGAGATGCCCCGAGAACACTGTCCCAAGTCTAGAGGAACACCAACTTCAGCACAGCAACTCGAGGAATGCTCCGTGTACCCCAAATCGTCTCGAGATGAGAGCTGATTCCCTGGCTTAGGCTCAAGACGTATGCCAACTTTCCCGAAGCACCTCAGGAGGAGGCTTCTCTCAGCAATAGGTATGTGGGAGGGACCTCGAGTTTGCTGCCTCAAGGGGAATATACAGCGAGAAGCCCTAACTTGAAAGGAGGCCGGATTTCCCTGCAGTGGCTTGAATACAAGCTCTTCTTTGATCTCAAAACATGAAGGGATGACTGAATGCCCTGTGGAGACCTTAGAGAAAGCCCTAGGACCATGCCTCATTTTGACGGAATGCCTCACATCCCGCTGACACCTCGAGAGGCACGCAGAGTTCATTGCTTCAAAAGGTGACGATGCCTGACTCTTCTTGAATACTGATAGGAATCCCAAAATCCCCGTGGCTACTGGAAAGGGTCCTTGGGTGCCCTGCCTCACCTCGAGAAGCGTCCGTTTTGCCCTGCCAAACCTCGAAGAGATTCCTGAGGTGTCCCTCGTTACTAGACAGGAGTCCTGACGTCAGTGAAGAAACTCGTGTTTTGAAGGGCCATCCCCGCCGTAAGTCGAGAACATACCCCAGGTCCCTGCCGCAACTCGAGAAAAACCATGAGACTTCCCCCTAGAGGCGAGATGAGGCCCCATTCCCCTGCAGTGCATGCAGAGCTATTCCGTGATCCCATTCAAACAAGTCAGGAGCTTCGACTTGCTTAATCGATCTCGAGACAGTCCCCAAGAACACTGTCACCAGTCTAGATGGACCCTGAGGCCACCCCAGCAACGCAAAGCAGCTGCATGTGCCCCAAATCAACTCGAGATGAGGCCCGATTCCCCTGCATTGACTCCAGAGCCATTCCCCGTTCCCCATTCAACACGACCGGTGGCTCGACTTCCTTCAGGCAACTCCAGAGATGCCCCGAGAACACTGTCCCAAGTCTAGAGGAACACTAACTTCAGCACAGCAACTCGAGGAATGCTCCGTGTACCCCAAATCGTCTCGAGATGAGAGCTGATTCCCTGGCTTAGGCTCAAGACGTATGCCAACTTTCCAGAAGCACCTCAGGAGGAGGCTTCTCTCAGCAATAGCTATGTGGGAGGGACCCCGAGTTTGCTGCCTCAAGGGGAATATACAGCGAGAAGCCCTAAATTGAAAGGAGGCCTGATTTCCTTGCAGTGGCTTGAATCCAGGCTCGTGTTTAATCTCACAACATGAAGGCATGTCTGAATCCCCTGTGGAGACCTTAGAGAAAGCCCTAGGTCCCTGCCTCATTTTGACGGAATGCCTCACATCCCGCTGACACCTCGAGAGGCACGCGGAGTTCATTGCTTCAAAAGGTGACGATGCCTGACTCCTCTTGAATACTGATAGGAATCCCAAAATCCCTGTGGCTACAGGAAAGGGTCCTTGGGTGCACTGCCTCACCTCGAGAAGCGTCCCTTTTGCCCTGCCAAGCCTCGAAGAGATTCCTGAGGTGTCCCTCGTTAATAGACAGGAGTCCTGACGTCACTGAAGAAACTCGTGTTTTGAAGGGCCATCCCCGCCGTAAGTCGAGAACATACCCCAGGCTCCCGCCGCAACTCGAGAAAAACCATGAGACTTCCCCTTAGAGGCGAGATAAGGCCCCATTCCCCTGCAGTGCATGCAGAGCTATTCCGTGATCCCATTCAAACAAGTCAGGAGCTTCGACTTGCTTAATCGATCTCGAGACAGTCCCCAAGAGCACTGTCACCAGTCTAGACGGACCCTGAGGTCACCCCAGCAACGCAAAGCAGCTCCATGTGCCCCAAATCAACTCGAGATGAGGCCCGATTCCCCTGCATTGACCCCAGAGCTATTATCCGTTCCCCATTCAACACGACCGGTGGCTCCACTTCCTTCAGGCAACTCCAGAGATGCCCCGAGAACACTGTCCCAAGTCTAGAGGAACACCAACTTCAGCACAGCAACTCGAGGAATGCTCCGTGTACCCCAAATCGTCTCGAGATGAGAGCCGATTACCTGGCTTAGGCTCAAGACGTATGCCTACATTCCAGAAGCACCTCAGGAGGAGGCTTCTCTCAGCAATATGTATGTTGGAGGGACCCCGAGTTTGCTGCCTCAAGGGGAATATACATCGAGAAGCCCTAACTTGAAAGGTGGCCGGATTTCCTTGCAGTGGCTTGAATACAGGCTCGTCTTTCATCTCACAACATGAAGGGATGTCTGAATCCCCTGTGGAGACCTGAGAGAAAGCCCTAGGTCCCAGCCTCATTTTGACAGAATGCCTCACATCCCGCTGACACCTCGAGAGGCACGCGGAGTTCATTGCTTCAAAAGGTGACGATGCCTGACTCCTCTTGAATACTGATAGGAATCCCAAAATCCCTGTGGCTACTGGAAAGGATCCTTGGGTGCCCTGCCTGACCTCGAGAAGCATCACTTTTGCCCAGCCAAGCCTCGAAGAGATTCCTGAGGTGTCCCTCGTTACTAGACAGGAGTCCTGACGTCACTGAAGAAACTCGTGTTTTGAAGGGCCATCCCCGCCGTAAGTCGAGAACATACCCCAGGTCCCCGCCGCAACTCGAGAAAAACCATGAGACTTCCCCCTAGAGGCGAGATGAGGCCCCATTCCCCTGCAGTGCATGCAGAGCTATTCCGTGATCCCATTCAAACAAGTCAGGAGCTTCGACTTGCTTAATCGATCTCGAGACAGTTCCCAAGAGCACTGTCACCAGTCTAGACGGACCCTGAGGTCACCCCAGCAACACAAAGCAGCTACATGTGCCCCAAATCAACTCGAGATGAGGCCCGATTCCCCTGCATTGACTCCAGAGCCATTCCCCGTTCCCCATTCAACACGACCGGTGGCTCGACTTCCTTCAGGCAACTCCACAGATGCCCCGAGAACACTGTCCCAAGTCTAGAGGAACACCAACTTCAGCACAGCAACTCGAGGAATGCTCCGTGTACCCCAAATCGTCTCGAGATGAGAGCTGATTCCCTGGCTTAGGCTCAAGACGTATGCCAACTTTCCAGAAGCACCTCAGGAGGAGGCTTCTCTCAGCAATAGGTATGTGGGAGGGACCCCGAGTTTGCTGCCTCAAGGGGAATATACAGCGAGAAGCCCTAACTTGAAAGGAGGCCGGATTTCCTTGCAGTGGCTTGAATACAGGCTCGTGTTTAATCTCACAACATGAAGGCATGTCTGAATCCCCTGTGGAGACCTTAGAGAAAGCCCTAGGTCCCTGCCTCATTTTGACGGAATGCCTCACATCCCGCTGACACCTCGAGAGGCACGCGGAGTTCATTTCTGCAAAATGTGACGATGCCTGACTCCTCTTGAATACTGATAGGAATCCCAAAATCCCTGTGGCTACAGGAAAGGGTCCTTGGGTGCCCTGCCTCACCTCGAGAAGCGTCCCTTTTGCCCTGCCAAGCCTCGAAGCGATTCCTGAGGTGTCCCTCGTTACTAGACAGGAGTCCTGACGTCACTGAAGAAACTCGTGTTTTGAAGGGCCATCCCGCCGTAAATCGAGAACATACCCCAGGTCCCCGCCGCAACTCGAGAAAAACCATGAGACTTCCCCCTAGAGGCGAGATGAGGCCCCATTCCCCTGCAGTGCATGCAGAGCTATTCCGTGATCCCATTCAAACAAGTCAGGAGCTTCGACTTGCTTAATGGATCTCGAGACAGTCCCCAAGAACACTGTCACCAGTCTAGACGGACCCTGGGGTCACCCCAGCAACGCAAAGCAGCTCCATGTGCCCCAAATCAACTCGAGATGAGGCCCGATTCCCCTGCATTGACTCTAGAGCCATTCCCCGTTCCCCATTCAACACGACCGGTGGCTCGACTTCCTTCAGGCAACTCCAGAGATGCCCCGAGAACACTGTCCCAAGTCTAGAGGAACACCAACTTCAGCACAGCAACTCGAGGAATGCTCCGTGTACCCCAAATCGTCTCGAGATGAGAGCTGATTCCCTGGCTTAGGCTCAAGACGTATGCCAACTTTCCAGAAGCACCTCAGGAGGAGGCTTCTCTCAGCAATAGGTATGTGGGAGGGACCCCGAGTTTGCTGCCTCAATGGGAATATACAGCGAGAAGCCCTAACTTGAAAGGAGGCCGGATTTCCTTGCAGTGGCTTGAATACAGCTCTTCTTTGATCTCAAAACATGAAGGGATGACTGAATGCCCTTTGGAGACCTTAGAGAAAGCCCTAGGTCCATGCCTCATTTTAACGGAATGCCTCACATCCCGCTGACACCTCGAGAGGCACGCAGAGTTCATTGCTTCAAAAGGTGACGATGCCTGACTCCTCTTGAATACTGATAGGAATCCCAAAATCCCTGTGGCTACTGGAAAGGGTCCTTGGGTGCCCTGCCTCACCTCGAGAAGCGTCCCTTTTGCCCTGCCAAGCCTGGAAGAGATTCCTGAGGTGTCCCTCGTTACTAGACAGGAGTCCTGACGTCACTGAAGAAACTCGTGTTTTGAAGGGCCATCCCCGCCGTAAGTCGAGAACATACCCCAGGTCCCCGCCGCAACTCGAGAAAAACCATGAGACTTCCCCCTAGAGGCGAGATGAGGCCCCATTCCCCTGCAGTGCATGCAGAGCTATTCCGTGATCCCATTCAAACAAGTCAGGAGCTTCGACTTGCTTAATCGATCTCGAGACAGTTCCCAAGAGCACTGTCACCAGTCTAGACGGACCCTGAGGTCACCCCAGCAACACAAAGCAGCTACATGTGCCCCAAATCAACTCGAGATGAGGCCCGATTCCCCTGCATTGACTCCAGAGCCATTCCCCGTTCCCCATTCAACACGACCGGTGGCTCGACTTCCTTCAGGCAACTCCACAGATGCCCCGAGAACACTGTCCCAAGTCTAGAGGAACACCAACTTCAGCACAGCAACTCGAGGAATGCTCCGTGTACCCCAAATCGTCTCGAGATGAGAGCTGATTCCCTGGCTTAGGCTCAAGACGTATGCCAACTTTCCAGAAGCACCTCAGGAGGAGGCTTCTCTCAGCAATAGCTATGTGGGAGGGACCCCGAGTTTGCTGCCTCAAGGGGAATATACAGCGAGAAGCCCTAACTTGAAAGGAGGCCGGATTTCCTTGCAGTGGCTTGAATACAGCTCTTCTTTGATCTCAAAACATGAAGGGATGACTGAATGCCCTTTGGAGACCTTAGAGAAAGCCCTAGGTCCATGCCTCATTTTAACGGAATGCCTCACATCCCGCTGACACCTCGAGAGGCACGCAGAGTTCATTGCTTCAAAAGGTGACGATGCCTGACTCCTCTTGAATACTGATAGGAATCCCAAAATCCCTGTGGCTACTGGAAAGGGTCCTTGGGTGCCCTGCCTCACCTCGAGAAGCGTCCCTTTTGCCCTGCCAAGCCTGGAAGAGATTCCTGAGGTGTCCCTCGTTACTAGACAGGAGTCCTGACGTCACTGAAGAAACTCGTGTTTTGAAGGGCCATCCCCGCCGTAAGTCGAGAACATACCCCAGGTCCCCGTCGCAACTCGAGAAAAACCATGAGACTTCCCCCTAGAGGCGAGATGAGGCCCCATTCCCCTGCAGTGCATGCAGAGCTATTCCGTGATCCCATTCAAACAAGTCAGGAGCTTCGACTTGCTTAATGGATCTCGAGACAGTCCCCAAGAACACTGTCACCAGTCTAGACGGACCCTGAGGTCACCCCAGCAACGCAAAGCAGCTCCATGTGCCCCAAATCAACTCGAGATGAGGCCCGATTCCCCTGCATTGACCCCAGAGCCATTCCCCGTTCCCCATTCAACACGACCGGTGGCTCGACTTCCTTCAGGCAACTCCAGAGATGCCCCGAGAACACTGTCCCAAGTCTAGAGGAACACCAACTTCAGCACAGCAACTCGAGGAATGCTCCGTGCACCCCAAATCGTCTCGAGATGAGAGCTGATACATTGGCTTAGGCTCAAGGCATTTGCCAACTTTCCAGAAGCAACTCAGGAGGAGGCTTCTCTCAGCAATAGGTATGTGGGAGGGACCCCGAGTGTGCTGCCTCAAGGGGAATATACATCGAGAAGCCCTAACTTGAAAGGTGGCCGGATTTCCTTGTAGTGGCTTGAATACAGGCTCGTCTTTCATCTCACAACATGAAGGGATGTCTGAATCCCCTGTGGAGACCTGAGAGAAAGCCCTAGGTCCCAGCCTCATTTTGACGGAATGCCTCACATCCCGCTGACACCTCGAGAGGCACGCGGAGTTCATTGCTTCAAAAGGTGACGATGCCTGACTCCTCTTGAATACTGATAGGAATCCCAAAATCCCTGTGGCTACTGGAAAGGATCCTTGGGTGCCCTGCCTGACCTCGAGAAGCATCACTTTTGCCCAGCCAAGCCTCGAAGAGATTCCTGAGGTGTCCCTCGTTACTAGACAGGAGTCCTGACGTCACTGAAGAAACTCGTGTTTTGAAGGGCCATCCCGCCGTAAGTCGAGAACATACCCCAGGTCCCCGCCGCAACTCGAGAAAAACCATGAGACTTCCCCCTAGAGGCGAGATGAGGCCCCATTCCCCTGCAGTGCATGCAGAGCTATTCCGTGATCCCATTCAAACAAGTCAGGAGCTTCGACTTGCTTAATCGATCTCGAGACAGTCCCCAAAAGCACTGTCACCAGTCTAGACGGACCCTGAGGTCACCCCAGCAACACAAAGCAGCTACATGTGCCCCAAATCAACTCGAGATGAGGCCCGATTCCCCTGCATTGACTCCAGAGCCATTCCCCGTTCCCCATTCAACACGACCGGTGGCTCGACTTCCTTCAGGCAACTCCACAGATGCCCGAGAACACTGTCCCAAGTCTAGAGGAACACCAACTTCAGCACAGCAACTCGAGGAATGCTCCGTGTACCCCAAATCGTCTCGAGATGAGAGCTGATTCCCTGGCTTAGGCTCAAGACGTATGCCAACTTTCCAGAAGCACCTCAGGAGGAGGGTTCTCTCAGCAATAGGTATGTGGGAGGGACCCCGAGTTTGCTGCCTCAAGGGGAATATACAGCGAGAAGCCCTAAATTGAAAGGAGGCCCGATTTCCTTGCAGTGGCTTGAATACAGGCTCGTGTTTAATCTCACAACATGAAGGCATGTCTGAATCCCCTGTGGAGACCTTAGAGAAAGCCCTAGGTCCCTGCCTCATTTTGACGGAATGCCTCACATCCCGCTGACACCTCGAGAGGCACGCGGAGTTCATTTCTTCAAAATGTGACGATGCCTGACTCCTCTTGAATACTGATAGGAATCCCAAAATCCCTGTGGCTACAGGAAAGGGTCCTTGGGTGCCGTGCCTCACCTCGAGAAGCGTCCCTTTTGCCCTGCCAAGCCTCGAAGAGATTCCTGAGGTGTCCCTCGTTACTAGACAAGAGTCCTGACGTCACTGAAGAAACTCGTGTTTTGAAGGGCCATCCCGCCGTAAGTCGAGAACATACCCCAGGTCCCCGCCGCAACTCGAGAAAAACCATGAGACTTCCCCCTAGAGGCGAGATGAGGCCCCATTCCCCTGCAGTGCATGCAGAGCTATTCCGTGATCCCATTCAAACAAGTCAGGAGCTTCGACTTGCTTAATGGATCTCGAGACAGTCCCCAAGAACACTGTCACCAGTCTAGACGGACCCTGGGGTCACCCCAGCAACGCAAAGCAGCTCCATGTGCCCCAAATCAACTCGAGATGAGGCCCGATTCCCCTGCATTGACTCTAGAGCCATTCCCCGTTCCCCATTCAACACGACCGGTGGCTCGACTTCCTTCAGGCAACTCCAGAGATGCCCCGAGAACACTGTCCCAAGTCTAGAGGAACACCAACTTCAGCACAGCAACTCGAGGAATGCTCCGTGTACCCCAAATCGTCTCGAGATGAGAGTTGATTCCCTGGCTTAGGCTCAAGACGTATGCCAACTTTCCAGAAGCACCTCAGGAGGAGGCTTCTCTCAGCAATAGGTATGTGGGAGGGACCCCGAGTTTGCTGCCTCAATGGGAATATACAGCGAGAAGCCCTAACTTGAAAGGAGGCCGGATTTCCTTGCAGTGGCTTGAATACAGCTCTTCTTTGATCTCAAAACATGAAGGGATGACTGAATGCCCTTTGGAGACCTTAGAGAAAGCCCTAGGTCCATGCCTCATTTTAACGGAATGCCTCACATCCCGCTGACACCTCGAGAGGCACGCGGAGTTCATTGCTTCAAAAGGTGACGATGCCTGACTCCTCTTGAATACTGATAGGAATCCCAAAATCCCTGTGGCTACTGGAAAGGGTCCTTGGGTGCCCTGCCTCACCTCAAGAAGCGTCCCTTTTGCCCTGCCAAGCCTGGAAGAGATTCCTGAGGTGTCCCTCGTTACTAGACAGGAGTCCTGACGTCATTGAAGAAACTCGTGTTTTGAAGGGCCATCACCGCCGTAAGTCGAGAACATACCCCAGGTCCCCGTCGCAACTCGAGAAAAACCATGAGACTTCCCCCTAGAGGCGAGATGAGGCCCCATTCCCCTGCAGTGCATGCAGAGCTATTCCGTGATCCCATTCAAACAAGTCAGGAGCTTCGACTTGCTTAATGGATCTCGAGACAGTCCCCAAGAACACTGTCACCAGTCTAGACGGACCCTGAGGTCACCCCAGCAACGCAAAGCAGCTCCATGTGCCCCAAATCAACTCGAGATGAGGCCCGATTCCCCTGCATTGACCCCAGAGCCATTCCCCGTTCCCCATTCTACACGACCGGTGGCTCGACTTCCTTCACGCAACTCCAGAGATGCCCCGAGAACACTGTCCCAAGTCTAGAGGAACACCAACTTCAGCACAGCAACTCGAGGAATGCTCCGTGCACCCCAAATCGTCTCGAGATGAGAGCTGATACATTGGCTTAGGCTCAAGGCATTTGCCAACTTTCCAGAAGCAACTCAGGAGGAGGATTCTCTCAGCAATAGGTATGTGGGAGGGACCCCGAGTGTGCTGCCTCAAGGGGAATATACAGCGAGAAGCCCTAACTTGAAAGGAGGCCGGATTTCCTTGCAGTGGCTTGAATACAGGCTCGTCTTTCATCTCACAACATGAAGGGATGTCTGAATCCCCTGTGGAGACCTTAGAGAAAGCCGTAGGTCCCTGCCTCATTTTGACGGAATGCCTCACATCCCGCTGACAACTCGAGAGGCACGCGGAGTTCATTGCTTCAATAGGTGACGATGCCTGACTCCTCTTGAATACTGATAGGAATCCCAAAATCCCTGTGGCTACTGAAAGGGTCCTTGGGTGCCCTGCCTCACCTCGAGAAGCGTCCCTTTTCCCTGCCAAGCCTCGAAGAGATTCCTGAGGTGTCCCTCGTTACTAGACAGGAGTCCTGACGTCACTGAAGAAACTCGTGTTTTGAAGGGCCATCCCCGCCGTAAGTCGAGAACATACCCCAGGCCCCCGCCGCAACTCGAGAAAAACCATGAGACTTCCCCTTAGAGGCGAGATAAGGCCCCATTCCCCTGCACTGCATGCAGACCTATTCCGTGATCCCATTCAAACAAGTCAGGAGCTTCGACTTGCTTAATCGATCTCGAGACAGTCCCCAAGAACACTGTCACCAGTCTAGACGGACCCTGAGGTCACCCCAGCAACGCAAAGCAGATCCATGTGCCCCAAATCAACTCGAGATGAGTCCCGATTCCCCTGCATTGACCCCAGAGCTATTACCCGTTCCCCATTCAACACGCCCGGTGGCTCCACTTCCTTCAGGCAACTCCAGAGATGCCCCGAGAACACTGTCCCAAGTCTAGAGGAACACCAACTTCAGCACAGCAACTCGAGGAATGCTCCGTGTACCCCAAATCGTCTCGAGATGAGAGCCGATTACCTGGCTTAGGCTCAAGACGTATGCCTACATTCCAGAAGCACCTCAGGAGGAGGCTTCTCTCAGCAATAGGTATGTTGGAGGGACCCCGAGTTTGCTGCCTCAAGGGGAATATACATCGAGAAGCCCTAACTTGAAAGGTGGCCGGATTTCCTTGCAGTGGCTTGAATACAGGCTCGTCTTTCATCTCACAACATGAAGGGATGTCTGAATCCCCTGTGGAGACCTGAGAGAAAGCCCTAGGTCCCAGCCTCATTTTGACGGAATGCCTCACATCCCGCTGACACCTCGAGAGGCACGCGGAGTTCATTGCTTCAAAAGGTGACGATGCCTGACTCCTCTTGAATACTGATAGGAATCCCAAAATCCCTGTGGCTACTGGAAAGTATCCTTGGGTGCCCTGCCAGACCTCGAGAAGCATCACTTTTGCCCAGCCAAGCCTCGAAGAGATTCCTGAGGTGTCCCTCGTTACTAGACAGGAGTCCTGACGTCACTGAAGAAACTCGTGTTTTGAAGGGCCATCCCCGCCGTAAGTCGAGAACATACCCCAGGTCCCCGCCGCAACTCGAGAAAAACCATGAGACTTCCCCCTAGAGGCGAGATGAGGCCCCATTCCCCTGCAGTGCATGCAGAGCTATTCCGTGATCCCATTCAAACAAGTCAGGAGCTTCGACTTGCTTAATCGATCTCGAGACAGTCCCCAAGAGCACTGTCACCAGTCTAGACGGACCCTGAGGTCACCCCAGCAACACAAAGCAGCTACATGTGCCCCAAATCAACTCGAGATGAGGCCCGATTCCCCTGCATTGACTCCAGAGCCATTCCCCGTTCCCCATTCAACACGACCGGTGGCTCGACTTCCTTCAGGCAACTCCACAGATGCCCGAGAACACTGTCCCAAGTCTAGAGGAACACCAACTTCAGCACAGCAACTCGAGGAATGCTCCGTGTACCCCAAATCGTCTCGAGATGAGAGCTGATTCCCTGGCTTAGGCTCAAGACGCATGCCAACTTTCCAGAAGCACCTCAGGAGGAGGCTTCTCTCAGCAATAGGTATGTGGGAGGGACCCCGAGTTTGCTGCCTCAAGGGGAATATACAGCGAGAAGCCCTAAATTGAAAGGAGGCCCGATTTCCTTGCAGTGGCTTGAATACAGGCTCGTGTTTAATCTCACAACATGAAGGCATGTCTGAATCCCCTGTGGAGACCTTAGAGAAAGCCCTAGGTCCCTGCCTCATTTTGACGGAATGCCTCACATCCCGCTGACACCTCGAGAGGCACGCGGAGTTCATTTCTTCAAAATGTGACGATGCCTGACTCCTCTTGAATACTGATAGGAATCCCAAAATCCCTGTGGCTACAGGAAAGGGTCCTTGGGTGCCCTGCCTCACCTCGAGAAGCGTCCCTTTTGCCCTGCCAAGCCTCGAAGAGATTCCTGAGGTGTCCCTCGTTACTAGACAGGAGTCCTGACGTCACTGAAGAAACTCGTGTTTTGAAGGGCCATCCCGCCGTAAGTCGAGAACATACCCCAGGTCCCCGCCGCAACTCGAGAAAAACCATGAGACTTCCCCCTAGAGGCGAGATGAGGCCCCATTCCCCTGCAGTGCATGCAGAGCTATTCCGTGATCCCATTCAAACAAGTCAGGAGCTTCGACTTGCTTAATGGATCTCGAGACAGTCCCCAAGAACACTGTCACCAGTCTAGACGGACCCTGGGGTCACCCCAGCAACGCAAAGCAGCTCCATGTGCCCCAAATCAACTCGAGATGAGGCCCGATTCCCCTGCATTGACTCTAGAGCCATTCCCCGTTCCCCATTCAACACGACCGGTGGCTCGACTTCCTTCAGGCAACTCCAGAGATGCCCCGAGAACACTGTCCCAAGTCTAGAGGAACACCAACTTCAGCACAGCAACTCGAGGAATGCTCCGTGTACCCCAAATCGTCTCGAGATGAGAGCTGATTCCCTGGCTTAGGCTCAAGACGTATGCCAACTTTCCAGAAGCACCTCAGGAGGAGGCTTCTCTCAGCAATAGGTATGTGGGAGGGACCCCGAGTTTGCTGCCTCAATGGGAATATACAGCGAGAAGCCCTAACTTGAAAGGAGGCCGGATTTCCTTGCAGTGGCTTGAATACAGCTCTTCTTTGATCTCAAAACATGAAGGGATGACTGAATGCCCTTTGGAGACCTTAGAGAAAGCCCTAGGTCCATGCCTCATTTTAACGGAATGCCTCACATCCCGCTGACACCTCGAGAGGCACGCAGAGTTCATTGCTTCAAAAGGTGACGATGCCTGATGCCTCTTGAATACTGATAGGAATCCCAAAATCCCTGTGGCTACTGGAAAGGTTCCTTGGGTGCCCTGCCTCACCTCGAGAAGCGTCCCTTTTGCCCTGCCAAGCTTGGAAGAGATTCCTGAGGTGTCCCTCGTTACTAGACAGGAGTCCTGACGTCACTGAAGAAACTCGTGTTTTGAAGGGCCATCCCCGCCGTAAGTCGAGAACATACCCCAGGTCCCCGCCGCAACTCGAGAAAAACCATGAGACTTCCCCCTAGAGGCGAGATGAGGCCCCATTCCCCTGCAGTGCATGCAGAGCTATTCCGTGATCCCATTCAAACAAGTCAGGAGATTCGACTTGCTTAATGGATCTCGAGACAGTCCCCAAGAACAATGTCACCAGTCTAGACGGACGCTGAGGTAACCCCAGCAACGCAAAGCAGCTCCATGTGCCCCAAATCAACTCGAGATGAGGCCCGATTCCCCTGCATTGACTCAAGAGCCATTCCCCGATCCCCATTCAACACGACCGGTGGCTCGACTTCCTTCAGGCAACTCCAGAGATTCCCCGAGAACACTGTCCGAAGTCTAGAGGAACACCAACTTCAGCACAGCAACTCGAGGAATGCTCCGTGTACCCCAAATCGTCTCGAGATGAGAGCTGATTCCCTGGCTTAGGGTCAATACGTATGCCAACTTTCCAGAAGCACCTCAGGAGGAGGCTTCTCTCAGCAATAGGTATGTGGGAGGGACCCCGAGTTTGCTGCCTCAAGGGGAATATACAGCGAGAAGCCCTAACTTGAAAGGAGGCCGGATTTCCCTGCAGTGGCTTGAATACAGGCTCTTCTTTGATCTCAAAACATGAAGGGATGACTGAATGCCCTGTGGAGACCTTAGAGAAAGCCCTAGGTCCATGCCTCATTTTGACGGAATGCCTCACATCCCGCTGACACCTCGAGAGGCACGCAGAGTTCATTGCTTCAAAAGGTGACGATGCCTGACTCCTCTTGAATACTGATAGGAATCCCAAAATCCCTGTGGCTACTGGAAAGGGTCCTTGGGTGCCCTGCCTCACCTCGAGAAGCGTCCCTTTTGCCCTGCCAAGCTTGGAAGAGATTCCTGAGGTGTCCCTCGTTACTAGACAGGAGTCCTGACGTCACTGAAGAAACTCGTGTTTTGAAGGGCCATCCCCGCCGTAAGTCGAGAACATACCCCAGGTCCCCGCCGCAACTCGAGAAAAACCATGAGACTTCCCCCTAGAGGCGAGATGAGGCCCCATTCCCCTGCAGTGCATGCAGAGCTATTCCGTGATCCCATTCAAACAAGTCAGGAGATTCGACTTGCTTAATGGATCTCGAGACAGTGCCCAAGAACACTGTCACCAGTCTAGACGGACCCTGAGGTCACCCCAGCAACGCAAAGCAGCTCCATGTGCCCCAAATCAACTCGAGATGAGGCCCGATTCCCCTGCATTGACTCCAGAGCCATTCCCCGATCCCCATTCAACACGACCGGTGGCTCGACTTCCTTCAGGCAACTCCAGAGATTCCCCGAGAACACTGTCCCAAATCTAGAGGAACACCAACTTCAGCACAGCAACTCGAGGAATGCTCCGTGTACCCCAAATCGTCTCGAGATGAGAGCTGATTCCCTGGCTTAGGGTCAATACGTATGCCAACTTTCCAGAAGCACCTCAGGAGGAGGCTTCTCTCAGCAATAGGTATGTTGGAGGGACCCCGAGTTTGCTGCCTCAAGGGGAATATACAGCGAGAAGCCCTAACTTGAAAGGAGGCCGGATTTCCTTGCAGTGGCTTGAATAAAGGCTCGTGTTTAATCTCACAACATGAAGGCATGACTGAATCCCCTGTGTAGACCTTAGAGAAAGCCCTAGGTCCCTGCCTCATTTTGACGGAATGCCTCACATCCCGCTGACACCTCGAGAGGCACGCGGAGTTCATTGCTTCAAAAGGTGACGATGCCTGACTCCTCTTGAATACTGATAGGAATCCCAAAATCCCTGTGGCTACAGGAAAGGGTCCTTGGGTGCCCTGCCTCACCTCGAGAAGCGTCCCTTTTGCCCTGCCAAGCCTCGAAGAGATTCCTGAGGTTTCCCTCGTTACTAAACAGGAGTCCTGACGTCACTGAAGAAACTCGTGTTTTGAAGGGCCATCCCGCCGTAAGTCGAGAACATACCCCAGGTCCCCGCCGCAACTCGAGAAAAACCATGAGACTTCCTCCTAGAGTCGAGATGAGGCCCCATTCCCCTGCAGTGCATGCACAGCTATTCCGTGATCCCATTCAAACAAGTCAGGAGCTTCGACTTGCTTAATGGATCTCGAGACAGTCCCCAAGAACACTGTCACCAGTCTAGACGGACGCTGAGGTCACCCCAGCAACGCAAAGCAGCTCCATGTGCCCAGAATCAACTCGAGATGAGGCCCGATTCCCCTGCATTGACTCCAGAGCCATTCCCCGTTCCCCATTCAACACGACCGGTGGCTCGACTTCCTTCAGGTAACTCCAGAGATGCCCCGAGAACACTGTCCCAAGTCTAGAGGAACACCAACTTCAGCACAGCAACTCGAGGAATGCTCCGTGTACCCCAAATCGTCTCGAGATGAGAGCTGATTCCCTGGCTTAGGCTCAAGACGTATGCCAACTTTCCCGAAGCACCTCAGGAGGAGGCTTCTCTCAGCAATAGGTATGTGGGAGGGACCTCGAGTTTGCTGCCTCAAGGGGAATATACAGCGAGAAGCCCTAACTTGAAAGGAGGCCGGATTTCCCTGCAGTGGCTTGAATACAAGCTCTTCTTTGATCTCAAAACATGAAGGGATGACTGAATGCCCTGTGGAGACCTTAGAGAAAGCCCTAGGACCATGCCTCATTTTGACGGAATGCCTCACATCCCGCTGACACCTCGAGAGGCACGCAGAGTTCATTGCTTCAAAAGGTGACGATGCCTGACTCTTCTTGAATACTGATAGGAATCCCAAAATCCCCGTGGCTACTGGAAAGTGTCCTTGGGTGCCCTGCCTCACCTCGAGAAGCGTCCGTTTTGCCCTGCCAAACCTCGAAGAGATTCCTGAGGTGTCCCTCGTTACTAGACAGGAGTCCTGACGTCAGTGAAGAAACTCGTGTTTTGAAGGGCCATCCCCGCCGTAAGTCGAGAACATACCCCAGGTCCGTGCCGCAACTCGAGAAAAACCATGAGACTTCCCCCTAGAGGCGAGATGAGGCCCCATTCCCCTGCAGTGCATGCAGAGCTATTCCGTGATCCCATTCAAACAAGTCAGGAGCTTCGACTTGCTTAATCGATCTCGAGACAGTCCCCAAGAACACTGTCACCAGTCTAGATGGACCCTGAGGCCACCCCAGCAACGCAAAGCAGCTGCATGTGCCCCAAATCAACTCGAGATGAGGCCCGATTCCCCTGCATTGACTCCAGAGCCATTCCCCGTTCCCCATTCAACACGACCGGTGGCTCGACTTCCTTCAGGCAACTCCAGAGATGCCCCGAGAACACTGTCCCAAGTCTAGAGGAACACTAACTTCAGCACAGCAACTCGAGGAATGCTCCGTGTACCCCAAATCGTCTCGAGATGAGAGCTGATTCCCTGGCTTAGGCTCAAGACGTATGCCAACTTTCCAGAAGCACCTCAGGAGGAGGCTTCTCTCAGCAATAGCTATGTGGGAGGGACCCCGAGTTTGCTGCCTCAAGGGGAATATACAGCGAGAAGCCCTAAATTGAAAGGAGGCCTGATTTCCTTGCAGTGGCTTGAATCCAGGCTCGTGTTTAATCTCACAACATGAAGGCATGTCTGAATCCCCTGTGGAGAACTTAGAGAAAGCCCTAGGTCCCTGCCTCATTTTGACGGAATGCCTCACATCCCGCTGACACCTCGAGAGGCACGCGGAGTTCATTGCTTCAAAAGGTGACGATGCCTGACTCCTCTTGAATACTGATAGGAATCCCAAAATCCCTGTGGCTACAGGAAAGGGTCCTTGGGTGCACTGCCTCACCTGGAGAAGCGTCCCTTTTGCCCTGCCAAGCTTGGAAGAGATTCCTGAGGTGTCCCTCGTTACTAGACAGGAGTCCTGACGTCACTGAAGAAACTCGTGTTTTGAAGGGCCATCCCGCCGTAAGTCGAGAACATACCCCAGGTCCCCGCCGCAACTCGAGTAAAACCATGAGACTTCCCCCTAGAGGCAAGATGAGGCCCCATTCCCCTGCAGTGCATGCAGAGCTATTCCGTGATCCCATTCAAACAAGTCAGGAGCTTCGACTTGCTTAATGGATCTCGAGACAGTCCCCAAGAACACTGTCACCAGTCTAGACAGACCCTGAGGTCACCCCAACAACGCAAAGCAGCTCCATGTGACCCAAATCAACTCGAGATGAAGCCCGATTCCCCTGCATTGACTCCAGAGCCATTCCCCGTTCCCCATTCAACATGACCGGTGGCTCGACTTCCTTCAGGTAACTCCAGAGATGCCCCGAGAACACTGTCCCAAGTCTAGAGGAACACCAACTTCAGCACAGCAACTCGAGGAATGCTCCGTGTACCCCAAATCGTCTCGAGATGAGAGCTGATTCCCTGGCTTAGGCTCAAGACGTATGCCAACTTTCCAGAAGCACCTCAGGAGGAGGCTTCTCTCAGCAATAGTTATGTGGGAGGGACCCCGAGTTTGCTGCCTCAAGGGGAATATACAACGAGAAGCCCTAACTTGAAAGGAGGCCGGATTTCCCTGCAGTGGCTTAAATACAGGCTCTTCTTTGATCTCAAAACATGAAGGGATGACTGAATGCCCTGTGGAGACCTTAGAGAAAGCCCTAGGTCCATGCCTCATTTTGACGGAATGCCTCACATCCCGCTGACACCTCGAGAGGCACGCAGAGTTCATTGCTTCAAAAGGTGACGATGCCTGACTCCTCTTGAATACTGATAGGAATCCCAAAATCCCTGTGGCTACTGGAAAGGGTCCTTGGGTGCCCTGCCTCACCTCGAGAAGCGTCCCTTTTGCCCTGCCAAGCTTGGAAGAGATTCCTGAGGTGTCCCTCGTTACTAGACAGGAGTCCTGACGTCACTGAAGAAACTCGTGTTTTGAAGGGCCATCCCCGCCGTAAGTCGAGAACATACCCCAGGTCCCCGCCGCAACTCGAGAAAAACCATGAGACTTCCCCCTAGAGGCGAGATGAGGCCCCATTCCCCTGCAGTGCATGCAGAGCTATTCCGTGATCCCATTCAAACAAGTCAGGAGATTCGACTTGCTTAATGGATCTCGAGACAGTGCCCAAGAACACTGTCACCAGTCTAGACGGACCCTGAGGTCACCCCAGCAACGCAAAGCAGCTCCATGTGCCCCAAATCAACTCGAGATGAGGCCCGATTCCCCTGCATTGACTCCAGAGCCATTCCCCGATCCCCATTCAACACGACCGGTGGCTCGACTTCCTTCAGGCAACTCCAGAGATTCCCCGAGAACACTGTCCCAAATCTAGAGGAACACCAACTTCAGCACAGCAACTCGAGGAATGCTCCGTGTACCCCAAATCGTCTCGAGATGAGAGCTGATTCCCTGGCTTAGGGTCAATACGTATGCCAACTTTCCAGAAGCACCTCAGGAGGAGGCTTCTCTCAGCAATAGGTATGTTGGAGGGACCCCGAGTTTGCTGCCTCAAGGGGAATATACATCGAGAAGCCCTAACTTGAAAGGAGGCCGGATTTCCTTGCAGTGGCTTGAATAAAGGCTCGTGTTTAATCTCACAACATGAAGGCATGACTGAATCCCCTGTGTAGACCTTAGAGAAAGCCCTAGGTCCCTGCCTCATTTTGACGGAATGCCTCACATCCCGCTGACACCTCGAGAGGCACGCGGAGTTCATTGCTTCAAAAGGTGACGATGCCTGACTCCTCTTGAATACTGATAGGAATCCCAAAATCCCTGTGGCTACAGGAAAGGGTCCTTGGGTGCCCTGCCTCACCTCGAGAAGCGTCCCTTTTGCCCTGCCAAGCCTCGAAGAGATTCCTGAGGTGTCCCTCGTTACTAAACAGGAGTCCTGACGTCACTGAAGAAACTCGTGTTTTGAAGGGCCATCCCGCCGTAAGTCGAGAACATACCCCAGGTCCCCGCCGCAACTCGAGAAAAACCATGAGACTTCCCCCTAGAGTCGAGATGAGGCCCCATTCCCCTGCAGTGCATGCACAGCTATTCCGTGATCCCATTCAAACAAGTCAGGAGCTTCGACTTCCTTAATGGATCTCGAGACAGTCCCCAAGAACACTGTCACCAGTCTAGACGGACGCTGAGGTCACCCCAGCAACGCAAAGCAGCTCCATGTGCCCAAAATCAACTCGAGATGAGGCCCGATTCCCCTGCATTGACTCCAGAGCCATTCCCCGTTCCCCATTCAACACGACCGGTGGCTCGACTTCCTTCAGGTAACTCCAGAGATGCCCTGAGAACACTGTCCCAAGTCTAGAGGAACACCAACTTCAGCACAGCAACTCGAGGAATGCTCCGTGTACCCCAAATCGTCTCGAGATGAGGGCTGATTCCCTGGCTTAGGCTCAAGACGTATGCCAACTTTCCAGAAGCACCTCAGGAGGAGGCTTCTCTCAGCAATAGGTATGTGGGAGGGACCCCGAGTTTGCTGCCTCAAGGGGAATATACAGCGAGAAGCCCTAACTTGAAAGGAGGCCGGATTTCCCTGCAGTGGCTTGAATACAAGCTCTTCTTTGATCTCAAAACATGAAGGGATGACTGAATGCCCTGTGGAGACCTTAGAGAAAGCCCTAGGACCATGCCTCATTTTGACGGAATGCCTCACATCCCGCTGACACCTCGAGAGGCACGCGGAGTTCATTGCTTCAAAAGGTGACGATGCCTGACTCCTCTTGAATACTGATAGGAATCCCAAAATCCCTGTGGCTAAAGGAAAGGGTCCTTGGGTGCCCTGCCTCACCTCGAGAAGCGTCCCTTTTGCCCTGCCAAGCCTGGAAGAGATTCCTGAGGTGTCCCTCGTTACTAGACAGGAGTCCTGACGTCATTGAAGAAACTCGTGTTTTGAAGGGCCATCAACCCCGTAAGTCGAGAACATACCCCAGGTCCCCGTCGCAACTCGAGAAAAACCATGAGACTTCCCCCTAGAGGCGAGATGAGGCCCCATTCCCCTGCAGTGCATGCAGAGCTATTCCGTGATCCCATTCAAACAAGTCAGGAGCTTCGACTTGCTTAATCGATCTCGAGACAGTCCCCAAGAACACTGTCACCAGTCTAGACGGACCCTGAGGTCACCCCAGCAACGCAAAGCAGCTCCATGTGCCCCAAATCAACTCGAGATGAGGCCCGATTCCCCTGCATTGACCCCAGAGCCATTCCCCGTTCCCCATTCAACACGACCGGTGGCTCGACTTCCTTCAGGCAACTCCAGAGATGCCCCGAGAACACTGTCCCAAGTCTAGAGGAACACCAACTTCAGCACAGCAACTCGAGGAATGCTCCGTGTACCCCAAATCGTCTCGAGATGAGAGCTGATTCCCTGGCTTAGGCTCAAGACGCATGCCAACTTTCCAGAAGCACCTCAGGAGGAGGCTTCTCTCAGCAATAGGTATGTGGGAGGGACCCCGAGTTTGCTGCCTCAAGGGGAATATACAGCAAGAAGCCCTAAATTGAAAGGAGGCCCGATTTCCTTGCAGTGGCTTGAATACAGGCTCGTGTTTAATCTCACAACATGAAGGCATGTCTGAATCCCCTGTGGAGACCTTAGAGAAAGCCCTAGGTCCCTGCCTCATTTTGACGGAATGCCTCACATCCCGCTGACACCTCGAGAGGCACGCGGAGTTCATTTCTTCAAAATGTGACGATGCCTGACTCCTCTTGAATACTGATAGGAATCCCAAAATCCCTGTGGCTACAGGAAAGGGTCCTTGGGTGCCCTGCCTCACCTCGAGAAGCGTCCCTTTTGCCCTGCCAAGCCTCGAAGAGATTCCTGAGGTGTCCCTCGTTACTAGACAGGAGTCCTGACGTCACTGAAGAAACTCGTGTTTTGAAGGGCCATCCCGCCGTAAGTCGAGAACATACCCCAGGTCCCCGCCGCAACTCGAGAAAAACCATGAGACTTCCCCCTAGAGGCGAGATGAGGCCCCATTCCCCTGCAGTGCATGCAGAGCTATTCCGTGATCCCATTCAAACAAGTCAGGAGCTTCGACTTGCTTAATGGATCTCGAGACAGTCCCCAAGAACACTGTCACCAGTCTAGACGGACCCTGGGGTCACCCCAGCAACGCAAAGCAGCTCCATGTGCCCCAAATCAACTCGAGATGAGGCCCGATTCCCCTGCATTGACTCTAGAGCCATTCCCCGTTCCCCATTCAACACGACCGGTGGCTCGACTTCCTTCAGGCAACTCCAGAGATGCCCCGAGAACACTGTCCCAAGTCTAGAGGAACACCAACTTCAGCACAGCAACTCGAGGAATGCTCCGTGTACCCCAAATCGTCTCGAGATGAGAGCTGATTCCCTGGCTTAGGCTCAAGACGTATGCCAACTTTCCAGAAGCACCTCAGGAGGAGGCTTCTCTCAGCAATAGGTATGTGGGAGGGACCCCGAGTTTGCTGCCTCAATGGGAATATACAGCGAGAAGCCCTAACTTGAAAGGAGGCCGGATTTCCTTGCAGTGGCTTGAATACAGCTCTTCTTTGATCTCAAAACATGAAGGGATGACTGAATGCCCTTTGGAGACCTTAGAGAAAGCCCTAGGTCCATGCCTCATTTTAACGGAATGCCTCACATCCCGCTGACACCTCGAGAGGCACGCAGAGTTCATTGCTTCAAAAGGTGACGATGCCTGATGCCTCTTGAATACTGATAGGAATCCCAAAATCCCTGTGGCTACTGGAAAGGTTCCTTGGGTGCCCTGCCTCACCTCGAGAAGCGTCCCTTTTGCCCTGCCAAGCTTGGAAGAGATTCCTGAGGTGTCCCTCGTTACTAGACAGGAGTCCTGACGTCACTGAAGAAACTCGTGTTTTGAAGGGCCATCCCCGCCGTAAGTCGAGAACATACCCCAGGTCCCCGCCGCAACTCGAGAAAAACCATGAGACTTCCCCCTAGAGGCGAGATGAGGCCCCATTCCCCTGCAGTGCATGCAGAGCTATTCCGTGATCCCATTCAAACAAGTCAGGAGATTCGACTTGCTTAATGGATCTCGAGACAGTCCCCAAGAACAATGTCACCAGTCTAGACGGACGCTGAGGTAACCCCAGCAACGCAAAGCAGCTCCATGTGCCCCAAATCAACTCGAGATGAGGCCCGATTCCCCTGCATTGACTCAAGAGCCATTCCCCGATCCCCATTCAACACGACCGGTGGCTCGACTTCCTTCAGGCAACTCCAGAGATTCCCCGAGAACACTGTCCGAAGTCTAGAGGAACACCAACTTCAGCACAGCAACTCGAGGAATGCTCCGTGTACCCCAAATCGTCTCGAGATGAGAGCTGATTCCCTGGCTTAGGGTCAATACGTATGCCAACTTTCCAGAAGCACCTCAGGAGGAGGCTTCTCTCAGCAATAGGTATGTGGGAGGGACACCGAGTTTGCTGCCTCAAGGGGAATATACAGCGAGAAGCCCTAACTTGAAAGGAGGCCGGATTTCCCTGCAGTGGCTTGAATACAGGCTCTTCTTTGATCTCAAAACATGAAGGGATGACTGAATGCCCTGTGGAGACCTTAGAGAAAGCCCTAGGTCCATGCCTCATTTTGACGGAATGCCTCACATCCCGCTGACACCTCGAGAGGCACGCAGAGTTCATTGCTTCAAAAGGTGACGATGCCTGACTCCTCTTGAATACTGATAGGAATCCCAAAATCCCTGTGGCTACTGGAAAGGGTCCTTGGGTGCCCTGCCTCACCTCGAGAAGCGTCCCTTTTGCCCTGCCAAGCTTGGAAGAGATTCCTGAGGTGTCCCTCGTTACTAGACAGGAGTCCTGACGTCACTGAAGAAACTCGTGTTTTGAAGGGCCATCCCCGCCGTAAGTCGAGAACATACCCCAGGTCCCCGCCGCAACTCGAGAAAAACCATGAGACTTCCCCCTAGAGGCGAGATGAGGCCCCATTCCCCTGCAGTGCATGCAGAGCTATTCCGTGATCCCATTCAAACAAGTCAGGAGATTCGACTTGCTTAATGGATCTCGAGACAGTGCCCAAGAACACTGTCACCAGTCTAGACGGACCCTGAGGTCACCCCAGCAACGCAAAGCAGCTCCATGTGCCCCAAATCAACTCGAGATGAGGCCCGATTCCCCTGCATTGACTCCAGAGCCATTCCCCGATCCCCATTCAACACGACCGGTGGCTCGACTTCCTTCAGGCAACTCCAGAGATTCCCCGAGAACACTGTCCCAAATCTAGAGGAACACCACCTTCAGCACAGCAACTCGAGGAATGCTCCGTGTACCCCAAATCGTCTCGAGATGAGAGCTGATTCCCTGGCTTAGGGTCAATACGTATGCCAACTTTCCAGAAGCACCTCAGGAGGAGGCTTCTCTCAGCAATAGGTATGTTGGAGGGACCCCGAGTTTGCTGCCTCAAGGGGAATATACAGCGAGAAGCCCTAACTTGAAAGGAGGCCGGATTTCCTTGCAGTGGCTTGAATAAAGGCTCGTGTTTAATCTCACAACATGAAGGCATGACTGAATCCCCTGTGTAGACCTTAGAGAAAGCCCTAGGTCCCTGCCTCATTTTGACGGAATGCCTCACATCCCGCTGACACCTCGAGAGGCACGCGGAGTTCATTGCTTCAAAAGGTGACGATGCCTGACTCCTCTTGAATACTGATAGGAATCCCAAAATCCCTGTGGCTACAGGAAAGGGTCCTTGGGTGCCCTGCCTCACCTCGAGAAGCGTCCCTTTTGCCCTGCCAAGCCTCGAAGAGATTCCTGAGGTGTCCCTCGTTACTAAACAGGAGTCCTGACGTCACTGAAGAAACTCGTGTTTTGAAGGGCCATCCCGCCGTAAGTCGAGAACATACCCCAGGTCCCCGCCGCAACTCGAGAAAAACCATGAGACTTCCCCCTAGAGTCGAGATGAGGCCCCATTCCCCTGCAGTGCATGCACAGCTATTCCGTGATCCCATTCAAACAAGTCAGGAGCTTCGACTTGCTTAATGGATCTCGAGACAGTCCCCAAGAACACTGTCACCAGTCTAGACGGACGCTGAGGTCACCCCAGCAACGCAAAGCAGCTCCATGTGCCCAAAATCAACTCGAGATGAGGCCCGATTCCCCTGCATTGACTCCAGAGCCATTCCCCGTTCCCCATTCAACACGACCGGTGGCTCGACTTCCTTCCGGTAACTCCAGAGATGCCCCGAGAACACTGTCCCAAGTCTAGAGGAACACCAACTTCAGCACAGCAACTCGAGGAATGCTCCGTGTACCCCAAATCGTCTCGAGATGAGAGCTGATTCCCTGGCTTAGGCTCAAGACGTATGCCAACTTTCCCGAATCACCTCGGGAGGAGGCTTCTCTCAGCAATAGGTATGTGGGAGGGACCTCGAGTTTGCTGCCTCAAGGGGAATATACAGCGAGAAGCCCTAACTTGAAAGGAGGCCGGATTTCCCTGCAGTGGCTTGAATACAAGCTCTTCTTTGATCTCAAAACATGAAGGGATGACTGAATGCCCTGTGGAGACCTTAGAGAAAGCCCTAGGACCATGCCTCATTTTGACGGAATGCCTCACATCCCGCTGACACCTCGAGAGGCACGCAGAGTTCATTGCTTCAAAAGGTGACGATGCCTGACTCTTCTTGAATACTGATAGGAATCCCAAAATCCCCGTGGCTACTGGAAAGGGTCCTTGGGTGCCCTGCCTCACCTCGAGAAGCGTCCGTTTTGCCCTGCCAAACCTCGAAGAGATTCCTGAGGTGTCCCTCGTTACTAGACAGGAGTCCTGACGTCACTGAAGAAACTCGTGTTTTGAAGGGCCATCCCCGCCGTAAGTCGAGAACATACCCCAGGTCCCTGCCGCAACTCGAGAAAAACCATGAGACTTCCCCCTAGAGGCGAGATGAGGCCCCATTCCCCTGCAGTGCATGCAGAGCTATTCCGTGATCCCATTCAAACAAGTCAGGAGCTTCGACTTGCTTAATCGATCTCGAGACAGTCCCCAAGAACACTGTCACCAGTCTAGATGGACCCTGAGGCCACCCCAGCAACGCAAAGCAGCTGCATGTGCCCCAAATCAACTCGAGATGAGGCCCGATTCCCCTGCATTGACTCCAGAGCCATTCCCCGTTCCCCATTCAACACGACCGGTGGCTCGACTTCCTTCAGGCAACTCCAGAGATGCCCCGAGAACACTGTCCCAAGTCTAGAGGAACACTAACTTCAGCACAGCAACTCGAGGAATGCTCCGTGTACCCCAAATCGTCTCGAGATGAGAGCTGATTCCCTGGCTTAGGCTCAAGACGTATGCCAACTTTCCAGAAGCACCTCAGGAGGAGGCTTCTCTCAGCAATAGCTATGTGGGAGGGACCCCGAGTTTGCTGCCTCAAGGGGAATATACAGCGAGAAGCCCTAAATTGAAAGGAGGCCTGATTTCCTTGCAGTGGCTTGAATCCAGGCTCGTGTTTAATCTCACAACATGAAGGCATGTCTGAATCCCCTGTGGAGACCTTAGAGAAAGCCCTAGGTCCCTGCCTCATTTTGACGGAATGCCTCACATCCCGCTGACACCTCGAGAGGCACGCGGAGTTCATTGCTTCAAAAGGTGACGATGCCTGACTCCTCTTGAATACTGATAGGAATCCCAAAATCCCTGTGGCTACAGGAAAGGGTCCTTGGGTGCACTGCCTCACCTGGAGAAGCGTCCCTTTTGCCCTGCCAAGCTTGGAAGAGATTCCTGAGGTGTCCCTCGTTACTAGACAGGAGTCCTGACGTCACTGAAGAAACTCGTGTTTTGAAGGGCCATCCCGCCGTAAGTCGAGAACATACCCCAGGTCCCCGCCGCAACTCGAGTAAAACCATGAGACTTCCCCCTAGAGGCAAGATAAGGCCCCATTCCCCTGCAGTGCATGCAGAGCTATTCCGTGATCCCATTCAAACAAGTCAGGAGCTTCGACTTGCTTAATGGATCTCGAGACAGTCCCCAAGAACACTGTCACCAGTCTAGACAGACCCTGAGGTCACCCCAGCAACGCAAAGCAGCTCCATGTGACCCAAATCAACTCGAGATGAAGCCCGATTCCCCTGCATTGACTCCAGAGCCATTCCCCGTTCCCCATTCAACATGACCGGTGGCTCGACTTCCTTCAGGTAACTCCAGAGATGCCCCGAGAACACTGTCCCAAGTCTAGAGGAACACCAACTTCAGCACAGCAAATCGAGGAATGCTCCGTGTACCCCAAATCGTCTCGAGATGAGAGCTGATTCCCTGGCTTAGGCTCAAGATGTATGCCAACTTTCCAGAAGCACCTCAGGAGGAGGCTTCTCTCAGCAATAGTTATGTGGGAGGGACCCCGAGTTTGCTGCCTCAAGGGGAATATACAACGAGAAGCCCTAACTTGAAAGGAGGCCGGATTTCCCTGCAGTGGCTTAAATACAGGCTCTTCTTTGATCTCAAAACATGAAGGGATGACTGAATGCCCTGTGGAGACCTTAGAGAAAGCCCTAGGTCCATGCCTCATTTTGACGGAATGCCTCACATCCCGCTGACACCTCGAGAGGCACGCAGAGTTCATTGCTTCAAAAGGTGACGATGCCTGACTCCTCTTGAATACTGATAGGAATCCCAAAATCCCTGTGGCTACTGGAAAGGGTCCTTGGGTGCCCTGCCTCACCTCGAGAAGCGTCCCTTTTGCCCTGCCAAGCTTGGAAGAGATTCCTGAGGTGTCCCTCGTTACTAGACAGGAGTCCTGACGTCACTGAAGAAACTCGTGTTTTGAAGGGCCATCCCCGCCGTAAGTCGAGAACATACCCCAGGTCCCCGCCGCAACTCGAGAAAAACCATGAGACTTCCCCCTAGAGGCGAGATGAGGCCCCATTCCCCTGCAGTGCATGCAGAGCTATTCCGTGATCCCATTCAAACAAGTCAGGAGATTCGACTTGCTTAATGGATCTCGAGACAGTCCCCAAGAACAATGTCACCAGTCTAGACGGACGCTGAGGTCACCCCAGCAACGCAAAGCAGCTCCATGTGCCCCAAATCAACTCGAGATGAGGCCCGATTCCCCTGCATTGACTCCAGAGCCATTCCCCGATCCCCATTCAACACGACCGGTGGCTCGACTTCCTTCAGGCAACTCCAGAGATTCCCCGAGAACACTGTCCGAAGTCTAGAGGAACACCAACTTCAGCACAGCAACTCGAGGAATGCTCCGTGTACCCCAAATCGTCTCGAGATGAGAGCTGATTCCCTGGCTTAGGGTCAATACGTATGCCAACTTTCCAGAAGCACCTCAGGAGGAGGCTTCTCTCAGCAATAGGTATGTGGGAGGGACCCCGAGTTTGCTGCCTCAAGGGGAATATACAGCGAGAAGCCCTAACTTGAAAGGAGGCCGGATTTCCCTGCAGTGGCTTGAATACAGGCTCTTCTTTGATCTCAAAACATGAAGGGATGACTGAATGCCCTGTGGAGACCTTAGAGAAAGCCCTAGGTCCATGCCTCATTTTGACGGAATGCCTCACATCCCGCTGACACCTCGAGAGGCACGCAGAGTTCATTGCTTCAAAAGGTGACGATGCCTGACTCCTCTTGAATACTGATAGGAATCCCAAAATCCCTGTGGCTACTGGAAAGGGTCCTTGGGTGCCCTGCCTCACCTCGAGAAGCGTCCCTTTTGCCCTGCCAAGCTTGGAAGAGATTCCTGAGGTGTCCCTCGTTACTAGACAGGAGTCCTGACGTCACTGAAGAAACTCGTGTTTTGAAGGGCCATCCCCGCCGTAAGTCGAGAACATACCCCAGGTCCCCGCCGCAACTCGAGAAAAACCATGAGACTTCCCCCTAGAGGCGAGATGAGGCCCCATTCCCCTGCAGTGCATGCAGAGCTATTCCGTGATCCCATTCAAACAAGTCAGGAGATTCGACTTGCTTAATGGATCTCGAGACAGTGCCCAAGAACACTGTCACCAGTCTAGACGGACCCTGAGGTCACCCCAGCAACGCAAAGCAGCTGCATGTGCCCCAAATCAACTCGAGATGAGGCCCGATTCCCCTGCATTGACTCCAGAGCCATTCCCCGATCCCCATTCAACACGACCGGTGGCTCGACTTCCTTCAGGCAACTCCAGAGATTCCCCGAGAACACTGTCCCAAATCTAGAGGAACACCAACTTCAGCACAGCAACTCGAGGAATGCTCCGTGTACCCCAAATCGTCTCGAGATGAGAGCTGATTCCCTGGCTTAGGGTCAATACGTATGCCAACTTTCCAGAAGCACCTCAGGAGGAGGCTTCTCTCAGCAATAGGTATGTGGGAGGGACCCCGAGTTTGCTGCCTCAAGGGGAATATACAGCGAGAAGCCCTAACTTGAAAGGAGGCCGGATTTCCTTGCAGTGGCTTGAATAAAGGCTCGTGTTTAATCTCACAACATGAAGGCATGACTGAATCCCCTGTGTAGACCTTAGAGAAAGCCCTAGGTCCCTGCCTCATTTTGACGGAATGCCTCACATCCCGCTGACACCTCGAGAGGCACGCGGAGTTCATTGCTTCAAAAGGTGACGATGCCTGACTCCTCTTGAATACTGATAGGAATCCCAAAATCCCTGTGGCTACAGGAAAGGGTCCTTGGGTGCCCTGCCTCACCTCGAGAAGCGTCCCTTTTGCCCTGCCAAGCCTCGAAGAGATTCCTGAGGTGTCCCTCGTTACTAAACAGGAGTCCTGACGTCACTGAAGAAACTCGTGTTTTGAAGGGCCATCCCGCCGTAAGTCGAGAACATACCCCAGGTCCCCGCCGCAACTCGAGAAAAACCATGAGACTTCCCCCTAGAGTCGAGATGAGGCCCCATTCCCCTGCAGTGCATGCACAGCTATTCCGTGATCCCATTCAAACAAGTCAGGAGCTTCGACTTGCTTAATGGATCTCGAGACAGTCCCCAAGAACACTGTCACCAGTCTAGACGGACGCTGAGGTCACCCCAGCAACGCAAAGCAGCTCCATGTGCCCAAAATCAACTCGAGATGAGGCCCGATTCCCCTGCATTGACTCCAGAGCCATTCCCCGTTTCCCATTCAACACGACCGGTGGCTCGACTTCCTTCAGGTAACTCCAGAGATGCCCTGAGAACACTGTCCCAAGTCTAGAGGAACACCAACTTCAGCACAGCAACTCGAGGAATGCTCCGTGTACCCCAAATCGTCTCGAGATGAGGGCTGATTCCCTGGCTTAGGCTCAAGACGTATGCCAACTTTCCAGAAGCACCTCAGGAGGAGGCTTCTCTCAGCAATAGGTATGTGGGAGGGACCCCGAGTTTGCTGCCTCAAGGGGAATATACAGCGAGAAGCCCTAACTTGAAAGGAGGCCGGATTTCCCTGCAGTGGCTTGAATACAAGCTCTTCTTTGATCTCAAAACATGAAGGGATGACTGAATGCCCTGTGGAGACCTTAGAGAAAGCCCTAGGACCATGCCTCATTTTGACGGAATGCCTCACATCCCGCTGACACCTCGAGAGGCACGCGGAGTTCATTGCTTCAAAAGGTGACGATGCCTGACTCCTCTTGAATACTGATAGGAATCCCAAAATCCCTGTGGCTAAAGGAAAGGGTCCTTGGGTGCCCTGCCTCACCTCGAGAAGCGTCCCTTTTGCCCTGCCAAGCCTGGAAGAGATTCCTGAGGTGTCCCTCGTTACTAGACAGGAGTCCTGACGTCATTGAAGAAACTCGTGTTTTGAAGGGCCATCAACCCCGTAAGTCGAGAACATACCCCAGGTCCCCGTCGCAACTCGAGAAAAACCATGAGACTTCCCCCTAGAGGCGAGATGAGGCCCCATTCCCCTGCAGTGCATGCAGAGCTATTCCGTGATCCCATTCAAACAAGTCAGGAGCTTCGACTTGCTTAATCGATCTCGAGACAGAACCCAAGAACACTGTCACCAGTCTAGACGGACCCTGAGGTCACCCCAGCAACGCAAAGCAGCTCCATGTGCCCCAAATCAACTCGAGATGAGGCCCGATTCCCCTGCATTGACCCCAGAGCCATTCCCCGTTCCCCATTCAACACGACCGGTGGCTCGACTTCCTTCACGCAACTCCAGAGATGCCCCGAGAACACTGTCCCAAGTCTAGAGGAACACCAACTTCAGCACAGCAACTCGAGGAATGCTCCGTGCACCCCAAATCGTCTCGAGATGAGAGCTGATACATTGGCTTAGGCTCAAGGCATTTGCCAACTTTCCAGAAGCAACTCAGGAGGAGGCTTCTCTCAGCAATAGGTATGTGGGAGGGACCCCGAGTGTGCTGCCTCAAGGGGAATATACAGCGAGAAGCCCTAACTTGAAAGGAGGCCGGATTTCCTTGCAGTGGCTTGAATACAGGCTCGTCTTTCATCTCACAACACGAAGGGATGTCTGAATCCCCTGTGTAGACCTTAGAGAAAGCCGTAGGTCCCTGCCTCATTTTGACGGAATGCCTCACATCCCGCTGACAACTCGAGAGGCACGCGGAGTTCATTGCTTCAATAGGTGACGATGCCTGACTCCTCTTGAATACTGATAGGAATCCCAAAATCCCTGTGGCTACTGAAAGGGTCCTTGGGTGCCCTGCCTCACCTCGAGAAGCGTACCTTTTGCCCTGCCAAGCCTCGAAGAGATTCCTGAGGTGTCCCTCGTTACTAGACAGGAGTCCTGACGTCACTGAAGAAACTCGTGTTTTGAAGGGCCATCCCCGCCGTAAGTCGAGAACATACCCCAGGCTCCCGCCGCAACTCGAGAAAAACCATGAGACTTCCCCTTAGAGGCGAGATAAGGCCCCATTCCCCTGCACTGCATGCAGACCTATTCCGTGATCCCATTCAAACAAGTCAGGAGCTTCGACTTGCTTAATCGATCTCGAGACAGTCCCCAAGAACACTGTCACCAGTTTAGACGGACCCTGAGGTCACCCCAGCAACGCAAAGCAGCTCCATGTGCCCCAAATCAACTCGAGATGAGGCCCGATTCCCCTGCATTGACCCCAGAGCTATTACCCGTTCCCCATTCAACATGACCGGTGGCTCCACTTCCTTCAGGCAACTCCAGAGATGCCCCGAGAACACTGTCCCAAGTCTAGAGGAACACCAACTTCAGCACAGCAACTCGAGGAATGCTCCGTGTACCCCAAATCGTCTCGAGATGAGAGCCGATTACCTGGCTTAGGCTCAAGACGTATGCCTACATTCCAGAAGCACCTCAGGAGGAGGCTTCTCTCAGCAATATGTATGTTGGAGGGACCCCGAGTTTGCTGCCTCAAGGGGAATATACATCGAGAAGCCCTAACTTGAAAGGTGGCCGGATTTCCTTGCAGTGGCTTGAATACAGGCTCGTCTTTCATCTCACAACATGAAGGGATGTCTGAATCCCCTGTGGAGACCTGAGAGAAAGCCCTAGGTCCCAGCCTCATTTTGACGGAATGCCTCACATCCCGCTGACACCTCGAGAGGCACGCGGAGTTCATTGCTTCAAAAGGTGACGATGCCTGACTCCTCTTGAATACTGATAGGAATCCCAAAATCCCTGTGGCTACTGGAAAGGATCCTTGGGTGCCCTGCCTGACCTCGAGAAGCATCACTTTTGCCCAGCCAAGCCTGGAAGAGATTCCTGAGGTGTCCCTCGTTACTAGACAGGAGTCCTGACGTCACTGAAGAAACTCGTGTTTTGAAGGGCCATCCCCGCCGTAAGTCGAGAACATACCCCAGGTCCCCGCCGCAACTCGAGAAAAACCATGAGACTTCCCCCTAGAGGCGAGATGAGGCCCCATTCCCCTGCAGTGCATGCAGAGCTATTCCGTGATCCCATTCAAACAAGTCAGGAGCTTCGACTTGCTTAATCGATCTCGAGACAGTTCCCAAGAGCACTGTCACCAGTCTAGACGGACCCTGAGGTCACCCCAGCAACACAAAGCAGCTACATGTGCCCCAAATCAACTCGAGATGAGGCCCGATTCCCCTGCATTGACTCCAGAGCCATTCCCCGTTCCCCATTCAACACGACCGGTGGCTCGACTTCCTTCAGGCAACTCCACAGATGCCCCGAGAACACTGTCCCAAGTCTAGAGGAACACCAACTTCAGCACAGCAACTCGAGGAATGCTCCGTGTACCCCAAATCGTCTCGAGATGAGAGCTGATTCCCTGGCTTAGGCTCAAGACGTATGCCAACTTTCCAGAAGCACCTCAGGAGGAGGCTTCTCTCAGCAATAGCTATGTGGGAGGGACCCCGAGTTTGCTGCCTCAAGGGGAATATACAGCGAGAAGCCCTAACTTGAAAGGAGGCCGGATTTCCTTGCAGTGGCTTGAATACAGGCTCGTGTTTAATCTCACAACATGAAGGCATGTCTGAATCCCCTGTGGAGACCTTAGAGAAAGCCCTAGGTCCCTGCCTCATTTTGACGGAATGCCTCACATCCCGCTGACACCTCGAGAGGCACGCGGAGTTCATTTCTGCAAAATGTGACGATGCCTGACTCCTCTTGAATACTGATAGGAATCCCAAAATCCCTGTGGCTACAGGAAAGGGTCCTTGGGTGCCCTGCCTCACCTCGAGAAGCGTCCCTTTTGCCCTGCCAAGCCTCGAAGCGATTCCTGAGGTGTCCCTCCTTACTAGACAGGAGTCCTGACGTCACTGAAGAAACTCGTGTTTTGAAGGGCCATCCCGCCGTAAATCGAGAACATACCCCAGGTCCCCGCCGCAACTCGAGAAAAACCATGAGACTTCCCCCTAGAGGCGAGATGAGGCCCCATTCCCCTGCAGTGCATGCAGAGCTATTCCGTGATCCCATTCAAACAAGTCAGGAGCTTCGACTTGCTTAATGGATCTCGAGACAGTCCCCAAGAACACTGTCACCAGTCTAGACGGACCCTGGGGTCACCCCAGCAACGCAAAGCAGCTCCATGTGCCCCAAATCAACTCGAGATGAGGCCCGATTCCCCTGCATTGACTCTAGAGCCATTCCCCGTTCCCCATTCAACACGACCGGTGGCTCGACTTCCTTCAGGCAACTAAAGAGATGCCCCGAGAACACTGTCCCAAGTCTAGAGGAACACCAACTTCAGCACAGCAACTCGAGGAATGCTCCGTGTACCCCAAATCGTCTCGAGATGAGAGCTGATTCCCTGGCTTAGGCTCAAGACGTATGCCAACTTTCCAGAAGCACCTCAGGAGGAGGCTTCTCTCAGCAATAGGTATGTGGGAGGGACCCCGATTTTGCTGCCTCAATGGGAATATACAGCGAGAAGCCCTAACTTGAAAGGAGGCCGGATTTCCTTGCAGTGGCTTGAATACAGCTCTTCTTTGATCTCAAAACATGAAGGGATGACTGAATGCCCTTTGGAGACCTTAGAGAAAGCCCTAGGTCCATGCCTCATTTTATCGGAATGCCTCACATCCCGCTGACACCTCGAGAGGCACGCAGAGTTCATTGCTTCAAAAGGTGACGATGCCTGACTCCTCTTGAATACTGATAGGAATCCCAAAATCCCTGTGGCTACTGGAAAGGGTCCTTGGGTGCCCTGCCTCACCTCGAGAAGCGTCCCTTTTGCCCTGCCAAGCCTGGAAGAGATTCCTGAGGTGTCCCTCGTTACTAGACAGGAGTCCTGACGTCACTGAAGAAACTCGTGTTTTGAAGGGCCATCCCCGCCGTAAGTCGAGAACATACCCCAGGTCCCCGTCGCAACTCGAGAAAAACCATGAGACTTCCCCCTAGAGGCGAGATGAGGCCCCATTCCCCTGCAGTGCATGCAGAGCTATTCCGTGATCCCATTCAAACAAGTTAGGAGCTTCGACTTGCTTAATCGATCTCGAGACAGTTCCCAAGAGCACTGTCACCAGTCTAGACGGACCCTGAGGTCACCCCAGCAACACAAAGCAGCTACATGTGCCCCAAATCAACTCGAGATGAGGCCCGATTCCCCTGCATTGACTCCAGAGCCATTCCCCGTTCCCCATTCAACACGACCGGTGGCTCGACTTCCTTCAGGCAACTCCACAGATGCCCCGAGAACACTGTCCCAAGTCTAGAGGAACACCAACTTCAGCACAGCAACTCGAGGAATGCTCCGTGTACCCCAAATCGTCTCGAGATGAGAGCTGATTCCCTGGCTTAGGCTCAAGACGTATGCCAACTTTCCAGAAGCACCTCAGGAGGAGGCTTCTCTCAGCAATAGCTATGTGGGAGGGACCCCGAGTTTGCTGCCTCAAGGGGAATATACAGCGAGAAGCCCTAACTTGAAAGGAGGCCGGATTTCCTTGAGTGGCTTGAATACAGGCTCGTGTTTAATCTCACAACATGAAGGCATGACTGAATCCCCTGTGGAGACCTTAGAGAAAGCCCTAGGTCCCTGCCTCATTTTGACGGAATGCCTCACATCCCGCTGACACCTCGAGAGGCACGCGGAGTTCATTTCTTCAAAATGTGACGATGCCTGACTCCTCTTGAATACTGATAGGAATCCCAAAATCCCTGTGGCTACAGGAAAGGGTCCTTGGGTGCCCTGCCTCACCTCGAGAAGCGTCCCTTTTGCCCTGCCAAGCCTCGAAGAGATTCCTGAGGTGTCCCTCGTTACTAGACAGGAGTCCTGACGTCACTGAAGAAACTCGTGTTTTGAAGGGCCATCCCGCCGTAAGTCGAGAACATACCCCAGGTCCCCGCCGCAACTCGAGAAAAACCATGAGACTTCCCCCTAGAGGCGAGATGAGGCCCCATTCCCCTGCAGTGCATGCAGAGCTATTCCGTGATCCCATTCAAACAAGTCAGGAGCTTCGACTTGCTTAATGGATCTCGAGACAGTCCCCAAGAACACTGTCACCAGTCTAGACGGACCCTGGGGTCACCCCAGCAACGCAAAGCAGCTCCATGTGCCCCAAATCAACTCGAGATGAGGCCCGATTCCCCTGCATTGACTCTAGAGCCATTCCCCGTTCCCCATTCAACACGACCGGTGGCTCGACTTCCTTCAGGCAACTCCAGAGATGCCCCGAGAACACTGTCCCAAGTCTAGAGGAACACCAACTTCAGCACAGCAACTCGAGGAATGCTCCGTGTACCCCAAATCGTCTCGAGATGAGAGCTGATTCCCTGGCTTAGGCTCAAGACGTATGCCAACTTTCCAGAAGCACCTCAGGAGGAGGCTTCTCTCAGCAATAGGTATGTGGGAGGGACCCCGAGTTTGCTGCCTCAATGGGAATATACAGCGAGAAGCCCTAACTTGAAAGGAGGCCGGATTTCCTTGCAGTGGCTTGAATACAGCTCTTCTTTGATCTCAAAACATGAAGGGATGACTGAATGCCCTTTGGAGACCTTAGAGAAAGCCCTAGGTCCATGCCTCATTTTAACGGAATGCCTCACATCCCGCTGACACCTCGAGAGGCACGCAGAGTTCATTGCTTCAAAAGGTGACGATGCCTGACTCCTCTTGAATACTGATAGGAATCCCAAAATCCCTGTGGCTACTGGAAAGGGTCCTTGGGTGCCCTGCCTCACCTCAAGAAGCGTCCCTTTTGCCCTGCCAAGCCTGGAAGAGATTCCTGAGGTGTCCCTCGTTACTAGACAGGAGTCCTGACGTCATTGAAGAAACTCGTGTTTTGAAGGGCCATCACCGCCGTAAGTCGAGAACATACCCCAGGTCCCCGTCGCAACTCGAGAAAAACCATGAGACTTCCCCCTAGAGGCGAGATGAGGCCCCATTCCCCTGCAGTGCATGCAGAGCTATTCCGTGATCCCATTCAAACAAGTCAGGAGCTTCGACTTGCTTAATGGATCTCGAGACAGTCCCCAAGAACACTGTCACCAGTCTAGACGGACCCTGAGGTCACCCCAGCAACGCAAAGCAGCTCCATGTGCCCCAAATCAACTCGAGATGAGGCCCGATTCCCCTGCATTGACCCCAGAGCCATTCCCCGTTCCCCATTCAACACGACCGGTGGCTCGACTTCCTTCACGCAACTCCAGAGATGCCCCGAGAACACTGTCCCAAGTCTAGAGGAACACCAACTTCAGCACAGCAACTCGAGGAATGCTCCGTGCACCCCAAATCGTCTCGAGATGAGAGCTGATACATTGGCTTAGGCTCAAGGCATTTGCCAACTTTCCAGAAGCAACTCAGGAGGAGGATTCTCTCAGCAATAGGTATGTGGGAGGGACCCCGAGTGTGCTGCCTCAAGGGGAATATACAGCGAGAAGCCCTAACTTGAAAGGAGGCCGGATTTCCTTGCAGTGGCTTGAATACAGGCTCGTCTTTCATCTCACAACATGAAGGGATGTCTGAATCCCCTGTGGAGACCTTAGAGAAAGCCGTAGGTCCCTGCCTCATTTTGACGGAATGCCTCACATCCCGCTGACAACTCGAGAGGCACGCGGAGTTCATTGCTTCAATAGGTGACGATGCCTGACTCCTCTTGAATACTGATAGGAATCCCAAAATCCCTGTGGCTACTGAAAGGGTCCTTGGGTGCCCTGCCTCACCTCGAGAAGCGTCCCTTTTGCCCTGCCAAGCCTCGAAGAGATTCCTGAGGTGTCCCTCGTTACTAGACAGGAGTCCTGACGTCACTGAAGAAACTCGTGTTTTGAAGGGCCATCCCCGCCGTAAGTCGAGAACATACCCCAGGCCCCCGCCGCAACTCGAGAAAAACCATGAGACTTCCCCTTAGAGGCGAGATAAGGCCCCATTCCCCTGCACTGCATGCAGACCTATTCCGTGATCCCATTCAAACAAGTCAGGAGCTTCGACTTGCTTAATCGATCTCGAGACAGTCCCCAAGAACACTGTCACCAGTCTAGACGGACCCTGAGGTCACCCCAGCAACGCAAAGCAGATCCATGTGCCCCAAATCAACTCGAGATGAGTCCCGATTCCCCTGCATTGACCCCAGAGCTATTACCCGTTCCCCATTCAACACGCCCGGTGGCTCCACTTCCTTCAGGCAACTCCAGAGATGCCCCGAGAACACTGTCCCAAGTCTAGAGGAACACCAACTTCAGCACAGCAACTCAAGGAATGCTCCGTGTACCCCAAATCGTCTCGAGATGAGAGCCGATTACCTGGCTTAGGCTCAAGACGTATGCCTACATTCCAGAAGCACCTCAGGAGGAGGCTTCTCTCAGCAATATGTATGTTGGAGGGACCCCGAGTTTGCTGCCTCAAGGGGAATATACATCGAGAAGCCCTAACTTGAAAGGTGGCCGGATTTCCTTGCAGTGGCTTGAATACAGGCTCGTCTTTCATCTCACAACATGAAGGGATGTCTGAATCCCCTGTGGAGACCTGAGAGAAAGCCCTAGGTCCCAGCCTCATTTTGACGGAATGCCTCACATCCCGCTGACACCTCGAGAGGCACGCGGAGTTCATTGCTTCAAAAGGTGACGATGCCTGACTCCTCTTGAATACTGATAGGAATCCCAAAATCCCTGTGGCTACTGGAAAGGATCCTTGGGTGCCCTGCCTGACCTCGAGAAGCATCACTTTTGCCCAGCCAAGCCTCGAAGAGATTCCTGAGGTGTCCCTCGTTACTAGACAGGAGTCCTGACGTCACTGAAGAAACTCGTGTTTTGAAGGGCCATCCCCGCCGTAAGTCGAGAACATACCCCAGGTCCCCGCCGCAACTCGAGAAAAACCATGAGACTTCCCCCTAGAGGCGAGATGAGGCCCCATTCCCCTGCAGTGCATGCAGAGCTATTCCGTGATCCCATTCAAACAAGTCAGGAGCTTCGACTTGCTTAATCGATCTCGAGACAGTCCCCAAGAGCACTGTCACCAGTCTAGACGGACCCTGAGGTCACCCCAGCAACACAAAGCAGCTACATGTGCCCCAAATCAACTCGAGATGAGGCCCGATTCCCCTGCATTGACTCCAGAGCCATTCCCCGTTCCCCATTCAACACGACCGGTGGCTCGACTTCCTTCAGGCAACTCCACAGATGCCCGAGAACACTGTCCCAAGTCTAGAGGAACACCAACTTCAGCACAGCAACTCGAGGAATGCTCCGTGTACCCCAAATCGTCTCGAGATGAGAGCTGATTCCCTGGCTTAGGCTCAAGACGTATGCCAACTTTCCAGAAGCACCTCAGGAGGAGGCTTCTCTCAGCAATAGGTATGTGGGAGGGACCCCGAGTTTGCTGCCTCAAGGGGAATATACAGCGAGAAGCCCTAAATTGAAAGGAGGCCCGATTTCCTTGCAGTGGCTTGAATACAGGCTCGTGTTTAATCTCACAACATGAAGGCATGTCTGAATCCCCTGTGGAGACCTTAGAGAAAGCCCTAGGTCCCTGCCTCATTTTGACGGAATGCCTCACATCCCGCTGACACCTCGAGAGGCACGCGGAGTTCATTTCTTCAAAATGTGACGATGCCTGACTCCTCTTGAATACTGATAGGAATCCCAAAATCCCTGTGGCACCAGGAAAGGGTCCTTGGGTGCCCTGCCTCACCTCGAGAAGCGTCCCTTTTGCCCTGCCAAGCCTCGAAGAGATTCCTGAGGTGTCCCTCGTTACTAGACAGGAGTCCTGACGTCACTGAAGAAACTCGTGTTTTGAAGGGCCATCCCGCCGTAAGTCGAGAACATACCCCAGGTCCCCGCCGCAACTCGAGAAAAACCATGAGACTTCCCCCTAGAGGCGAGATGAGGCCCCATTCCCCTGCAGTGCATGCAGAGCTATTCCGTGATCCCATTCAAACAAGTCAGGAGCTTCGACTTGCTTAATGGATCTCGAGACAGTCCCCAAGAACACTGTCACCAGTCTAGACGGACCCTGGGGTCACCCCAGCAACGCAAAGCAGCTCCATGTGCCCCAAATCAACTCGAGATGAGGCCCGATTCCCCTGCATTGACTCTAGAGCCATTCCCCGTTCCCCATTCAACACGACCGGTGGCTCGACTTCCTTCACGCAACTCCAGAGATGCCCCGAGAACACTGTCCCAAGTCTAGAGGAACACCAACTTCAGCACAGCAACTCGAGGAATGCTCCGTGTACCCCAAATCGTCTCGAGATGAGAGCTGATTCCCTGGCTTAGGCTCAAGACGTATGCCAACTTTCCAGAAGCACCTCAGGAGGAGGCTTCTCTCAGCAATAGGTATGTGGGAGGGACCCCGAGTTTGCTGCCTCAATGGGAATATACAGCGAGAAGCCCTAACTTGAAAGGAGGCCGGATTTCCTTGCAGTGGCTTGAATACAGCTCTTCTTTGATCTCAAAACATGAAGGGATGACTGAATGCCCTGTGGAGACCTTAGAGAAAGCCCTAGGTCCATGCCTCATTTTGACGGAATGCCTCACATCCCGCTGACACCTCGAGAGGCACGCAGAGTTCATTGCTTCAAAAGGTGACGATGCCTGATGCCTCTTGAATACTGATAGGAATCCCAAAATCCCTGTGGCTACTGGAAAGGGTCCTTGGGTGCCCTGCCTCACCTCGAGAAGCGTCCCTTTTGCCCTGCCAAGCTTGGAAGAGATTCCTGAGGTGTCCCTCGTTACTAGACAGGAGTCCTGACGTCACTGAAGAAACTCGTGTTTTGAAGGGCCATCCCCGCCGTAAGTCGAGAACATACCCCAGGTCCCCGCCGCAACTCGAGAAAAACCATGAGACTTCCCCCTAGAGGCGAGATGAGGCCCCATTCCCCTGCAGTGCATGCAGAGCTATTCCGTGATCCCATTCAAACAAGTCAGGAGATTCGACTTGCTTAATGGATCTCGAGACAGTCCCCAAGAACAATGTCACCAGTCTAGACGGACGCTGAGGTAACCCCAGCAACGCAAAGCAGCTCCATGTGCCCCAAATCAACTCGAGATGAGGCCCGATTCCCCTGCATTGACTCTAGAGCCATTCCCCGTTCCCCATTCAACACGACCGGTGGCTCGACTTCCTTCAGGCAACTCCAGAGATTCCCCGAGAACACTGTCCGAAGTCTAGAGGAACACCAACTTCAGCACAGCAACTCGAGGAATGCTCCGTGTACCCCAAATCGTCTCGAGATGAGAGCTGATTCCCTGGCTTAGGGTCAATACGTATGCCAACTTTCCAGAAGCACCTCAGGAGGAGGCTTCTCTCAGCAATAGGTATGTGGGAGGGACCCCGAGTTTGCTGCCTCAAGGGGAATATACAGCGAGAAGCCCTAACTTGAAAGGAGGCCGGATTTCCCTGCAGTGGCTTGAATACAGGCTCTTCTTTGATCTCAAAACATGAAGGGATGACTGAATGCCCTGTGGAGACCTTAGAGAAAGCCCTAGGTCCATGCCTCATTTTGACGGAATGCCTCACATCCCGCTGACACCTCGAGAGGCACGCAGAGTTCATTGCTTCAAAAGGTGACGATGCCTGATGCCTCTTGAATACTGATAGGAATCCCAAAATCCCTGTGGCTACTGGAAAGGGTCCTTGGGTGCCCTGCCTCACCTCGAGAAGCGTCCGTTTTGCCCTGCCAAACCTCGAAGAGATTCCTGAGGTGTCCCTCGTTACTAGACAGGAGTCCTGACGTCAGTGAAGAAACTCGTGTTTTGAAGGGCCATCCCCGCCGTAAGTCGAGAACATACCCCAGGTCCCTGCCGCAACTCGAGAAAAACCATGAGACTTCCCCCTAGAGGCGAGATGAGGCCCCATTCCCCTGCAGTGCATGCAGAGCTATTCCGTGATCCCATTCAAACAAGTCAGGAGCTTCGACTTGCTTAATCGATCTCGAGACAGTCCCCAAGAACACTGTCACCAGTCTAGATGGACCCTGAGGCCACCCCAGCAACGCAAAGCAGCTGCATGTGCCCCAAATCAACTCGAGATGAGGCCCGATTCCCCTGCATTGACTGCAGAGCCATTCCCCGTTCCCCATTCAACACGACCGGTGGCTCGACTTCCTTCAGGCAACTCCAGAGATGCCCCGAGAACACTGTCCCAAGTCTAGAGGAACACTAACTTCAGCACAGCAACTCGAGGAATGCTCCGTGTACCCCAAATCGTCTCGAGATGAGAGCTGATTCCCTGGCTTAGGCTCAAGACGTATGCCAACTTTCCAGAAGCACCTCAGGAGGAGGCTTCTCTCAGCAATAGCTATGTGGGAGGGACCCCGAGTTTGCTGCCTCACGGGGAATATACAGCGAGAAGCCCTAAATTGAAAGGAGGCCTGATTTCCTTGCAGTGGCTTGAATCCAGGCTCGTGTTTAATCTCACAACATGAAGGCATGTCTGAATCCCCTGTGGAGACCTTAGAGAAAGCCCTAGGTCCCTGCCTCATTTTGACGGAATGCCTCACATCCCGCTGACACCTCGAGAGGCACGCGGAGTTCATTGCTTCAAAAGGTGACGATGCCTGACTCCTCTTGAATACTGATAGGAATCCCAAAATCCCTGTGGCTACAGGAAAGGGTCCTTGGGTGCACTGCCTCACCTGGAGAAGCGTCCCTTTTGCCCTGCCAAGCTTGGAAGAGATTCCTGAGGTGTCCCTCGTTACTAGACAGGAGTCCTGACGTCACTGAAGAAACTCGTGTTTTGAAGGGCCATCCCGCCGTAAGTCGAGAACATACCCCAGGTCCCCGCCGCAACTCGAGTAAAACCATGAGACTTCCCCCTAGAGGCGAGATGAGGCCCCATTCCCCTGCAGTGCATGCAGAGCTATTCCGTGATCCCATTCAAACAAGTCAGGAGCTTCGACTTGCTTAATGGATCTCGAGACAGTCCCCAAGAACACTGTCACCAGTCTAGACAGACCCTGAGGTCACCCCAGCAACGCAAAGCAGCTCCATGTGACCCAAATCAACTCGAGATGAAGCCCGATTCCCCTGCATTGACTCCAGAGCCATTCCCCGTTCCCCATTCAACATGACCGGTGGCTCGACTTCCTTCAGGTAACTCCAGAGATGCCCCGAGAACACTGTCCCAAGTCTAGAGGAACACCAACTTCAGCACAGCAACTCGAGGAATGCTCCGTGTACCCCAAATCGTCTCGAGATGAGAGCTGATTCCCTGGCTTAGGCTCAAGACGTATGCCAACTTTCCAGAAGCACCTCAGGAGGAGGCTTCTCTCAGCAATAGTTATGTGGGAGGGACCCCGAGTTTGCTGCCTCAAGGGGAATATACAACGAGAAGCCCTAACTTGAAAGGAGGCCGGATTTCCCTGCAGTAGCTTGAATACAGGCTCTTCTTTGATCTCAAAACATGAAGGGATGACTGAATGCCCTGTGGAGACCTTAGAGAAAGCCCTAGGTCCATGCCTCATTTTGACGGAATGCCTCACATCCCGCTGACACCTCGAGAGGCCGCAGAGTTCATTGCTTCAAAAGGTGACGATGCCTGACTTCTCTTGAATACTGATAGGAATCCCAAAATCCCTGTGGCTACTGGAAAGGGTCCTTGGGTGCCCTGCCTCACCTCGAGAAGCGTCCCTTTTGCCCTGCCAAGCTTGGAAGAGATTCCTGAGGTGTCCCTCGTTACTAGACAGGAGTCCTGACGTCACTGAAGAAACTCGTGTTTTGAAGGGCCATCCCCGCCGTAAGTCGAGAACATACCCCAGGTCCCCGCCGCAACTCGAGAAAAACCATGAGACTTCCCCCTAGAGGCGAGATGAGGCCCCATTCCCCTGCAGTGCATGCAGAGCTATTCCGTGATCCCATTCAAACAAGTCAGGAGATTCGACTTGCTTAATGGATCTCGAGACAGTCCCCAAGAACAATGTCACCAGTCTAGACGGACCCTGGGGTCACCCCAGCAACGCAAAGCAGCTCCATGTGCCCCAAATCAACTCGAGATGAGGCCCGATTCCCCTGCATTGACTCCAGAGCCATTCCCCGATCCCCATTCAACACGACCGGTGGCTCGACTTCCTTCAGGCAACTCCAGAGATTCCCCGAGAACACTGTCCGAAGTCTAGAGGAATACCAACTTCAGCACAGCAACTCGAGGAATGCTCCGTGTACCCCAAATCGTCTCGAGATGAGAGCTGATTCCCTGGCTTAGGGTCAATACGTATGCCAACTTTCCAGAAGCACCTCAGGAGGAGGCTTCTCTCAGTAATAGGTATGTGGGAGGGACCCCGAGTTTGCTGCCTCAAGGGGAATATACAGCGAGAAGCCCTAACTTGAAAGGAGGCCGGATTTCCCTGCAGTGGCTTGAATACAGGCTCTTCTTTGATCTCAAAACATGAAGGGATGACTGAATGCCCTGTGGAGACCTTAGAGAAAGCCCTAGGTCCATGCCTCATTTTGACGGAATGCCTCACATCCCGCTGACACCTCGAGAGGCACGCAGAGTTCATTGCTTCAAAAGGTGACGATGCCTGACTCCTCTTGAATACTGATAGGAATCCCAAAATCCCTGTGGCTACTGGAAAGGGTCCTTGGGTGCCCTGCCTCACCTCGAGAAGCGTCCCTTTTGCCCTGCCAAGCTTGGAAGAGATTCCTGAGGTGTCCCTCGTTACTAGACAGGAGTCCTGACGTCACTGAAGAAACTCGTGTTTTGAAGGGCCATCCCCGCCGTAAGTCGAGAACATACCCCAGGTCCCCGCCGCAACTCGAGAAAAACCATGAGACTTCCCCCTAGAGGCGAGATGAGGCCCCATTCCCCTGCAGTGCATGCAGAGCTATTCCGTGATCCCATTCAAACAAGTCAGGAGATTCGACTTGCTTAATGGATCTCGAGACAGTGCCCAAGAACACTGTCACCAGTCTAGACGGACCCTGAGGTCACCCCAGCAACGCAAAGCAGCTCCATGTGCCCCAAATCAACTCGAGATGAGGCCCGATTCCCCTGCATTGACTCCAGAGCCATTCCCCGATCCCCATTCAACACGACCGGTGGCTCGACTTCCTTCAGGCAACTCCAGAGATTCCCCGAGAACACTGTCCCAAATCTAGAGGAACACCAACTTCAGCACAGCAACTCGAGGAATGCTCCGTGTACCCCAAATCGTCTCGAGATGAGAGCTGATTCCCTGGCTTAGGGTCAATACGTATGCCAACTTTCCAGAAGCACCTCAGGAGGAGGCTTCTCTCAGCAATAGGTATGTGGGAGGGACCCCGAGTTTGCTGCCTCAAGGGGAATATACAGCGAGAAGCCCTAACTTGAAAGGAGGCCGGATTTCCTTGCAGTGGCT